TTCACTGGAGCTCGCTATAGCCCCTCTACCAGGCCCATGATCGGCTCTCCAGTACGCAGAGTATTTTCTGTCGAATCTCCCCCCGCGGAAAGCTCTCGGTTAATCGACAGCATCCGACCCCTCTCCTCTGGATCGGAACCAATTCCCATCCAAAAACCTCGAAAACCATCCACCCCCCCCTTCACTGCCACCCTCGCGCCCCTCAGGCTTACTCTCCTTCATCCCACTCACCATGTCCCGGTACGCCACCGCGCACAGGCAGCCCTCCTCACCTCCCTTACCACCAGGCGTCCGCGCGCCACGAACGTGGCTCAAGGACTCCGGCCCCGTCCGCGTCGAAGCAAAAGTGTGGCTTGCCAACCAGCGCACCTTCATAAAATGGCAGCACATATGCGTATTGCTTGCTACCCTTTCATTAGGTCTGTATAATGCCGCTTCTGTAGAAAATACAATCGCTCGTTCGCTAGCGATTGTGTACACGTGCTTCGCCATTTTTGCCGGCGGCTGGGGTTGGTGGATGTACGTGACGCGGGCGCGGTGGATTCGGGAGCGCAGTGGGCGGGATTTCGATAATGTTGCTGGACCGATGGTTGTTTGTCTGGGTTTGGCTGTAGCCCTTGTGTTGAACTTTTGGTTTAAGGTATGTTTTCATAGTTATATATTTCTGTGGATAATCAATTAACCATATTCAATCACAGTACAACGCGAAAGTATGGAATGAGGATGAACCTAATTCTCCTAAAGGCTCCGCTACTTCCCCGGGAAACGTTACTACACAGGATGTAGAGGGTGCTTGGATGCTCGTTAACCAAGCTGCCGCTGCAGCAGGTCGAAGAGGCTTATGAAACATGTTTTCATGAACTTGGGTAGTATTGAGATTGGGCGCCGTAGGCCGGAGTAAATATGTATGAAATGTACCGCAGAGCTTGGTGGAAGTTGGCGATGAATCGATAATGGTTTGTATGGTCTGTATATGCTTGGGTGATGTACGGAGAGTACTGTATGGTAAATAGTTACAATAGCTGTATGTATAGGGAAGACGAAAAAAAATATATGGAATGGTGGGATGTACGATGATTTTTTTTCTTTTTCTTTTTCTTTTCTTTTCTCCCTGGATGATTCATTCATCAGCCATTTTATGCAGGTGTGTTGAATTGATTTTATAATCTCTTTTGAATCTGCATTTCTATCTCAAGTGAGAGGAGAAGACAAAGTTTTTACATTGATTCATTTGATATGCGCGCACGTTGCTGAGGAGCAGTATACATTGGTATAAGAATGAGATGAGATGAGAAAAGCATTAATACAACAACCACCAATGACCAAAATAGAAGAGGAAAGCGTCTTGTTCTTAGGGGGGGGGACATTCTAGAGCAGGAAGGAACTGTTGAGAAAATGAAATAGTTATGGGAAACAGAGAAAAGAAATCAAAAAGGGGGAAATACATTATTAGGTCCATGATGCGATTGATGGATATCAGCAAATATCGAAAACAATAGTGAAATAGTATAGATCACACACACACACACACACCATTGCATACTTGAAGATAGAGAGGATGGTGGTGAAGGGTTAGAAAAGGCCCACATTTGAGAGGTAAGTAAATGGACACCCAGAAGCCAGAAAAGTGTATAGTTGAACACCGAGCACCGAGTGAAAGAACGAAGTAACTGATTGAACAGCGGGAAAGAAAAAGAAAAACAAAGACAAGAACCGACTATAGCCCGTAATCGCTAGCTGCCTTTTCGCCGTCTCAAATTGCCAACCCGAAACCAGACTGAAAGCTGATGCAGTAATAGTAAGTCTCGCGTCGCGTCGCATGCCATATACATTAGGAAATTACATAAATAGGTAAGCAAATGGAGAATTAAATGAGAAGACAACCCCACGTGAAAAATAAAATGAAAAATGAGAAATCAATAAAACATGGTGATAATAAACGGAACCAAACTCAATCTCCGCGATTCAGGGAAAAAAAAAAAAAAAGCCTGGCAAGAGCTCGCATAGAAAGCGGAAAAACGAAGAGGAGAAGAAGGAGAGCAGAGACGGAGAATATGATGAAGAAAGGGGTTGAGTTGAGAGAGGGCGGGGTTGGAGGACAGAGTCGAAGAGGGCCTCCCTTCAGAAAACCAATAAAAATACATTCCCCTCTTTCTCTGCTCCGTAGCGGCGAGCCGGTTGTTCGCTTGCTCCATTAGAATAAGGAGAAAATGTAGATCAAAAGACAGACACTTAAAAGGTATGAGGGTGTGTCATCTGACTTGTTTCTCTCTGCGCCGACGTACCGAACAACGGAAATTGACGATGAAAATGCACAGCCCAGGTACCGGAATCTTTCCATTTTTGTAAAAAAACAAGGAAAATCTTTAAAAAAAAAAGCGCAAATTTGTCATGCAAATTTGGATGAATAGTCATGTTCCGTGTGTATCCATCGGTCCAGCCGTAAAATGGTACATCAGAATGAACTAAAACGGGAAATACGAGAGTTGGGAGTTTTGCGGTCGAATGGTGCCTGAACTTGAGATCCGGTGGGTGAGACGAAAGGACAGATAGCCCCTTTATACGAACGTAAGGCAAAAGGAACCTTGGAAATAAAAGAGAAGCGCCAGGTCTGTTAATAATAAGATGCCTGCCGTAACTCATAGTTGGGCATGAAGTCGAACCAGTCTGTACTTGGATTATACCTGTATGCTTTGAACTCTACGCCATATGGTTTCTAAAGAGTGGTTGGAGTTATTAGCCCAGTGGCTTAAGAATAAAAAAACGGGAGAAAAAATCAAACACATACCGGTTCAAGCATATATAGAACACCCAACGGAACATCCAAATCGGCTAATTCCTCCCTCTTTAGTCCTCGGAAATACGCTAGCAGGACACGAGCAACAGACCGATGGCTGACAAGCAGCACGCTATCCGTCATCCGCTCAACTTCCACAATCACTGCCTTCAGCCGGTTGATGATGTCCAGATACCCCTCTCCCCCAGGACCGGGGTAGCGATAATGTAGTTTTTGGCGCTTGCGGTTTGCATATTCCTCAGGAAACTGCTTACGGATTTCGTCATAGGTCATGCCTTCCATCTTACCCGCGTTCAGTTCGTCGAGCATGCGCATCTGTTTGACGTCATATTCCTCGTCGTCAAAATATTGGACCGTTTGGACCGAGCGGGTAAGCATGGATGACCAGACGCAGAAATTGCGTGGCTCAGCGTTCTGCGCGGCATATTGCGGGTTGGGAGGCGTGCTGTCACCAGGGCGCGGGGGAAAATGAGTTGAGAGTGCCTTTGACTTTTGGTATTGCTCCCAGAGCTTGCGTTGCTCGCCGATGAATTTTGTCAGAGCTTTTGCGAAGCGAACGCCATTTTCGCTGAGTGGGGAATCGCCCCCGATTCTGCCGGCAACGTTGTCCAGACTTTCGCCATGGCGGCAGATCCATATCTGTCGCGGGGACAAGTTGAAGTTCAGGAGGTAGTACATGACTTGAGACGACAAGAAGCCGTTGACCTGATGTGCGATCACTTTGCGGCTGACATCTATTGTCTGCACGTAGGGCATGTTGTGTTTCTCTTCGTACTCCCCCAGCGCTACGTACGATTTCTCGTACAGAGCGACACGCTTTCTGAAGTCCTCCAGGGCAAGGGTGGGGTCCTGGTCCCTGTAATCAGGCCCCGAAAGTTTCAGTCGCATATTTGATTCCAACAGCTCCTTGTCAAGGCATTGACTTTCTAGGAATAGCACATTGAGTTCCGGCCCCGCTCGTGCGCGCACATGGTCCATGATTGCCTTGCGGCGCTTCAGTGTACTGTTTGTAGCATCCAGAATACCAATACTCCCGCCCTGTTCAAGAATATAATCCAAAAGTTCGTCCAAAGTCAGCAGCGCTACCTGTTCTCTCAACTGAACAGCCCGTTCGTTGGCCGGGTCAAAAAACTGCGCAGACTGGTCTATAGATCCACCTCTCGTAGATTTCATAGGACTATTGACAGATGCCCGAGATAGGGAAGTTGAAGATATGTTTGCCGACGCCGGCATAGATTTTGGGGATAAATAGGGCATATCACTCATGGGGCTCGGATCGCGCGTGATTATATCCTCGGGCGTTGGCGGCTCGACTGCGGTACCATTCAAAAGAATAGCCGCTGGGGGCAGAATCTCATGTTCGTTATCAATTTTACCTGAACCGCCACCACCGATGCTGAGCTCACGCACAGAATCCCTCAACTCATCCTCGAAGATAGAATTCCGGCCCGCGGAGGGCACAGAACCCCCTGCCGCAACCCGTCGACGTTCGCCTACGTTGAAAATCTTGGTATCGTGTTGCATCCAGTTCAGGTAACGGGCTAGTTTTTTGGTAATGTAGCTCTTGCCACGTGCTGGCAAGCCCACCATGACGATAACCAGTTTGGAGCCTACATCTCGCTGTGCAATACGTCCATCGAGAGAGACTTTAGATCTGGTCAGTCCCGGAATATCGAGGGTGGTGGCGCGATGTTTGCCAGGAGTTGAAGCGCCCGAGGAGTGAGAGCGAGCACCACTATATTCAGGGCAAACGGGGATCACTGTCAGCTTTATTTTCGGCTTCCACAGTAAATGTTTATTGTGTAAGGGGTACGACAGGGAAATAGGCTTGTGGGACTGGAGAGAAGCATCGGGTGCAAAGGCAGCTAGAAAACTGAATTGCCGGGGCCGGGGTTTCGCGGAAGAGCCCAGTCCAAAACCTATATATAACGGGCCAGGGCACCCTGCTCCCGAGCTGGATGAAACAAACACATGAAGGGCAAACGAAAACAAATTTCGGCAACTGACATTTGTGGAGAGGGGGGGGCGGTTGAAAGCGGAGTGTCTGTAAGAGCCATCCCGACGCCGTCTCGGCTCGCTAGTGAGGGCGCGTGGGTCGCGGCAAGGTTGCGGTGGTGGTGGTGATGGTGATGCTCAGGCGCCAGGGCTCTCCCGACGACAGTCTTGGACGGCGGCATCAAGGTCGGATCAGGACTGTGAGGCATATTGCTATGGCTGTGGTGCCCGTTAACAGCGAGGTGGTGAACCATCTGTAAGCTTGTCTGTGCTGTTGTCCAGAAGACGTTGGGGATAGGAATAAAAAGGCGGACTTGGCGATGATGACTCGTCGGTTGACTGGAGTGGCGTCATAGCCGGTACATGATGTTGCACCTGTTTCCCAAGCAAAACACAGGTACCCACAATGTGATGCGCCACCCAAGATCGAGCGATTGACAAGTTTGAATATTCAGCAAAAAAAGTTCAACTCTATATCGCTAACATTGTTCAGCTCTCCTTGCTAGCCTGGAAACTCAAACACTGGCATTGGCCTAGTCTATTGTGACAAAACTCATTATGGCTGTCGGAGGCAATTTGCCTATCAATTAATTCAATCTCCTCCGCACCATCAGACTTAATATCATCTCGAGGGGATGGACTTTTACGATTCTCTGTTCTTCCGTACTTAACCCTGATATGGAAATCCCAGCAGGCCATCCCTTGCCCCCTTGGGCCCCTTGGGCCCCGTCCAAGCCAACGATTTTACTCCCAAACTCGGGCAAGTTTCCGTGATCGTTACTTTCATGCTCGTACTTCTACCTATCCATAATGCTTCCAACTCCCAATAAATCTGAGCGAGGAAGACGCGTAAAGTAGCCAGCGCTTTGGAATCTCTAAATCTAAGGAGTTGACGGGGTTTAAGCCAGTGATATCGTGGAGGCCCCGAACGTGGACGAACGGTGCGCTGGGCGTATCGGGAGCAGCTCTCAGTTGTCCAGACATGGGAGAGAGAGAAAGAGGAATAACTGTGAAACGTGGGACCGAAGGTACCTATAATAAGGTCGCGGACGGAGCATTGTATGCTCGCGTCCGGAGAGAGTATCATGCATCGTAGTATCAAGATCCAACTGTTTCAAAGCCACCACGATCGCGTTGCGAGCTGTTTCCGAACTAATGTCTTTTTAGAGGAATGGTCGGGCGATTCCTTCGAATGAAAAGCTGATATAGTCATGTTCTTTTCATATCCGATGTCCCTCTTGACAGCGAGTAGCGTAGCACTCATAAGACGGTTGTACGGTATGAATGAAAATAATATCCCATATCCTGAACCGTAATACCTCAACGCATTCCTCCACATCCACGCATATTTCCGCCTGCATACCAAACTTTCACATCTTGAGCGTCAACGTCAGCGCCAACAAACATGCATACGCCGCGATACTCAGCGCCGTCAAGACAACCACCACGTTTCCACTCGTCCGAAACTTACGCCTCCTCAAACCATCGGCATCCACTTCATTGAAGAACTGCCTGTTGCCCTGCTGGCGCCGGAAGAGGCCAATGGTCAACACGCCAGCACCGTAGACGGCAAATAGCGCACCGATGCTGTAGAACTCGGAAGTAAAGATCTTGAGAATGATGAGGGCGAAGGAGAATTGCGAGAGGGAGGTACGAATGTAGGCGCCCTCGAAGGTTCGTTGAGCAGCGCGGACTTCGACTAATTCAGCTGGTGTAAGAACCACGGAGCGAGCACGGTGGAGGCCGAGGCGGTAACGGTCTGCGGCACGGCGCTGTAGAGAGTTATCTTAGTTGGATGGGAAAAGCGAGGGATATTTTGTATAGGCAGAGAAGGTATCACAACGAACCTCGAACATGATGGGTATATTCCGGCAGTGAGTATATGATTTGGCTGGTAGAGTGCTTTGCAGCGTCGAAGTTCGCAGTTCGCAGTAGGATGTCACATGGACATGATTAGTAAGTACTAGTGCTTGCGCTGCGAGCAAAGCACTCTGAAATGCATACTGATAGTTCGATTGCTCGATGTTCGATGCGTGTATGGATTGACGAATATCCCTGTGTGTGCAGCTGTGATATTCAATGTACCCTCTTTTTTTTTTTTTTTTTTTTTTTTTTGATTCTAGGAGTTATGTAACTGGCTGCTTGGTTTCCTCCACTCAAAGAGCAGTTCGGTTAAGGTTTAACCATCTCCAGTTAAGCTTTTAACTAAAGCACCCGCGTTCATCATCGCTTTTAGCCGATTCCTTGCCCAATCGCTAACCTTGTTTAACCCTGTAACAGCCGACGCGGCGATCTCCCGGCGGCTCCAGCCCAGGTTGCCGCCAGCAGCTCTTGAATCTATATATACATATATATATCAAGTATTTGCGACAACTCAACGTCTTCTCTTCCAATTGTCCCCACTGCTGTTTCCATTCAGAGAAATTATCTTGGTTTCTCTGGTATTTAGTTTCTATTACTGAGCAGGCTGTCAAGGTACACCACCATGGGAAACAAGGTCCTGGATGCTGCTGAAGGTAAGCATATTATTATTATCCAATCCATGTCGCCCGCGCTGAAATGGATGTTAACGGCGAGGTAGTGGCCAAGCATAACAGTGCAGACAGCTGCTGGGTCGTGCTGTACGGGAAAGTCTATGATGTTAGTACTTACACTTTTCACTTTTACCATACGTCTACCTCATTAGATCCGTCCTCTGCCTTGATTGCGATTTGATGTTTAGATGACAAGGTGTCGTAGATGATCCTATGTTTCCTAATGCTAACTAAAGTCATGGTGACCGGAAAATTGTGATAGGTAACAGACTTTCTCCAAAAACATCCTGGCGGTGCCCAAATAATTCTCCAGCTCGCTGGTAAAGATGCGACGGATGAATTCGATCCTATCCACCCTTCCGGCACCCTGGAGGATAATCTTAAACCGGAAGCATTTCTGGGCACCATCAATCCGGATACGTTATCTAAGGCAACATCCCGTGCTGAACCCGAGAGCAAGATCGAGCGGACGACCAATAAGCCCCCCTCCATATCCTCGCTTTTAAATCTCGATGACATAGAAGCAGTGGCTAAGAAGCAAATAAGCAATAAGGCCTGGGCATACTATTACTCTGCCGCAGACGATCTCATATCGAAATCGCTAAACAACACCGTCTACCGCTCCATCCTCCTCCGTCCACGGGTCTTCATCGACTGCACAAAATGCGACCTCTCCACCAACGTCCTGGGCCATAAACTTGGATTGCCCATTTACGTTTGCCCAGCTGCTATGGCCCGCCTCGCACATCCGGCAGGAGAAGCAGGGATTGCCGCCGCCTGCTCCAAGTTCGGCGCGATGCAACTGATCTCCAACAATGCCTCCATGACTCCGGAAGAAATCGTACAAAACGCAACCGATGACCAAGTCTTCGGCTGGCAGCTCTACGTCCAAACTGAACGCAAAAAGAGCGAAGCAATGCTCGCCCGCATCAATAAGCTCAAATCCATAAAATTCGTCTGTCTGACCCTCGACGCCCCCGTTCCCGGTAAGCGCGAGCACGACGAACGCACCCGGGCTCTTGCGCAGACGACATCCGTTTCCAGCCTCCTTAAGGCATCTGGAGGCACGGCAATCGGAGGCGGCGCAGGGATCGGCCAGCAATTATTCGCCGGCACGGACTCGTCACTCACCTGGACCACAACCCTCCCCTGGCTGGCGCAACACACGAATTTACCCATCGTCCTGAAAGGATTACAGACGCATGAGGATGCGTATATCGCATCATTGCATGCGCCACAGGTCAAGGCGATTATCCTGTCAAACCACGGCGGGCGGGAGATGGACACGGCGCCGACAGCGGTGCATACGATGATGGAGATTCGGAAGCACTGTCCCGAGGTGTTTGGAAAGGTGGAGGTGTGGGTTGATGGGGGGATTCGGCGGGGCACAGATGTAGTGAAAGCGTTGTGTCTCGGGGCACGGTGTGTTGGGGTTGGGAGGGCGCCGTTGTTCGGCCTTGGTGCCGGTGGCGTTGAGGGGGTTGAGCGAGTATTGGAGAGTATGTTTAACTATTCCCGTGTTCCTTCTTTTCATCCCTTTCCCTTTTCTATAGCACCAGTCCTGGTGCTTGTGTGAAGGACTTCAAGGCATGCTAGGCGCAGTGCTAACGGGGATATTTCCCCTCGTGTAGTTCTCTCCACTGAAACGGCAACAGCCATGCGACTCCTGGGCGTCGAAAAAGTTGATGATCTAGGCATGCAGCACGTAAGTTCTCTTCTCTGATCCACATTCGCTATAACTTATAGCAGATATATATCCTTCTCCCACACTCGGAACCGAAGCTAACCCATTGCCTTCGAAACAACACAGATTAATGCCCGTGCCGTGGAGCAACAAATATATGATGGCCCAGCAGGGCTGCACGCACTGGATCGCTTGGTTAAACCTAAAATATAATTTCGAAATTCTAAACTTCTTGCTTTGTGTATCTACCTACATAGATATACTTGTGCTTGTGCTTGTGTGTGTGTGTGTGCGTTTGATCCATCGGAATTTATGTGTCTCGTATGGCGCAAGCCAAGTTATGTTTCCAGTACGCAGGAGTGCGAGTTCTACCAGTTAAAGAGTTTTTTTCTGCCGCCCGAATGGCGTTGTTCATCTATTTCATATCACAAGAATGATCCTACTTGTCATCCCACTATTATTTCATTCCTGAGAGTTATATTCTAGCTATCTGTTATCAATACCTGCCAGCACAATCCAATCCACAATCCAATTTCTACATTCCTAGTACACAGTACACCAAAGATAGGACACTCCTAATCTACATTTAGATCTTGGGCATTCAACCTCACCATGAAGGGTGCGGTTGGCTTCTCTGTGCAATTCAGATAACTAGTCAGTGGTCTATCTGCTCAAATGATTGCACGACATCGTCTCAAGGTCATACTATAGTTCAAGTAGTTTTCATCTTAAAACTGCAGGCCATTGAAGGGAGCCAATGTCATTGAATTTCAGTTATCTATATTCATTTATCAACAAGAAAAAGTCGGATACCACGCGCGTGTGAATAGGAACGGGGCCGGGACCCCGAACCATAAGGAGACTGAACTGCGGCAAAGCGAAAAGAACTTTTTTCCAAGTTCAATTAAAGACATGGTTTTGTGTGACAATACGAAAACCAAGAGTACACCCCATTTTTTAAGTAGTCGACAGAGGACAGACGCCGAGAAGAAAATATATAAGTGAGAAGGGAAGAGGCTGTGATGGAGGCCAGGGGAAAACCCAGAGAGATGGACAAATAGAGGAGCCCAACGCCGCTTTCCGCAACGGCTAATAAAAAAGTGATTTCGGGGAAAAAATATACAGAGAATTAATGTAGAAATAAATGAAATCAAAATCATATAACAATGCCGGGCAATCAAATGCTGTTGCTGAAACAAAATGTAAGAAATCAAGAGAAGCAAGGAAGAATACAGAGAAAGAGAAAGCCAGACATGAACAAAGAGATGAAAAATAAATAAATAAATAAAAATAGAAGGAGAAAGATCCAAAAAAAATCCAGATGAAAATATTGTACACGTGCATATTCTGCGGCTACAAGATGTATAGATTTATTTTGTCCATGTTTAGCAAAAAAAAAGCCGGGGAAAAAGGCCCCACATAGAGTTCTTCAATTGCCTATTGCGCGTATTGGTTCCCACCGCTGGATAGATGCCATGTCATGCAACTGCAGGAAGTATCATTTGGTTCGTCTATTGTAATATCCCCAGAGGACTGGTCTCCAATCCATATAAGCGCCTGTATATACGATGTCAAGGCTTCCAATGTATTTCAAGAGTGACGCTCCATCGGTACTAGGGTAGATTCCCCGCATCTCGTCCGTAAACGTACTAAAAACCCGTTCGTAGGCGTCAGCGCTATGCTATCCCTTCCGTGCTGCGTAAATGTGTATTACTCTCCAGTCAAAGTCCAATGCCTTGACAATTCCTGCTGAAATTTGCAGGTGGGTTCGTTTTCCCTTTTATGTTATTTGTCGCAGAGGACTGGCCTTTGCCATTCCGCCAAGGGACACCTGTGGGCTGCGTTGGCCTTGAAAGAGTCAAGTATTACTTTCTAAGAATTGAAGATGAGATTTGCTTGTTAGCTGGATATTCTAAGGCCGTGGCGCCGCCATACGAGCATTAATAGCTGCTCTTCTCTGTGCAAGTCTAAGGCTGCGGCGAAGAGGTTTGTGGGTCGCAGAAGAAAGTTGCGGGTCAGAAGGTAAGTTCTTCTTTCTTCTACTTCGAAGCGAAATGCCTCGGCTTGAAATCTGGTCAGTTTCCGCATCAGCCTCTTTGTTTGCTGGCACGGTAGCTGCTCCTGACCTTTGTCTGGTCATCCTTGATGCAGAGGTCTTGGGGACCCTTTTGTGAGAGCGTGTTTGCGGCTTAGCTGGTCGTTTTTCATGTAAAGCGCCTTTGCTAGAAACCTTGTCAATTTCTTTAACATTTCCCTCTACTTCTACTGTGACTGTAGTCGCTTTTTGTTTTTGTCTGGTGATCTTTGATGCGGGTGGGTTGGGATTATGTGATCGTTCACTGGCGGCTACATCTGTTGCTGCACCCGTAGCCGCTGGCTCGTATAATGTGTAGCCATCGACGGCGCCCTTTCCGCCGTTGCGCCTTGGACGTTTTGATAGTTGTTCTTCGCTGGGTATGTCAGAGCCGCGTTTACGCCTTTTACTTTCTTGGGAAGTGGTTGCTATGTGTGTCTGCGAATGCGAAGTCGCAAGTTGCTCGATCCCATTATACTCCTGATTTCTGGGGACATCTCCCTCCCTGGGCTGGTCAGCTTGATCGAATGAAGGTTTCCTGACAGATTCGTCGTTCAAGGTATTCGCCGCGGTTTCAGATGACTTCATGTCAAGTTCGACTAGAGGAAGTTGGTCGAGGATCCATCGTAGGAGTATAGAATGGCGTTGTGCATTCTCTTTGAAAATCAGATGATTGCTGGTGTCCTGGATGTACGCTCCAATTATTTTATTTCGGCGACTAATAAAATCGCACTTCTCCTCCTCTGCAATTAGTTTTGACTGTGCTTCAATCAGCCTTTGCTCAAGCTCTTTGGGACGATTCCTAGAGGTTTCCGAGTCGAAGATAGCTTTTCGAGCAGCAATCACGGCGGATTTCGCAGTGTCCACAAGCTCTTGAGACCGGTTCAATTCCTCATACCGTAGCATTGAAGGCTCAAAACCAGCTATGGACTCCCGGGTCTCGGAGTGCCTTAATACATTGCTGTCAACGATCTCCTTCCACTTACTCTCTAGCCACTGTTCTTGGTGGATCGAAAGTGCGTATCGATCGTGCCACCAATATTCATAGCCAAGATATTCAATCCATGTCGTTAAATTGTCCTGTCTAGTCGGGTCCTCGTCAAGCTGAAAGTTGCGTAAGAATCCGTGTCTCACGAGTCGGTCCTTCACCGCTCTGGCGTATACTGGGAAACGTCCCACCTCTCCCGTCTTTGGCCGTTGGCTGTCGATGAAGGCAGTCCATTTTCTGTCCTCATGGGCAGCATGCCCTGAAAAAATACGAATTACCTGCGGATCTTGAATGTTCCGCTCCCTCATGAATCGCTGGAACATGCGGAATTGCTTCCACCTCGCCAATTGTGCCGTAAATAATGCCTCTTGTTGCTGATTGCCACGGCCGTTCCAAAACGAGAGGAGCTCGCGCAATTCTCCCGGGCATTTGTATATGTCCTCGGTATTGCTAAAGGGGTGCGAGGCTCGCCCGCCGTCTTCAACAAGCTCCTTGTACGACTCGGTCTCCCTCCGCTGGAGCTCAAGTCTCCAGCCCTCCAGATCGGCAGATGGCGTAGATCTGGGGGAAGACGTATTAGATTCAATTACAACAGGTGATTGCTCATATATGATGTGTGGAGTTCGGGGGGCTGCTTGTTTGTCTTGCGGCTCTTTCCCCGGCTCTTTCTCTTTCTCGGCCTGCAGAAGACGTGTGTTGACTTGAGCCAGGTCAACTGGACGAGACTTGTCCACTCCGCCTCCGCCATATGTTCGACCTCTAATCACCGTCAGATATACAACGTAAGTACCAAAAGGGAGTACAAGGAGAGGGGAGGGAGGGAGATCATTACCTTAACCTCTGTAGAAAGGAGTCAGGCAAATTCTCAGGGTCCTGAACATAAACAACCCTGGATTCAAGGTTAGCCAGGAAATTGGATAATATACTTGGGGAAAACAACGAAAAGCAAACCTTCCGGTTCTTTCGAGATACTCGTCTAGTTCCGCGTCGTCATAGGCTACAATATCGCAAGTTCGCAATTTCCGCGAAGAAAACTCAGGATATGCCATCGCGGGCGAACTTAGGAGGTATCAATACAAGAGACCAGGCGTACTGGCCGTCGACCTTCTCATTGTCGTCGTCGTCGTTCCTTTTCTCAAGGTCCAGCCTGTAGGAAGACTAATCCAGATACAGCTAGCGCAATCAATCGTATAAGTAGACAGAAAAATACAAACGGTTTTCCGCACTCTGCGTCAATGCCCAACAGAGCCAGCTTCCGGATTGGCGCATCTGTTAAGCTTGTCGCGGGAATGGAGGGTATTAATAGCCCAATGGATGAGCTAGGCTGGGCTATCATTTGATACAGGAGTCCGAGCCATGATGATGGCAGTGACAAACAACATTGAAGACCAACCAACATCGGCCCTGCTCCAAGGGTGTGGCATGCCTTTGTTCACAGCGCGCAGAATCCTGCAGGGTCTCTTTCCGCTATATTAATTATGTTATGAAACTAATAAAGACTCCCTGACCCCACATGTTCTGGAGAATGCCGTTGGTTTTGTTGAACAAAGCCGCCTTTGAAAATGGACGACCCGAGCTTGGTAGCCCTATTATACCCATACAACATGTCTCCCGATGCCACCAAGGCAATCAACGACCCTCGTAATAATTCGCTAAAATTTCCTCCCATGTATCATCAGGAAAAAGCACCAAGCCGCCAGAGCCGAGAGCCTACACCTGAGCGCGCAGTGAGCCAACCAGAGGTTTTAGAGGAATTTTACCAAGAGGGTCTGCAGTTGACGTTTAACAATACACTCGCAGGAAACAAGGGCTTTTGTCTTGGGACGAATGCAAATAAATGTGACATTATCTTACCAGATCAACAACGACAACACCCTGTCAGCGGGTGGCATTGTTACTTGACCTTTAACAACCAAAATCATCTAATCCTCCGAGACAAATCCCGCCACGGAACCACCGTGCTCTATGACGGGAAAGGAGGAGAAAAGCGCCGCAATTTCACGTGGATACTTGGTGGACATTCAGTTCTCAATGAGATAAAGGAGGTAATCATTCACATCCACCAACAGCTCCAATTCAGGATCTTCGTTTTCAAGCCCCAGCACCCGGAGGACCTTTCCAGGTACATTGATAATGTCGAGCAATTTCGCTCGAAGGTAGCCACATCGGGTGAACCGAGTATCGGTGAATTGGGGTTGCAAAGCAAAAATACAACGGCACCTGTTAGCGGGGCACACTCTCCGCGCGAAGGCCCCATCTTCCTTGAGCGAAAGATAGTCGGCTCCGGCAGCTTCGGAGTTGTAACTCATCGGTGGGACGTGAGCACCGGCGTTGAATATGCCTGTAAAATGCCTCATGATACTCTTGACCGTGAACAGCGGCTGTTGTGGGAGAAGGAGATCCGTATTATGGGCCGAGTCAAGCATGTAAGCGTCGGCATACTCTTACCTTCAAAAACGTCCTTTTAACACTTTAACAGGAAAATATTGTGAAGTTTTATCCTCAGATGGGGGGCACGGAACCTTGCTTGTATTTGGATTATCTTCCGCGAGGGAACCTTAGAATGGAGCATCTGGAGAACCCCTTTTCTTACAACGAAACGTTGATGATCCTGTCCCAATGTCTATCAGCTTTGAAATATCTCCACGAGAAAAACCCTCCAGTCGCACATCGTGATCTAAAGCCAGCAAATATCCTTGTCCGCGAACGCAATCCGCTTCATGTCCAGCTCGCGGACTTTGGTTTAGCAAAAGAAGGGACTTCTCTGAGGAGCCGTGTTGGTACAGAATGCTATGTTCCCCCTGAATACTTCATTGCTAGTAAGCCGGGGGAAAAGTATAGCGTGAAAATTGATATATGGTCCCTTGGTGTTGTTGCTCTTGATCTCACGCATGGCTTGCCCACAAACACGCTCAACGGAATACCTTGGTGTAAAACTATCATTGATAGAGTCAACAAATACCAGAGTGAAGGTCCAATGCAGTTCTTAGCGACCCACATGTTGGTCCTCAAACCAGAAGATCGATCGGCTGCAGACATCTGTTTGAAGGCGGTCGAACAGCTCCGTGTTCCCTCCCGAGATGGGAGTAGAACCCCGACTCAAGCTTCGTTCGCCGAGGAAAATTTCAGCAGAGAACGGCCGTCCTCTCCAGATAACGTGAGTTTTTCTGCAGCTAACTTAGAAGCCAACGAAAACTAAATGGCTTGCTTCCATAGGCGATATCGGGCTTCTCCTCTGACAGGATCAATGCCTATATCAGTACCAACATCCATATTCCAGAATCGCGAAAGAGATCAACCCAGTCACGGTCATCGTCGGGTACGTATCCCACCAAGCCGTCCAAGCGTCTTGCACAGAAGGCGAATCACAACAATCATGCGGAGCAAAATGATTCTGAGTTCATTCTTTTCCATCGCGAATGGTTGCAAGATTCCAAATGCGTTGGATCTGAAGTTGCTGAGATGGGCCGAGAAGACCCACCTGGCTGGAACAGTACCAGCGATGGTAACTCGACGATCAAGAACATTTCCGAGAACCGAAGTACGCGGCCAAATGTGGGTGAACAGTTCAATGATCCCGAACGCCCCTGCTCAGATAGAGAAAAAGAACTCGCGCGTCTACTGCAAAGAGATAAAAATTAATACTCGAAGCTTTGCGTTTCTGGAATTTTGAATTTTGAATTTTGAATTTTGACCCTTGTGCCCACAACATTTTACTTTGGTAGAGAGGACTAATATTTCCACTCCCTCTATTACAACTCCTCTTTGGATTTGTCGAAGGAAGGAGGTATAGGGATATCTTTTTGGATCTCGGGAATGACTAACTGGTTGGCATCAATTCATTTAAAGAATATTGGGGTTCTCCGTACACCTTCCTGCATTCAAGATGTTAGGCAGGCATATGAAGATTCTAGAACGGAGTGCAAACTTGGAATGCTGGCAGTCCTAAATGACTATGGTTTTTTTTTTTTTTTTTTTTTTTTTTTTTCATTTAACGTACTATCTGAAGCACAATATATAGGGAGAGATGTATATCTAACTATGTATACGCATATGTTTATTCTTGAGGAAATGGTTGAGCAACAAAGCCCTTTATTTTCAGTAACAGTTGAGTTTCAAAATTTCAGCACGCCAAAAATAAAAGAAATTTTAATAATTCAATTCGCTATGTCCTCGTTTTGTCCCTTTTGTCCCCTTCGTTTCTTTCTCTTGATGTCTAACTTACTACTACTAGTTCAGGTGGGCAGCTCGCTCGGTCCGAAAGAGGAAATGTCCCCCGCTAAAACCCCCCCGGCTCCATTCAACATCGTTCAACCTTCTTTTAATCGTCAGACAACCCTCCACAGCTCTCAATGATTCCAGTGTGCATTGGACACTCCTGGATGCCTCCTGTTGCATCATCTAATCTTAGACTTGGACAGTCAAAGCTCTTCTTCGGCGGTCTTTCCATCACCTCAAGTTCTAAGATCAACTCTCTTGCTAACGAACGGCATTGCTCGACTTAACCTCCCTATTCGCCACGACATCCGGTCTATCTGTGGCTTTGCTTCCCTCGTGGAAGCCGAGGATCCATCTCCTTCGCTTTCTGCGCAAGGACCCTAGACAGATATCCGCGCTCTGGACAAGATTTCGCCCATTTGCCGTCACTCCACTTCCATTTTGGTTATTCACCATGGCTGCGATAACGCCGTCACCCGCTGCGAATGATATGAAAACCTCCAGCACCCCCGCATCCCCCGTGGAGTCAACTACATCACAACCCATCGGTGCAAAGCGGAAACGAACCGCAGAGCCCAAGTTCTACGCGGTGAAATTCGGATTCCAGCCTGGAGTTTATCATACGTGGAATGACTGTTTAACGCAAGTGACGGGCTTCAAGGGTGCTGTTTGTAGGTTTTTAATCTATTCTTCTATTCCAACTTCCTTCTATTCATATATACAAACATCAAAAAGTTTGTCTATAATACTGCCATCATATTCACACTACAGTGGCGAATGCTAACTCACCATTTGTCTCCTTATAGTCCAGTCGTTTCCTACTCTGGATGAAGCAAATGCCTTCCTCACTGGCACACAAACTGCTACGGGACCTGGGAACTCATCCACGAGCACAAAATTCTACGGTGTACAACGGGGACGAAAACCAGGTGTATATACCGACTGGGCAGTGACGCAGGATCAAGTGCGGGGGTTCCGGGGACCTAAATATCGCAGGTTCGCGACTTGGGCTGAGGCAGATGCCTATGTTCGACAGGGACAACAGATGCCGGAAGAGACAGAAATTGCGCAAGACGTGGAGCATAAGCCGAATCTGTCCGGGAAGACGAATCTACCTGGCGCTCCTGGCCTGACATCGGAACGGCCAACCGATGCCGATGGGAAAGAGTATCCGCCTGGATTGGGGCCCGTGCCACCAGGTGCAGTTGACGGGTTTGACCCGAACATCCTTCTTGATCCTACAACGGGGAAATTGAAATATAGATCGCCACATGAAAAATTACCAACAAAGCAGCAACTGGGACGTCCGGGACCTTTAAAAATATACACCGACGGAAGCTCTTTGAGAAATGGTTCCATGGGAGCCAAGGCTGGTGTTGGAGTATATTTTGGTCCTGGCGATGAGAGGTATTTAGGCCCCATTTTATACTTTAAATATTAATCTGCGATAGGAGCGCGTTGTTTCAAGAGCTCTCGGCCCTTTACTAACATCTCACTCTCTCATTCCCTGTCAGCAGGAACGTATCCGAGCCACTCAAAGGCAGCCGACAAACAAACCAACGAGCAGAACTGACGGCAATCATACGCGCATTGGACATTGCGCCACGGCACCGCGACGTCACTATTTTCACAGACAGCAAGTACGCGATCAACTGCGTGACGGTATGGTTTGTGAATTGGCAACGCAACAAATGGATGACGGCGCAGGATAAGCCGGTCGAGAACAAAGATTTAATCCAATCCATCCTTCTCAAAATTGAAGAGCGGACACTGCTGAATGTCAAGACGTTGTTTGAATGGGTCCGAGGACACAGTCGAGATCCTGGAAATGAGGCAGCCGACCGGCTGGCGGTGAATGGAGCAAAGAATGAGCCGCTGGCTTCGAATGACATTGCGACTCCTGAGCCTGAAGATTACGGCGGTGGGATTAGAGGTAGTGGTGGTGATTATGATGACGACATTGATGAAGTTGGAGAGCGAACTGGGGGAGATGACTGAGGCGAAGATCGGGTTATGATCACTAGAAGAGGGTTGTCGAGGTACTGTTCCGGATGTTAGTGTGGGTTGTATTTTCCTTGTTTTCTCTCTCTCTCCCTTTTTTTTATTCTCATGTTTCGTGATATCTATGTTTCATATTACATTGTCTAGTTTTCGCCGAAGGGATTCATTTCTTCTACCCCTGGCGAGATACGTTTGTGTTTTTTTCACAACGAACTCCGCTTTGCTTTCTCCTTTTGCGATTTCATCGTCTCTATATTCCCCAATCCCTTTCTCAGTTCCACCCCTTTTATTCTGCAACCGATAGCGAATATGTCTCATGTATTTACTTTTCCTTGACATTGCTGCCACGACTATCTACATATTCATCTAACGATCACCAACAATTCGATTGAATTGGAGCGTTCCCTCTTGATGAGGATGATGAGAACTGGATATTTTCCCACACTCACCTTCAAATAGTCGATGTCGGAAAGCAAGAAATCGACTGCCTTAATTTTTTTTTTCTCACGTTTTCTGCCATCTCAGCAAACATTCATGTCTGCAATTTGTTACATTTATCTGATTTTAAGACTCATCAACAATGACTACTCTCAATGCCCCACTCCATAATGGGTGAGGAAGATGCGCGACGTTATCGATGTAGTATCCTGACGGGTCAGGGCATTGTGACGGAGTGGGACAAACCAGAGTATAACCAGAGTATAACCTGGCCTATTCATTTTGATGAATAGCGATCCCCGGCCATCTAATATTTGTTATTGATGAATCTTCAACATCACGTCACTCTTAGGACCGGGAGCCTCATACCGGCTCACAAAACCTCGAAAATACTGCAGATTGCGAAGTTCATACTCTTGTTCCCATAGGTGTGTAGGCGCTCATACGTGGAGTTAAACAAACTCCAAACCGACCATTCCATACGTGTTATAATCCCCAGCGACGATCGCGATTGATGCTCTTTCTATCGAGAATATGGTAAAAGGAGGCGTTTGATGGTCCTTATATTGCTCACGGGCGTTAGTGGCTACACTCTGACCTTGCTGTATCCAATTTTATCACCAGCCCAAGAAACCGAGTTATTGAGAGGGTTGAATGACTTTTGTGAAAAGCCAATGGTGATCTCACAGCAAGAGTCTAACGGGGAGCCGGGACAAAGCGGGAACTGGAAGCTGAGGCCAAAAACCACGCTCGTGGTGGCGGTTACTATTGGCATGATGGATATAAGGTAGATCGTCAGTACGAAGCTGTGGAATCGAGATGGATTTCCTGTTAGCGCAACAGCTTACCCTGAGCTGCTGCGTCTGACGGTATGCCTTATCCTCCCTAGCCAGTCTTCTTGGTGGCGTGGGCAGACATAAGGAAGGGGTCAGTCAATTCCGCTCTGATTCCTTTTCTTTTCTTTTCTTTTGCGCCCCCTTCCACACCCCCCACTGGTGGAGTAAGTTAGGCTTCACTAGTTACAACTGGTGCAGAACCTTATAGGGGATGCTGAACACGACCCCCAAACCGTTGGGCTGGGTTTAGAGCCTTGATGCCTAAAGCTTGGCTGTCAGTTTAGGTACAAAAGCCCCATAGCTCTTATGCTGGGAGGGCTGGATCATTGAGATTCCCATTTAAACTTCTCATGTTCCACACCTCCATATTTAAATATTACCGGAGATCATTGAAGCTCAAACATAGCAAGTGGCAAGAGGACCATCGGATGGCCTTTTTGGTTTATTTCAACAAGCGTTATCCCCCCTCGAAACGTCACACATCATAGCGTTGGACCATTCAACATCTATCTGACCAATGACCCTCTGCAGGAAGCCAATGAATCACATTGCCACACCAGTTATTCCTTGGAAACTCGGTAGGCTTTTCCATTCGGATCTGCCAACTAAGAACCCGTTCAATACTACATTGGCAATGCGGGTTAGGGATGTGTGTGCATGTTGTATGCTACGATCCTATGCGGTGAAGCATATTTAAATATATCGACCTCTATCTTCCCCGCTTTCTTGGAGTCTCAATATTCACTTATCAGAACTCTCTCACCTCCTGCTCTTTCTTTTGGGTCGGCAGACCAGGTGTTTGCATTTTGATCTTATATTGTTGATCGTTAGTTTTTGCTACTAATCTACGATACATAGGTACCTAATCGCAGGCGGAAAATGTGAGCCTGGATGAGGGCCCGACATCAAACACCTAAGATCAACAAGATCCTCAAGACCCTAAGCTATTGAACGTACCCTACACTGTCGGAGTTCCTATTTCGACCACCATTGTTCTGTGTTATTTTTCAATTCTCCTCCTTATTTACCACTTGCGCGGCAGGGATTCTCGCAGTACTCACGTTGAGGCAAATCCCCGAGGTTGCTGCAGCTTCTTTATACAACCTTCAAGGCCTCCAGCGGGCATTTTTGGGGCGTGTGGCCACGATGGAACTAACAATTGAACACGATGTAGGACTGACCATCTTCTTCTCCTCTGTCTTCAAATGACAAGTACTTTGGATCCTCCTGTTGAATTAACAACTACTTGCTGATCTGAAGATTTGGAGTGGCAGGATGAGATTCAGCCAGAGTCGGATCTGCTGCAGCAACATGGGAGCCCGTGAGTGGCCCCTCCAATCTCCAACAGCAAGTCTAGATAGAAACTTAGATGGACAAGAGAGAGTGTGTGTATACGTACACACAGTTGCTAACTTTCCTTTAAGATGTAGCAATACTTCATCACTAGCTTCCACTGTATTTAATTATAGGTGAAGAAAAAGCTCTCCATCCAAAGCCCCGCATCCCCCCGTTTAGTGACTGACCTACGTCTGGCGGAAGCGAGGCTAATATAGACCGGTTATGTTGATTTTAGGTTCGAGGTAAGTTAAGCTGACAGATGGCGTCAAACGTTGAAAGAAGACCCTTAATAGTGTTTGGCATCATGATATTCACAATGCAATTTTCACGGCGGTACTTCAGAATGGCCGGCGATATCACGGATTGAAAGATGGATCATACTTTTTGGTGCGTGAAATTTCCCTTTATCACCTTGCTCCATTCTAGTAGTCGTACAGGTACGCAAGTTAACATGACTGAGATATCAGCCAAATGATAAACGAGAGCAAGATCGAATGGACTTGGTATGCTGCATGTATAATTCACGCTAGAATTCTTCCTTTGAGCTAACAATCAAAATTAATTACTAACTATGCTTATGGCAACTAGCTGCATTTCATATACCGTTGTGTATTGAGTCGTCGTCTGTACTGCGCCCCGATAGATCCGAACCCTAGACGAGTGCTCGATTTAGGAACTGGAACGGGCAATTGGGCGATTGAATTTGCTGAGTGAGTATCTATGCTCCCTGGAAGTGTTGTCGAACGAGGCTTGCATGTTGTGAGGGTGAGGGTGAGGGTGAGGGTGAGGGTAGAGGATGGGTGGGGAAGCTAGAAAATGAGAAAAGGAAGATGGAAGATAGAAAATAGGAATGGCTCTTGAACACGAATCTAAAACTTATTAATTAACATGGCAGCCAGCACCAAAAATCGCAAGTTCTCGGTTCGTGGAAAGAAAAAGTGGTGAAACAAGGCGAAAAAAAGGAGGAAGTGGAAAGGCAGAACGGACCCATCTAACGCTGAGAATAGGGACGGACCTAAGCCCGATCCAACGCATCTCCATACCTCCAAACTGTACCTTTGAAATCGATGATTTCGAAGCCGAGTGGCCGTATATAGTTGCTGCCACGGACGACACATATGCCCCTAAACCCTCCTCTCCCCGGGCTGACAATCGCACCGATGAGCTCCACAATAATGACAACTTGACTACCTCCGTACCCACCCCGGCTACTAGCCCCATCCTGTTTGACTTCATCCATACGCGCGAAATCACTGGCTCGGTCCACGACTACTCCAAACTCTTCGAGCGGGCCTACCGCCACGTAGCCCCCGGCGGCTACCTGGAGATGCAAAGCATGGAAGCGAATTTCTTCTCAGACGACGGGACCCACGAGCGTGCGGTGACGGCAATGCAGTGGCAGCGGCTGCTTGTGGAGGCGAGTCGGCGGTTTGGCAAGGAGTTATGCGTTGAAGGGGGTTGGAAGGAGGGAATGGAGCAGGCGGGGTTTGTTGATGTTGAGGAGGTGGTGTTTAAGGTGCGTTGAAGATTCTCTTGATTACATGTGACGAACGTAACAAAACAGTAATGCATATATGGGGCATAAATGCCCTTGCTGAAGAAATTTCCGGTTTTATGAATCTAGGCTGGAGAATGGGGTGGGGTGGGTTGGAGCGAGAGCGAGAGCGAGAGCGCGAAATCTTGAACTAACCAAACAACAAACAATAATGGAACAGGTTCCCCTGTCCCCCTGGCCTAAGGACGCGCGCATGAAGGACCTAGGCCGCTATCAGGCAACCCATGTGCAGGAGATGCTGCAGTCGTATTCGCTTGCGCTCTTTACACGAGTACTGGAATGGAGTAAAGAGGAGCTCGATGTTCTGCTACGGGCGGTGGGGAACGATTTGAAAGATATGAAGTCCCATCTGTATACGAAGGTGAGGGTCGTGTACGGGCGGAAGCGGGAGTGAGTTTGCTTGTTCGCTGTGGGGTCTGATTTCGTGAATGTGGAATGTAGCTGGATTGTAGCCGCGTATGTTTACTTTTCCCTCTTCGGACGGGATGAAATTCCACCATTTGGGATAGGACGTTTAGTTGAAAGCATGGCGAGAAGACCAGAAAGTTCAAACGGAGTAAATTTATGAAAAACGCGGATACGACTGTCTTTTGTGAATGCCCAATTTCGTTCCAAACAAATGGAGAATATGGGTCGTCAGCCTATCTTCCCGATTGTCCAATAACAAACAAGTGATATTTTAAAAAAAAAGAAAATTATATATAAAAAGTAAAAAGGAAAGGGAAGGAAAAAAAGAAGAAAGAGACGAAAGAATCCCGAAATCCGAAACCCGGCATTAAAAGGCAAAACTCTAAAAATTTGATACATTGAAAGGGAAAAATGAAGAACAGGAATTTCATCAGGAAGAGTTATAATTTCGAATAGCCCTCGCGCGAATTCTTAATGATTCATATATCCATGCCAATTAAATGACGTACTATGGTTGTTTTCGTTAGTATGGTTCGAGGGAAGTAGCCAAAATTAAAAAAGGGTGAAACAACTTACAGGAAAAAAGAGATAAGGCACCTCCTTTTCATACTGGGTCCAGGCCTCTCCGTACTTCTCCCTGCAGCGTTGAATATCTCGAAACGCTCGATGACCGATCATGACGGCGAAAAAGACGGGATAGAACCAAGGGAAGGGGCTTTTAAATCCAGTCACCAAACCCCAGCTCAGAGCGAAAATAAGATCGCAGGTGTAATGGATTTTCCGTGCATATCCATCTAAAAAGCAAAAGAGTAATGTGTTAGCTAGAAGGAACATCCAAACTACGTTAGAGGTACAATAACTGCAGAGCTGGGATTTAACGTACACCACCCATCGGCTAAGATCGTGTGGCCAGCTTTGGACGTGATGGTTCGAGGATTCTTGACAGTTTGCCAAGGTAATTGGGGGAAGGTCTTTCTCAGGATCATACCACCCTCACGTTGTTGACGGAAGCGGTTCTTCTGGCTGTTGGTGGTGTCCCACACCCAGTAAACAAACAGATAGACGATGTACAAAGCGGCAAGCGCATATCTGTTCATGCGGTAGGTATCCGGATGATGGTTGGCAAGATAGATGGTGCAATGGCAGTAACTTAATGGGACACCAGCAAGATTCCAGAAGATAAGCATAAATCCCCACTTTTCGTAATATATATCCCTATTTGCGATATGTTAGCGACTCTCCTCACTACCCATTCTACCCCTGGCATAATCTGTAGTATGAGAGGACTGGAAAGCGGTTACAAACCAGGTAGATATGATGCATTCTTCCCCTTTCGAGCATGCATTGGCGTATAAATAATGGGCCATCACCAAGAACACAACCTCGCCAGAAACATAACCATAAGTCTCCCACTGTCGAGCCGCTGCTCCCAAACTTATCAGAAATAGGATATACCAAGGAAGCCGGACCTCAAAAAACATCTTGAAATCCAAGATTCCCAATAATCTCGGATTGAGCTCGGCACCCATAAAGAAGTCGTAGATGGGGTAGCCACTCATGCGATGCTCTGCACCACGAACTCGAGCAGAGATATACGCAATGATGGAGACGATGAAACCAGTCAAGATGGCAACACTCATCAAGGGACCAAATTCATCAATAACTGTATCTAGCTTATACAATCCGCTCACATGGAGACCAATGGCGACTACAATCGTTGTGTAGAAAGACGCATATGCGGAGCAATAATACGGCAATTGTTTTCCACCCAAATGTTCTAGTTTCCGACCATCGACATAGATGCCAGGAAGGTATAAATAGAACAGTCCCTCAAAGACGAAAAAAGTCCAGTATGTGATCCACGCTTTAGCGCTGGGGAATGCGCCGTCATACGCCAGATTAAGCAGATGGAGTCCAAACTCCTTCGCTGTCTGTCCTTCTTCGGGCAATGGAAGGCCTCCTTCATAATATGTTGCCCCGATCCACATATAATACATCAGCAACGGGAATCCGATCATCATGGATAAACAGCCAAGAGACCCGCCAAATTCGAAGTGGCCTGAATCATCGATTTTGTAATTCTTCGACGCGGTCCCGTTGGCGGCCTTTTTCTGACCGGCGAGGTTATCCACGGCATAGCCATCCTGTTTCTTCTCAGCAACACGTCTTCCCGTAGTCACTGAGTTCTCGAGGATTAGGCTTGACGATGTAGAGGTGGACATGTCTGAGATCTCAGCGTCCGCGCTTAAGTCGGGAGTAATGGACGAACGACTTCTGGTGACACGACGCCCTGGGGTGTCTACGTAGCCATCACGCTGGGTTTTTCTAGGTGCAATCAAATGTTAGTGGGAGCAATAGATAGGGATCATGTTCGGAGACCCTGAATTTAGCAGCAAGGGCCTGTGCCGTAACACGCGTATTGCACCAGCGTACTTACTTGGGGGTTTTCCCCGTCTGTGAGCGAGTGATGGTCATATTGGCGCTGGTGGGAGACGGGCGTCCAGCGTCAGGAAGAGGAGAAGGCGGAGAAGATGAAAATAAGGACGGCAAACTGCAACAGCGAAATTCAGCGTTGAAAAGGTTGACAATTCGGCAACGGGAAAGGGAAAAGGGGCTCAAATTTCCGACGAATCACATTGCGGTACGATGATACGAGGTTTACGCTCAATTGACCAATTAGAATGGTGGTTGGGCAACTATGTATGTTGATTTGGGAAAAATACGGAATAAACATAGATCTGTGAAATTCAATACCATCGCCGTACAACAGGAAGTCCCGTGATGCCCGCTTCGCGTTATCCCAATACTGGTTATCATCCGAAGGGAGCTTTGAATCACTTTTATATACTCCGTATAATAACCGAAATCGGAGGATGCCATGGCTGATGATAAAGCAGCATTGGTCCCAAATCAGAATTTACACGTCAGAGAGATGATACCCCAATATCCCCCAGAAAATACTCTAAGTGAGGACTAAAAAAAGGGAGTATAGCGTGATTCGCAAAGAGTTGGACAAAAATTCTTGGACGATTGACTGAGCGCCCAGTGGGAGCTTCATTTCATTTGGTACAGTATATAACACTAATATCAATGAGAGAACTAAGGCACTGGATCAAGTTATATCCATATATATACACACTCAACGCCAGGGCGGCGGATATAAATCAATCCCCGTATATAGGCCAATCCGTCCATTCAATCCAGTCAGGAGCTTCAATAAGTCAAGCAAGTGGTATCATAGCGGTAAACTTACATGAGCGTTAGCTGTACATGGTCGTAAAACTTACATCATTCGCCTTGTCAGAATCGCATAAATACACAGCCGACAACCTGGTTCTCCGCTTATGGGAAGAAATCACGGAAGCTCCACCCCGTCCGACATATGTATGTGCATGTGCATGTGAATGTGCTTTTGGCGGGGGGTCAGTGGCATTTCATTAAATACGTCAGTAAATGGAGGGCCACATACTAGATAAAAATGCGGAGAAAGAAGCGAAAAGAAGAAACAGAACAGTTATGTGCTTGCGAGCTCAGAACATGTAAATTATCTCACATCATCATTTGATAACGTTACGGGAGCTTTCCCGAGAAAAAAGGAGACATGAGAAAATCGATGTGCCCTTTCTTCTTTCTCCTCTGTCCGATCTTCTTGCCACGCGTTTCATGGGCGAGGCTCATACATAACCAATCCAGCTAGCTATCTTGATTCGCTCCGTCATCAGGATCGGGTAAACTGCGGGAAAGACGGGGCGGGACGGGGATGGTAGTCCAATAAAAAATAGAGGAATGTGGGGGTTGTATTCAAGCTCAAATAACGGAGGTCTCCATCACAACGTACTCCTAGGATATGTTGAGAAATAAATTATATATGTATATAGAATTCTATAAAAAAGACGACATGGGCATTCGTGGGGAGCGAATCTACCAATAGACGCAAGCATATTATGCAAAATATAGAAAAAGCTTGCAGGAAGGAAAAAAAGAAAGAACAACCCAAGTGGAGTAGGAAGCAGAGAGGACACTGCAGAGTGGCTGAAAAGGCAAGGTAAAATAAAATTACACCTTCCGTTTTGATTTCCATGTTGTCAAGCCGCCCGCCGTGCCGTCGTCGACATCAGTGTAATTTTCTTGTTTTTCTTCTTCTTCCCGCCTGTTGTCCCTGTACCGGTGGCATTAGTACTATTCCTGGGACCATCACTGTCGATATTAGTCGTCGCAGCAAGGATTTTGTGCTCTTGCTCGACCATCAACTCCCGTTCCCAGTCCTGTAGCCACCCATCATTCGGCTCACGGTCGGGGTTCCTATACGTAGCCTGCGGTGACGTTGGAGCAATAGCTGCCGTGCCCCAAACTGTCCGATGCAACGTAGGCCCAGCAGTGGTAGCGGCAGATGAGTCAGGCGGACTTCCGGATGGCGATGCCAACGCGGTAAATGATGGTCGATTCCTGCCCCTCGACGAGGACCAGGGTGGTGAGGCGGATGACATAGTCGGATCGAAGCCGGGCGCTGATGACGAAGCTTCGAAACCAAGAGGTTGAAAGTCATTCTCAGAAAACGGCCTGTCGGCAGCGGATACACTCGGCCGCTTCCGTCGAGCGGAAGCCCAGCGTTGTTCTTCTTCATTCTTCTCGGCACGAATGCGTTCCTTTTCCTCCTGTGCCGCTTTTTCTCGGTTTCGTTTTCGTCGTCGCTCGATATCGCCACTAAATTGCTGGAGGACGTCTGAACCAACCAAGTCTCTCCAGTCGCACTCGAGAAAGCTGACTTCGCAGCCGTAAGGGAGGTGGCCGAGATATTTCGTGCGTTTCCGTAGATCCTCGTCCACAATGTGTCCTGTTGATATACGTTCAATACGCGGAAGGATGGTTGAAGGGAATTGGGAGTAGTCCCCAAATGCAGCCTTGAGGATGCGGATATCTAATGAGGAAAGATAAAAGTGGGGAAGTGCTTGATAAAAGTAGAAAGGATGATCAGGAGGATGTGGACCGCCACTGGCATCTCTAGCTTTTCCTGCAGTTTTAGACTGTGCACCAAGATTGCTATGCGTCCTCTGGTTTTGCATTTCTAGGATTTGATTAACCTCTAGTTTCGATATAGCTACCGAAACATCGTCCAATTGGTCATGATTGGGGAAAGTATTTTGCGCGGTAGGCGTCGGATTCGACGGAGTATGTGCATTGTTGGGTAAGGTCTGTCCGGGTTTTGTAGCATGGCGGATTTTATACATCTCTGGGACACCATCCGGCGGTTGCTCAAACTTGATAGGGATTCTAGTGGGACGACGCTCAGGAGGTTGACGGGGTGGGATTGGCGGATTCCCAATATCCTTCACTTTTTCCTTCGCCTCTCTTATTGCCGCGACAGCTTTCCGGGTCCAAGTGCTATCATCGCCGAAAAGCAATTCATCTTCCTGCGCCTGCCGTAACAGGTCTTGGATTTCATTGTCGTATTGGGAAATCATGTAATCCTCGCCTCCTTTCATTATCCGCGCATAGTCAGGTACCTCTGCCACATGATACCAAGGAATATCGTCGTCCAGACCAAGCGATTTTTCCACACCATCCCGTGGAAGGGCAAGGGTGCTTCCGGGGTGTCGCATAACCAATCTAAGCACAACGTCCCCACCCTCAGTAGGGGTATCTGTTTGACCCCTATACCACCCAACAGGCCGTATATCCGATATATAGACGGTATCCCAACAAATTGGGCATTTCTTCCAACGAGCCTTTTTTTCCGGAAGAGGGTTCGACTCATCCGTCGAGTGCATGTACCGGATAACGCATGGAAGGCAAAAGACGTGTCCACATTTAGCCATACGGGGAGCGATTGGGGTGGAGAGGCAGATCGGGCAGCTAGTCGCTTGAGTGTCAGTCGAGACTAAAACTTGTAGGACCGAATTCCAATCAAGGTGGACGTCAGCGTTCGTGGCTTGGGCATGGTAGCTGTTCTTTGGATTGACGATGAATCGATAATTCGCATGAACATATCTACTTGCTGTCAGAAAAGTCCACTTGTTATCTAGCAGAGAAATAGATAGATATGGTAATTACCTGGCTTTGTCAACGGCGTGATAACCAGAACGCGGACCCCATGCGTTGTTGCGCCTTGGACCACGAGAATATCCATTGAGATTTTGTTGGGGCCGAGGGGGGAGAGAAAAGTTCATCAAATGTGTGATGGAGGTCTGCCCCTTCCGGCTCATTGTGGACTTCATCGCAGCCTGTTATCACTCAATATATGAGACTAGGGAACCAGAGAGAGTAATATACTAGAGGTGACATTAATACAACGGGACAAAAACATACGGATTCTGCAAAGACATCCTCGTCATCCAAGCGAGGACGACGATGCCGTTTATGCTGGTTCTTCCTTGTCTGATGGTTCCTTGGAGACGATAAGTTCTTGGATGACGACCCAGCACCCAAGAACGCCGAGGTTCTCCGTTGAGAAGCGGTTTCAATGCCCGGATTTGAGGCAACCTGGAACGACTGGGAAGGCTGACTGGGGATGTTGATTGCTTTTGAGGGGACAGAAGACTGGCCAGGACCGGACGACATTATATCCCCTTGGACACAGCAGCCAGGAGGGACACAAGATAGGCCAGTCGCCAACGAAGAAAGGAATGTCGACGAAGACGGAGATGGATATATCCAGTCGAGGGGGAATAAGCTGATTGGCAGGGAGGTAAGATGTAGCTCGAATGTCCCTCCAACTAGTAACTTATGAGATATGACGAAAGGTGTGAACGGGAAAGCAAATACAGAAACCAGAAGGAAACAAGCCCAACAAGAGCCTGTGAGAGTAATAGCAGATGCCCCAAGGACCGAGGACCCATTGGAACACCAAGCGTTCCGGGGCGCGATGCAGAGGCGAAGAAGAAGCAGACGAAGGTGACGCAGAGACAGAGATGGGAGATCGAGATGTATCAGGAGGGGCGAGGCGGCAGGTTTGGAACGGTATCGTCACGCATGAAACAAGTGCCATGACACAATCGATGGGCGCTCGCGTATTATAATACCGTTTTTTACCGTACCGTACGATACCTGGAGCTCGCGCTGACTCATCAAGCCTCGCTCGCCGCCAAATCCCCGTAACAAGAAAAAAAAAAAACACCGACAACAACAGCGAGGATAGCGACATCTCTGCAGCATCTTCGCCCTATTCCACCTCTCCGCTCCTCTGCGTCTCGTTGCTTTATCTGTTACCTATTACTTGTTAGTCCCCAATCCCCCCGTGTTTTCCTCTGTTTCTGGGCCACGCGAATACTGTTGGGGTCGGGTATGTCTTGAAAATCCCCCCTGTGGAGAAACAAAACCATTCTCGACTAACCACAGCTTTTCTTCACAGCCTACTCCGCCATCCACCTCCATCACCATCACCACAACCACCACAACCACAACCTCTATTACGACCTGCAGGATCCTATCCTGTTCTATACCTCAAAAGCCCGCGTCTTGATATTTATAAACTCTCCTTGCGTCTGCTGTTTTAAATGCTGTGACTGTGTGATCGAGTGCTGCGTCGTCGTCGCTGTCTTCTCACCTCCCCACTGCCCCTTGTCTGCTGTGCTGTGTCTTTCGTATGGCTCCCAGATAGATCAGGTTTGACTGCAGGGTCAGCGCAGTATCAGCGCCGCAATCAGGAGTTTTCCGTATAAAATCTGGGGGGCATGATGAACCATCATCTCCCCCCGATGCCCCATGGCCAGCCGCCTATCCCGGCCCCGAGAAGGCAGCATGATATCCCCTACGTGTCAGGCCCTCCCAACATTCGGCCCACCCCCGGCTATATGGGCTATCACCAACCCCATGCCCACACGAATGGCCCACCAGCTGCTCTTTATCCAGCACATACACAACAGTATCAGCATTGGTACCCCTACCAACAAGTCCCCCCGCTAGCTCCTCCACCGCAACAGTTTCAGCCAAATGCACCTCTAATTGTTTCGTCGTATCCCCGTTCGCAGCCCGTTCTACCGGCTCTTTCGGGGTCGCTTTCGGGACCAACGCCACCTTCACATTTACCCACACAATCCAGCACCACATCCTCAACTCCCTTACAGTCTTCATTCTCTTCCACACCAACACCACCTTCAGCTTCAAGTTCAGCCGTGCCGAATAGTCAAAGGAACTTATCCGTCAGCCCTGTTGCGAAATCTCAACCCACTCAACCCGCAGACTCCAATTACACCAAGCGCAACAGCAATACCCCTGCGCCTCAGACGCCTCCTTCTCAGCCAGTAAATGCTCCTGAGAGAACGAAAACTGCAACTCCACTGTCAAGACAACTATTCCAACCACCAGTATGTACCATTCCCATGACTGAATTTAAAATGTCTAGGTGTCGAAAGCTTACAACGATTTCTCTTAAGCTCCCTTGGCTGTCGGTTCCCGAAGCGCCCTTCCCTGCGAGGGCTCCCCGTCGTCGGCGGAAAGCTCGAACTCTGCAAGCTTCCACAGTACGAGTAGAGTTTTCTACAAAAGCCGATCCATCTGATGTCAAAGTCCAAGAATCCACATCCGTTGAAGGTCCGTCGAAGACCGCACCAGAGTCAGAAAAGGACGGCCCTGCAACCCCCCAGCCTTCCTCAGAATCTAATCTCATCCAACCCACAACTCCTTCATCTACCACTGCCTCTCAAACCGGAACCAAACCGCAACATACTCCAGCGCAAGCTGCCGGTGCGCGGCAGGCTATTCCAATTGTTCCTATCGTGCCAATAATTCCTTCCAGCCCCAGCACAACAAAACAACCACCCACCAGCCCTGCGAAGACCACCCCAACGACCCCGAAACGCGATGGGCAAGTTCCGCTTAGACCCACCCCAGATGGGACGCAGACAACGGATACTGCACCTTCGTCAACGGAGTCCGCTATCCCAACGCAGGACGCGCCTAAACCCACACCTCCAATTCGAGCTCCCCCAAAATCGTGGGCTGATTTAGTACGAACCAAGGCGCCTCCATCTGCTGGTGGCGCTTCACCCACGTCGACTGGGATCGGTGAACTAGGGGTATCTAAGGGCGAATCTCTTCTTGATGTTATTAACCATTTAAGCTCCAATGCTGAACAATACGGTGACAAAATCGCATTTATTGAGCCGCGCGGGCTTGTAAATACTGGCAATATGTGTTATATGAATTCCGTAAGTATTCCATTTTAGTTCTTGCGAGTGTTCATTTTCTGCCGGTGTGCTAATGGTATATTTATAAAGGTGCTTCAAATTCTGGTATTTTGTGTTCCTTTCTATGAGTTTCTTGACAAAATCGGTCGGCGTGCGGTTCATACGTTTAAGAGCGATCTTCCACTAATTGATGCTATGTAAGCTGTTCTATCCCCGACTCCACCCATGATCCCAGTTATTATTCCTGGTGCTAACAGTCCCTTCCCCTTCCAGGATCATGTTTATGCGAGAATTTCGGGTAATTGATGCTGCGACCTCAGTTGAGCAACTGAGGCTCCGATTGAAGCAAAACGAATTAGAGCAATATGGCGAGTCATTCATTCCAGAATATGTTTATCAAGTCATTAGACATCTTCCGCGATTTCGAGACATGAGGGTAAGTCTCCCAGTTCCTTCACCTCAACGGCCTGGTTTCATTCAAGCTAATACCTAGAAGCGTGGTCACCAACAAGATGCACAAGAGTTTCTTGGCTTCCTTCTTGAAGAGCTCCATGACGAGTGTACGCAGGCAGCTAAACAAGTTTCATCTACTGGATCCGACATTTCTACTCCTGTTGAAACCGATTCCGCATCCGCAGCATCCGAACTCTCTGTGGAAGGATGGTTGGAAGTCGGCCACAAACAGAGACCCGCAATCACTCGATCCTCAGGACACATCTCTGTAGAATCGCCAATCACCAAAATATTCGGCGGCAAACTTAGATCAGAGTTTAGAGTGCCAGGAAACAAAAACTCCGTTACCCTTGAACCTTACCAGTCCCTTCAACTTGACATTGGCTCTCCCCAGGTTATTAATATCATTGATGCGCTTAAAGGTCTCACTAAGCCAGAGACCATCCAAGGCGACTTCAACTCATCTCGTGGCCCTAAAGTTACGGCTACCAAGCAAGTTTTCATCGAAAACTTGCCCCCCGTCCTCATTCTCCATCTGAAACGTTTCCAATATGATAACGTTACCAAGGGTACCCAAAAGATCTGGAAGAAGGTTGGGTATCCCCTGGAACTGGAGCTTCCCAAAGAAGTTTTCCCACCCCATCGACGCAACATCATTTCTGCTCAGGGTAGCGGTCTTCCCAAATACCGTCTTACGGGAGTGATTTACCACCACGGCAAAAATGCGAGCGGCGGCCACTACACAGTTGATGTTCGCAGGCAAGATGGTCGCGAATGGATCCGCCTCGATGACACCTCTATCCACCGTGTCAGGAGTGAAGAAGTCGCGAATGCTGGAAGCGAGGAGGACCCCAAGGTTCTTGCTGCTGCCCTTGAGCAGCATAGGCTGGCAGATAAACCAGCGCAAGGCAATATCTTCGAACAATTCGATATGGAGCACCTGGCGCAGCAGGAAAACGAACAGGGATGGAGCCATGTCAACGGGCAAACAAGCGGCAGTGGTAGTGGCCATGCAAGCAAGAAGTCCATGGCTGCTGTTGTCAATGGAACCACGTCGCCGTCGGCAGAGTCTTCGTCTGGCAAGCGGACGCCAAGTAGTAGTCGATTTGGGGCTGGAGTTCGTGAGAACAAGGTTGCCTATCTTCTCTTCTACCAGAAGATCTAGAGATCGACAACATAACACCTCAATCGTGCCTTCCCGGCCCTTTAAAGCCCAATCCTCAAACTGCTCGACCCCACATCCTCCACACCAACCATATATCTCACTCATCCCTCCACCCCAACTAGCTAATCCCTTCCCCCCGCCCTCCCCCCTTCTCCTTAAGCTCTTCTTTCTCATCAATTATTTGCATCCATCCATCCCGATACTTATTTATATGAGCCAATTCCCAAGCAGCGCACACATCCTACATAGGCAATGAATATGATTTCGTATTACATCCTAAATATTGATGCCGATGACGGTGATGACAATGTTGATTGGGGGAACTTCGTCGTATATTGATTGGGTGTTGTTTGATGAAAGCAAGAGACAAGGGAAAAGAAGAGAAGCAAATGGAACGCATAATATGATATATACTTTTATTTTTGCTCCCTAAAATTTATACATATAATTTTCCCGTTTCTTTATATTAATTAGTATTTTCCTGCTCTAACTTAATGCTTTTGTGTATTGCTTTCCTAATGAACTAACATGTATATGTTGTTGATTGGCAACAGATATGGAGGCAGATACATGTTGCAATGCTTTTTGTATTGGTGGACACATCCTCCTTGCATCTCTCAGCCTTTGCCGACCCCCTCTGAATTGTCTCTGAGTTTTCATACTAGCAGTACCTCTCGATTTTTTTTCTAGTAAAAATTGGACAGACATTCATTAAATTACGAAAAAGTTACATATATACGTACATACACCATGCGAATGAAATTCTTGTACTTTTCATAAAAGAAAAGGGGAAAAAAGAAGGATTTTTAAAAAAAAGATAAATATTGACAAGAGCGAGACTCGAACTCACGCGGGTTTCCCCATACCGGATCAGGAAGTTCTCCCAAAGAGGGAACTTTCCAAGTGTTCACGTGACAGCTTGAACGGTACGCCTTAACCACTCGGCCATCTTGTCATAGATTTTATTGGGCAGGGGCGTAAACGATACGTTATTTCTTTGCGATCAGCAGCGGCCGACGAAAAACTTCTGGATTTACTGTGGTAACTTTTTCGTCAAGCTTGATGATAAAGGGGAAAGACGGCAGAGGCCCCGTATAAAGTATATGCTTTTGAAGGGATCGTGGTGACGTCGATCACTCGACAGACGGTATGGGAAGCAAAAATTGCTACAACCACACAAGCACACACACACACACACCCCCCATTCGAAACATGCTTGCTCAATCATAAAAACCACAGGAGGGAAGGGAGGGAAACCGGCGCCGCAAGCTGATTCAAGATGTAAAACGGTTAGCTATACAGCAAACCTCTCCGGTAAGAGAGAGAGGGGAGATGAGCTTGATCCCATGACGCTTCACCCAAACTTCTCGCAATCACTTCCAGCCAACATAGTCAGCGGCTTTCTCACGAGGAATGGTAGCTTCCCAGGCACTTGAAAAGTCCCATATTCTCTAACTTAGAAATTTAGAAAATAGATTATGCGCCAATTTCTTAGAGGAATGATAAATAGTATCCGCGAAGTGTCTCTGGATGCGGGCCTCATATTCTGATCACGGGTAGCTTGTAGCAAGAGAAATAGTAAAGTCGGCGGTGGGAGGAGATTGGCGATTAGTTTCCGGAAAGGGTGTCAATGATGCTGCCTAGGATCTTGCCATTGATTCCGCAGAGTCCAAGTATCGAGACATCGGGATGATGCCACCCTGGGAAACTAATTGTGGGTTCGATAGTTGGATAGAGGAGGCTCTACCAGCAGGGTACATCAATGAGCCATCTGTTGCTGTGCCAATGGAGATCAGCGCGTAGCTAACGGGGACAGCGGCCACCAGTACAGATAAAAACCCTGAGGGCGTTTGTTTATATAAAAAGTGATATGGGAAGTTCGTTTAGAACCTTCCAACGTAGCAACAATGACTAAATAGGAAGTATCATCCACAGGTATTATGGCCGCCATTGGGATGACATAGATGGACGCTTCTTTGGGCATAGATAAGCTGGTGCTAAATATAGACCATTCTGGTGACATGCCTGATTGTAAGTGGAATCTCAATTTCCCCGAGGCTCTGCCCCGATCAAACCAATATAACTTGGGCGAGATATGTCTATTATTGTGAATACCAAACTATTAGCGAATGGTATCCCTGAGCTCTGATTTTTATTTTCGAGGGGACGATGTAATATATATATATATATATATTTATAGTTCTGTCATGGGGGACTCAAGCCATTTTGGATATTTTATCATTTTGACAATTTTACCCCCCTTGAGAGGCACTGGCCGTGAAGAACCATAACCCCCAAAGCGGCGTCTAGACCAATGCATGGATGTGCAGAGCCTCTAAATTGAGCATATCCGCCGGCCAGAATATTCACACGCCTTAGCAGTAACGGGCATCAGCGTTGACAGCCAGTGGCCGGTCCCCAAGTCCATCCGCCCGCTGCAAAATGTCGCTCGTGGTGGTTTGGAACACGGCATGCAGGTAAGCACCATTTTTTTCTCAATCTGTTCGAGGAATGCACCCTCTAGATGTCTGCCAGCAGTCGTACATCAGCATGCGAGTTGAACTTGAAGAGCCTTGTCGGAGATTGAGGGACAATGAGCAGACTATGATCCATTCCACGCTCGAAGGAGCAAGATCGCGACGCAGAAGTTCAGCGAAGCCAAAATAACGGCTGTCGAGAAGCGGGTGCAGATTCAAACACCCCAGGGGATCTCTTCCAACAGCTTCGTATCAATCTGATGGATATTTGAATGTTTCTGTATTATTTTCTGCAAGCGATGGACGCCTTGGGGATCCTTTTACGCCTCTGTACTGTATGTGCTCATTGGCTGTTAGTCCTGTTGATTGCCCAAACTCTGGTCTGCATTATTTCCGACGGATCGGCAACTCAAGCATCCTTTCGTTGTTTCAGCGAAGCGACGGAGCCGCCTACCTCAGGTTCAATACATACTGTGCTGCAATGCGTAGTATGTAACCCCATCTAGAGAGAACTTTGCAGAGCATGGGCGAGGCTGGAAAAACAGAAGCCTATCTACGGAGTAGGAACTCTCGAATTCAAATGTTGCTACAGACAAATGACGATTTCTCACCCAGATCAGTCCGTTCATGTCGCGTGAGGAATTGGTGCGATGGACTTACTAGTGGTGAACCAATCCCCCCCTGACACTAGACATCTAAATCACAGAACGCCCAGGCACTAAAGAGGCCGGTAAAATTGCGATTTCAAGGCTATCTTTGGGAAAGGAGGGAGCGCTGCAAGGGGGCTTGTTGTTGGTGAGGAGCAGCACACCCAGTTCAGCATCCTGATGGCCTAATTCTGTGAAGAGTGTGCTCTGAACACCACGCTTCGACAAGCACCTTCTGTTCATCTCCTTGGGACCTCTTTGCGTCGTCAGTAAGGCAAATAATAAAATAATATGAGGAATGGCTATCTGCAAATGAAAGATGTTGCATTCATTTTGGCTGGAGAGCTCCTACTTGTCGTTCAACCGACATTCTGCTATATAAATGCTGGAACAGAATTGGAAAGGGTTCAAATGATTTCTCCTAACTAGTGGTCAAAAGCACAAACAGAATACATCGTTTGAAACCGCACCAGCATGTCCCATCTATGTGGTTGTTGTACTGTGCAACCATCGAGAGATGTGACGAAAAAGGCCCGAGAATTGGGTTCCACTGTGATGCGCGAGCGCCTCTCAGGCAGTTGTACGCACAGGAACAAGGAACGAAAACGAAAACTCAACTAGTTGAATGATTCGTCCCAAGGAACACTTTTGAAGCCTAATTGTATGTTTGCAGCCCTAACTGGTTCGGCATTTCAGGGACGTGAACTTTTTTGCTCAAAGTCAATCCGCCAACCAGAAAATATCTATGGATCCAAACTTGGTTCGTTGGGAGGATGCATTCGCAGTCTGGCCAGTTGGCCAAGTATGAAACCCAACACACGCTTCAAACTCGCAGCGCGTCAAGCAGGTAAGAGGCGGGATAGATTTTCAAGACCCGTATTCCGTATATTAGCGGCCGGTTGCTCTGCTCTCATTTGCAGGTCGAAAACATGAGCCAGTGCTTGACCAACAAGATCAGATCACCAGTAGCGTGCAATCGCCGGGCACCTCCAGGGCAAGTCGCTGACCATGTATTCTTGCAGCTACTGAACTGCTTCTCGAACGTACTTTCTGTTGAGGTTGAAACCTCCTCTCCTCACTTGGTTGATGAAGATTGACAGCGTAGAATCACGTAGTATGCAGAACTTCCTGGGGAAGCCGAAGAAAAGCATCGGCATTTTGACTGGCTGGCGCTCCGTAGAGGATATGATGATTCTTAAATTATTTTTGGACGGATCGCGCGCTGCTTGCTCAGGGATCCGCTCCACTTGGTCCCGCTGGACCGGGCATTTTCGCCCTCTTTTTTAATTTTTTTTTTTTTTTTTTTTCATGAGGACGATTTGAAAGGGGTATTCTTCTTCAAGTCCAGGAACAACAATTGGAAAAGCTTCGAATAAATTCTGATCAAACTACTCCGTATCGCTGGGGAGGAGAAACGCCAGGCACTGTCAGCGCAGCCAGTCAGAAACAGGCAAAATAGCACAAAAATCTCACCCACCAGAATCCTTTTAGCCACATTTTTTGCTTTGTTTTTTTTTCGCTGCCGCCGCCTTGCTCGATCCCGCCTAGTCACGATTATCCCCCTTCCTCGCTGCCCGCCCCCGTGAATGGCTGCTTGTCTCGTTGCAACTTGCCTTCGTCGTTGTCGCTGTCTCTGTCGCTCGCTGCCCAAGTGCTATTCCCATCGAAACCGCATCCACCTCACCCACTGAGAACCAGACGACAATCGCATTCAACCTGCATTCTGTTCTTTTTGCTCCTTTGCTGTGGGCCGAATTAATTCGCCTCGCCTCTTCCTTCATCTCTTCATCGCCGCGTTTTCATTCGGGGGCGGTTGAGTGTGTGGGTGAGTTCTCCCGCCCAACCTCCAGCATTTGTTGTTGGTGGCTGCATTTTTCTCGTTCCTGTTCCTGTGCCTGACGACTTGGAAGGCTCACACCAGGCCCATGCCATCCACGCTCCGCGATACAAGTTTCAGAAACCTGACTTCAAGTTTGTGGGATCTTTGACAGGTCTGACACCGAAACGGCGACTTCCTCCCACCCCCTTCTGGTGACAACAGGGGGAAACCCTCCATCGATCCACGATGGGATCGACTCAATTTGGCAATTTTCATGTACGGAATCACACCTTTTCCTTCTTCTTTTTTTCTTTTCTTTTTTTCTTATTATTTGTTTCATGCGGTCTCTACCAATTTGTTGCTGGTATGCTAACGATAGCTATTTGGATGTTATCAGAATTTTTGTCGAGACTCGACTCTCCCAGTTTGCAATGTATGTATTATTGCTTATTGCGCCAGACCGTCCTGCGTCCAATGACCCCGCCATTGTCAAGATAACGCAGCCCTAAGTTAGCAAACGATGTTACTAACTTAATTATCGATGCGCTCAGCTTTTCGTTGCTGATAACCAACCGCCAAATGGGAAATTTGGCGGATGTGCCCTTAGGGGAATTAATCTGAGTGGTGATAGGAACCTGGCGAACCTAGGTACGACATGGGCAAAAGCCTCAGCGACAAACCTTCCTCCTCCTGAAATACCTCTAGATAGCTAGCTAGCTAGACACAGAATCTAACGATAAACCTGCACAGGAGCCATCCTCTTTGCCGTGACAGCCCTATTGCTCAGTGCGTTCTTATTATGGAAATCGGAGCGGAAGAAGGCCGCGGTGGGAAGAAGGTGCGTTATAACAACGCTCCTCACCGATGCGATGCTAAATGCAGTCCAAATTGGAAATACACATAGGATAAGTTCAGGAGAAACTAATCAAGACTCTCCACAATCTTTAGGGAAATTCAATTGTTTTTACTGGGATATATGATAATTCAGCTCTGTGAGATTTTCACCATTGGAGGAATTCCCATCTCTGATAATGTCAGAAAAGTATGCCTGAACGCCCATGCCCTTCAACGTTTGAGCCATGCACAGATGATAAAACTAACAGCTTCTGATGCGCTTCAGGGATTTACTGCCATTCACCTAGCTGCCATTGCCGCAACAGCCTGGATATTACTTCTCAATGCGATCGTTGGGTTTCAGCTACTCGATGACGGCACTCCAGTCTCAGTCGGGCTTCTCCTTGCTTCCGGAGCCATCCTGTTCATTGGCACCGGCTATATCGCTTTAGACACTGGCTTTCGATGGACCGGCCATTTCGACCCGAGTTTGAACGGTGAAAATCGAAATATAGGTCTCTATGTCCTATATCTGCTATTTCCACTGATTTGCTTGGTTACCTTCTTTGCGCTGGAAGCGGTATTAGTCTTGCGTATCCTTGGTGAATTAAGGCCTTTGTGTATGTTAACCCCTTTTCCTACGCAATTGTCTTCGTGCGGCTTGAGACGATTCCTCCCCAATTGCTGACCGCGTCTTCTTTGCTATCTCAGTATACCTCAGCGCAGCCGGCCTGCTTTTTGCCATTGGTCAAATTTTCCAATTCGTCATCAGTACCCACCTTTGTCAAGCATCCAGTGGGAAGATAAACGGATCCCTCTTTGCGACTCTCTTCACAGAACTTTCTGTGGGAGCAATATGGATATTCTGGAGTAGCATTACGGAAGACGACTGGCCCATGACCGTTGGAAGTGGTGGTTATAACTGAGAAGGAGAACAAAAGAGAAACACTCAAAAAATTTAATGGTAATTGTAAAAGAGGGGGAGAGAGAAGTGGGGAGAAAACAGGATCGGAAACACGAACAAGATTTCAAGCGTGTGATATGATGGGATGTACAGTTAGGAACGGAACGCAAGAACGAAATGACGAGACCTATTGAAAATTCAGCACAGGAAAACGAAAGGACGACACGAAGGTTCAGATGAGGAACCAATCCGTAACAATGGACCACACACCATCCCAAGATGCCCGGCAGCACAGACCTTCCGATTGATGCGGGTGGAATGAATGAAAAGCACAATATTATATTCATTCTCTCGAAAGCTATTTTGCCTTTCCATTTCTCTTGTCCCACTCGATAATCAGTGGTTGGTCGTGCCTCGCATCCTTCTTTCTCTTCCGCTTATTCCGCCGGGCGCCCCGTTCTTCGTCTCTTGTCGTTACTTACATATCTCGCTTATCTTACTCGGTCCCCATTTATTTCTCTTGTGCATTCTGTCGCTATATTTTTGCCCCTTATTATAAAAATTTCTTGCAATTTTCCTGTGTAGCCCACCCTGGATACTAACTCTGCTCTAGCAGGTTTCCGCCTCTGGAACTTCTTACTTATTTCCATTATTCTTCTGCTTTTTGTTATAACATTTTCTTTTCTTCCTCTCATTATGTCTTGAACACTGGTTGTTATAACCATTCTTCTATCTTGTCTCGTTTGTCCAATGTTTATTCTATTTTTTCCTTTTTGTTTTCACTGGTTAATCTACGGCTTGATGTTTTGCAAAGATATCCCTACAAATTACCTCAAATACAAAGACGGCACGGCACGTCTGTCTTTTATCCTGCGATGTTCCCGCTTCACTCTTCTCTCTTTCCTTTACTTGTAAACCCACTATTCGAAACCCATCTATCTAATCAATGTCTGAACCCACTTGCTCTCTTTCTGTCCATACATATATACATACATACTTGTGTTTCTGTCATATTTCCCGACTTTCATAATTAGTTAAGCATTCCCCATTTCCGTATCTCCCCCGCGATAGCCCAGGGAGTCTGTCTCATTTGGAGAATATATTATACACCGTTATTGGGAGATTGGAGATTGACAAGACATGGCTCAAAAATTCAAAGAGAGGAAGACTTCTTATTAGTTAGTGTGGCTTGTCATAGAACTGTTTTGACTACCGCTAAGATGGAATCTAATATGGCCGCATTACGGAAAGAAATGAAAGGACCTTTAGTGGAGATTTTGACGAATATTATACCACCACCATATATCGTCATGAGGTACTTAACTAAGTATTTCCTACGTAAACCCGTCCATAATTTGGTCTTATTGCCAATTACGTAACCAATCTCATCCTGCCTTCGTAAAACGAAACACATAAAGAGAGAAAGAAAATAAAAACAAAAGAAAAAAAAGAAGAGAAGAACAGAGCCAGTCTCGAATAGGGGGGGCATCCATCCAGTTGCAATACTACTCATCAAACTTAGGGCTTAATTTTCCCTATTCGGCCTAGCACGAACCAACATAATAAGCAAGCAAGCCCCTTTTCTCTCCGGCAATGAGTGAGTGCTGTACGAGGAGGGACTTTCCTCCACCACGGCGGCACGGCCTCTCTCACCTTACGAGTTACGCCTACCATCGTTATCTGTTCTGTGCGATGCATTGTCGAACGAGTCCTGGGTGTTCCAAACCACTTATTCGGGATAATGATGATGCGTATGAACGATTTCCCACTACCACTCCAGCGCTACTCAACTGCCCAGCGTGTCTTGGGTCGGTCGCTCAAAGGGGGAAGAAGGCCAGCTAGGGCTACTGCTACAAGGGCTTCTTACGCAGTAGATATGCGTGTGGAATCCGCCGATATCGAACCTCTGTGGGTTCATACAGCTGGGGATGGGATTGGTGGTCTGAGCCGTTTTGTTTTAAAAGGCTGTTTGTTTCTCTCATACTTGATGCGTTTATGATTCAAGGCGATTTATATATATATATATATATATATAAACTGCACATATACTATGGGTCTCGAGATCCAAGGCTGGCACAAATTCCTTGGAAGTTCCCAGTAAGTTCCCAGTTGACGCGGAGAGGTTGAGTATCGATTTCTTGGAATACGCTACGTATCTATCTATATAGACGCATAGATGTTTCCTCCTTTTTGGAGGAGGGATCATGGTCTCGTCAAAACTATAAATTGGCTGTACGTTTTGCATGTTGATAATGACGTTACGCAGACAACAAATCCTATTTCATTGTCCAGCCCAAGTCTGCCAAACATTGAGACCGTCCGTCTGGCATTCCTTGAAACGCCACAAAATGGGCATTGGGGCGACCATCTGAAGTTCTAGTCGATTCTCTGAATTCCGGTTATGCAGAGGTAATCTTCTATTGTGTTGGAATGGGACCACTGCTCGGCACACAGGTTGAAGAAGGGAGCGAGAAGATGGAAACATGCGATCCCCTCTGCTCTGATGTACACGATGCTATGTTGAGTGAGATATGAGGCGGACAACCGCCCATAGTGTTGTGCACCCGTGATGAAAGAGATTTCACACACAAAACCACGCATTCATAAATTTATATGGGATGGATTTTCCAGATTATCCAGAAGCACGATACGCAATCCTCACAAAACGAGACAGCCAATCTCCCGCAAATCTGCATCGCGTATGTCCCGAACATTTAATCCCAATAATGGTACAAGCGTATCTCTCATATTCAGATCAATAACCACCTTTATCGACTTATTATTATCCCATGCTGGTGCTGTTCCTTGTCCCCTTCAACACGGAAGAGAAATTGGAAAACCACGGGGACTGCTCCTCATCTTCGCCCCGTTCAATCCTCCTTCCCTTTCTTACTGAAAACCCCAGCCCCAACCCAATACTTCCAATGCGTCCAGGCAGGCCACATGCATACCGTCTCGATATTATTACCCATGGGGTCCAGCACGAAAGAGCCGTAGTAATACTTGTGATAATGTGGCCGGAGCCCAGGGGTGCCGTTACACTTCCCACCGGCAACCAAGGCCGCAGCGTGGAAGTCGTGGACGATGGCGCGGTCTGAGAAGGAATTGTGTAAGTCTTTTTTGGTCACGAGCATGGGATTTGCCATCCATGGATATGTTGGAGCTAGACTGGGTTGAACATATAATATAAAGGAACAAAATCAAGCATACTCTTAGTATCAAACGCAACATGAATAGGTTTCCGTTTCAACCCGTTCTCATCTCTCGCATCATCGCCGTCTTCTTCCCCTTCCACCCCGGTAATCCAGAAGTCTGGGTAATACGCCCCGAAGCCCACGACGTGCGGCGCGGGGCGCATGAGCTCCCTATACCCCAGTGGTGCCAGGGCAGCCTTGTAGAACGCAACGACTTCATCCAAGCGGGAGGCGGGCACGCAAAAGCCCAGATGGGAGAGACCCATGGCGAACCTTCTTTTGATCAATGGTGGTTTTTATATATCGGATTCGGAGGGCTATATAGCTATATATAATAATTTCATGGGGGTTACGATCCAGCTGAGGGAGGCTTTTTATTGTTAATTTTTAATTTTTAATTTTTAATTTTTGATCCTGGAATTTAAGATTCTTTTGAATGAGGGAACCAAGGAGAGAGAAGCATTAAATAATCATCGAGAGGTTCACAACGATGACCCAACCTAACCTCACCCCGCCGTCGCGTCAATTCCTGGGTCGGACGTGTTCTGGACTTTGATCTTAGCCTTCAGGCTGGGAGATGGCTAGGCAACGACGAGGGATTTCGCGCCTGGCGCTTTGCCTGATTTATGGTAGCTAAAGCATGGTTTTGGCAGAAGGTTGGCCATCAGAAGCCTATCATGACTCAAATTGAACGCCGGTCCGTTCGTATTTGGAAGTCCCAGCATTGCTCGGCCGGGCCGGATTGCTCAAAACTGCCTTGTCTGGTTTCGCTAGCTCGGTGGCGTTCGTGATTGAAGGATTTCACAAATCCATCGGGCGTTGGATCGAAGGTCAAGTTTTTTTTTAAGCTTGTCCCGATGAAGTCTATCCTTCTCGAGGAATGGACGAGCTGACATTCGAAGGAGATTGAAGCATAACGAGTGAGTTCAGTGTTCAATGGATGGGTGCTGTACAAATGCGATCTCAATGGATGTTCTTTATTACAATTATTTTTCCAACCCATATTGCGGAGACATTGTCGTGATTTACAAATGGAGAAAAAAGTGAGAGAGCTCTTTCGCAAAGAAAACCCATTTTTGTAACATTTTCCACACATGTTATTCTCTCCACCAAGGGAAGGAGAAAGCAATAAATGTGGCATCAGTAAAAAAGCCATCGTATCCCTCGCATCCATATCGAAAAAAAAAATGAAAAGAAAGTAAAGTAAAAAAAAAAAAATCCCCCTTTGACCTATTTTAGGATCACTTCCCCATGATCCATTCATCATACAACGACACGTCTGCTCCGAACCAAAGCCAAAGTCAAACCGAACCAACCCCTCAGGTCCAGCCATTCCCGAAATTGATATAAATTTAAGAGATGTCTGGGTACGTTTGAGTAAACAGAAGGAAGAAGAATTCCAGCCATTCGTCCATCCACCTGCTTCCGTAAAGTACACGATAGTTTCAAAGTACAACCAACGAATGGCATGAGACGAGGAAAAAATAAAAGAAAAAGAAAAGCCAATGGGTATGGGAGAAGGGTAATATGCAAGATAACTCGGATTTTGTTGTTTGAAAACACATTATGGGTTTAAAACGAGTGGATTACCTCATATACGAAAACCAGCCTCTTTTTGAAGATGTAACTTTTTTGTCATAGCACGTAACACGATGTAGCGACACCCGGAACGCCAGCGACGATGGTGTATAGGGGTCATTTGGCAAAAGCACACCGTGTTAAACAAACGAAATGTTAGACATTTCATGTGGATTTGGCAAAGAGATTGATGATCGAGTTGGTGTTTCGAAGATTGGCATTTAGCTTGTGGAATTTTACCCAACAGCGACCCCTTTGGTGTTCTGGAATAAGGTGTATAGGTACATTACGCATGTTGTATTCTTGTGGCCCAGGTCAGGTGTAGGGAGTGAAGGAAGGTGATCGAACTGTCTATCGACTCCAAACAGCCCCAATTCGAGTGACGAAGCCGAGGATTTCAAAAACCAGCTTCCGTTTTTTCAATTTTCACTGGTTGTATTCTTGAAGGTCTCTAGCCCAGCGAGTTAAACGTGGAATCCGCCGCAAAACGGGGTCATGGGGAGTGTTTTCTGCAATGGCCATGTAAAGAGCTTCGAGTCGTTGGATAAGAACAGTCATGATTTTCGGAGCAACTTCGTAGATCTCCGGGTCCTATTCTATTGTTAGAAACCGGGTGATATGACAAATACTCACCTCTCAGAGTGTAGGACTATGTGTAAACGGACGCAAACGAAGGACTTACCCTAACTTTGACAGTCTGGAAAACACGCTCGAGCCAGTTGAGACGATCCATCACATTTGTTTCAAAAGACGATGTCACGGCGGCGCTAACGGAAAGGACAACCAGTGGTGACAAGTTAGAGAGGAACGAAGGATCAAGTTTGACAAACAGATTGCTGAAAAGGTCTGCTTGTTGAGATGATTGGATCCACTGCATAATTGAGAGAACAAATCAATAAACCAAAATATCGAATAAAAGGTCCGGTAGGGAAAACGTACTCTTATAGAACCTTCTTCATACCTTCCGGTATTCAGTAGTTCGCTGATTTCCTGCAGCTCAGCTTCTTCTGGGGATGGCTCTGGTGGAGGAACCCCTCGAACAGGATTCGTAGCAGACGACGTCTCAGGCAATTCTGCTTTAACTCCAAGCTGACGGCTGAGGTTTAAAATCTCTTTTTGGAATTGAGACTGGGCAGCTGCCATAGTCGAAACAGTCTCCGACAGGGAGCGGACAAGCATCGTGAGTTGATCAATTTTGGCACTATCATTCTGCTGTCTGAGCTCGTACTGCTTCATTTGGCCAACAAACTGTCGCTCAACTTCCTTTGTTATAATTCTCGCTTGTTGGATGGATTCATCTTTAAATGACGGGACGATCTTCTCGTGGAGAACCTTGGAGATATCTCTCTCAACACGGTTAGAAAGGGAAGCAGAAATCAATTCAGAGATGCGGAGGTGCATATTTTCATTAGACATTGCTCGCTGTACGGCAACAGGGAGAATTTCCCTGATAACGGGTGGCGTTATCAAATCCAGTTGTTGGCTAAGCCCTTCTTTTATTTTCTGGTCCATTGATTTTGCGGTAGATTCAATGAGTGCTGGAACTACCATCGACTGGACATTGTTGGCAATAATACGGGACAGGTTTTTCTCCACGTTGTCAGATAGGGTTGACGAGACAAGACGCAACACTGCATCTTGCTTCGCTGTGGCTGCCTGTTCTTGCGAACGACGATCTTGGTCAAAACGAACGTACAGCGCATCAAGTTCGCGATTTAGGCATTTCGTAAACTCTGTAGAAACTGCTTTCTCGATTTTCTTTACTTCCTTGTTTAGGAAGTCAGACGACACTCCTATATTAATCGCCTCCGCCGGCCCATTATCAATAGAAGCCCCTGTGGCGAACGAACCGTGAGTTTCGGTTGCCAACACAGACTGCGGAATTTCAAGCTGACTCTGATCCGCCTCCTTATTCGAAATTTCTTTCGGCTTCCCGTTATCGGCTTTCTTCTTCTTCCGCTTCTCACTCTTGTCCGTAGAAGCGGCCGCTTGATCGTGTTGATCAGAAGTAGAGACAGAGTCGCCTGTCTTCTTCTTCGGTGGTTGCTTTGAGGGCGACTGGTTGCGGGACGATTCGACTCCAACAACTGATTCCTGTCCAGGGCCGGTTGCCTTTTTGGCCGGTTCATTCCCTTTCGGAACACCCTTTGGAGCTACATCCCCGTTAGTCGACTGTTCATCGACTTGGGGAGGGAAGCTCTGCAGGGCATTAACTTCAATGAAGCCTTCTTTTAGAGAATCCACAGGGTCAATGATTTTGTTGTCGCTGCTCCACCCAAGGTCCGACTTCCTTATGTTAAGGCAGGTAACCCCAAGAGAGTGCATGACATACAGCTCGAATAAGCCTGCTTCTTCATCCATACCACGATGTGAAACAGACGGTCGAGTAAGTGGTAGGAGCTCAAGGCTCCTAAGTTGCCCTTTGCTTCCAAAGGACAACTCGCGGATTCCACTCATACAAGCTGTTGACTCCGGTTTTGGCAACCTTTCATCTTTCTCGGCTACCCGCTGAATATACATGGCCTGCGACATCAGTGGGAGGGAGTATCTCGGAGCAGACAAGTGGACGAAGTAAATAGAATTGCGCGTAGGGTGTCCAACAACTATAATTCCGGAACCGGGATGATATGCAACACTGCATATGGCGTCGGACTCATTATCGTGGGGAAATTTTAATTCCTGGACTGCCTTTCCCAGCCCAATATCCCAGAGCTGCAGCGTGTGGTTCTGTTTCAAACCGACAAGAACATAGCGTAGAGCTGATGCTTTCGTATACGGCCGTAATTTGTCGATGAATAAAACAGACGTAGGCCACGACTTCTCCGTAGGCGAACCAGTGACAAGTGTCAAAAGTGGCACTCGAATATCAGCTGGCAATTTCGAGGTATTGGCATGAGGAAAATCGGCTACATCACGAATATCCCAGAATCTCATCCTTCCAGTTTTGTCAAGTGAGACGATGACTGTATCATCGTCGCTGAAAATAAAGTCCTTCCCGGCCTTGCCAGTAGCGATCTTCACCGACTTTTCTTTGAAAAACTTTTCAGTATCGACTTCACGATGCGTTTTTATTACGCCATACTTCGGAGATATGGCAAAATGAGGCCATACGATATGGATGAATTTGCCGCGGCCGATTGCGAAAAATTCGGGATGACGGGAGCTCCGTCTAGCCCGTGTTTTCAGCTGGCCACCAGAGGTATTTTCATCCGAGGAGGGAAATGGTGGAAAAATCAGGCTGTCGCGTTCCAACGCATCCTTCTCAAAGAGGTTGTTATCTGCCTTGGATATAGTCGCCCAGTAGACAGCACCGCTAACACCGATGCCCATAACAGCTTGCTCCTTCGCAGTTGAGGAGCCTGGTGCTGTGGTCGATAGAGAGACGTTGAAAACCCGATCATTGGTAGATCGGAACACTTGTCTATCTTGACCATCGTCCTGCCGGACTATCCTCATGCCACCATTCTTCGCCAAAGCGTAAACGATGTAATCGGAAGTAGCCGAAGTGAGCGAACGATCCAATTGGTCGAAATCCTTCTTGAGACGGGCAATATCCATTATCCCATCACTCCGAAGTGAGAAGATGTTTTCAGTATTTCCCTTCCAAGTGATCGACATGAACGGCTTCAACGGAAAATTATACACAGGGATAACTCGTTCAGTCTCGGATTCCCACGAGTCCACAAGGGCACCATTGGTATCGTCGGCAGACTCCTTTAAGTTTGAGGCGGCCGGAGGTGAGCTCTTGGGTGTAACTTCAATGCTAATATCTTTCTCCGGCTCTTCCTGAGCATCAAGGGCGGTCTGTTCAAATTTCTCCGCGAGTGCTTTCAAAACAGCCTTAGAACTTTCCTCCTCGTCTTCTTCTTTAATGTGGGCAACTTCTTCAGCGGCAGCCCTCGCTAAGGCATCCTCGACTTCTTTATCAACCTGTCCAGCAACCTCCCCAAGTGCCTCAGGAACGGTTTCCTTTTTGATTTTCACCTTTTTCTGATCAGGACCCATGGACACTTCAGAGGCATCCGGACCGGGCGTAATTGCCGCATTCTCGTCCGTTTCCAAGGGCGAGGACGAAACAGGAATGTCCCCGGATGGCTCTGGCCGTTTTCGCTGGCCATTGACCTGAATGAGGCCTGGTACCCCATTTTTCTTTGCGTTAGCGATATCAGGTGCAGGGCTTGCTCCAGGTAACGCTCGTGACCGGCTTCCCTGGGGCGTTCGGTTGCGGGGAGATGCCGCCGCAAGTTGTTCGAAAGGATTAACGTAAGTGAAAATAGAATCCTTTGGCTGTGAATGGATAGGGGGCTCAAAGGGAGTGGTTTCACGACTCTCGCCCGACCCGAATAATCTCATTGGCGACGCTCTACGTTCCTCTGGAAACTTAGGCCCCGCATCAGCAGAACGCTCTCGGGAAGTAGCAGAAGCTTCGGATGATCTTGTACCGGCCACCGCAGTTACGGACTGCTCCGACTGAGAGGTCTGGGGTTTGGGGAGATTTAATAGCTTCAAGAGCATATCTTGGGCATTGTCGGCAGGAGGTGATGTTGTAACTGGCCTATCAGAAGGTTGAGCAGCAGCAAGACCACTGGACATTAACCCAGTAGCAGCAGATGTGGAGGTAGTTGGTTTCCCCATGAACGAAGCCACGATATCAGAGGCAGATATTCCCCTTCCATGGCCGCCTTGGGTGGTACCAACAGGCGCATCACCTTGTGGTTCTTCAGTAGCGACCGTTTCCGCTAGGGATTGTTTTGGAGCGGATACATTCTGAGAAGCCGGGCTGAACTTGAGCAAGCTCAACAAATTGGCAGTGCGATCCGCGTTCAGTGACTGCTGCTGCGGGCTCTGAGTGTTATTACGTGGCGTCTGAACGTTGGGACTGATGACATCCGAAGCGTGATGTGGAGGCGTGCCCGTAAACTGCGGGCTGTAGAGCGGCGACGACACAGTAGCTTGGAACAAGCCGGTTGAGGATGGAAAAGGAAATTCTCCCGGTGAAGAGCCATTATGGCGATGGCTCTGAGCTTCGGAACTGGGGAGGTTGGATGCATTGTTTGGCGAAGGCCTTGGCTTGATATTGGCAAACAGAGCCTGAAGGTCTGCTGGAGTGGACATTTCTGCCACAACCGCCCCGAAAGGTGAGCTCCAGGACTCTTGAAAAAAGGATTAAAAAGGACAGTCCAAAAGCAAATCGTAAGCTGAAGCTCTAATAAGCGAAGAAACGGAAGAACGACACAAAAGAAAGGAAGAAATGAAAATGGTATCAACGAAGCACTGGAGCAGGTCGAGACAACCGAGTATTTGCTGAGAGGTTGAGGTGTCGAAATTGAGTGCAGGCTTGGCGGCGAAGCGGCTGCTGACTCATCGGGCAGCGGCTGCTTTCCTCTTTGGGATTTGGGAGAGGGAGGTCGAGGTCGCACAAGTTGCCGGGTTCGTTGAAGCGGGCGGTTTTCGTACGCGCATACAATTGCCTCGACCGGAAAATAATACAGTAGATGTGCTGGTTTTTTGAGCAGAGTTTTGCCCTTCCAACTCCCTGGAGATAACTTTTTTTAGAGTTGAGAGGACATGTGGATGACATCATCCGGAATCTGTCTGGAAATGCTGAACCAGATGTCAAGCTTTGATTATAAAACTATGGTTCATCTTATGTTGGGTTCTAAAATCTAGCACCAATTTTTTTTTTTTTTTTTTTTTTTGATCACTAAGCTAGTTTGAAGAAGCGACTTTGTAAGATGAAATGTATATCCCCATACTAAATCAATAGAACGGTACTGCACTGGGACAAAGTGATTGGGAATGTCCAGATGTATTACTAATTGTTGTAGCGTGATGGTGGGTGCGTTTTAGATGTGGCGTGGTGGTAGCTGAAAGCTACGCTAAGGCAGTTGTGGGTTCAAATTTCTCCACGCATGTCGAGTTTTCCTGCCAAAAATCCTTCCTCATTCCGATATTTTGCGTCCTAGTCCACTCCTTAGCCCGCCAAGGCTGGATTATTAATGCCAGCAACCTCCAATATTCTGCGAGTGAAAGGACAACCCAGAGAGAGAAACCGGGGAACATGGCGATGTTGTAACAGCGATCGGGCTACGATGGTCGCCTTCTTGCCCAAGTCAAACCCCTCTATGTCACATCTGATAAACGTTCCTAGTGAGATCGCCGTTCCGCTTCCTGTCTGGCAGTATCCGACTACATCCTATCACTCACCCGAACAATGTTCTGTCTCAGAAGGTAGGGTCTCAAGAGGGTCACACATTCAGTTATCCTTATTGTCCTTCTTTGTCCTTCATTTGTTGATTTGTTAATCACCCTTTTTTGTTTTTTTTTTTTTTCCTTGATGAAGAAGATTAAAAAAATGTTAACTAACTGGAATGCTTTCTCCAGTTGGCTGCCTCTCCTTTTCATCCCCACGAACGCCAGCCCCCTGTTCATCCTCTCCTTCATAACCCTCACCTACCTCCTCCACCGACCATGCATCTACTGTTCTGCTCTCCTTCTGGTTCTCTTCCTCTCCTCATGCCACTGGTCAGATCGCTGCTTCTTCGATTTCAGAGGTGACTGGTTTGCCCCTCGCTTCTCCACCCCAACCTCCTCCAAACCAGAACATTCCGCATCCGGATTGACCGAATATGTACTGGAAACCGTGAACACCACGGCCACAGCGTTGGCTGGCGCTGCAGTGGATGAGATAAAGAAACATTTTGCTCCTAATAATGGGACCGGGGCGGTGGGCGATTCGCGCGTGGAATGGACGGGCATAGGTCTGGAATGGCTGCGGAGCCTCCTTGGACGGAGGGAGTGGACGTTGCCGTGCGTCGATGTGAAAGTCAGGCTTTGAATCATGAGAGCAATTTTGCATCATTCGAAAAGCTGGAGTTGTGGTCGTTTTGCCTCCTTTTTTTTTTATCATTTTATGCTGTGTTCACGAGTGATAGGGCTCAGCTATTCTATTTTAAAGTTGCATTTTCTTTTCTTTTTCTTTTCCTTTTTGAGCCTTGCCGTATAGCTATCAACGCCGGAAAGACAAAGCGTCATTGTTGACACTCGGGAGGGGACATTTGGATATATAGCACTCGATATGGCATTGTATATTTACCCACGCATAACTGCTTCTTGCCTTAATGGTAGCAAATTTTTACTAGGTTAAAATACCTGCTTAATCCCCTTTTCCCTTTGCTTTGATCGAGTACGATGTTAATCTCCCAAGCCTGAGAAATGTTGGGCTGATACCTGTCCTTCGGCCTCACTCGTTCCTCAGATACTACTAGCAATATAAGTGTGTGGCTGGTGGCCTGGAGAAAATGTCTTGTCCGCTTGATAAGTGTTTATTTCTGTACATAATTTTAAGTGCTGACAGGGAGCCGACAGATCCTGGCATGCCTGTTTAACCTGAATCCTTCAAGCAGAGATACATTCCCCGCTCATTATTTACTTTTCCCATCTGCTGTCTTGCAGTGTCTGTTGTCACCTGATTGTGCATTTCTTGCTTCTTGAACTAGGAATATTTGCTGTACTATACTCAATATTATTATTATTTATTCATACACCGCCTAACCTCTGTAGTATGCAGGAAGTTAATTATACATGAAAAAACCATGTGATCATGCCACTGGATTAAAAAAACCCTTCATTCAACCAAGTGCATCTCTTTGATCATTTATCTATCCCTTCGTCTGGCCGCCAGGCACAATTAGCACCTTTTTTTAGCGTGTATATTAGCGCATTAAAAACATGAAATCTACTGGATTATGAGAGATTTGACTGCTTGAAGAGAGAATATTGAAAGAAGTTTCATTCTGATCTTAACTAGATCAAATAGATTATATAAATTATACTAGCTGATTCCTCATATGATTCAGTACGCTAAAAAATACGCTAATTGTGTCCTCGCGGCCAGACAAGGGGATACACTGCAATCACCAGCCCATAGTGTGGAAACCACAATATATATGTGATAAGATAGCACTATGACCACTAGGTTATTCATAGCAAAAAGCCAACGTAACAAAATGATTGCGCTCATAGTGATATATATACTCGTGGGCGTGCCACCCAACCCACCACCTATACACTGCGACCGCCAGGCGCAGCATAGTGGGGAACCACATATAGATCTGTATATATATTGATGATGACATCTATCAATGAGTGTCTGTAAGTGGAATTAAAGTAATTACAATGAAAAACATCAAAAAAAAACCCATTTGACATATTTGTCACAATAGGCTGCCGTCGTATGGTACGGGGTGGCTCGGATTAAGTTAATGGATGTAGTTGATAAGCGAGTGAGACATATAGACAAGCGAGACACTCTGTGCCACACCAAAATTTGTATAGATGCTACTTTGTAATGTTTGCAGTGTTTGTTTTATAGAATACAGTGGGGGGCATTAAGTTTGAAACCCCCCCCCTGAGCGGCCAAGATCATACTAACTATATTGCGTTAATATCTATATAGCTGCTTTTCATGCTCATGTAGAAGATATTATTAATATTTTATGTAAGACCATTCTATTGACTTTGAGAATAAGACTAATAAAATATGGGTCTTGAAGATTCACTAAAACTATACCCACACTAGAATCTAGATATATTACTAACACTCAGCTCACATCATTTCTCATCATCTATACTACAAATAAATACTAGAACTATAAAGTCAAAGACTAAATAGAGTTAGTTAGATATTAGAGTCTCTCTAAAAATATAAAAAAATCATTGTAATTTGTGTAATGAGATGTATGGTAAACTGAAGCTAGTATTAGTGTAATAAGTTCTAAATAAGTACTGCTGTGATTAATAATGAAAATCATATCAAAGATTTTTTCAGTCAGCATTTTAAAATCTGTTGTTCTGAATCTGGAAAGAAGAAAAATTGTAGAGTAAAAGCAGCATTATGACATAACTGAGTTTGGGTTAGTGATATCTTGGCATCACAGGGGGGGGGTTTCAAACTTATTGCCGGAGACTGTAGCACGACATACAAATTTTGGTGTGGCACAGAGTGTCTCGTTTGTCTATATGTCTCGCTCGCTTATCAACTACAATATCCAGTCACTTTTCACTATTTTTATATAGATCTCATTTCGCTCATATTTTGACAATTTTCGTCATTTTACACTCACGTTCCCAGAAACTCTAGTTCTTTTACATAATTTTTATAATCATGATTCATTTCATGTTTATGTCAAGAAATGCACTGGGATCGAATCAAATCAAAGCAAATATGTAATTCATGGTCTCGCTGACCACTCTAGTTTCAAGGAATTCTCTTCTAAATCAGCAGCAAGGCCCCACTCGCTGCAAAGTCCGTGTAGGTAGTGGGTCCCGCTCGTCATCCTGTTAAAGCGGTTACTGCGTGTCATTATCCTGAGATCTCGACCACGTAGGCCAAATTTATACCAAGCGAGATCTTTAAAACTTGCGGTTAAATCTTACTACCCTTTTTTAAACAGATAAATCACTGTGTGCATTTTGTAAGAAAACGTGGTTTAAATACATCTATTTTTCATTTATCATGAATTCAGTTTTTTCAACCATTTTCAATCTGCTTAAGATTGTCATATACTTGATTTCAGCAACCAGCAGTACTACTATATCATCAGGTATGAGCATTTCTTTTCCTCTCTTTCATTTTTTCCTTTTCATATTGGCATTCAAATCAACCTTCTACCTCTATCAAATCATTCTTTCTTCATAATTTTATGTACTTGCTTCAAATATGCTAGTAATTTATATTCTAACCATCGTGGCAGAGTTAAACAATATTATTAAAAAAGAAGTATATGACATGCTTTACAGTGTAGAAATTGATACCAATGGGATTTTACATCTAGCTGATGATGGTATATTGCGATCATTTGATGAAACTGGCAATGTTCTTGATTATCGAAGATTAAATAATACTCATTTGAGAACTGTTGCTGGCTTGTATTCAAAAGATATTAACAATCATTTATTAAATATATGGAATAATATTGATAGTTTTCAGGTTGAAGAGAAGGCAATTTGGCATCCATCTACGGATCTTTATCCTCTCCCACTTTTACAGAAGAGTCAAAGACCATTTTCTCCAGTAATAAAGCGTCATTCATTACTACAGCGATTTCCACCTTGTGCTGATATTCCCTGTACTGGACATACAACATGTAGAAATGCAGGCTGTTACCGCTGTTTAATCTCAGACAAGATAGAGAGTGGAAGATGCACTTTGTATTAAAATATTGTGGTGGACAGCCCCCCGTTGAAAATTAGTAGCAAAACACCGCAAGTATGGCTTGAATGTCGATGTATCTCTAGGATCATTCAAATATGATTTGAATACACATTTGTGATATGTTGTCGGAATGATAGAATGTCTTGAATATTAACATAAATACTCAATGTGATGGAGGCGGGAGGTTGGCTTACATAGTGTTGTTGAACACTAGTTGCTCAAGCGGCCACTCTACCGCACGTGATAACCCGAGGGTTGAACCTTGGTTGGTTGTTATTCCGATCTAGCAGCTAGCGGCAACTAACATATCCAGTGTGGGTGGGTCACGTGGGGTAGGGCTTGTGTAGGACCTCCAACATCTATTGTAAGAGGGTTTCCACGGCAGCCTTCTTATTAATTTTGTTGTTATTTTCTTTTTTTAAAAAATCAGTACTTTAATTGCAGCTGTTGTGTTCTTGACTGCTGTCTGAATCTTATTATTGTCATCAGAGATGTGTTGCACACTGTGCATCTCATCCACCACACCATCTGCTTTCAGTTTGTCCCTCATCAATTTGTGTGGCTCTATAGCCTTGTAGATTGTGCTGGGGATAGCAAGTAAAAGAAGTACTATAAAGAGTTTCATGGGTTTTTTTTTTCTCATAGTATTACTATACTCAATATAATCAATATAAAAATTATTTATTTATTGAGATGGACACTGCTTCTCAAGTTACCCAATCCCGGAATCAACCAATGTTGTTACTGATATGTTGTGGACAGAAATCTGCCTTGGTGATTTGCTCAAACAGTTCATATGTATGTACATGTACTCTCCTCCACAAACTCTCTAAGTTGAACAAGCCACTCTCAGTATGGGTGCTTAAAGGGGTTCTCGAAGACTGTCTTGAAGGATATCATGTCAATAACTTCCTCAAGGCTGTTATTGGATTCAAAAAAAGATTGGGCGTGCGTTACTTGTATAACATGCACACCCCCTCCCCCCCCTCCCCCCCCTCCCCTCAACTACTGCATCCTCCATTCTTCAGGCATGAAACAACCCCCTTTCCAACCCCAGCCTTTCCTCTCCTTCCTCTTCCTCAAGGCAAAACCGAAACCCCACCGCCCTCCAATTCAACTCTTGCCTCCAATGCAATCCGTACCCTGTATACGGATCCAGCGCCGCATCTGCCCTCCCAGGGCCCGTGGCTTGCAAATACACCACAGCCCGGAACCGGGAGAGCAGCATGCCCATCGCACAGCACACGCAGGGTTCGTGGGTTATGTATAGGTCAAGCGATGTGCAGAGGTAGCCACCCTGTGTGCGAGCTTGGATGTTGGGGAGAGAGAGGAAGTGGGATTCTAGGGGGCTGGGTGGGGGAGAAGGCAGTTGTGGTTGAGTGGTTGATTGGATTGGCTGGGATGTAACGGAAGGTGGCGACGGTTTGGGCTTCGTGGGTGGGGGTAGGGAGGCTGTTGAAGGATTTGTAGAGGGTGCTGCAATGGGTGTAGGGCCGGGAGTTGATGATAGAGCCCCCCGCGTCGGGGGTGAGTCTCTAGATATCGAGGGCGTTATTGTGGGAGACGTCGACGAAATAAGGCGCTTATAGGCGACAAGCGATATGGCGCGCATCAGCGCATGGCGATCCGGTTGTCCCTCATTGTCCGGATTATACGATGATGCTGTCCCCTCGCCTTCGGTATTTTCAACACTCTTCTTCAAAGGAACATATTCCGAACACCCTTCCCCTTTACTTCCCCTATTCCAGTACCTCGCATCCCCCGCTACGACTACAACACCAGCAATCTCATCCGAAGGATCAGCCAATTCCGCCAACGCGGGATCAACCACCACTGCACCGACAGCCCGTCCTCGTCCATTCCGCTTCGCCTCCAGGGCAACTTTGCTCGCCAGAGCTAGATAGCTGCCGGCCCTGCGGGACACAGACTCTTGGGCATTCAGCAGCAAGGGGCCACGGGGCGAGTGCGCGACTGGGTGTGCAGCAGGATTGAAGATGGTCGGCCATAGTGTGCGCGACCATGTCGCTGATTCTTCCTCGGTGGCTGGAGGAGAAAGGGGGATGCGAGTTGATTGGATTTGAATAGGAAATTGCGGGATTGGTTCTATCGATTCTACATCAGGAGAAGATGAAGGGCCTGTGGACCCTGAGATGGGTGCATATGGTGCCAGGAGGGATTCTAGAAGGGAAATATCAGGCAATGGCGGTGGGATGAGGATGTAGATAGTTTCTGGGGCTTTGGATCCCGCAGTTACAGCTCCCTCTGCCGCTGCTACTGCTGAAGCGGAACCCCTTTTTAGGTGTCCTGGTAGAAATTCCGGTTTCACGAAGCGGCGCAAATGCGTGAGTGATAGCGATGGATCCTTGGGGAATTTGGACTCCAGTAACCTACGTTCTATTCATTAGCCTGAAATCCCGTGTGAATATGAACTTTTGTTTTTTCGGTTCTACTAAATATTTCGAAAGGAGAGGAGACAAACTTTAACACTTTGCTCGCTGCCTTGATATTTATTTCCACGACATATGCTTCCACTGTTTGTTGTCAACATAAATATGCAGCTGTTTTCTGAGCAACTCGTTTTTTTTTTTTTTTTTTTGACCTGGATTTCCCTCTTCCCGTTTATCTCGTACGTTTATATTGGGATGGCGTTGGGGTCCTTAAGTAGAAGGGAAAAAAAATGAATGTATAAAATTTCTCACCTGAATCCTTCCCTGAACGAGTCTCCTGCACTGTCTTCAATAACGAAACATGGCCCCGCAGTGGCTGTATATCTTTAAACGAATCCATCTCTCCCATTTCTATCAGGAATATGTATACGTATATGCATATCACAATAGTTGGGATTTTTTTTTTTTATCTGGTGCGCAGCTAATGGGTTGCATGAAGCTTGTTCTTTTTCGTTTTAGACGAGCACGATTAACGGAACATATCTACAGTTGATAATGATGAGCTGGTCGAGAGGTTTGAGTGTGTTCCATACTTCTGGCAGAGGAGGTTCGCCGAATTCGTATATTCTCGCTGTTCATTTTTCTTCCTCTTTTCAAGTTGTATCCCGGACTTCGGTTATAATTTCAACATGAAGTCATTTTTTAACCGGTCAAGGGTTAAGTCATGTGATCGTAATCAAGCCACTGTCAACAATTCAGATCAAGAAGTGCAAGTGTATCTTGGTATTGAAGTCTCCTATACAGCGAACATATTGTATTGGGACCTTTTGTTATTTCTCTTCTAAATGCACATAACCTCTACAGTGTTACTCCAACCATCTTTTTTGACAACTGAACATCCGAGGCAGATAAGTAAAAGGAGGGGAAAGGACCAAAAATCAGAGATCAAGAACCTAAACACCAAACTGAAGCCAAAGGAAAACCTACTATGTATATAATTTGTGCCATGTCCCCCAACCATTTTTGAAAATGCGCTTTCTTTGCCAGGCACACACCCTCTAATAATTAGTGCAAGGTAAACAGTAGGGAAAATATGGACTGGATCGCGGAAGATATAACAATATGAGATTAAAAAAACCCTTACATAAAATTCGAAGAAAACTATGAGAGCGGGGCTGACATTGAAGAAAATGCTATCGCCAGAGACGCTATGTATATACGCATGTACAGTATATATATGAGTGTGTTTAAATATCCTCGAGATTTGTGCTTCCACCAAATAAAGACTCAATTCGTGTACCTAGAGAGATCACCATGTGTCTTAGGAAATACTGAACTGGATTGTTTTGATTTCCTTCCAACCAGACGAGGCCTTGGAGATTGAAAACCCCAGAGTCGAAAGCCATTGAGACTGGACATCGAGATACGCCGCATTCCTTCCAAGGAGCAGAGTTAACCAATCGGAAGGAGACTGTCAAATTCCGGATTCCTATTTCGTGTTGGCTGTTGTAGTGGCAGTGGCATCCATAGCAGAGGTGCTTCCTCCATTGCGCATAACCGATGAGGTAGCCGCAGTCTCATCTTTCTCTGTAGGTGGGGCATCACTATCTTTTCCCGGCTGAATCACATACTCGTCACATCGCTCGACGAGGCGCTGATAATAATCCTCCAGGACCTCAGGCTGAGGCACGATACGCCACTCAACCCGCCACAGAAATTCCAACTCTAATAGTGCCAGTTCGGCGATGCTGATTCCACCAACTCTGGCGTAAGTCTTGTTTGTCCAAAAGCTGTCACTGAGACCCTTACTCGCCACGGTAGCGCTGCTGATCAAAAATCGGTGTACAGTGAGGCTCGAGACTGTAAATGCAGGATAAAGAGCACATAATCGGTCAATATAATACACCATACTTAAAAGGATAGGAGGGGAAAGGGTGGCATGCGTTGTTAGGCGCTGGAGGTAGTCATGGACGGAGATTCGAGGAGGGCTGCGCGAATGGAACCGTGTGAGGCGGCCATCGCGGAGGGGGATTTGGTCGTTAAAGCGGATAAGTTCCATTAACATACTGGAGATCAAAACGACGAGGTCGCGGGGATTTGCTTCCTCGTAACGACAGGGAAGGACTTTAACAGCGGGTTTTTCAGGGCGCAGTCGCTTGGAGAGAGATTCCGCCCGGTTGTCTGGGTCAATTGATTGCAGCTTTTCGCCATCCGTAGCCAGAAGATTAGAAGGACCAGTAATGTTGCGCTTCGAGCCTACGAGAGTCGATGGCATTTGCGAGTCAGTCAGTGACTGGACGCCCTCCTGGCTTTGTTGTGACGTAGCAAGTTCAGAAGTGGCATTGGTGGACTCTGCGGATATCGTCTCGCCAGCAGCCGTTGGAGCCGAATGGTTCAGCTTGTTGTTCGCTGGTGTAGCTGGGCGAGAGTACTGGGTTCCCGCATCTACAGTCTGCCTTCGAAAGGCTGATCGTATTTCCTCGACGCCCGAACTGCCGTGGGAATCAGACGAGCGTCGCCGGGGTCGTGAAGGTCTAGGAGAATGAGGTGGGTTGGAATTGCTTATTAAAGGGGAAGTCGTGGACAGGTTATTATTGTTATGCCTGCAAGCGGCGGCTGTAGGACTGTAGTGTTGAGAGCAACCTGGAAAGGCTTTGGCAGGAGAATGGGTGGGATCAGCGCGCAGAAGCGCAGCCGACGTGGGAGAGGAGGCTATCATGTCCTTTGTTCACAGATATCGGCCAGGACTGGAGCACGTGGGCGCAATCGGCGGGCAGTGTGGGCAGGGCAGGTAATAGTAGTATGGCAAACGGAGGCCCTGCTAAAATTATGTGGAGACAGCGCCAGGGAGCCTGTCTGAGACTCAGTCGGATCAAGAGTCGCAGCAGCAGCAGCAACAGCAACAGCAGCAGCAGAAATAGTAATAGGAGGAGTGGGAGTGGAAAGCAAAGTGGGAGAAGCCAATAAGCCAGAGCTTTCCAAACCAACAGGCGTCCCGCAAAAGCGCATCTTGCTCTGCGAAGGGGCAGGGTGACACAAACCGCCAGGCTCCGGATGCAAATTCTCTGGTCGTCCCAGCCGCTCACTCAGGCATTATTGCTGGCAGTTGAAGAAGGGCGTGCACACAGTTCCTCAGTGGACTCTTCCGGCGTCGTCGACGTGGGGGGGAAGCGGGAGCAAGACTCTTTCCACGCCGCGTTGTTGAGATGAAGGATGACATAAGGACTGACTAAGAGAATCTGCGTCTGTGCGCAAGAATTCTGTGTGCTCATTGGCTGGTTGAGTGGTTCCCGTCCAGGGCCGTGACCCATGTGGCCAATGAAATATTGGGTCAGCTCCACGTGATTGCGCTGTACCCGCGTAATATTGCTGCGGTATCAGTCGGTATGGTTTTGTCATTTTAAATTACAAGTTCTCTGTGCGTCATCGCTCTGAGACTTGTGCCTTGTTGGAGATACATGGCGTCTACTTGCTGTGACCTGGGCCACAAGTTCTAGCCTTTCAATCATTTGATTACAAGTGCTTGTGGATCCATTCATCCTCAGCTAGCTCCTTAGCGGAGCTACGTTTGCTGGGCTCCCACTGCAGCATTTTTCGCATGAGAGTTAAAAATGCCGCTCTCTCATCTTCTCCCTTGAGACTGGTTTCTCTCTCCTCAAGCGGAACATGTTCCGTCAATAAATTTTTAAAACGGAAATCACCTAGAGTTGTATGTAGTAGTTAGTGAATTTTGAATTTCAAGTGCTAGTATATAGAAGCTATATGGAACTTGACTTGCCTTCACAGAAAAATTTGTCTCTCAACTCCCCCTGAGCAATGAAGCTAGCCGGCGGTGGCCCAAGAAGATTTATCATTTCAGCAAGATGTGCTCGACTTCGGTACTTTTGAAATTCCGGGTCTCGGCCCGTGAATAAGGAACCACCTTCATAAATATCCCAGATCTATAATCTAATTTTTAGCTATGTTTGTTCACATCATCACGATCATGTTGTTTTATCATACCATGCAGCCCACATTCCATATGTCAACACTATACGTCCATGGAGCTCCTAGAATCACCTCGGGTGCTCGGTAGATATTGGGTTGAATGAATTCTGCATGATGTTGATCGCCCAGTACGGCTGAACCGAAATCACATAGAACTGGGTCGCCCACATCAGCAGGAATTCTGAGCTTGCGGGACATGTAAACAGTCCTTCCATCCATGTCCACCTCCTTTCTTGGAATGGGTTGTTGAAGTTCCTCCTCCTCGAAGTCAGTGAAGACTGAATCATCATTGATACCAAACATGATATTATCCGCCTTTATATCTAGTAGAACAGGTTACTTAACAAAAATACGAACGCATATAGATGAGGACAGAGAGGACGTGGTCACGAACCAGTGTGTACGATATTGCACTCTGTATGCATATAATCCAATGCCAAAAAGAGCCGCCGAAGAACGAATGCTATAACTGCTGAAGGCAGTCTCTCTACTGGATTCCGGCGTAAGAAAGTCAAGACACTCTCCCATAACGGAGGATGCACAAGGCATTGATGCTTATCCTCAGGTCCATCAATGTAAAATGCGTCAAGTAATGTTCTTACAGCCTTGCGACCAGGATGGCCTTTCGGAGCTTGATCCATGCATCTATACATCTTCAGTTCATCATCCACTCGCTGTCCCATAGATGAGGCCCGAACAAATATTTTGAGCATAACATAACGGCGACCACTGTAATTGTAGCACATAAGCATTTGTCCGGGTAGCTATGGTTTAAGAGTGATCTTACTGGATGTCGCGTGCAAGCCATGCTGTTGAGGTAGATCCAAACCCTAGTTTGCCTACAACCTGATATTGCTCCTTGATAACTTCTCCTATTCGGGTAGGATAATATTGGGACGCAATATAATCCGGAAGGGTTTCTTCTTCGATTTTGTGAGATTCAGGTAATTGGATAAAGTTTGGATTGGAGAAATTGAGCAGCTTCCATCTCTGTCTGAGCAGAGGTAAGGATCGCAAAAGTGATGAGAGCATGATCTGAAAGAAAGCAGCCGTTGACAACTTGCGGGAATTTGTTCATAGATGCAAATATTAAAGGATGTCGTTGAAAATCACCCGGCCTGACCGTGACGTTGTTCATGTTTATGTTTACTCGTAACTAGCCTACTCTGTAAGTCCTGTTAACATTTGAACCAATCAGATACCTAGTGATGTAGATCCCTCATTGCCTCCACGCCAACAACATGAAAATTACTCGTAATTATATGTTATTCAGAGGTTTAATAGGTTGTAAGTACTAGTGACTCTGAGAGATACTTTTAATATATTATAAGGATGATTGGCGGTTCTATCTTGATGTTTTGAAATTCTTGCAAATTGTAACTGTCATGCCGCTGCAAGGGCTGACGGGCCGAAGCATCCCCCAGGTATAACTCATATAGGGTACGGGCGCCAATAACAGCTGCTAGTTGTTATTGTGGATGATGTTTTAAAAGCATAGATATGTATTGTCAAAGATATATAACATATCTATCACTTCTACTACCGTCATTCAGAAATTGTTGAATAGATGCTCGAGATTCATTCAAGGGGTTCATATGGAGCAGCAAATTGTCACCATGTTGCGAACAAATAGGAACAATTTTTTCTCAGAGGCTCCGCGAAGGACTGTTGACAATTTCCTAATGATAATGGTATCAATTAAATTACTGTCTAAATATAGGCTTTCTGCCCATTACGGCGCTTGATAGGGGAATCTATAAATTTTGTTTCCCAATTAGCAGGGCGTTTAAATAGTGGAGACAACTTTGAAAGTGGTTCTGAACCAAAACAGCATCAAGCAAATGTTGACCATACCTGCCTACTGCTTGAGGCCATGCTGCAAGTGTCACCAATGATGTGGGAATAGCACCCTGAGAGGTGCTAAAATAGCAGCACAGTGCTAATCTTAGATCACATTCACCAGTCAACAGTCTCAACTAATCGCCTGGATATCCCTTTTTTACGTAAAAGTCAGAGCATTATGCCTGTGATGCACCACATAAGCGCCGAGCCTGCAAGCTAAATACTGGTAATCAACAATGTATAACTTTTCATTACGTTTTTAGGGGAATGATGCCACAAATGATTCAATGCATGGTCAAGAATGGCCCACCCAGTCCAATCATTTTCGCCTTCAATAACCTGGGCTATTAATAATGCTCTTGATGCACATCTGATGTACCAGGAGTGATTGGAGCTCATTCGCTTGATGATTAGCCTGGTCAGATTCTATGCAACTACTGATACACCACCCTGAGAGAATGCGTAGCCGTTCTACATAGCATGTCCCTGGCCATTACATTTATAAAACCCCATGGATCTCCCTCGAGTAACTAAAAGGATGTCATTCGATTTGATTTTACACTATTTTCCTTTGCATTTCATTATTGCCAACTTCCACTAAGCTCAATATTGTGCGAGAGTCATAATAATGTCTATTAGTCGAGCTTTTTCTACCACTCGTCAGACTGCTATGAAATGGCTGGGCTATGATAAAGACAAACTTGTCAGCCCTTTCAAAGAAGCCGCTGTTAATTATGCCCAGAATGGTGCAGTCAAGGTATGTCATTAGAAATAACTATTTGAAATGTCTATTATTAATAGCTTTTTAGAAAGTTGGTGAAATAAAATCCATTGAAATCTTGTAATTGCTCTGGCAGATCCATTTCCTCTGGTTTCTATACTGATGAAGGATCACGTAGGCATCGCAATGATGGCACGAGCCCCGTTCACCAGTCTCGCTACAACACCAATGACAAGGAGCTGATTATCAGCGCCCGAATTACGCCGCTTATTGGATCAGCAAAAACTCACCACATCTATGCAAATGGCACTGGCACCATGGGAGTGGGTGATAAAAGGGAGTATTCAACATCTGCGATGCAAACCTCCTGACAAACCCTACTTCTTCAATGTTTTTGGCATACTAGTTAGAATTGAGGGCATGGGACAAACTTGGTCAGAAATTTAATTATGAGAATTGCTTTTACGTATTCGGTTGAAAGTAGAGGTTATTTGATGAAAAACAGAAGTTAATGTTGTTTGAAGTGAAATCTATTTATTTGAGAATTGATGATAATTTACTTGATGCAACAGGAATTATCAATGTCTCCATGTCATTGATAATTAAAGAGAATAAATCCATCGTTCAGCAGAGATGCTGTTAAGCCTGAGTTACAGTTGAATGGGGTTCAAGAAGTCTTTTGGCCAGCGCTGTTGCTCAGCCAGTTCCGATCATGATAACTAGAGATTATATGTAATAAGAGCTCAGTTAACTACCACCAATCGATTAGTTACCAGCAACTCAACTAGTTAACTAGCGTTTGGCCACTGGACGAATCAATGTAGACCCCCAACAACTACGCCGTAGTTAGTTAGACCAGCGTGACTGACTAACACATTATATAAGCACATCATCATGCCATCGGGATAGAGATGAGTGAAGGAAGTTCAACAGAAACACACCACGATAACCAACATAAATACTCCAGCCCAGTCCACAGACGCATCTAATTAGCTTCGCCATCGTGTCTCATTGTTTCATTTTCATTTTTCTAGTACATTTACTTGCAAGGACCTGCTCATATATGGCAAATACCTCGACACGCCCCTCCATCGGCATTGGCATTGGAATTGTCAGTTCAATTCACAATCATTCGCCTGTTCCTACCACGCAACACAGGCATTCTCTGTCTGGTCCACGCATTTCGCGGAATTATTCTTGCTGACCTGAGACCTTGCGAATAATCGGATAGCCCCCGGATCTTTCATCGCCATTTCCAACATTTCAACTCTTGCCATCAGCTGGATACTTGATCTTACTCCTCTGCATCCCGGAGTCTGGAACTCTATAGAAGCTTCCCGGTGAATCTCATAGCCGCAGATCCATATTTCCAGGATGGCGAGGGCGGCGACGCCTCAGATCATCTCTGATATCCAAAATCCCGACTCAACTGCTTCACGGATTGAGGCTCTGCGGCTGTTGAAAAATGAGATTATCGGGCATGATCAAAGAAAGGAAGCCTGGATTGGATGGGGTATCATTCCGTTATTATCGCAGATTTTAGCAGGCCGAAGAGGGGCGGGCAAAAAGACTACCGGCGGAGAGGTTAATGGACATACAAGACGTCAACATTTGGCAAGGAGCAGGAGCGGTAGATCGGATGATGATGAAGTTTGCTTACAAGCCATTCTCATTATTGGCAGCTTAGCCCAAGGTACGCTGTTTCTAGTCCAGCTTGCTGTTTCCTTCTGCTGCTGCTCCTCCTTGAGGGAAAAATATATCATTGCAGTTAAAGTTCAATTTTCCTCAAATAATCTCTGAGGCTCTAATGTCAGTAAAATAGGGGGTCCTCCATTCATCTCTCCCATAGCCGCAGGGGGCATTTTCCCATTGCTTCTGTCAATATTTTCCTCGCCAGACTGCCATCCATCACTTTTCCTTGCCGTCCTTGAGACCCTCAATACAATCGCAGATAGATTCCCTTTATACCAGCAGCAAAGCTTGCCACATGCCAAACAGCTATCTTCCCTCCTCTACTCTCGAGACCACGTTGAGACTCTTCGTAGACTTCTAATCGGCTCGACATCCTCCTCTAGCCAGCGGCCCGTTACCCTTGCTGCCAATTTAATTGCAAAAACATGTTCAGAAGAGAGTTACAAGGCTGTACTGGGGGAGTCCGGTGTGCTGGATGCACTAGCTTTCAAACTTTCTACCTTTGTGGTTGCCCAGGGATTCGTTCTTCCTGGTGCGGAGAATAATATTATGGACCCTGGCGCTCTGAAAACCTTGCCACCTGCTGCACCGCCAAACGCGCAACTAGCTCCTATTCTCAGAGCCATTACCGTAATAATCGAAAATTCAAAGTCTCGCGCAGAGCACTTTGTCTCATCCCCCGCGGTGGTAGCCGTTTTTCCTAAGCAGATCCCTGAATTTTCCCCTAATGATATCAAAAAGTCTCCATGGGGGGCAACATATTTCTCGGGGTTCGCCGTTCCTCGCCACAGTGCCACGAATCCAATCGATGCAATCCTACCCTCTGTCCCAGCTGCACAATCTAAAAACTCGAATTTTCCGCCTCTCGGATCTCACACCTCATTTGGGAGACAGAGCAATTTCTTTAATCCGCCCCTTTCTTTTTCGGAAACTCCCTCATCAGATGAGGATGAAAGTGCCCTCATATCATGGCTGTTTACCGTTATCCGATCTGAGTCGGGTCAGACTCGCCTCGTAGCGGCGAGGCTGGCAACGCTTCTCTTCCGGTTAGGATTAGCAAAAAAACATCGAGTGCCAATGTTCGGCTACTTATTGATCCCACTCCTAATTCGCATATTTGAGAAGGATTACGAAGCGCCTGGAGATGTCAGCATTCATGAAAGCGCGCTGATATCGACAACCCTAAGAGCCAAAGAAGAGGCGCCAGCGATTCTTGCGTCGCTAGTTATGGATAGCCGTGAACTCCAAAAGCATGCAGCGGAAGCCGAGGCGATACCCAAGCTCTCTCAAATGCTTAAAGAGACTTTCAGTCCGATTTCTGAGGCAGCAAAGCCTATGTGGAATTCAGATAAAAACCTTGCCACAACATCAAATCCCACTCAGCCAGAGCTATGCCTTGGACCTCGCGGTTGCTCTCCTGCGGTGTACCACAGAATGAAAGTTCGCGAAGGAGCTCTGAAAGCCCTCGCTGCATTGTCGCTTTTTAAGGAAGATTACCGAAGAATGATCTGCGACAATGGCGTCGTGCCATATATTATCGATTCAATGAAGCCATGTGAAGAAGATTCTCTAGAAACGCTCGACTGTAACCCACCTTCAACGCTCCTTGCAGCATGTGCAGCTGCAAGGTCCCTAACACGATCTGTGAGCGCCCTGAGGACAAACTTGATCGACGCTGGTGTGGCTACTCCAATGTTCACATTAATCAAATTTCGGGATATCGCTGTACAGATTGCCGCAACGTCCGTGGTGTGCAATCTGGCAATGGACTTTAGTCCTATGAAAGATGTATGCCAAATGTTTTATTTCCTTTCTCTTTTTGTCATCTCTCTTTACATACATTATATAGGGAATGTCCCTTTCTTCCCCGATTCCTCTGCCGCTCTGCCACCTTGACGCTAACTATGGTACGTGTTCTAGGCCATTATAGGAGCGAACATGATACCCATACTTTGCGAGCATTCACACTCATCCAATACTAGTCTACGACTAGAATCCATTTGGGCTTTGAAGCATATTGCTTACAACTCCACAAATGACATTAAAATGAAGATAGTTGAAGAACTTGAACCCGGGTGGTTAAAGCAGGTCATTTGCCACGACCCAGGCGACCCGCCAATCCGGAGGAAAGGGGAAGATGACATGGGTGGTACATCTTCTCTTGGAATGGAGGCGCCGAACTCCGCTGGAGAACGAGTCGACATTCTCAACCCTATGGATGGGGTTGAAGGAGAAACAACACCAGGCCAGGATGGGGACCATAGCATGGCAAATACCGTCGTGTCGCCCAAACCAACAAGTCTTGATGTTTCCCTCATTGATTACTCCAGACGACGGAAGCTTGCTGTTAGTGGCGACCTTGATCAAACGAAACAAGCTCGACGGGATGATCTGCAAGTTCAAGAACAGACGCTTGACTTGCTCCGAAACCTGATCTGTGGTGTAGGCGCACCAGAAATGATCGATTATCTCTTCCAGGAAGTGGGTCAAAATGACCTCTTCAACATTCTTGCAGACAAGTTACGCCCAAAGCCGATTGCTAAATACGGCGGCCGCAAAGATTCCTTATCCTCTTCGTCCAAGTACATCCCCGTGCCAACAGAGATTCTCTGCTCCGTCACATATATTGTGATCCATATCGCGGCTGGCCTGCCCCGACACCGGCAGCTATTAATTCAACACCCCACTTTATTAAAGCTTATGATGCCCCTGTTCAACAACCCAGATAAACAGGTGCGAGTGAACTGCGTGTGGGTAGTTATCAATTTGACAATTGCAGACGATCAAATGGATCATGCCAGCTGCTGCGAGCGGGCGATGAAACTCGAGAGCCTGGGCGTGATGGAAAAGCTCCTTAGTTTGGAGAACGACGCCGAATCAGATGTGAAAGAGCGGACCAAAACCGCCCTATCCTTGATGCATGCTTTGCTTCAGTGACATCATCACTAAATCCATGAAATCATGTAATGAAAATGGGAACTAGTGTGTATTGCAACTCAACTAACCGGGTCTTTTTTTCTCCTTTTTCCGTCCTTTTTGTTATTTTTACCACTAGAATTTTTTATTTTATATTAAAAAGACCTCGTTTTGAGGGTTTTAACCCACTCCTCCTTTCTCTTCATTTCATTTCTCCCTCATAAAGCTATTTTATAAGTTTGTTATTGTCTTCCTTCACAGTTTATATAGCATTCGTCCATAGCCTACGATGAAGCTTTCATTATCGTACTCGGTTTTGCGACCTTCCTACCATTTTGTAACCACTAAAATCTTCGCCCTTATTCATCTACTGGAACACTTTGAACCGAACCTCGTCTTATAGCTCGCAGCCACATCTCCCCGCCCTCTGATCTTTCCTCCCAATTACACTTCAAGGCAGCCCGTTTTATGCCTAATCTGAGCGCAATTCTTTTCTTCTTCAACATTTTTGGCTGTAATTATCGCTAAGCTTCTAGTTCCATACATAACACAGGAATCCAGGGAAACTAAAAGGAAAGAGGGAAAGGAGAACAAAATTGCGGCGAAAGGGAAAAAAAATTAATATCCAACACAGAGGGGCGTATGGGATGAGAATGCCGGGGCGCCGTATGGGATATCCAATAATTTGCATTGTGGTTCTTTCTTGCTTTAGTTTATATCCAAAGGCGAATTTTGCAGATTTGAAGTGTTGCTGTTACAATTCATTTCTCCGCTTCTTTTATTTATGTATTATACATGTATGTTGCCTCTGGTATCCTCAGTGTGGTGTGGCCCTTTGCCGAGGCAAGCAGCTGTCGTTCCAGTCTCCCTTCGAAAAATAAACACACCTGCATAATTCAGCAGATATTCCTGTTACTGCTGTGATCTAATGGTATGAATGGGGTTTTTGCTTTGGGCCCCCCCTTTTTTTTCCCCTTCTCTGCTCAAAGATCGCTGCATACCGTACATCATCACGTACATAATAGATTGAGTAAACTTCCATATAATATATGTATATATAGGGTAGGAATATAATTTCTTGACATCTGCCAGGCTGCGTTTCATCAGCTTTTGATCGCGAAGTTATATTTCAGTGAAAACGTCATGCATCACCACGTACTGCGTGCACAAATGGCACTCTGCAGTGTTCCTTGTAAGAACCTTGTCTCTTGGCTATGATATTGGCTAGTAAAGTGAACTAAATGCGCGAAAGAGTGGGGTTGGCCATCCTAGAACTAAACAAGCAGGATGAAACAAAATGGAAACCATTTATGCGACTTCATAACAGCCAGTTTTTCAGGGAAAAGAAAAGATAGGTGGAGGGATGGCGGGGTACAAGGAAAGGAAAGAAGAAGAGTAATAAAAAATAAGGAAAAGGAAGGAAAGAGATAAACGTCACCGTGCCCATTCCTGCGTCGCTATATTCTCATAATACACCTTCTCACTGAACGTATTCTTAAAACTCTCCCTCCCCTTGATTGCGGCCTCCCACTTCCTCCACCGACGCCAAACACCCTCATCCTTCCCTCCCTCGCCCTCCGCAGGGATCCCAGTCCCGCCCTCCTTAAACTTCTCCACCATAAAGAATCTCGCCACCCACGGCGCCAGCGCAATATCCGGCAACCCAATCTCCTCGCCAAGGAAATAGGGGCCCTCCGGATCCATCTCGAGCGTGAATTCCTTAACAGCCTTTAGGAACTCTGCGCGCGCCGCGTCCCGCTCCTCTGTGCTCTTGGCATATTGAATCTTGCGGTAATTGGGGGTGATGCGGGAGCCGACAAAGTCGATCCAGATGCGGGCGCGGGCGCGCTCGAATGGGTCCTTTGGGAGGAGATGTGGGGTGTGATCCGGATAGGCTTCTTCGAGGTATTCATTGATGATGTTGGATTCGTAGAGGGGTTTTGTGCCCTGATTATTGGGCAAGGGGGCGCCAATGGTGGGCACGAGGCCCTTGGGGTTTAAAGCGAGAAGGGAGGGAGACTTGTCGTATGGGTTTGTTTCGATGTATTGGTAGGGAATCTTTTTCTCTTCGAGAGTGATCCATGTGCGTTGAGCTGAGTGGGAGAAGGATTTTCGATGTTAGTTGTTTTCTAGGGTAGATATTATGATATGTTTGTCTTGAATGGTGCGGTTTTTGTTCATTTCGTACCATATCTAGCAGTTAAGTTAGGAACTGAGCATAGTACTTTAACCTAGAACGAAAATAATATGGGAACGCACGGGCAAAACCAGCCAGCGTATAACTTCAATGGCTGCTCAGCGACATGTTTGTCTGCAAGAGCCTTTGCGGCACCAGTTGCAACGGGATGTCGAACGACCTGCGGCATTGCGGAGAAGTTAAACCGGGGTTAAGGTGTCTTTACCGGAAGGCCTCGGTTATAAATTGACAGAGAGTAGGAGGATAAAATATATGAAGGAAGTTGAGAAGCCAAAAAGGAGAATATCGCCAATGTATATATATATAGGCTCTGAGGTTGATCTATGAAGGTCAGTGAGGGGATATGCTCGTAATTGGATGTAACACGGCTAGGCCCGGATTCTACCCGTTAGAAATCAAAAGACTGAGAAACGATCAACTCTTGCAGGGTCACTTGGTCCATGATGCAATCCGCGCTCGTATTGACGGCTTTTTGTGGTGGTTCGGTAGTGGGAGCTAATTGCCGAACCTTGGATGGATTTGTCACCGAAAGGGCCAGGCTCGGCAATGGCCCTCTTGCCGTTGGTTGACCTTCTTGTTTCTACTGCATTAGCTCGCTGGATGGATGAAAACATGCAAAAACATGCAACTGAGACCACCGGCGCCCAGGGAGGGATTGCTACAACTGAACAAGCCAGCTGGCTACCTATGGGTGCCCGGAAACGGATTGAGGTACGGCCTTCAGGCACAAGTTTCTGCATTATCACTTAACTGACCGTGTTACTAGCTGACATAGCAACCCGCCTCATTCTCCTACCTCCATTTGGATTACTGATAGTTCCTGTGTGCCCCGTTACTCATTTCTTTAGGTCGTTCTTGATTGATCGCACAGCATTGATTCAAATACCTTTTCATGCTGGGCCTGACAGCCCACCTCAACGCCCTTGTGATTCTTTCAAAGCTTTTCAAAATTATCTGCGAGGACGGAGAAGCGAAGCATATGTATGTGCAATACCACTTGTGATAGGTTAATTGAGGCGGTTGAGAAGGGAAATACTTTATCGAAGAAGAAATCTAGAATGGAAAAAACAGCAGTCCCCACAAGCCAGGCTCTGGCTTGAATGAGAAACCCGTAGAGCGACTTTCCCCTTCAGAGACGATCGTGGATCATCTCTTTCCTTTTCCTTTTCTTTTTTTTTTTTTCAGAGAAAGCGACTTTGAGAGCTTACGAGATTCTCTTTGCAGTCGAGAGCACACCGCCCTCAGCCATTCATCATCGTCTAGTACCTTCTTCCTTCATCCTCAATTCACTCCCTGGACCAGGCGCTGAAAAATCGAAGAAAGGGGCCCACTGACAAAAACATTGGGAAATGCTCTATTTTTTTTGTAGCCCCGAGTTTCGTTGCAAAAGGAGAATGTTGTAGATATCATCTTTATTGCCTGATCAGTCAGCGTCCTAGTCAGTATTCACAATGGAAAAAGAGTATGTAGCTGTACAGTACAAAGAGAAATTCGCTAGATTGCTAGCGGGCAGAAAATATAACAGGAAGAAAACATATGCAAGATAGCTCTGGAAACCTCCACAAGCAAACGTCTTGTTGTTGCTAGTACCGGACACTTTTCTCCAAGAAATAGCCTCTTGCTTTAAAAAGATCCTTTTCTTCCCAGGAGCCAAAATCGAATTTCACAGTTTACTATTTCTCTTCTTTCTTAGCAGGTAAGGTTTCCCTACCTTGACCTTGTTCATATTCAGGACGGAGAGTCTTCCAAGGTTATATGCTTAATTCGCGTGCGTGAGCTGCGCATAGTAGAGACCGTCACCCTGGAGACAACCCCAGTGTATATATTCTCCACCCCCTCTCGAACCTCGCAGTTTGCAGTCTCACACCACTTTGCAAGATGTTCCAATGCAAGATCTGCGGGATCTGCTTGCAGTTCCACCAGAATTACCTTCACCACACCCTGACAGGTCGAGCACTGCAGTGTTGTAATTGCACCGGGATTTTTGATAGCGTGTGTACTCTAAGGAGTCATCGACGGCTCGCCCACCCCAGGTAAAACCCACTTGAAAATAAAGATATCGTTTTGGTCCCCGAGGCATCGGATATCACTGACACAGTACATCTATATATTGGCAGGGAATTCGAAGAAAGCCGGAGAATGAAGCACAATGCCGATATTGCAACAACATTGGAGTTTCGCCAAGAGAGCTCCAAAACCGTTGGTGATTCTGCCTACAACAATATGGGCAACGAAATTACCTCTGAACGAGCCAGTGATACTGCCTCTTTAGCTGTCAAGGTGACTGACAGGGAGGTCAGCCGGCACAATATAGGGAATGGTTCCCCACAAGCGTGCAGTCCTCCGGTTGACGATTTCAGTATACAGGTTCTGAAACCCGCTCCACCCAATACCCCAGACTCGGATATTCAAAAAGGGGAAGGTTTGATAGATATTAATGGACCGGATGAGAAACAAAGCGATTTAGACAAAGCAGTCGACGCGCTGATAGCGTCGATTAGGAAACGAACTCAGCAAGAGGAACATGCCACTCTCGTGAAAGTGGATGAGTATTGCATGCCACCCAATCTTCCTTCCACAGTTTCTACCCAGGTGAAGAATGACGTGCCCAATGAAACTTCAGAGAGCATGGCAACTGCAAAATCCGAGTTGGCAGTATATAACAAGAAAACTGAGAATACCAGTGAAAGAACGTCACCCGGTTCAAGAGCCCCAACACGCGTTTATACGCCGCAACCTGAAAATTCAGATCGAATTAAGAGGGTCAAACACAACGGAACGAAACCATCCGGAGGCCCAGCAATCTCCATGGCGGTGGATCCTTTTCAATCACATCAGGGCTCAGAGTCGAAGCAGCAAGAAAATCCCGGAGTGCGAATCGTCTGTTTCGATTGTGGTGTTGCCTTCAGCACGCTTATCGGTCTCCAGCACCACCAAATCATGTACGAGCACAATTATTGCAAAGTATGTCTCAGCTTCTTCAACGACCGCTCGCTATTCGAACACCACATTCAGTTGGTCCACAATTTCAAATGTATAGAGTGCCCATTGACCTACAAGACCTGGGAAGAAAAAGCAGAGCATCAACGCCAGACTGGTCACGGGTATTGCACAGAGTGTAGTAGCTACTTTTTGGACCGCGAGAGCCATGCCAAGCACCTCAGTCTTCATAAAAGCACAAAGTTTGCATGCCCAATCTGCAATGCCAGCTTTGGAACCGAGCAAAGCCGGGTCATGCACCAGACTGCAACCAAACACGCGTATTGTAACGAATGCGGGCGCTATTTCCATGACGGAGCAAGCTATGCAAAACACGTCAATGTCCATAATGCAACCAGCTTCGCCTGTCATATCTGTGGAATGGGATTCATGACGGAAGATCATCGAGACGCCCACCAACGAGAGAGGAATCATGGTGTCTGCTCACAATGTGAGGCAGTCTTCGCAGACAAGGTGAGCGAGAAAAGCCATAAGGGAGTTGCTCATAAACACAAATGCCAGATCCGTGGCTGCAAACTTTCTTTTGTGACACCTGATCTCCTGGCGACTCATAAAGCAAAATCACACCCTTTTTGCAGAATATGCACTCGTACATTCGTGGATAAAACGGCGCTCCTAAACCACGAGCGAACATCTGCGAAGCATGCCAAACCCCAAGTCTTGAGATAGGGCTTCAAAGGAGGGAAGATTAAACACAACCAAGGACATCGTGCTAGAAATTGTCTTAATGAAATGTTCGTCTCTCTCTGTACTTTATGAAATCTCTCTGAGTTGTCCAAGAATTATGTAGAATAGTCTGGTGGAGTGTTAGAGGAAAGCAATTGTATGTAGTCGAGTAAGCTATCCGGAGAAACCTTTGATCCGGGCCAGGTCCAACATCACGAACTTTTTTGTTCTACCTTCCAGTGCAGAGACAGAGGCAATGACAAGATAAATGTCTGTGACTGTTTTTCCTCTAACGACCTAGAAAATGGCGCCTGCGAGGAGTGAGGCCGCGCCACATGATACAAGCAATAATGTTCATCCAACTATTCCTCCGCCTGCAGGACCCCATCCCTCTTACATCCAGGTTGCGAAGCCCTATGTCTTTGAGCGGACTGTCCATGAATGTATAGCAGCCACTGGCGTTGACCAGCTCAGGGAAGACAACATTCGACTCCAGGGCATCACCTGGATCGATAATGTCCGGAAAGCTCTTCATCTGTATGTGTGGGCTTTCAATCCATTTCCTGGTTTATTCTCTTTCTTTTATTCTTCTTTAAGCCGTTCGACCACTGATATATCCGGTACAGACCAGTCCGCACTTTCAACACTGCGGCTATTTATTATCATAAATTCAGGCTTGTACACCCGGAAAGCGAGTACAACTATCTCGTATGTCTGATTCCTTATCAAATTTTTGGCTTCTCATTCTTACTCTTGACCTTAAAAAAAGGATGCGGCAGCAGCAGCGCTCTTTATTGCGTGTAAGATTGAGGACACTCTCAAGAAATCGCGTGATATCCTCTGCTCAGCGTATAATCTCAAGCTTCCGCCAGCAGAACACCTCTCTGCAGATGATCCGGTAGGTTTCCTCCTTGAGTGGAACCAGCCGATTTTCCGGGTTCACTGACTTGATATTACGCCACAGTTGTTTGAATCCCATTCACGCGGGATAATTGGCCTGGAACGGCTTATGCTAGAGTCATCGGGATTTGACTTTCGCAACCGCCATCCCCAAAAGCCACTTATAAAACTAATAAAGCATTTTAATTTTGACAAGAATTCGAAAACGTCGCGAGTCGCGTATGGCATGAGTCTTGACCTTTACAGAACCTTTGCTCCTCTAAAACAGACTTCAGCAACTATGGCCTTTGCATGTCTGGAGCTGGCGGGTCGGCTTCTCAACGACCGCCATGAACGCGTCGAGTCCGGGAGGGTATATAGACTCTGGCTAACCTCTCGCGAAGAAATAATGGGTAAGCTCTAAACCCATTTGTCTCAAAAATTTTTAGCAAACATGAGATTAAATACAGGATTTAAACTCGGGCCGCTAATATCATTCCACACAGAGACGATGCTCGACTTACTCGAACTCTACACGCATAATCGCAGCTTAACCTCCATTGGTCCTGATTTTCCCCTCGACCTCTTCCTCAATATTCGAATCCCGCTCAATCAAGAGGCAGATTCTAAGAAGTTCCCTCGCTTCACCTATTGGGAGTCCAAAAAGTCGAGCACCAACGGTGTCAAAACATCGAACGGGGCGAAATATAACGGCGACGGTCCCAAGACCGGACGTCTGGCAAACCCTCTAACTCCCATGGCGGCTCACGAATCACGAAGCAAGGCAGGTGAACGAGGTCGCGAAGGCACCATTCGATTCATGCTCTATCCTGAACAAGCGAAGGCGGAACGGGAAACTGTTGCGGCATACTTCAAGGTGGAGATGGAGGAGTATGAGGAGGACGAATAGGCTATGACGTTTCCTTGACACACTATGTGTATCACGTTTGAGATGGCATTTTGCGTTGCAACTCGCAATTGCAGCCATCGGCAGTGGGGTGAGAAAGAATTGAGACCTTCGAGCCTATCAGCGGTGGCCGGATGTATAATCCTTCCATGAGACGACGGTATTCCTCTCCTGGCAGAGATAATATATCAAGGCTCCGCGCACGGATGCCATCATATTCAACGGCTCCACCTCTTGTACTCATTGAGCACTCATTGAGCACTCTTGCCGAGGAACATCATTCCTGATCCTTACTTCGATACCGGGATCTCAGCTACACACAAGTACGAGCCGGACAGTCGATGGCACCAGCGCGCGCTCTCTCTTCTACTGACACGACCAAGCCAAGAAGCAATGGTCGTTATGTGGAGCAAAAGTGCAGCCTAAACATTACCACGGGACATTGGATAATCATGGGCACCCCTCCAACGAATGAACAGGCATACATCCTTCCCAAAGCTTTGTCCCTTCACCCGGGCTGTATTTTTCCATTTTTATGCTCCAATTTATTCCTACGGAAATACATGCCTCTCGTACCTAACCTCCATCCACAAACTACACCTTGACCTTAGCACGTCACTGCCTGTATGTGTAATCCGGAGTCTCCGTCTCCCTCTGGAAACAACGTACTTTCCATATCAAATCAAGAATACAACAATAATCTAACCTTTTCTGTTCCCCCTTCCCTGGATCTCCTCAGCAAATGTCTTCGTGGCGCACCACCCTCCTTTCTCTTCCTCCACTCCCCTCCACTTTGAGAGTTGCACAGCTAATATATCGGAGAGGGCACCCAGCAGGCGGGGTTCTAGTAGGATAAGATTGAGATAAGAAGAAAATCAAGGGAAACCCCACTTTTACCTATTGTCCCTTTCACACGGTGTACTATATACATTTTTTGCATATACCCACTCATAGGCGAGGGAGACATATAGAGATGTCTGAACACGCTATCATTTCATTGATGAAATTATACGTTCATATTCACGACACAGTTTGGACAAAAACACAACCGGTTTACGCATTGCATTCTCACCATGTAATTTATTTATTTACCCTGGCACATCCTCAATTATAGATTTCTCAACAAACCTCAATAGTTATATGTCTTCGCTTCCCTTCCCTTTTATGTACGTACGCATGATGTCTTAGCCGTCCCGGCTTCAAGGATGTTGGATGAATCAAGCCTCGGCAATTAAAGAAAGGTATTTTATTTACGTCATTCATCTTCCGGTCCTCATTCAATTATTGATGCATCCAGATTTTACCCAACACAACTACCACCAGGGTTCGAAGACATCGAGACCTATTTTGGAACTTCGGTAACCAGTCTCAAAGTATCGAAAAGCGAATGGTATTGAGGAAATAACTAGTGGGTAAGGGGGTTGAATGTGATGGAAATTGAAAAGAACTATCTATCTGTTCAAGGCAAGGAAAAATGCATTTGAGTATTAAATCAGTCATCTTTCGCTACGACAGAGCTCTCTCTCTCTCTCTCTCTCGCTTTCGCTCTCTCACTCACTTCAAAAGACCAGTCCATATCTAAAAAAGATAGAAATAAAGATGAGACACGGAACCCATTCTCGCCTCCCGTCCCTTTCCTACTCTCTCAGCCACACTCACAAAACCAATAAGACACAAGAACTGTTACTTAGTAGAAAAAAGCAGTAACTATAGGGGTAAATAACATGCAAAATAAGAAAAGAAGCCTGGAACTTGAGTGTGATCGGAGAAGAAGTGCATAAAAGAGAACAACAAGCGAGAAATAAAAATTAACAGAAAAGAGATGCAATGGCAATTAGAATGAGTATCATTTTTAAATAAAAACAAGAAAAGAAAATAGAAAAAGTGTTTATAATGTCATTGAATAAAAGAAGACAAAAAATCCTAACACGAAAAAATACAATTTCTGTTGATAAGCAGCTTAAAGATGCAATTCAACTTGTATAGTTGCATTTTCTCCCAATTTCAACATATAAATTAATCAAGCAATCAAGAGAAGGAATCCAAGGCTAGGGGGATGACCTAGACGACAAGCGTCTCAGAAGGGAACACAAAAGAAAAAGGACAAAGAAAAGGTAGTATATATGATCGCGGTCCAGGACAGAGAAAAGGCACTTGTTTTAGGAAAGAAATGGAAGCGAGCAAACGGGTTAAATTTCGTCGTAACGAGATGCAAGGCGATATAGGAGAATAAGTAAGAAAAGGGGCTTTGTATAAAGCGACGTGAAAATACTAAAATAAATCGAATTGAATCAAAAGCCAAACATAAGAAAATGGAATCTGCGAAGGGGGTTCAAAAAAGCAAGGATCAATAATTTCATAGACACAGACGATTCTTGGGGAGATTTAGGCGGGAGAGGAAGTTTGATCATGATTCGGAGGAGTGGGGGGGTATTAAGCAGCCATGTAACTATATATATTGCTGTATAAGGCGAATCTCTATCGGTTTACGCGGAAATCTTGGCTGAGGCATTCGAACATCTAAGAAATGGTTAAAGTAATAAGTAGGTATTCGCCAGGAGGAAAAATGGGGATTGGGGTGAGGGAGGTCCTTTCTTATTGCTTACATTTTCGGAAACCTCTCCTTGATTGTATAGATACTTGCTCAGGCCCCGAATAACCTCTAATTGCTGATCAACGGTCAAACCATTGATGGCCATCTCGATAACATTCCCCACACTGGCCTTGTAAACAGCAATAAAACTATGGTAATACATGTATGCGAAAAAACCCATGATGAATTGGCAGTCCATACGATCAGTGATGCCGCCGTGGCCGGGAATCGATTCGCCAAAGTCCTTTACTTTAAAGGTACGCTTCAGTCCCGAGGCAAAGAAGCCACCAAATGGGGCAATTAGAGATGCAAAGGTTGCGAAGACGAAGATATGGATTTGCATGGGGGCCAAGTGGACGGTTTTGGGAGGTGAATCTGTCCAAGGCGTCCAGCTCGGCAAGTGATATGGTCGTGGCGTGAAGACGGGGTTTGGGATGCATTCCAGACCAGTCAAGGCGTTAGAGCCAAGATCGTTGACGGGGCAAATAAAGTATTTATATTTCATAAGAACATTGGTCATGCCGTAGCCGAATAGGATAGTGCATATCCACGCGCCAACGAAGCCTTCAACGGTCTTCTTGGGGGACAATTTGATGAGCTGCGTGCGGCCGAAGGTAATGCCGCAGATGTAGGCAAAGATATCGTTGGTGATCACAAGAGATACAGGAAGGAAGAACCAGATCATGCCTTCGAAAATGTTGTTCATGATAAAATGAGCCTGGACCACGATGAGGTAGAGAGCCATGTGTGTCCAAGCAAACTGGGTAAATTGAAATCTGTAATGCCCCTTCTGGAGTGACCCCACAAAGAAGACAAAACCTGACGCGCCACATAGATTAGCAATAGATTCAGCGTGCTCCACACTTGCTAGTGTAACCAAGGAATGAACCAACCCATAACGTAGAGCATGAAGCTGAGAAATCGATGGTGCGTAGCCAGAGGTAGTAACACTTTATCGACGAGTAGGATGTGCTTGAAATAATATATCACGCTCTCTCCATACAGAAAATACATTGTCGTTGCAAGGAAGTACCAATTGAGCGACTTGGTGAACTTGAGGTTCTTGGCCTTGCTGGGGACGTTTGCAATAGCGATGACCTCCTTGAACGAAATGATCTGGACAACCGTGATGATGGCAATGAGATAGATGTGGCCGGAGAACATGGCAATGAAGAAACCTGCGATCATAACAAATGTCCATATCGTCCGGGTTATGAAAGTCTGTTTCTTCTTTTCGTATTCGGAGACAGTAGGCTCGTTGGATTTCTACAGCAGGCAAGGAAACGACCATAACGCGGTTAGCATTCCAGTTTCAAAAGGGCTCTAGCAGCATATACTCAAATAGACGCACCTCTTCCGAAATCCCTTCATTTCCTCTCGAAGCCCCATTTTTGTTGGGACTGGGGGGTTCTGATATGTCGCTGAGGTCAGAGCTCTGCCTGGCGTCAGTGGTAGCGGCCCGATGCTGGAAGCGGACATTTCTTCGCGGCCTGCCCATCATTGAGGCGGAATAGAATGGATAGGCCTAGGGATGTCGAACCAGGCGTCTAGAGATCCCAGACAGCCTTCGTAGCTGGAGGGCGAAGAGATACAGGAGGGGAAAGGAGGGGATGGTGTGGAGGAGCAGGAAGCTGGAAAAACTGAGGGAGTTGGTGAGAGAATGTTGTAGGAACAACAATTCCCCCGAGGATGACGGAAGAGCTGAGGAAGCCAGCCAAAGGACGATTTGGAGCTGGATGGCCCATAAGTAAATAATTAAGGCTGGAATATATTTCTTATTTCTTTCTCTTCCGTTTACTGCTCTCGTGTCTTCTCAAGTTACTTATTTAACTAAGTGATACAACAAATACCTTAAATACTCGTTCTCCACTCCACAGCCTCGTCTCGTCCATCAACAACTCCCCGCGCAACGGCAAACCGCCTTGAGAACCCGTTCACCCTGCAGCCAATACCCTCTCTCAGGCGAGAAGACAATTGAGCGTAATAGCCGATTGATAATACATCCTCCACCTCTCACCAGAATTTGAGCGGAGAAACGCTACTGACAACCTGGCACGTCTTCCTCCACTCAATTTTCCCTACGAACCATCCAAATACCTGCGAACAAGCTGCATTGGATAATGTAATGTGTGCTGGAGCAATAGGGCGGCAGAATTGAGATATCCTCGCCGTACTGTCTTTATTTGGAGCCAACGGGGGAGCATCTTGCGGGCTAATCGCCCTGCAGAAACCCTTGTCCGATGGAATGGACAACGATAAGGATAATGACAGTTTCTCTGACGACGGAATTGACGAATTGCCTCCCGGGACCCTTCTAGAACTCGAGAGGAATGCATACCAGGCGTCGCAGCCGCAACGCCCTGATTCCAGAAACAGCAGTATCCATATCCCTCCAAACGCCGGAAATCCAAGCTTTGCTTCCCTGGCCCGCGGAGCTATCTCCCGGCCTGCCAGCCGCACTCTCAGCCATGGGCCCGTCTTGCAGGATCCTTCACGGCTCCTGCGCCCGCCATTGAGTTTTGGAGATGAAGATTTTGAAGATTTGGACGCTGGGGTACTAGACGATGGTTATGGCCCGGCTCCGGTTGAATTACAAAATGCAATGTTCCTACAAGATAAGGTTAATGATAGACTACATCCTGGGGCACAGGAGGTTGGGCCACGTCCAGATCATGGAGCAAAAAACATTGCAAATGGAAATACCGCTGGTCCCGCCGGTCCCGCCGCGCAACACGCAATGTCACTTGGGGACACTATTGTAATGAGTGGTGTGGAAGAGATGGCTACAGATGCGGTGCGGCAGGAAAACGGCGCTGATGCGCCAGATTCAGATGTCTGGGCTGAAATTGAAGCGATGAAGGAGCAGATTGAACAGGTAGTGCTCATTATTTTTATTTTTATTTTTTTTTCGCTGTTTATAATGTACTGAAAGTTTCTGACTGATAATAGTTAACTCGAGAACGCGAGAGAATCGCACAAGAATTGGCTGCTGCAAAATCCATGACCGAAGCTAAGGCCGGAGAAATTGCAATAATTCGTGCAAATCAAGCAAAATTGGAAAAGGCCCATAGCCGACAGTTGAGCACGCTACGGACACAAATGGCGGATGAACTTAAGAAGTACCAGGCAGAGATCGAAGCTGCAACTATGGACAGCAAATTACTGACAACTGAAAACGCTTTCTTGAAACAAGACTTAAAGGACGAAACGCAAAAACTGAATGACCTGCGGAAGGCCAGAGCAAAACTGGAGGAGAACGCTCCGCTAACGCCAAAGAAAACAAAGGTCCTCCCCCTCAGGGATGGGTTTGATGATGACGAAATCATGCTCTCTCCTACAAAATCTGTCGGCAGAAGGTCAAAACGAGGAACCCCTTCAGTGTCTGGAGGGCGAAAACGGAAAACGATCGATGACTCTCCTGTCAAAGCTCCTACTTTAGAGTTGAGCCAGTCGTTTGAAACCAACTTGGGTGACCCTAGTGAATCAGCAGAGCTTATGGCTGTTGATCCTGGGCCACGGAAGCCTAACATAGAGGACCGTAATGTGCGATTTATACGGAGAATCTTGAATCACAAGACCTATCCAAGTAAGGGACGAGACTTGGAGATATTTACCAAGCTCTCCTTTCCGTCCGACCCAGGGCGAATGTTTTCGTCATTTATTCTTGAGGCAACAACCGCGAAATCCTCTGAAAATTACGCGGTTGAATATGCAAAAGCCATAGTTTCGCTATGGTCCCGGGCACTTAAAGAATCCTTCTACGATCCTATAGCCATGTTTATGGCCATCATCAAATATATCATCAACCTAGACCCATCAAATATTGTTCCACAACTAATCGAGGACCTCCTCCCGGTACTCCTTAAATCTGGATACGTCAACGGTGTTGCCAGATTCCGCAACTCCCCTGTATCGCACCAAAATCTTGGTCAGGTCAAGCAGACCCCCCAGTCCGAGCTCCATCACCAGGTGAGCTCCACGGAAGCCCTCAACATCCTCTATATAGCAGCCAGCAGCTGCCAATACGATTCTGATGCCCAGCGCAAATTCTGGAAAAACATCCTTTACGACTTCATTCTCGTGATGCTCAACTCCAACCAACCAATCGACGACATAATTATAACCCTAAACCTCCTCTCCTACAGCATCCTCCCAACCTCTTTCGGACCCCTCCTATCCACCCCCGCCGAACAAACCGCCAACGAAAACTACATAATCGACCGGGTCGCCAACCTCCTCAGCGAGCAGCTCTACGTCGACGAAGGCGAAAAGCCCTACACCCCCTGGAAAATCTCCACCCTCCGCATCGAAGCCATGTCCTTCCTAACGACCCTAGCCTTCTCCTCCCCTCACCCCTCCGCTTCCAACAACCACGCCGGCCGCCTCCTCGCCCGCCACCCGACAGCACTGGCCCGCGTCTTCCGCTCCATCCACGACGAGCTCGATGCGCTCTACTCAAACCCGCCAGAGCGCGAGCTGCACGTCGCCCTCGTCAATGGCCTGACGCGGCTGGCGTACGGCATCATGCGTATGTTCCGCGACGAGGTGAATGTCGGCGCGAAGTTGCGTGTTGTGCCCGGCGCGACGCAGAAGCATCTTGTTGCGCTGACGCGGTTGGCATTTTGTGAGGGGCTGCTGTTGGAGGCTGGCGTTGAGGATGATACGGTTGAGATGGCGCATGAGATGTTAGAGGAGGCGGTGAATCCACAAGAGGCGGAGGCATTGCTGGAGGCGTTTCGGGTGAAGAGTCTGGAGTGATTTGGGGTTTTTAATGGCCATTTTTCTTGCTATATTGTATGCTATCGTTTTGAAGGTGATGACGGTGTTTGGTTTTGCATGTTTTCTTGTGGGCGGATTTAGTGTTGGTTTTGCCTTGCCTTTCTCCTTCATTTTTGCGTATGGCCCTTGGATTTAATTAGATCCCTATATGATGATACGATGGAACTAAGCAGAAGTGGTTGTCCTATCCATGGGTTGGATCCATTGATTGGTCCCTGAGACTATTGAGCATGTGATTTCGATGCAGTAGCTTCCTCTGACGTCACACCTCCCTCATAGTTACGACTTGAACAAAATCCAACTATGAAGCAAGCTCAATTAGATAAACCAAAGCAATGCCAATCCATCTAGGCTAAATAACCTAATTTCGGCAAATCAAATATGTCAAATGTCCAGTTGTCCATCACCAATTCCAAGCCTGTCGAAACAACCAGCTCAATTGAATTAGGTCAACGAAGCTGGAAAAATGCCGCCGGCGAAACGCGCAAAGAAACGCACTCCCTCTTCCCAACTGCATCGAAGATTCTCGCCCAAAGAAGCCCATAGTGAGAAGGACAGGGAAAAGCAAGAAACACAAGAAACAAAGCCCCAACAACACAAAGATACCACACGCCCAATATCCCCTCCTGAAGATGCATCCGTGTCACTCAACCCCTCCCTTCTCGACGAAGCTGAAGTAGTCCCTGGACTCTCTTACCCCGACACCGACGCCGATGCCAGCACAAAGCCAACATCCCCAACGGAACCGGAGCACTCAAGCCACCACCGCGGAGGCGGAAGCGGCGGGTACAACGCCCTGAAGACCTTCAAGGGCCAGGTCTACACCGGCATGGCCGTCGGTGGCTCGCACACCTGGGAATACCAGCCGGGTCTCTGGCACGAGACCAAGGAGGAGCCGGATCTGTGGAAGATAGACTACCGCGCGACGAAGCGGCGGGTAGGACGCCGGCGGGCGCCGCAGGGCACCGGCGCGGCGGTCGGCACCGAGTACCACTGGTTCATCGTCGCGCACCAGTTCGTCAGGAAGCTGGATGCGAACACATACGAGACGCGCATGGCTGGTTCGAAGTATAAGCTTGCGTATCGGCGGGCGGGAGCGGGGGGGTGGTCGGTTCCGAGCGTCAAGGGCCAGCGGGAGAGGGAGGTGGAGTTGCTGAAGGATGCGGGGAGGAGGGTGAGGGGGTTGCCGCCTGTGCTGGCGGGGGAGAAGGTTCGGGTTGAGAAGAGGGAGAAGGGGCAGCAGAGGCTTGATATGTTGTTTGGGGCTGGGAAAGGGGGGGTTGGGGTGGGGGTGGAGGGGGCGAAGAGGAAAAGAAAGGATGATGATGGCAGCGATAACGATGGGGTGGCGGACGACATTGCGATGGATGATATTAGTGAGGAGGGCTAGGTAAGGAGATGATGTGTCAAGAAAGCCTTTCGCCTTAGTGATTCTCTGCGATGCGAGACTCCTCTGTGTTTTGAAGGAGGTTGAAAAGGGGGTAAGATATATTGAGGGGACCATTGGACTTGACAACGGTAATTTATTTATCTGCGCTTTTGTGTATAATCTCTATATCCGCCATTGAATTTGCTAGTTTAAAGTTTGTAAGGGTTCTAGAAATCTATCCCCGGATGTCCTGAGCGAGTCTGGGTCCTTGTAAACTCCAAAACGGAGGTTTCAGCACCTGATATAACCCGAGGGGAATAGGAACATATCTTCCTCAATCATGCTTGTTGGAATTTCATACTCGTAGATGCCTTCGGAACAGTATTCCCCAAATTCACATAATTAATATCTATCCGCGGATTCAATTAGCTTTTATCTACCAAAATATATATACACACACTTATATATATATATATACAGAAAATATTTACAATAACAGATCTAAACACATACACCTACCCTCCTCACCTCAAACCCACCAGGCCACCTAGCTGGATATAGCGATCTCTAGAGCAACGTCCACATCTCCGCTGGGGCCTACAATATTATCATTTACTTCCCCATACAGTTGGCATAGTAGGTAACCGTAGCAGGCCAATCTGAAAACATGCCCTTTACGCCAACCCGCTTTGCCAACGCATCCACGACGTCATAGACATCCCCATCGCCATCCACCGCGCCGGCCACAGTCTGGTAATAATACTCCTTGTCAGCCGCCACATTTTTCAGCGGACCCGATCTCTCCAATGACCACGTAACCAGATCGAGACCGGCCTTCTTCGCCGCCTTAGCGTATGTAGATGGTACGATGCGTGGTTTCTTGTTATTTCCGTTGCCGTTGCCGTTACCATTTCCGGGTGGTTTGTGCTTATCGTCACCATCATCCTCCAGGTCCAAAAGCGCAAAGATGGGCGGGCCCATAATCCTCACTCCCCGCTTCGCCAGATCCCTCATGCCTCTGACAGCCTCTTCGTATCCCTCGGGGGTATCGACACGCTCGTCCAGATAGATAGCCTGACGCGCAAAGGCAGGCTCCTTGTCGATCCAGTAAAAGATGTCAGCGGGTAGGAAGGACTGGAGGAATACGCGGGACGGCTGAATGCGGGCGGCGCGGAACTCGTCAACGAGTTGCTGCGCGTACATCTCCTGGGTGTAGTTCTTGCCGCCAGGGGACGGGAAGGGCATGGGGACCTCGGGCGTCTTGAGCTCCGAGGTGAACTTGAGACCGAGCGAGTTGATCAGGGAGATGAATTCGGCATGCGAGTGCAGTTGGGGGCAGTCATCGTTGTACAGGCTCGTGCGCCAGTCCATGACGCCACTCTGGTATTGCTCCGGGGTCATGGCGGTGGGATCTGAGGAGTCCATTTTGCCGCAGAGGGACTTGAATTCGGCAAGGGTAATGTCGCTTGTGCAGCATTTGGCGGAGGCTTTAGTTTTGCCGTCCGCGGAGGCCGGGGTGAAGGGTTTCGTGCACTTCGCGGCCAGTTCGGGGACAGTGAGGATGTTTGTGGTGGTGTGTAGGTCGCACTGGGAATGGCGACAGACGAGCTGGAGGTCCTTGGTGAAGGCCACATCGCACTCGATGATGCCAGCACCCTCACGCGCGGCGGCTAACCAAGACTCCTTGGTGTGTTCTGGGAACTGCAGTGGGGCGCCGCGGTGGCTGATGGAGAAGTCGGAGGGCGTGTTTCGGCGCTCCTTGCAGCTCTCAAGCTTCTTCTTCAGACTGCCCTCATCCATCTGGTCGACGAGGTAGAAGGGGCGGGGACCGATCTGGATATTGGAAATGGTGCGCGGGCGCCCCGGCCATCCCGGCCACCCCGGCCACCCGGGTCTATCAGAGTGAGGAGGGGGAGCGGCGATAGTCAGGCCAGGGGCCAGCGCGCCCACCAAAAGAGTGACGGAGGTGAGATGCATAGCGAACGACGCTCTCCCAGGCACAGTGAAGAGGAAGATATTCTTAACGGGGAATTTTTCAACGTCCGATCGCCATGGAGGAATCCTTTCTGGCATCAATTGGGCGGGAAACATTGGTCATTTAATACGTTTCCCTCACTGCGGCTCGGGGGGAATCTGGCCTCAGGTCATGAGGCCATATGCAGCCAAACATCGCGACGGATTGTAGCACAGGCTCTGCGTCGGAGCACGGTCTCCAGCAGTGGAGAAGGGGAGGGGCGCATGTCCCCGTCCCCAAGGGTTGGCCGGGCCAGCGCGTGGCAGAACGCAACACTGTCACTGACTGATCGGCAAATATGGTGCCAGTTGCTTCTGCTGTGCTTGCCAATGCTACCATGGACCAGACGGGCTACACTCCATAGCACGGTCCGTAGTATGAGAATACAAATCTGAAGCCGAAACTCCAGCGGTTGTTGCACCAGGAAACTGTGATGGGTCCAGTCAGCACATGTGGAGGGGAAGCTTCATGATTGGAAGAACGCTCGCCTTGGCCTACCTCGCGACAATCTGCAGAGTCTGCGGAGTCTGGGGAGCGCAAAAAAAAAAGGAGCAGATATGTTTGGGAATAGACTGGCCGTGTGACCATGCATGGGACTGGGACCAAATTTTTCCTCAGTCCCATTATTAGATATCTTAGTCCTGGTCCCATATAGTGTTTAGCAAATTAGTCACTTTACACTGTTTATATTATAAATCTAGTCCCAGATCATGTTTTACTAATAAATTAGTGATCCTGGTCCCATTTGGTCCCATTTTACAAAATGGGACCAAATGGGACCATGATTTACCCTATATAGGTTGGCAGCGATAGATAGGTTGGCAGCGGTAGGTAGGTTGGCGGCGATAGATTAGCAGCGATAGATTAGCAGCGATAGATTAGCAGCGATAGATTAGCAGCGATAGATTAGCAGTGATAGATAGGTTGGCAGCGGTAGGTAGATTGGCAGCGGTAGGTAGGTTGGCGGCGGTGGGTAGATTGGCAGCGGTGGGTAGGTTGGCAGCAGCACTAAGCAAGATAGGGGTAATATCTCCACCAATCATATCATCAGATTGATGTATTATATAATCATCAGAATGGGACCAAACTTGAGTCAAAATCATGATCAGTCCCAGATCATGTTCTGATTTTGATAGTCAGTCACTTTACATGGAATATCAAGATTTTTTAGTCCCATTTCACTCATGTTTTGATAATTCTAGTCACTTTACACTCCCCATTCTGGTCCTGGTCCCACTAAAATCATGCCAAGAAATGGACTGGGACCAAACCAAACCAAACCAAATGTGTAATTCATGGTCCCAGCGGCCAGTCTATTTGGGAATCAAATCACACGCCGGTATCATGCACGATTTCCTTGCTACGAGTGGTATACCACCACGCAGAGGTTATGCAGATGTTGCGCTGTTGAGATCATCGGGTAGTTCATTTATATTCCTAATCGGGATGGACAATGCCTATACAGGTCACATGATGTAGTTGGAAAAAGAAGCCGCTTTTGTTGAAGCACTTAGTATTCTTGGAATGCTAGTAGAGCGCAGTGCAGATACATAGTTCCACGTCCATATAATAAATCCGGCAGATATTCCACTGAACCTGCAGACAGCAAGCACATGTTAAACTGACTACATCTCTTCTTCGTCACCGCGCAAGCAAGGCGCAGCTGAACGATGAAAAGAATCTAGGATCTGGAAGGAATTCCATCCCAGAAGGGAGCCAAAGAATATGCCTGTCAAAACCCCGAAGGATGTTGAGTGGCAAGGCTCGCCACGATGTGCAATGTAGGAGCCCCTCCACGGCAGACCGCCTTCTTGATCGCGGATGCCCAAACAAGGTAAGTATGAAGAAGAGAAAGAAGAAAAAAGGACAAAAGAAACGCGGGCGGGCGAGGTATTTATACGGCCGGGGAAGCCGCTAGGGACGGCGCTAGTCTAAGCGAGGGCCTGCGGAGGGCGCCGATTGGCTGGGCGAGTTACGTAAGTGGCCAGAGACGGAATAACGTTAGTCCTGTCGGTCCGGTGTTTCTTTTCTCCTTTGGGAAGAATTTTGAGTGCGGAAAATGAGCGGAGAGGAAACCACCGCAGTGACAAGCCAACAACAAGCTATCGAGACGGGCAGTGGAAACATACACACACACAGAGAGAGAGGATATAGAGAGGCAGGGCAACGGAACTTCCATGGTCGGCCCTCTCTGCTGCGCCAATTGCTGCTGCTGAGTGTTGCTTCCCGCAACCATGAGGTCGGATCCCTGGAAGCTCGTCAAGGCTGGGAGGAGACCGGCGGTCAGTAGGAGGAGTCTACATATTCCCCTGCCTCTGCATATATACATGTATACACATATATACGTTCAATTCTAATTTCCCTCACAGAAAGTTCTTCAATCATGGAACAAAGTCAACCTCTACAACCTCAAACACGCCAGCATCCCCCATACCTCCTCCAAAACATTCTTCCAGCAGAAATGGATCGCCAAGTCCCTCGCCCGCACATACCACGGCGAGCAGGTCCGCGAATCGCAGTGGGAGAAAATGTTCTCCCGTCGCTTGCGTTCCGTCGTGCCCATGGATGCCAATTACCTCGCCCGTAACGACGGTTCCTTCGAATCCGCCGGTCGAGGATCCGGCTTGGAAGGTGTTGGTCCGCGTAGGGCCCCGCTCACGCCCCATATGCAGATGACCTTTGCGCCGCTGGAGCGGAGGCTGGATGTCGCTATCTTCCGTGCCATGTTTGCTAGCAGCACGAGGCAGGCGAGGCAGTTTGTTATTCATGGTTCCGTTACTGTCAATGGGAAGAAGGTTGGCCAACCCCAAGTTGCAAAAAGCGAATGATGTGTTCCACATAATGCTCAACAAATTCACACAGATGAGATACCCAGGATACCTTTTGAACCCGGGCGATCTTTTCCAAGTAGATCCCGAACGAGTGATGTTTGCGACGGGCGCGCCCAAGGACCCCCAACAACGCCGCAGAGGTCGTAAACGGCGCAACCGGACCCCGGTGGAAGCAGCCAGGGATGAAACCGCCAATGCAGCCGCAGAAACATCTGCGCCCATTGAAGGAGCTGAGACGCCTGCGGAAAACGCAGAAGAAGCAGAGAAACCTATTGAAAAAGCTGAACAGAAAGAACTATCTCCCGACGAAGCCCGGAATACATTAACCCGCCTCCTTTCCCAGGCCAAGGAGTTCATGAACAACAAGGATGTCTCCGCCCCTGCGCAGAGGCTCAACCTCAACAACTTCCGCAAGGGTGTCCGACAAGCCCTCTCCAGTGCCTTCTCCAGCACCGATGTCGTCGAAGACCTCGAAGCCCAATTCCTCCAACTAAAAGCCCTAGCCGATATATCCCCCTCCAAATCAAAACCCACAACCGAACCCTCCACTTCAAGCCACGCCTCCACCACCACTTCCTCAACCTCCTCCGCCAATCTCCCCGAATCCGTCCTCCCAACCCCGCCACCCCACGAAAAATCCTCCGCGAAACCCACATCCACCCCAAGCACCCCTCAAGACCCCGTCCTCGCCGCCGCCCTCAAACAAGCCATCGAAAACCCCACCGCCCCGCTGGACGAAGCCACGCACCCCCAGATCTCCGAGGAAGACCTTACCGTCCTTCGCCAGGCCCTGTACCAGCTGCACGAGAACCCGATCGACAGTCTGAAGCCGTACGCCACCCCCTGGCGGCCGCGCGACTACATGAGCGCCTTCGCGTTCATCCCGCGCTACCTGGAGGTGAACCAGAATATCTGCGCCGCCGTGTATCTGCGCCATCCCGTCGCGAGGCCGGGCCGGTCGGAGGTGCCGTCGCCGTATCCTGATTCTGTGAACGGCGCGGCGTTTGTGTGGTATTTGAGGCGGAGGTAGGTGTGGTTTTGTGTTACTCTTTTATTTATTTATTTTTTTTTTCAAAGGGGAGGTGGGGGCAGAGGAGAGAGGCCGCGGTGGTTTGTACGTATGTACTTAAATGTATGCGTGGATTTCGTAGCAGGAGGGGAAAGGAGCATGTAGTCTTGTGATATGTTGGCGATATGTAACACTGTCTGTATAGTAGAACATTGTTTTTTTTTCTTTACTTTTTTACTTTATGCTATTTTTAAGATAGATAACAACCGTTGGTCGTGGGGCGTGTGGGCGCTCCCGTTGCTTTCCATTTCTTGTCCTTCACTTATGCGCTTCTTCGTAATGAAGCTCTCCCAGTATCTCTTGGGGGCATACCGTGCCGTGCCGTTCCGTTACAATATTTGCACATTATAACTACCTGAACATAGACTACACCTTATCACTAAAAAAAAACAAATATATTGCAGTGAACGCAAAGTCTGGCTTAATTATACACATCACATTCCAAGCTAGCCCTCTTTCCAGCACAGTTCTGCAGGCTCGATTTTCCCGATTGCCTCTGTTGCATACCCAGCACTCAACCAGCTATTATATATATATACGCTTTTAATTCTTCTTCTCAACCAAAGCAAATCATTAGGATTTGAGATAGATATCCGTCTTCGAGAAGGCGGGCGAGTCAGAAGCAGTTTCCGGTATTCCATAGAGTATGGGGCTTTGAGTCAAGCAAGGCCCCAAAATTAGGAGCCCGCAATGAGGACAATGAGAATAGATCAAATCCCAATCAGCCTTCGCAGTTCTGGTAGTTGCGAATTACCCTTATTATTCCAGTGTGTTCGTTCTTCTCTGCCAGTTTCTCCGCTCTCTTCAGCTGATCATTCTTGGCTTGGCCGGGCAGGTAGATCTGTAAAAGCATGCATAAGACATCTAGTCGGCCATGATCTGCTTCGCCTTCAATGGCGGTTCTTCCACTGGCAGTCGCAGCTAGAGCAGTAACATCTGTCCCGGCTTCAAGCAAAATCAATATTACCCCTACTTGGCATGAGATGGCAGCTGCCTGGAGGGCGGTTTCACCACCACAGGAGGCCCGAAGCGCATTGACGTCAGCTCCACACGCCAGATGATATCTCACGATTTCGATGTCACCAGCCCCAGCTGCCCACTGAAGGGGCTGTGCGTTCGAACCTTCCACATGCAGGGGTGTTCATATCTGTGCCTCCAGTTTCCACTAAATATCGCACAAGCCCCAAATTTCCCTGTCTCGTGGCAGTTTGTAGTCCGTCCGTCGGTTGGAAGCGAGTCCAATATCGGCACCATTGCGCGAGTAAATATTTGGCAAGGTCGATATGGCTGTGCTAAACAGCAAGCGAGAGTGCGGTTTCCTCGACTTAGCATTCGCAACTGAGCTTGTTAACATTCGTCCCGTGTTTGATAAAAATCTTCGCGGTCTTCACGTCGCCAATCAAGACGGTTAGTTGTAACCCGGTGCAGGATTTATCGATTACCATCCCAATCAGGAGCATACGGCTGGAGAGAAGTGAATTGATAAAAAACATGGTTTTCGTATAAATGGCGAATGCTAGCGCTTCTCTCACCCAAACCATGGGAAATATCGTAATATCCAAGCCACTTCACACAACTAGTTCTATGAGTTCTGTAAATTTTTGGCTCTTCCAGTGGTATGAATTCTCGCTATTGGCAATGGTCGTAGACTCGTCCGTCAGGTACAATCCATTTTGTTCCAGCCTCTGTAAGGTAGACAAGATGCTGAAATCTGCCGGAAGCCAAGCTCCTCTTTCTAGCTGTAGCTGCAATGCTTTGAAGTCTGCTGCGATTATGGCACTTTGCATGACAGTTTTATCTTCGACAAAAGTGCCTGGGGCGTTCGCATCAGCACCTAAACCGAGAAGGACTTTGGTAAGTTCTGGGTTGCGACTGCTAATCGCTGCCTCTGGATAGTTAAGGTTTGCATATGGGAAGGCACCTAGGGAAGTAAGAGAGAAACAATTTGAATGTCGCCATTCCAGAATGCTTCTTGCAAAGAAGTCCAGCCAGTGCGAGCGGAAGACCCACTGAAGGGACTTGCTCCGCGCTGTTATACCTGCTGCTTCTGCAGGAGGCCTGTTGCAATCAGCACCGGCTGAAAGCAATAACCGCATTATTTCAAAACTATTAGGTGAATTGGATTCTGCGGCAGTTTGAAGCGCAGTTCTTCCACTGAAAGCATCCGGGGGCTCATTGACATCTGCTTGTCGGTGCTGGACAATATGCTTGAACAGTCTGATATTTCCAGCAGCTGCAGCGCGCTGAAGGACTGTTTTGCCACCCTTTCCCGGCTCTGACGTGACACTTGCCTTATTTCTGATTAATAAATTGTAAATTGCAAGATCCTGAAGCTAGGATATTAAACAATTCTGAGTCAGGAATGTCAATATCATTAGGTTAGTTGCCCACTCGCAATTTTGCGAGTGCTGTCTTGCCTTCCTCCACGGCACCCTCTAACAACGAATACCAGCGCCAGGACAGGATATTATCAAGCCGCATGCCTCTCAACAAGAGGAGCTTTAACATCTCATCGAGACCTTTTTTGGCGATGACGTCAAGATAAAAAAAGAAATTTCTCCAAAGTCAATCCAGTATCCAAAATGCGACTAGCGAGCTCAAGCTGGTTATCAGAAATTGCGATCAAAAGTAACCCGTGACTTTGGAGTATGCGTCCAGGATCGTCAAATGCCATACATACTTGGATTAGGGAGCTTATTAGGTTCGTATGCCCGAGTGATACCGCACAACTTAGCAGCTGAAGCATGAATATCGCCAAAGTGGCAGAAGGAAATTTTAAGAGATCGAATAGGAGTAGGCGTCCTGCATTAGCAACAATCCATTCGACAATCGTGTCCAACTTCTGATTGGTGAGGAGATGGTTTGACGACAGATAAGCGCAGTATGAGATGGCGTAAAACAGAGCGTCGGCTGTCTAACCCTGGATGATAGCCGCCTGAAGAACGATGAAACTGTTCCTCTACCTGCTGATTGTAAACTGATTCTAAGAATTGGCCAGGGTCCTTATCAATGTGCCTTGCCGTGTTTGCAGGGAGAATCGAAACCAGCGCCTGTTGTCGTAAAGTCAAAATGACTCAAACATTATAAGCCCAAGGCACAAAGAGAGTGTTAAGTCTCTTAATGTATACTCCATAATGGAAAATTGACCGGAGGAGTTCATTTCCCTGGTCTAGAAATAGTTCATAGCAATGAAGCGCCGGCCCCACTGTGACTGGACAATTGACAAGGATATTTCCTCCATTCCTTGAGTCCTGCTTGCGACAGTTGATGTGCCCATCCCCATTAGAAATAGCTACTGGGGACTGATGGCCGGCCCCTGCCAATTATGTTCAATTATCACAACTTCTAAGGAACAAAAACAAGAGTGTGGAAATCAGGCCTGATGGGAACATGGTTATGCTGAACGGGAGGGAATGCCGGGCACCCTGGCCCAGACGATACAGTATGGCAAAGAGGAAAAACCTTTCATTGAGGCTCACGGTGCGAGCAACGGACTGGCTCTAGAGAAGTCTAGGAAATCGAGTGAAATCGAGGGGCGGCAGCAGAGCATGGACGGCCCAGAAACCGATAGAAGCAACGGTGTCTCCAGATTCACCGACAGCTATTTCAGCAACCCCGCCGGCGTAGGACGCATATCACGGCTACCATCCCATGCAGGTGGAAGGGGCCAGCGCACCTGGGTGCAAGGGATGAAGAATGAGGGAGAAGGAGGAGGAGCAAGTGCGTGGGTCGTTTGAGGGAGTTGATGTCCAGGTTTTTATAGATTGAGCGGTGTCGATGGCGCATAAAAGCGGCGAGGCGAACGCCATTCCCGAAGCAGCAAGAACGATATCGTAACGGGACTAGCGTGGAGCATTGGCCAATGGAAAGTGGATATAGCGGGATTAGCGCCGCGCTAACCGAGAACAAAGATATCGCAGAGAAGATGACCTGAGACGAGATCGAGAGATGAGATATCTAGGTCATTGTGGCAGTAGTAGTTGTTGTTGTATATAAGACTACTGTGTGTTCGTTGCTGGGGCTCTCAGAGAACAAAAGCGATTCGTTATTTTCCTAGAAAGCTATCAGAGCCAATAAAGAATGCAGGTTTTCTCTGGAACATGATATCTTGTACTCACAACTGTAAGCATCAAAAATGCTCTCATGGGCAGAGGGTGAAGCAGCAACATTTTCGAGTATATTATTATTGACTAGTTAACTATTAGTTAGTAGCTACTGTTAGTTGATGTTATTGCATGACGAGATGTTCATGTACAGCAGCAGAATTCATTTCTCGAGGGGAATAAGGCCTCAGTAAACCACACCCGAATCAACGGGTATGGGTCGTTGACCCGTTGACTGCAGAAAAGTCCCGTATCCGTACCAATACCATGACCAGCAGGAAGTGGATTACCACACGTTTGCCCTGCCGCACGCAATCCGACTCTGCCCCGTACGGTGAGTAATGTAATATATGTAATACGTCGTCAGCTCAGCATAATTTGCAACCCGCCGAGGCCTGCCTGCCCCACCGCTGGCCTGCCATTCGGGGGCTTTTTTTCAGACATGGCGTCCTCGTTGGTGGCTTTTTGTTCCCCGCTGACTTCCCTTTTGCCCTTTTGTCCTTTTCCCTTGTCCTCGTTCTCTCTCATTTTTCTTTTTTTCCTTTTCTTTTTTCGTTTCCCTTTTCTCGCTTTCCATGTGTTTTTTGAAAACGCACAATTTTGAGATCTTGCGGTTTTAAGGTTCCCGACGGCAGCTGCTTTGACCAGTTGCTCATTGACTTTTCCCATCCCCTTGTCATCAAGTACCTTGATTTTAAACTCGTTGTCGTTTGCAAAAAAAAATAAAAAATAAAAATAAAAATAAAATAAATAAAATAAAAAGAAAGGAAAATACAGCAGAAAATAAAAACAAAAAAACAAACGAACAGGAGGAACGAAACTAAAGCAACTGCCAACAAGGGGGAAAAAAGCAGAAACAGAAAAAAAATTTTAATTAGAAATAAAATCAAAGAAAATAAAAAAACGAAAAAGCAAAAATTAGCCAGAACGGGAAAAGCCGACGACGACATCTCGATGCCTGAACCTGCGCGATAGATGTCTCATAGAGGACAAAAGAGCATTCCTTTCTTCCCAACAACGGGCGCAGACCGACCGTAAGCGTGGTCGCGGGCCAGAGAGCGCGAAAGGAGGAGCTGAAGCAGAAGAGGGGAACCAGGAGACCATCCCAATCCCTCCCTCGTCGGTTTGCAAATGCTTCAGGCGCCGCGAAGAAGGACCCCATATGACAAAGAAACACGGGGGAGGCGAACAATAGATCACAAAAGAAGGTGGTGCGATTTCCGGACAAATGTTCAACTGGCACACCAGCGTCGAACCGCCGCCTCAAGGAACTCCTGTATCTACCAGACACCAACATCAACACCCACATCAGCATCAGCATCAGCAGCATCAACAGCGCCAGCATCAGCACCAGCAGCAGCACCAGCAGCAACAGCAGCAGCAGCAGCAACAGCATCAGCACCAGCAGCACCAGCAGCATCAGCAACATCAACAACACCAGCAGCAGCAGCAGCAGCAGCAGCAGAGTCACCACAGCCCTTTGCAATGGCTCCCCGCGGCCCCTCCGCTCTCTAGGCCGCTGCCCAATACTCTCCCGCCCATCTCTGCCCTCCGCCCCACTAATAACTTCGCATCGAACGCCCAACATGACTCAGCCATCCTACAGACCCCCGCGTCCACTGACCCCTCGTTATCAGAGAGCCCCAGCGTTCGCGAGAACGCCGTTGCCGAGAGCGCAGTCGACCTTTCCCCTGAACCCGCATATGACCATCCTGCGCCCGGCCCCGAGCCCAGCTCTGACGATGCGGACGGTGTAGAAGGAGGATCCATATCGCGGCAGCAAGCAGGTCGTGTAGGGCCGGGACGAGGTGTGGATCTAGCCCTGTTGGAAAACGAGACACCCCGCAAGCACGGCAAGCGGCTGACGACGCGTGAGGAGACGGCGCTGTTTGAAATATGCAACAGGCACGCGGCTTCTTTTGGCGAGCGCAATCGTCTCTGCGAATGGTGGGTGAATGTGACGCAGGAGTTTACCGCGTCAGAGGGACATCCGTACTCGTGGCATAGCGTACGACGGAAAGTGGAGCTCGTGACGCAACAGCGTATTAAATTCCTTGCGGGCCTGGACGGGAAGAGGAGGGACGATCAGGCGGATGCAGCATGGAGCGCCGCCGTCGACTCCTGGATTCCGTCCTGGAAGCGGTTTCAGGAACAGGAGAACGAGCGCATCAATGCCAAGCAGGGCAAAAGGGGCCGCAAGAGGAAGTCAGTAGTTGACACTGAAGGGGTCGGGCTGGGATACCAACACATGTTGCCTCCTGGGTTCGAGACGATGTTTCCACCGTCATCAAAACCGTCCAAGCCCTCTCGAATGGACGCGCCTGCTGCCCTGCCTGCCACCACTGCGCCTTCCACCACAGCGGAGCCCATGCAGGCCCCTCCGCCTCAAAAGCAGCAGAAACAACATCAGAAGCAGCAGAAGCAGCAGCAGCAGCAGCAGCAGAAAAATCTTCCCGGGTCGATACCCGTTCAACCAACCCCGCAGCAGACAACCGTGCCCAACACAGCAGCAATCATGACCGCTGCGACCTCCTCCTCGTCCTCTTCAGGCGCAGTCGCCGCAGCAGAACCCGACGTCGGCGCCGCGATTCTAGAAACGCTATCAAAACTCAACAAGAACCTCGAAGCCGTATCGTCCCGCTCCCACCAGTCCAACGCCATGTCTCTAGCAGCTGCTGCTGCCGCTGCCGCCGGTGGCGCCCATCCCCTCCAACACCAGCACCAGCACCAGCACCAACAACAAAACCCTTCTCAAAACCCCACAATGACCAACCAGCCCCACGTTAGCCATAGTCGCACAGCAGCGACAGCAGCGGCAACCGGGGGCCCCGCCGCAGCGCCGCCGCCCGTTCAAACGCAGATTCCAGCGTCCACGCTGCACCAGCTAAAATCCGAGCTGCGCGCAGAGCTTCGACAGGAGATTCAGAAGGATCGCGCGCAACTGGAGGAGAAGCTGGATACGGTGCAGAGGACGCAGGAGATGATTCTGGAGCTGCTGCGGCAGGAGCCGCAGTAGATTTTATTTTCTTATTTTCTTCTATTTTTCCTTTTTTTTTTTTTTTTTATCGGGGAAACGGGTTGCTGGGCTGCTGATGGCTGCCGTGCCCTTGGTGACGATGCACTCACTCCCACAACTGCATGTGTATGTGACTTGGAAGAGAGGGATGGGATGGGATGGGATGGGGGTGCTTGGGCATTGGGGTGGTGGGGGATGGTGGTGATGGTGGTGGTGATGTTGGTGGTGATGGGGTGGGCTAGGAAAGAAGGGACGAACGCGTGAATAGGGGCGGAGGGAGGAATTGGATTTACTTATACATAGGTTATGACATTCGGGCAACCTTTAATGAATGAACGTTACGACCCCCTTTTTGTTTTCTGTTCTTATCTTTTTCTTTTTCTTTTTTCTTCTGCTTTCCTTCTCTTTTTTTTGCTTTGCATGCCGTCAATGGTTATTTTGGTTTTTATTCCCCCTTGTTTTTCTTTTGGCTTTTGGTGCTTGACAGCTGCAAGCTGCCTATTGCTGCTTCCCGCCTTTTATTATTTTGACAGCATTCTCCTTGATGTGACGATGAAAATGGGAACATGTAAATTGTAAATACTTATATCCTACGGCGCATGTATATGTCTATGTGTCTCTTGTGTCTGTGTCTATACTATATATATCCTCAAGTTATTATACCATTTTTTTCTTTTCGGTGGCCTTAGTGATGAGCGCGCCCGCTCTTTCAAAGCACCACTATTGTCGTTGTATTTCCTATTTTACCCTATTTCTTTTCTTTCTTTTTCTTTTCTCATCGCATGCGGACGGGTTGTGAGGGGGGAAGGAAAGGGGGGACGAAAGGGCTGGTAAGGAATATGGTGACATCTTTGTATATGGTATATATATAAATATACATTAGGAACATTATTATTATTATTATTATTATTATTATTATTATTATTATTATTATTATCATCATCATTGCTATTACCAATGTAATTGCTCTCATCTAAGACTAAAATATGCCATGATCACGAGGAATACAAGTGCTCTCCCGCTCTCCACTACTTAGTTAAGAGAACGATGATTTGCTCTCTTCATGCTGAAGGAGCTTGTGAAGTATGATAGTAAATAGTAACAGTAATATTGATCGGAATTAATCAGGAATAGGCGGTAAGGAGTCAGTCATACATTTTGCGGTTTTTATACTGTGGTTGGAGGAAATATAAAAAATAGAAGCCGGGGGGGGTTGGACGGAGAGAAAATATTGGAAAGACAGGGTTTTCTAGAACTTTTTCTTTTCCTTTCTATTTTTGCCCCCTTTTCAGTGGGAGTTGAGCTAGAAATACACAGCGGAGCGAGAGAAAACATTAAGACAGATGGAGGGTTACAAAAAGGAAGCGAAAAGGAGGAGGGGGTGGGGGGGGAGGAAAAGAAGAGAAAAAAAAAAGCAGGAATGCAATAAAACAAAAACATAGGCCGACGATCAGGTCAAGTGAATGAGAAAAAGAAAATAAAATGGAATGGAATGGAATTTCCAAGTAGCTTGCTTCCACACCACAGCCCATAAAAATCCAGTCCGTCGCTAGCGTTTTATGAGTTCTAGTTACAAGTGTTACACTCACCAATGAAGAAATAGAAGAAGTAGCTCAAAAGAGAATTTAAGGAAGACATAGTTGGGAGGAGGAGAGGTTAGGGTTTGTAAGTCTGCGTCGTCATTGTTGTTGTTGTTGTTGTTCTTGGTGGTGGTGGTGGTGGTGGTGGTGGTGGTGTTTAATAGTAGAAAGTCTCATCAACCGTTCGCCCACGAGTCCATGCTGGCTCACTGCCACGGACATATGTATCCTCAAACAAAATACGCGGCGTAGCATCGGGCTCGGTCATCAGCTCAGCCTCTGCAACCTCATCATCAACGTATTTCCTAGCATCCTTATCAATGGCCTTCAACTCCTCCTCACTCGTGACGCCCCAATCGAGCAGTTTCTGCTTAAGGCCTGCAATCGGATCGTTGGTGCTGCGCATCCGTTGGATCTCCTCTCGGGTGCGGTATGTGGTTCCGGGATCGGACATGGAGTGTCCGCCGTATCGGTAGGTGACGTATTCGAAGACAAGAGGACCCTTACCGGAGGTGGTGTATTCACGCCCGTATTGGACGGCAGCCTTGATCGCCAGGACGTCCATTCCGTTGATTTTCAGGCCGGGAATGTATTGGCCGCGCTTGTAGTAATCGGTAAGGGCTGCGGCGCGGTTGGCTGCGGTTCCCATGCCATATTTGTTATCTGGAAAGGAGTATGGCCATTTAGCATCGATGTTGTTAATCTCCAAATGGTATGTATGAAGCAAAGAGACTCACTTTCACAACCAAAAATGCAAGGCAGATTCCACAGCTTAGCCATGTTGAAGGCCTCGAAAACTTGACCTTGGTTGGATGCTCCATCACCATATAGAGCGATGGTAGTAGTTTTCTCATCATTGTATTGTTGCGCAAAAGCCAGACCAGCACCAACGGGGACCTGAGCTCCTACAATGCCGTTGCCCCCATAGAAGTTTTTGGCAAACATATGCATAGAGCCACCTTTTCCATATGCAATGCCCTCTCGGCGCCCGAGAAGTTCTCCGATAATAGATTTTACCGTTCCACCACGCAGAAGTGCAAAACCGTGGCATCGATAGGCAGTGATTAACTTATCGTCCTTAGTAATGGCGTGTTCAATCCCGGTCGCAACCGCTTCTTGTCCCGTCGACAAGTGGCAGAATCCTCGAATTTTCTTCTCTTTGTAGAGACGATCAGCGGCCATCTCCATTCGTCTGAGTCAATGTTAGACAAAGAGTATTAGAGCTAAACGGTGCAACAGCGCAACATAAAATACCTAATGGAAACCATATCACGATACATCTGTTTTAACTCCTGCTTCGTGGTCTCGAGGGTGTACGGAGGAGGGTCAAGCTCATATGTTTCGAAGCTCTCATCGGAGAGCTTGACTGTGAATGGTTTGTCCTCTTCCTGATGCAATAGAATATCGGTTAGATGCCCGCATAACTACAGATTGACAGGCAGGGTGCGAATAAAGCTATCGGGCACTTACGACGGGGATAGCTTCAGCATGCGCGGAAGCAGCATCGGTCGTGACGCTCCGCCTTAATACCGGAACGAAAGCCTTACGGCACAGAGGCGCAACCTGCCGCACCGGGGTTATTCTGGAAAGCATTGTGAAGTGAGACAAAGCCCAATGGCAAACAAGTGGGGGAGCAGGCACCGGAGGAAAGCGGAGGAGGAGGAGAGGCGGTGGATGCTGTTGCGGATGTTGGTGGTTTTTTCAAGTTTGAAGTTGTAGATCTCATTGTTGCATTGTTGGAGAACGTTGGGAAACCAACAGGAAGCACGCTAGGGTGTTTTGGGGCAAGGGCCAGATTATGTCACCGATTTAGCACGCGGGCTTGGCTTTGCTCGGCACCGCGGCTCCGTCATCGTCAACTACTCGTACTGCTTGACATTTCAACTTCAACAACATCATCGATGAAGGGAGTTGAATAGGACGCATGAAACCGTTTCTCACTTCGTCTGTGACTTTATTCGTTGGGTTTTCATGGATCAGAGTCTGAAAAACCACCATGGGTCGCAAACAGCCGCAAAGGAATCATCGGGTCTTACCATCATGTCCACATCCACGGGACCAACCATTTCCCCCAATTCTTTCTAACATACAGTATTCGCATTTTTTATCCCGGAGAAACAAAGCTAATGCTTCAAGGATTAAATGGGACTTTGGAGATCGAGAGAATCTACGGTCTTCAGTTTGGTTCATTCCAGTGGCCAGAAGTGGGTTCCTTGCACCCATCAAGGCGCTCCACTAATGCTCATAATTCATTAACAGCACATCATTGTTTGATAATATGTTTAGTGTCAATTTCGATCATTTCCTTCTCCAGGAACTACCATCATTATTTGTGATATTCGGGACAGTTATATGCGGGAGAATCCAGGGGTCAAATTGAAAGCTTACTCCGGCTTGACGAGTAAGATATTAGACGACGGCTCAAACATCCAACTTCTAGTCCTCCACGTCAGTTTCCCAGTCCGGCTTTATCCCTACGCTGAGCAATCCTGCGTCCGGAATGAGTTATAACCACTTACAATGCTCAGAGGTCCGTTGCAAACGCCATGTTTGCATTGAAAGCTACTCGTACATTAAAAACAAGAAGAATATTTTATTGATATGAACCTTCCACTGCCACTGGTACTCATAAGAATACTATTTAAGCAACACATGTCCCGCTGCCAGTTTCTAGTCTTCCTCCATCCTCTAACCCCTACCGTGCTTTGTCTTCAAACCCAAACCAGAACGGCTGCTTCACTGCTTCTGTGTTTCTTCTGCTCTTTTTTTCGGCTATATATCCTTATCGTACTGTTCCGAAACGAGACACGGAAAGGCGTAATCCGCCCATAGAGTGTGTGACTGCATATCTTTGGCCCAACAATTTTGTTGAAAACGCAATGGCCGGTAAGTATTGTTTAAGTTTCCTGTGTGCCCACCCCATATCTCTCAGGAAAACCTCCAATAACTATAGCCTGTAACTCATAGTATCAAGGTACGAATCTGCGAAAGATGATCTCCAGCGTGCTCTTGTCCGTGCGGCAGGACAAATATACAAGTATGAATCGAGACTCGGAATCGATAGTCAAGTTGTTAACGTTTTCGCAACCGGCTTTGTATATTCACTCTTGTCGAATAAGCCGCACCATCGCAATCTAACTAGGGAAATCGCCCTCGTTGGTTTTGAAGAGGATACGGAAATCCTCTCAATAGCGTCACAGTGTTTTGATAATACCCACTCCCTGAATGTTCCGCATCCTGGCTTCAGTGCCCCGAATTCTACCGCATGCAGAGCAGTAATGTCCGGGAGTTAGTACTCCAAGACGCTCTCATACCTGGACAAGAGCTGATCCTGTTTGAGAGTTTAAAATTAAGAGTATTCGCATTACCTATGCTTTTCGCAGTCGGCTGGACATCATCACTCTTCGAGGACCCCGACGATTCCTCCATGTTGACGGTAGAGTCTGCTGCCGACTATTTGTCCGTGTATCTTGACATGAAGGGGTTGACGTACTTAGGATTTGAATACCTTCGATCATGTCTGAAACGCTATGGCTTTGATCCGGATCTCGAATTTTACCACTGGCTGAATCAGATGTATTTTAAACGCTATGGTATTCCGTATGTTGTTCGCAGCGTTCCATATTCGTGAATCATTCAGATGACACGGGTTTTAAAATGACAATTACAATAATCAAAATCTGATTTAGTTATTTTATAAGTTTACCTCGAAGCATCATCTCTTGCCATGATAATTTGTGATTATATCGGGATAGAGCTCTTGAAGAGATCAAGTGGAGTACTAAAAACCTTACTATTCTTAGCTCTGTTTGCTATGTTGTAGGAAAGAGTATATTTCCTCAAAAATATACCATACTTGCTGCTATCTTTTGCATTGTGTGAACGGATGAATCAAGTCCAATCACAATGATTGATCTACAGAGGCATATTTTACTTGTAGTGAAGCACTTAATAAGAATATGCATGGAAAAGCACACTAACATATCACTTTGTCTCAGACTATCGTCTATGTCCATGCTTGCTCATAGCCAGAGAACTGGGAGACCAACCAAGACATAAATATTGACTTTGCAGGCCACAATCGGATTTAGCTTATTGTCTATCCAACATTTCCCAATTGATATTATCCGATACGGACAATGAGAAACAACCTATCTTGAGGGCGGGTTGTCCATGGAACCCCTCAAACTCCCAAGGGGCCATAAGCTCGTCAAAGAAAACCCTCAGGGGACACGGTCCAACTTCGTTCCGCTGATGGAAACTCGACGATACAATGAGTTTGGACATTGAGCGAAGCAGGGGGGTTACTACTTTACTAAACAGGAAATCGAAAAATGTAGATTAAGGACAGAGTTGCACTGGGAGGTCCATTTAGAGTCAGGAATTGGTTAATCCAAGCCAGAATGCCTGCTACCATACTTGCAGCACATTTTAATACATGGAAGAGAAGAACGGGAACGATCGAGCCGGGGATTGGATAGGTTTAAAAAATGATAATCAGCCATTAAGTCGCAAGGGAAAGAAGGAGAGTGAAGAGCTGATCCAAGTCATTTTCAATGAAAATCCGACTTTTTCCTTCCGTATATGTAATGCTCCGTTTTAAAAGATGCACGCACAAGACTGGAAAGGGAAAACAAAAATTACCCAACCACTGAGGTTGATATATTAACGGAATATAGGAAAATTGCGGATGTACTTTGTTGACAGCGTGGAAATGTAGATATACTAATGCCAAATTTCCAATTAGTTACTGAAAACGGAAGAACATCAACAAAAAATTTGATCACCAACACCTGGAATATCAGAATATACCAAATTAAGTGCCCATTATAAATGGAAAGTTAGAAAAGATATCTGCTTGTATAACGATACAAATATTTACCCTTGACAGATGTCAGCTGAATTCTATGAGAATGTTGTTGCAGTCCCTGAGATTGCAAAATTCACTAGCTGTAAAATGAAGAAAAAGAAGCACAAAAAAAGAAAAAACAAAACAAAAATTATCTATAGCTTTGGGTAACAGCTAAGACGGCTATCATTTGGGTTAGCCCCCACACAGTGATGGCACGTTAAGATGTTTTTCGGGTCCACCTTCTTCTTGATCTTGAGGAGGCGGTCGTAATTCTTTCGTCCCCAGAAGCTGTCGATATGATTTGGCTCGTAGGCATCGGCTTCGTTTTGATAGGCGCCGCCGTCCGGACTAATGTTGCGCAATGGCTGCACCATCTCGCTTGCCTGTCTGAAACGGTCAATAAAAAATTCGGGGGGATGTTCGGTCTGGCCATCAACATCCCAAGCTGTCTGCATCACAACATGCCAGATTGCCTTTCTCTGTATATTTTTATCATATGTTAGTTCTAGTGGGAATCACTAAGGAAAGGGAACAGGTGGGGAGAGAAAGAAGACTGAAATGATTACCCATGCAGGAGTGACGGATGCCTCTCCAGGGCCTCCAGGTTTGTCCGAGTTGGGCAAGTTAACCGCATAAGGCGTAACCATATTAAGACCGTAGCGCATCTCCGAAAGCACATCTATGAGTTCTCGTCGTTTGCCTTTATTTTTGAAATTCTTATCGGTAACAAGACGCGAGGCCTGTGCGATGGAAATACCGTTGACTAAGGAACCGAAGTATTGCATCACGGGGGTATTGGCGAATTCAAAGTAGTTTGCAACAGTGGTTACGTCCACCCCGAAGCGAAGCGTGCCATCATTACGAGGAAGGGCGAAGTCAATCAGTTCTTTCATGGACAGTTTTGCTTCGTCGAGGGTGAGTTTCGGCGTGATCGCCAACATGATGCTTGACCCGTCCCCGAGGCCAGCAACATATCCTCCCCAGCCGTCTTTTGCCCATTTTACACCATTTTCCACTAGTATAGTAGTCACATCCTTGTCTAAAGTAGCTTTAAATGCGATAACTGCCATCTTGTATGAGGAAAAGGTTCACGATTAGCATACATAGGAGCTATGATAGCGGAGCCGGGGGTCATTGATAGCATAAGGTTAACATACCTGCAAAGGAACTTCAGGGAAGACGCGGGTTGTGGTCTCTACTATCACACCAAAGGTGGCGCCGCCGCCACCACGGACAGCGAAGAAAATATCCTGGTTTTGGCATCGATTGGCAGTGACATAGGCCCCATTAGGTAGCACAACCTTAATTTGAAGGACATTATCAACACCGAGGCCATAGGCAGGGGAAAGCAGGCTATGGCCACCGCCAGTTATATAGCCTCCTGATGCCCCTACTGTCGGACAAGCTCCACCCAAAGCCTTAAAAAGTATAGTTAGTAAGGAAAGCCCGGTTTTTTTATACGATCACAAAACATGGAAATCGTGTCACTTACCATGTATCCGTTTTGGTGAGTAAACTCATATATGCCTTGAAATCCCTGGCCAGCGCCATATGTAATGGCAGGTCCAGAACACACGTCACAATTCTCCGCATGGAAATTTTTGTGCAACTTAATAGGGGGTTGGAGGTTGTGTGTCCTGTAGTAGGCAAAGACGAGTTGAGTTGGTTCAGAAAGTTAGACGCGAGAATGTACCAACGGAAATGGAAGCATTATCATCGTACCAGAGAGCCAAGCTGTGAGCGCCTGCGCTGCGGCCCTTGAAGTCGTGACCGGTATTCTTGACCACCAAAGGGATATTATGTTTTTCAGCGAACTTCAATCCAGCCTGGATATCCGAAACTTTGCGCACATCAATGTAATAGTCCGGTACGTTGCCTTGATAGCAGGTGGCATCATTCACCAACAATTTGGTGAGTGGACACCCATGTCCAGAAGTCATGCATGTTCCGTGGTATGGATTGTGATATCCTGCGGGCTGCGAGGTGATAAAATCGACATTGCGTCGGTTGTCCTGCGCGATCTTGCAAACTCCTTGGTCCGGAGTACGGAGGAGTGGCACGATCGCTGGCTCATACCTGAGGTAACAGGGTTCCGCAAGGGGCTGTAACACACCGAGACGGCCCTCAACACTTACATTGAGAGCTCGCCAGTCGGCATGAGAAACGCTGAAGATTTCAGCGACGGGGGATGCAAGCAATGGTAAAGCGTAGGCCAGCACCAGCACAAAGCTGGATTTTCGAGTAAACATAGCTCCCTTTGGTCAAGGAGATCGGTACCTGGTACATGGAAAGAATAAAATGAAGATGAAACTTAATTTCCCGAGGCTTGAATGCATTTATACATCGAAACAGACGTCTGCAGATGGAAGGAGGTCGTCCATGTCCAACCTACGTTTAGGACGGTTGGAGCGGGTCTAAATCGCCAAGCGACTAGATTTATAGATCTATCTTCAACCTGGTCCCTGTCTGACGCATGAAATCCTCAATAACCGAGCTGAACGAAATGATCAAAAGAGCCTGTTGATAGAGACAATAACTTCTTTCAAGCAAACCCTTCGACCAGTGTTTCCAGAAGTCGTTCAAAATTCGACAGTCTTGCAAGATTTCATTCGACGGCATGGCAAAACATTTCCATTATGCCTCAGAATGACTAGTATCTGTAACTGCAAAGTTCACTTAGCCTCAGCCACCTAACTAAGTATCCTGAAATCATAGAGTAGCTTGGCAGTCGGGTAAATGTTGTTTGAGAGCTTCCAGGGTTGAGCTGTCTGAATCGCGCGTCCTTGTTTTGAGACTGGCTCTGGCTTTGGTGAGAAGATGCCAATGGGACTAGCGAGCTTTGCTCTTTTTGGAAGGCCAAGTTCGACGCGAAATTGCTCTCCACCAACCCTCAGCCGTTCAACCACTGAGGGTAACCCTTGTTGCCTTCGAACTTGAGCTTGAACTCTGATATATCCTGGACGTCCATCGTCGGGGTCTTTAAGATTGATTCATGGAGGTAGATACGGGCCAAATACATATCAAGATCGATGGGATATGACCAACAGATATGTTTCCGCTCCTCCTCGGTTCAATCAAGGTAGGAATTCTCATGTGGCAGCAAATTGGTTTAAAATATGTCAATTGTGCGCCATTCCATTGGATCATGGATTCATGCATAGCACTTTCGAGAGGGGAAGAAGTCCTCAAAACCCAAGCGACAATACAATTCGTATAAACAAGTCATGGAACTGGCGGTTGAAATTTTATCCCCCTTCTGTGTTTTCACTATCCTGGAACGGTTCCATCCAGGATTGGTGGCGTATGAAGACGTCTCATCAGCTGTCAAATGTGGCGTTACTTTATCCAGCGAAGGATTGACGCTAACTGGGCCAACTCGCTTGAGGACAGAAACTTTGTGCAGACCAATAGATGAAAGAAAGATTCCCAAAGAACATCAGGGAAGACGAAATAATCCGAAAAGCCCTCCAATAGCAGGTTGAAGCATCCAGACTTAGAAAAAAGAAATACTTCCAAACGGAGAGAACGGCAATTGGCCAGATCGTTAGCCACGTTTTCGGCAAATTGAAGCCATTAGTTTGGCACTATCTCGGAGCCGCGTGCTCCGATTCTTGATGCGGATGGGGTCGAGTTTATTAAGAATTGCTAAGGACTTGAGAAGGCCTGTCCTTTGACAATCCAGCACCACGACACTTCGCTAAGCGAATGTGGCCTGGAGCCTGGAAGTTGGAGGAACGGGTCTCTTTGGTCGAGTCAAATCACCTTACTCCGTACATGAGCATCAAGTGCCGAATGCAAGAACCAATGTTCGTATCCTCTGGGAGTTCCATCGATTGGTTTTCCGTCGCCTGTTCTTTTGGAGCTTTTTGGGGAGTCAAGAGCAGCTCCTCACCGTGGACATGCTCACTCCTGCCAACCACTTCATCCTGACTCACCTGGCAGTGAGTTATATAAGCCAGTTTTCTACCACAGACCCACTGCGTGGTAATGTTGAGCAGGATAAATGCGTAGACCACATCGGTCTCTTTCGGAGCTTTCCAGGCACGGAAAAATGCGACCTCAGGGAAACAAGGGCATTGCACTCCCACGACGGCAAGTTAAAGGGGACCTTAACTTCTTACGCATTCCCCACTGTGGCACGATTGGGACTTCTCTTAGCACGCGGCGCCCTGAGCAATTCAACTCCCGAATGACAGCGCCACTGGAAGCGATGACCTTAGTCTCAGTTGGCTCATGAGAGAGCCTAGCACCCCAAACCTGCCTATATACGCGATGGCTCCGCGCTCCGCGCTCTTCTGGGGTGGTCTTACCGGGAACATACACTTCTGGTTGAAGAGCCTTTGGCAGTGTCATGCCATTGTCAAGACATTGACATCATCATTCGATCCCTCGATTGTTGCCTCTTCTTTTCAAGCAGGACGGGCCAGTAAGCAGCCGTCTGCCTCAGACGGTGTTGGATAAGTCAAAACTGAGGCACCTTCTGAGAACCCATACATATAATATTGTACCCAAAAGCGATGTTGAAAGGGGAAGTCGTCCTGACAACGGATGCATCAGCTATGGCTTGGCATGTCGCTTGAAGCATCCAACATCCTTTGCCTTGTTCCTCTCTCTCTCTTTTTATTTAATTTTTCTTTGCTTTCCGGGAACCGCACAATTTCTCCCTTGAAAATAAATAATGCTCTGAAGATTTCTTCCTTCCCTTCTTTTGAGTTTGCAATCTTCATTCTTGAAAGATACCATCGGTGGATTCAAAAAAAAAAAGGGGGGGGAGAAAAAAAAAACCACAGTGCAGCGAAAGGAAAATAATAGTTGGGAAAGTTAGATATGCGGCAGTGTCTGTCCGTTGGGGAACTAACTCTATCGCGGATAAATTGATAACGACTAACTCAAATATTAGAGCCCTTCGAATGTTCCCAGGGTTCTATCTGTGGAACACTCTCGGGTATCCGATCCACAGGGTCATCCCATGGTTCGGAGCTGTGGTAATCCGTGGCTTCATCCAGCACCCGCAGCAGTTGAGATCACCGAATATACAGTCCTATAATTGAACCAGACCAATCGGTTGAGGCTCTGGTGAATACACTGTCGGAGTACGTTGTTAGTTATATACCCAAGGTGCCGGATAGAATGGAGGACGACTGAACCTGTTCAGAAAGATAAACTATCAATGGCTCATGGATCCAGATCTAGATTTTGGAAACAGAGATCGGTCTGATCAGGGAAGCAGGAGTCCACAAGATATCGTTCCCACCGATCCGCTGATCTCACCGGCTCAATTATGTGGAAGACTGGACAGTGTCATGGGCTACATTCAAACATGGCACCTTGTCCAGCAAATACTCCCGATGTCAACGGAAAAGGCATTTGAAATGCATCCATTTTGTGGAAGCCTTGCTGAGAGCCCACAGGCCCGGACAGCCTATTGACCATGTATGGCAATGAGAGAAAAGAATAATGGATTTCCTTTAAGGGGCCTTTTTCAATGGCCAGTAGTGACTGGTGATAGACAGGACAGAACCTCAAGATCAGGTGCGAATCAGGTGGCGAATCAGTCTAAAGGTTTGCTGTGCTATATCTCTTTTGAATCACATCTAGGTTTTCTGCCTGCTGGAAATGACCAATGCCTCATGCCCCGACTATCCAAGAGTTTCAATCCATTGGAGCAAATGTTTTTTGTTTTGCAGCAGCACTTTTTTTACCCCTGTCAATCCTCTACCCCACGGCACGGCCTCCGGTTGGAGACTATCCTGAGCGCCCAAGCGCTTTGCAAGGCACGGTAGAAACTACTTTGGTCCGTCACATCCTCACATCCCCGGTATTATTCAAAAGAACCCTCAGACCCGTGTCTTGAAACAAACTAACGCCGAGCCATGCAACACTTTATTTCATCTTCGGATAGCATCCGGGACACCGGATAGGCTAAAATTTATTTTGTGAATATGATGACCAATGTTCCCGGCGGACTGGGTATACCGTCAAGAGACGTCATGTCATATCTTGAATGCATGAATCTAGCTCAATAATAATATTACGTATCACATAATTTACTTAGTTATCTGCCTCTCTTCCCTAATGCCTCGTAACTGCAGCGAATCGGCCCTATGAAACTTCATAATATTCGTGCCTTTTAAATATCCCTGATATCGATCGAGGTTAGTTTTCTCATTTCTGATAAGTCGGATATCAGGTTCTGACGGGTCATTCCATCGGCTCTCCAGAGTCAACATGTCACCGACATTGATCAGCCCTTTCTAATATTAGCCACCAAACACAAAGGGCAAGTAAGTTATCTTTTCTTAATTTCACACATTCCGGAAAGCAGTAAGTTATCCACAGCCAACTAATGCATATCCATCATCATCATGGCACATTGAAGACATTATTGATTGCATATTGCTCCTGCAAGCTAAATCCCGACTCTGCCAATTCAAAAGCGTTCATCTGCATCCACCCTAGGATTAGAACAGAACGGACAGCCTTTCCGCCCTCCCTCAGAGTTGGCATCCTGTCACTTGCACCGTCGCTATGGCATCGAAGGATCGATTGAACCACGACGCCGGGGAGGAGTTTTCTGCAGGTTTAAGGCCTGAGAATTTCCGTTCCCCCATGAGTTGAAGTAGGTGTCAGAAAAAGAAATAAATCCACTCACTGGTGGGTTTCTGGGGAACAAATCCGGAAGGCCAATGCATGAGCAATTTTGCATCCATTTGATACAATATATCATGAATTTTTTTTCTTTCTTTTTCTTTTCTTTTCTTTTCCTTCGTTCTTTCTTTCTTTCTTTTTTTTTTTTTTGCAAACTAGTTAGAGTTCCTTGACTTATCAGGCAAAATTATTATTCAGTACGCAACAAACTATTTGCTAACCTTTAGTTGTCGAGAAGTACTGGTTTGTAAATAGACGTCATCGCCATATATATCGCTTATCATACTAGTAGTTTACTCAGGACCCCGGCGTTCTAGAGCAAATGCTTCCTCCGTGGCATACTTTCATGAAGACCGACCCTCCATAGAGCACTGACTCACAATTCTCCGAGCCTCCTAAAATCAAAAATGGGTAACTATACCTAACGTTAGTTACCTCCTTCTTTACCTCGAACCCCACTGCCCGAACCGTGCCCCGTTTATTCACGGACCACCACCGGCGGCCGCCCCTCCCCCCATCTCAACCTCCCGTGCACTTATACCACGGATGTCGAACATCAATGAAAAAAAACCCATCAAAAACTGAAAAAAATGAGTTCAAGGAATGGTGAAGGGGAGAAAGGGGGGGGGAATGTGTTACAGCAACCTGTTCACATGCTGATTCAAGGTTCCCCAGCTTCCCCTCAAGCACGCCTTACTATTATCGTTCAACTACTCCATAGGTTTACCAAGTCTCCCTTCCCTGTCCCACCTTTGGCGCTCCTGCACCCATCCTACTAAGTACTACATAGGTATGGATTTGCGGGATAAGCGCAGCCCATGCCCGAACAAATGGATACTATGGGAATAACCACTGAACGCCCGGCCACCCGTGATTATGGTGTATTCTCTCCGCTGATCGCCGCGCTGTGATCGGCGGGAATGAGAATGGGGAAGAGGGCGGGGAGACCTTGTCTGGTGGGAATTTGCAGAAGCCTGACCACCCGCTGCCATCTTCGCCCGTTGTGATCGGCGGCTATGTTGATTAACCCTAGCTTAGTATATGCTAAGGCCATCATAGTCTTGTAGACTAGGGATTCTGCTGTTGATCGGCCACATGAGGAGAATCTGGATCATAAGCATTATTACTCTGTATTTGGATTCTTTTTTGCGCAAGAACAGGTAGGCAGGTGACAGGTATCGAGGCAAATCATGTGGAAGTTAGACCGGGGTTCTTCTTTAATAGTTAAAAAAGATGTGCCATCTTTAGATGTTACAGTTTTCAGATTTGATAGGTCCGGTTGCTGTGGAAGCGAAAGTAGCCAGCTTGGATTGCTCTCACTTGGTCCATCAGGTCGGCCGGCCGAATTTCTCTTACTATTATGTAGCTCCAGTCCAACAGTTCAAACAGAATGTGTTTGGAAATGTTGGAGAGGAGGAGGCATGAAGGGTGCAACCAAGGCAATTGACCATGTCCAATATGATATATGATTGTCAGTGCGGCTTTGCTCCTCGAGTATGGGTTCCTTGTCAAATGAGAAGCTGTTGACTGTCACATTGTGTACTTTGTATGTGTTTGTATTAGAGATCAACAGGGGAAAATAAACAGAGCCCTAACCACTGATTGAAACCCCACTGGGTCATGTACACACAACTTGCTAGTGATCGTATTTTCCTTGTAAAGCTGTAGGAACTGTGCTGTAGAGCAACTTGCATGTTACTCCTAGCTTGCAGCTAGGACCAGACCCCACGGGGAAGTTGGAAGTGAGGAATTCTGTATGGTGGATGATGTATTCTCTTCTTGGAGGACCCTCTTTTGTGAGCTTCGGAGAGTTTTTGGTGACATACAATTATGCAGTACGGAGGAAGAGGAGGAGCATGAAGTAGTAGAGCTTGATGGAATGCAAAAATTTTGGGCTTGTGTAGTTCAATGAACAAGTGGTGGGTAAAAATCTTTTGATAAGCGGTTTTTAGGATTCCAGCCACACATGTTTCCCCAACATGCGATGCAATGCAACAATTACCAATCCATCCATTGAAGAGTATGAAGGAGAATTGATTCTTTTATGTAGGTTATGTTGACCTCTCCGCAGGTGCTTTGTAAGCAAACTCATGAGGAACCGAGAAGAACCATGTGCATATACAATATCAGAACTTCTATCTGTCTGCTCCACTACTCACTGAGAAGTATATCACATCATTCCATACCCACTGGAGAGCCTGCACCACCAACACTCTCATCACTACTAGCGGGTATAGGCCTCCTCACAAGCTCACAGTAGAGGATCTCTGCGCAGGTCTCCGACCAATGGGCTCTACAAAGGAAGTTGCCCGACTGGAAACAAATTCCAACAGACCCCTGCTGGTAAATCGACACACAATGCAGAACAGATGGCGGGAGCAACTTCTCGCCCTGGAATACCGTGTCCGGATCAACGAAGGTCTTAATATTCATGCCACAAATGGGCTAGCCCCGGGTCTCCTTGAAGAGCACACTGTTCGAGATTAAATCTTCTTTATGGCTACGCCATAATTGAAGAAGGGGCAACATCTCGACCGTGGAATGAGGTCTCGTGGTGTGAATATTGCGGTATACAGAGAGCCCTTTCAAGGTTCTGCAGCCCCAGTGCTTCTTGGGTTGTTGCGCTGGGAAGAGTGTTGATCATCGATTTCTGCCACTCTGAGCTGGATTTGAACTGCATGAAACGTTCACGATGCGGGGAAAAAGGGTTGGGCGATGAGAAAGCTCCTCGTAGTTTTACTTATCCTCCCTACGTGGATAGTAATGGTGCGTCCCCGCCGTACGATTTTCAGGGAACCTTGAAACAATTTGTCAACTATCATTTATGTCAGCTTGGTGATATTTTCAGCTTTTACCACCATGCGTCGAAGCGACAGCAGACATGGAAGCAACTGGTTAGCTGAAGCTGATACAATTGACTTCAAGCTGTTAGGCAGATCGAGGATTTGCAACATCCAATTGGATTTCAGGGTCTGTAGTTGCATAATTGAAAATAAATAAAAATAAATAAATAATTGTTTCCTGGGCCATCGTGGACCCGACTCCAGGAGCTGGGTTTGGAAATGAAGTGCATTGAATATTGTGTTTGTTTCTAACCCTCACAACAGTTGGACCCAGATGTCCAAACGAAGCTGGGGAAGGGGCTCATCTCTTTCCACATAAAATATACCGAAGAACCACCAACGAGCAGACCAGCCTGGGTTGAGTGTAACCCCCGGAATCAACTCCAAATAATAATTGCGTGGGCAAAAAAGAAGTTGCTCGTGGTGTTTCACAGGTTTCGAGAGCGTGGACATGTAACCAGTTCATATAACTACTATGGAGAGGTTACATACGATCTGATGCAGCGCACAGGGAGCCTGGCAGAGCTGATGGTCTGACGTGGAATTGGTGCTACAAGGAGCAAGGAGAATTTGACTGACAGCCTGCCTAGTTTCATGAAACAGACAAAGTCTTACAATAACTTGCAGAAAGAAAAAGAAAAAAGAAAAAAACCCCACCATCACCACGGAACAATTTTCCATCTTCAGCCCCAACCTGGCAATTTGATCAGTGCATATACATACAGCGCATCTATGCATCAAAAAATCACAAACTACATGTCACGGAAGCAAGGGCGGATTGGAAACTCTCCTTGTTCTCTTCTGAACCCACCAACCAACCACAACCTATGCACACGGGCCTCCAGTTCCCCCAATTCTCAAACAAGTTGAAACACCAGCGAAAGGGGCCACAGATGCAGTCTCCATGCACTGAGAGCGCTTGGCGAGGCAACTCAAAAAAGGCATAATTGCATAATTTACATTGTCGTGAACAGACGTGGCCCGTGGGGGAGCGGGAGAGAATGCGCATGGCCAGGGGGCGGGGAGTCCACTGGTACAGCGTAAGCCAGGATTCCTAAATACTAGTATATATCCATGACTCTTGCAGGCCACGGACTTCTCGGGGAGAGGGAAAGCATTGCGTGCTGGATGGATTCGATTATGGCGGAAGACAGTTAGATGATACATAACATCCATCAGCATTCATGAAAACCTGATCTAACTGCCATGATGGGCCAATTGGATTTTTTTTTTTTAATTAAAGAAATAATTAATATACCGGAGTATAGACATCGATGCTATTTTTAATTCTACCTTTTTAATTCTTTCTCAGACCACCAGGCCGGGTGCCTATAAACCAATTTCTTGATACAAAATTACAGTGGCATGATTTGGCTAGGCCCCCTGCGCAGATACCGGGTCCTGACACGGTAGATATCGGGTGTCTTTTTTTCATTCTATTTTATTTTCCTTAATCGTAACTCCTTACTAGTGTCCCTATTCCCGGTGCTGGGGCTAACTTATATGGAGTTGGTCGCAGTAGAGGACAAGCGCATGCAGGGGAAATGAAGAATATCCCCGGGCATACATCGTACTGGTAACTTCATGAACTCGACAAGCACCATATATAAATCCGTCTTCCAAGTGTCTCGGGGAACACATGAAAAAAGCTCATGAGAGATTTTCTTTTCCATGAGGCCAATTGTATTTACTCAGTTGACTCTTGGGCAGAAAAAAAATTTTTTTTTCTTTGTAGCTCTAGTCATGCAGGCCTGCAGTGAGCTGCATGCGTTGTATGTATGCAGTTCATGAGGGTGTGTAACCTGAAAGACAATTGACGTATGCAGGTCAGGAAGCTGAAGCTGAGGGGAAATATCAAATATCAGAAAAAGTATTTACTCGGCCAAGGAGATGATGATAACACCTGAGAGAGTAAAAACATACTCCGTACTGTCCAGCAACAGGGGCCTTCTTCTGCAGTCCATCCTGCAGGCACAGATCGTATAGCTGCCAACCATCTATCTCCACACGCCCTCCTCCACTCTGTGCTCTCTCTCCCTCTCTCTTATTCTATGCCGGCCCAGGTCCCAGGAACCGCAAGCAAAAGCGCCACACATCTAATTACCCTGGATGGACCAAACAGAGCGCCTGTTGAGCAACGGGCTGAACAGAAACTGGGGTTCTTCCTTTCGGCGCGAACCCCGAATTCGACCCCGTCCACATCTCAGCAGTTGCTGCAGAGTCAGTCCGGAGTCTCTTGGGCCGTCAAACCGTATAAGCGTCGTGCTTCGGGAGGATGACTGCACGCCCTCAAGCCATGCATTAGCCTCTTCCCAGCAGTTTATTCACCCGCCCTTCGATGCCTTTTCGATGGTTTTTCTATTTTGATTTTTCCTTTTTCTTTTCTTTTTCTTTCTTTTCGGCTTGCTTTTTTGCTTTTCTTTCTTTTTTCCTCATGCTCTCTCTATCTTCCGGTTTCCGTTTTCACTCATCATCGTCCTTTTTTTCCCCCTCTGTTTTCCTCCGTTTTCCGTTTTCCGTTTTCTACCATGCGGAGGTTTTATATATATATATATCTATACCGCGATCCCCTTGTCCTTCGAAACAACCGGCTGCGCAGTGCTGATGGAGTGATTCCTATTTGGAAGTGATTCCAGCCGCGCACTCATTTGCGGTCCCAGGCCTCGCCACTGATTTGAACTCCTGCAACTACTCCAAGGTTTGCTACTAGTTCAACGACTACGGCTGTTAAGCTGCCGTTGTGCTCGTCAACGAACCCACTGCGATTGCTGCTGGCGCAGCTGGCAATGCTGCTGAATGGTCCTGGAGATTGTCCGTGGCTGCTTACAGGGAGAACTTATTTCTGCTTCTTCTCTTCTTATTGCGTATTCTTCCCTTCCTCCTCCGTATCATCCTCCCGCTGATATCTGCGCTGTCCTGTGCTGTTCCCTTCTTCGTCCACCATCACTCTACTCTGACAGGGAGATACCTCGCCCGCGCTCCACTATGCTACGCTACGCCCGCGCTATCTCCATGCACTAAGTTAACCCCGGCCAGTCTCTGCGCCAACGCCAGCCATCGGCTTTTCTTGTTCAGGATCTTTTTTTTTTTTTAGTTCCAGACAAACCCTGTCTTCCAAAACCTAGACTCGCCCCCTCACCCCAGTCAATACATTCCCCCCTCCCGGGGCGAGGTCTTTCCTTGAGGATTTTTATAATTGTTTGATTACTCGCCGTTTCATTCCCCTGCTTCGGCTCTTTGCCTTCATCTTGGTCTCTGCTTTCTGACCCATCATCTCTCCATTGCTTCGGGTCTGATGTGGAAGCATCGAGCTTCGTCCAGGCCCGATCCCGCCCCGAAGGACAAGGACGAGAACCCTCCTCGCCCTCTCTCCAATCTTGGCCTATTTGGCCGTTCGAGACGATCCTCGCGGAAAGGTGGGTTTTGGCTTAGGGGATTTTCTTTCTTACTTACCTATTTCCTCCGCTTATTTGCGTCGTTGTCTCGTTGTCCCAGCTTTTCTTTTTCTGCTTGTTGTCGCTTTGTCCATGGATATACCTACTTCACTCCCTTCCCCTCCTCATCTCCCCTCCCCTTTTAGAATTGACTAACTTGACTGAAACTTCCTGTATACATGCCTCTGCTGCTGCTGCGTTTCTTCCGAAGGTAGTGAATCTGTCTAGCATTGATCCATTGTTGTTGACTACGTTCGAATTCATTGATGTACTTTACCGTGTGCTGATACGGCTACCTGCATTGCATTACCTCTCTTTCTCCCCGCCCACTGTCTGCCCGCTGTTTGTTATCTACCTACACCCGCATTGCCTGATCAGCATTTTTCAACCTGTCAATCTGTCATCAGTCGAATCAATTATTTCCTGCTGCTTCCATACTTCGCGCAATTGATCAGAGTAAGAGGCAAAAGTTAACTAAGCCACCACTACGCACCATCTAGACCTCCCTCTCCAAATCAACCGTTCCAACAATCGACTAGAGCCAACACAGTCAACTTTTTTATCCGTTGATCAGCGCCCTCAAGTCTCCTTCTCCCGGTCAGTTCCAGAAGAGCTGAACCACTCAGCGCTATCTCCGTTTCTGCGAACCTCGTCCAATTCGAATCTCCGGTCACTGTCGAGACTGGTGCATTCTAAAGGATACCGCCCGCACCAAAATCACTCTCAGACGTCCTTCAACTCGCGATCGGACAGGTCGATGGCGGGCGTGATGGACGTCGAGCGGACGCGGCCACGGAGGGAGAGGACCTTCGTGGGTAGCGAATGCGCCGTTTGCGAAGAGCCGCTGGAACATACTCTTCGTGGAGAACGCATCCTCCAATTATCATGTGGCCACGTTTCTCATGAAGCATGCTTTTATGAGTATATCAAAGAATTTGAATCGCAGTACTGCCCGACGTGCAGTGCCCCTCTGGCACTGGATAGTAATCGAGGGGGAAATGTGCTTGATTTAGGTAAATATTCCTTTCCCCCCCCCCTTCGAAAACCCCTTATATCCTGCTGCCAGTTTTGCCATGGGATCTGTAAGACAATGATATACTGACTCATTTTGACACTCCCTTGCAGAAAAACTCTCCAATATTGTTCGCTCTGTATCTGTTAGCGATGCGGCCAGTCATAGGGGCACTCAGAATACCCCCACACCATGGGATGTCAATGGTAATCGTGGACATGGAGATAGCATGTCCAGTATTCGCGACAGCCGTGATCCCCGCCGCCGTCATAGTAGAGATACCAATAGCCAGCGGGAGAGAGTTGAGCGTTTAACAAGTCCTTCGACCCGGCAACGACATTCGCGCTCGGATAGTGGTACTACCGGAGCTGCGTCCTCGGGCGACTATGGAGACGGCCGGCACCATAGCACCGGGAGGCGGCATGATTACGATGTACAGGCCATGGAGTCCGACCTTAGCCCGCGCCCAGGTGTCATACGGAACCCGATACCGGCCCCAATTGTGACCGTGCGTAGCGAGTTCCCCACCCTCAACAGGGCGCGACAACAGCAGTCCTTGACTTGCCTGGTGACCGTTGAGGTTCCTGAGGGAAATTGGCAACCTGACGTGGAGGATCTGCGTCATACGGCCCATTTGCCACCTCTGCGTAACGAGGAGCTTGCGAGTCCAACGATCAAGCAACCTGCGCGATCGTTGCCTGTTCCGTTTGAATCACAAGAGGCCCTAGAGGAAATTACGGAGGATTTGCGCGTGCGCGTCGATAACTGGCATGGCTTGGAATTCCAAAGGTATGCATGACACCCTTCTCGCCGATGAGAAATGATAGTGTAGCTGGTTCACAATAAGCGAGGGGTTTTTCTTTTTTTTTTTTTTTCTCCTTCTTCTGCTTGCTAACTCATTTACAGGTTTGGAAAGCTCAAGCTACATGGGACTGTCCGTGTTGGTAAAGATCGGGCGTCGTGGCAAGAGTTGGAATGCTACCTCTTCGCGGAGATGCTTATTTGCGTCAAGGAGAAAAAGAATGGGCATAACCAATTTGAAGACCCGAGAACGAAACGTACAATGACGAGGTGTACGCTGAAGGGTTCTATTCTTATCAAGAAGCATTTGAAAGACGTGGAATCTGTGCCAGGTGATATATTCCCTTCTCCTAAACCCGCCGCCCACGAATTTTGTCATACAATTGTTCCTAACCTTATCACAGAGGAACCTATTTTGACGCTAAATCTGTCCGTTACGGAGCTGCCATGCTTCCACCTTCAATTCCAGAGTCGCAATCAGCTGGAGCTTTGGAGGCGAGCGCTCCTTGATCTCCAAAACCGCGACCCAACGGTAGGTCGGAACCCAGACTATGATATGGATAACTCTGGCCCAGAGGAGGATGACTATCGGACTCATAAAACGATGAAACGTGTTTCATCCACCACTTCATCGTATGGGGCAGCAAAATCCAACAACACCGCATTGACCGATTATACCAACTCTATCAGAGACGTTTTACCCCTCAGCTTCCACGTGCCTCTCGATCTGGTCGTCGTCATCCCTGTCTCCTCATCCATGCAAGGGCTCAAAATCACCCTTCTCCGCGACACGCTCAGGTTTCTCGTACAGAATCTTGGCCCACGAGATCGGATGGGCCTCGTTACGTTTGGCTCTAGTGGTGGAGGCGTGCCCCTGGTCGGCATGACTACAAAAACCTGGAGCGGATGGGGAGCCATTCTTAATTCGATACGCCCTGTTGGGCAAAAGAGCCTTCGCGCAGATGTCGTTGAAGGGGCAAATGTGGCCATGGACCTGCTCATGCAGCGTAAATCGAATAACCCGATCTCAACGATTTTGCTGATTAGTGATTCGTCGATTTCTGAGCCGGAAAGTGTGGATTTTGTTGTATCTCGTGCTGAGGCTGCGAAGTTAGTGACTCATCTCTCCCACCCGCTCTCCAACCTGTTGAGATAATTTTATTCATTTTTTGGCTTGGCTGTCATACTGACAATGTAATGTTATTTCACTCAGGGTTGGAATCCATTCGTTTGGACTGGGTCTCACCCACAAGCCCGATACCATGATCGAATTGTCCACGCGGACGAAGGCCTCGTATACTTACGTTAAGGACTGGATGATGCTTCGAGAGTGCGTCGCAGGATGTCTGGGATCGCTCCAGTCTACCTCTCACCAAAATGCGAAGCTCAAGCTGCGTCTACCCGAAGGTTCTCCAGCGAAGTTCGTAAAGATTAGCGGCGCTTTGCACACCACCAAACGCGCAGCGGGTCGGGACGCAGAGGCCGCATTGGGCGATTTAAGATTTGGTGACAAACGGGGTAAGCTGAACGCAATACGGAACTGGATGCTGATCTGCGAATATACATTTCATGGCGCTAATCGTACTATTTAGATATCCTTGTCCAACTTGTTATCGCTCCTGACAATACGACGCAGGAACATGTACCTCAGGACGCCTGGGAGAGCATTGTTTCTGGCCTCGAAGCCCTGGGCGGACCCTTCGATGGCGATGAGCAGCGCATCGTTAGTGTGGAAGAAGTCCCTCTGATTCAGGCTGATCTCACATATGGAGACATTCTTCGCGAAGGCCACTTAACGCATTCGCCAAGACCATCTCTGCTTGCCATCACCATGCTTCCTACCTCTCAGCGATCCAAGTCCGGGAGACCCGGTACACCACCCATCCCACCCCACCCCTCAATCGTCCAACGGCGCATGGAACTCCTTACCTCAGACATGCTCACACGAGCACTCACCCTCGTCTCGCGCTCTCAGCAAGACCGCGCGCACCACCTCCTCACAGAAACCCGCAGCATCCTCAAGGGCCTCGGAAAAGGCGGCCTCCCGCCTCTCCCCCCACCCGCTCAAAAACCCAACCCAGACGCCACAAGCACCCTCAACTCCTCTAACTCATCCTCTCCGCGCTCCTCTGAAATCCCCGACGGCAGCAGCAACAGTACCGCTACCACCAGCCATACCAGCTCTAGCCCCCCATCCAACACCTCACCCCACCCCCCCTCCAACCCGCCTTCCGAAACCGCCACCATAACCCCACCCGTCAACGCTGTCGACAGCGCCATCATCGCCGCCCTGGACGCCGACCTCGAAGCCGCGCTCGAGTGGATAAACCACCCAGCCGTATTCGGGCGAGATTCGCGCAAAGCGGTGCTACAGGCCATCGGCGTTATTTCGTCGCAGCGGGCGTATTCGTTCCGCACGCTGTCGGAGGCCCATTGGGCAGAACGTGTAGCGGGGATTAAGCGGTTGACGGAGCGCTCGAGGGAGTGGCGGGAGATTGGGGATGATTCGTTGACGGAGGAGTGAATAGTAGGGGACGCGGACGTTGAGGGGGAATTCTTTTTTTTTTTTTTCTGGAGCATAAACCTGTTTTTTCTGTCTTTTTCTGTGGTTATTTATTTATTTCCTGGGCGGACCTTACCTTTTCCTTATTTCTTTTTTCTTTAACATGTTTGCTGTCAATTTCACAGTCTGCCCCGTTTCATGATTTTTTTCTGGACATATGTTATATACTTCATCTACCCCTTTCTTACCTTAACCCCCTTTACCTCCGCGCTTTCTCTTCGCACACCCTCTTCTCAATGGGTGTTTGAGTCCTACTCGTTATATCCCCCTTCGTTCGACTTTATTTGCCTTGTATCATACCCTTCCCAGTCATGTCTGCATGCCCTTTCCCCTCGTTTTCTTTTCTACTCTCTCCTCGCTTCTTTTCAGATTCCGGATGAGGAGCTTTTTTTTTCTTTTCTCTTCATATACCACTATACACTATATCACCCCTCGGTCTATCTCACAGTTCCTTCTTATGCCCTTCTTGTCTGTCTGTTTGTTTTACCTCCGGGGAAGAAGTGCCGATTTCTATTTCTTTCTTATATTTTTCTTTTTCTTCTTTGGACAGCTGGAAACTTGGATAAAAAACAATTGGAATTGGAAGATTTATTACATGGAATTTTTGGTCTTTTGTGGATAGGGAAATGTTGATCGTGTTGAGAATTTTGTTGTTTATTGTTAATGTCTCCTTTCTCTCTCCCCTGCCTTTCTTTCTCCTTTCCTTGAAAGATCTTCGTTTTCCTCCTTGGGAGATTTATCCGATGCATTGCTACTGAAATATCTCCTATATAAATTGCTTGGTTATACTTAAGTCTATCCGGCTATTTAGTCATCTAACTATCTATATATCTACTCGTATGTGCGCATATTGTGTCTATCCATTCTTCCTGACTGTACTATATGCCATTACTTACTACTGATTTGTTTCTTCAACCGCCGTTTATATATATTATCCTCCCCTGCCTTGAACAAATAATGAATGAGAATGAGAATATCATAAAATATTAAATTGCCCTTGTCATCCAGTTATTTTAAATTTGAAGAAAAGAAATTTCCTCGTATCTAGCTACAAGTTAGTTTGGCACATGTTCGGAAAAGAAATGTTTCGGGCAGTGACGCACTTGCCCACTTCTACCTCCATTCCCGACTCGCTACTAGGCCTGAGGACAACAGAATGCACGAGGCCAAGCTACAACCTCTTGATATGCTAGTAAACATCAGGCCATGGTCAATAACAACAGATTTTGACTGCTCCGCAGAGAGTAAAAATACAAAAAAAGGAGATGTGGCGCGTTTTTCACATCAGAGGGAGCTTGAACAGCCTCGCTGCCAGTGGTGCTCAGTCAATCCTGTCGCAATCATTATCCCGCCCATCTACCCCTACGCGTGCCATATCTACCGTTAAAATTAACATGAAGAAGGCCTTTAGGATGAATGCCATGTCAAATGCCCCCTTTACATCATTGCGGTGGCACGTTGCGCGTACTCCGGTTCTCAACTCACGCGAGCTATCCGCCCGCGCACACTCTCGATTATATCCTGCGCGGAGCGCCCTGTGGAATCCGCCGGGGATAGCTCATCGACGGATAACACCAGGATCAGGATCAGGATCAGTTTCGGCTTCATCTTCAGCGCATTATCACACTAGGAATACCCACCATCCCCTCACCACCAATGATTTCCTCCGCTCCCGAATCCCAACTACCCGCCACGGGCCCCGTCAACGCGCATTCTCGCAATCGCGAAGAGGTGATGAGAGATATACATACCAGACCTTTGGCGAGCGTGGCGGTGGAGCGGGATGGGGTGGAGGAGGAAGAGGCCCGCTGGGATGGGGTTATTATCGTCTCATGCAGTTTTGGGGTCACTACCGGTATTTTATTGTCGGGGGCGGGACGGCGATGGTGGGATTTTATGTATGGAATTTGGATGTTGTTCCGGTTGGTTTTTCTATATTATTATTTTTGCTTTTCTTTTCTACATCTCACTCATGTTTAAGCATGCTTTTATTCTTTTTTATGTCCCCCCCTTCTTTTTTTTCTCCCTTTGGATAGGCATACGCTAAGTTTTACTTCTTTCTTTATTTCATGTGTTGTGTGTATGTGTAGATGACTGGCCGACGCCGTTTCAACTGCATCTCCAACGATATGGAACTGCAATTTGGAAAACAGACGTACATGATGACGCTGCAGGAATATCGAGGCCAATTCCTCCCGGAGTCACATCATCTCGTTAGATACGTCGATGATGTTTTCCGCAAATTAATCCTCTCGGGCCAACCGCAGCTGGGTGAAGAAGACGCGATGCTTAAGAACCTGAAGTGGAAGGTGCATGTTATCAACTCGCCTGAGATGAATGCGTTTGTGTTGCCTGGGTATGTATTTATATTTATATTTATACTAATGATAGTATACCAAGAAACCCTGTACTGACTTATATCTATTCTTCTTCGCAGTGGAAACGTCTTCGTGTTCACCGGCATTCTACCGATCTGCCGAGATAGAGACGGCCTCGCTGCGGTCCTGGGTCATGAGATCGCACATGTCCTCGCCCATCACCCAGCCGAGCGCATGAGTTCGAATATCATAGTGATTGTTACGGCACTGGCGGCATCAATGCTGTTTGACGTGTCGCAAAATTTGTCGTCAATGATTTTAAATCTGATGCTTGCCTTGCCGAATTCAAGGGCGCAGGAGGTTAGTGCGTGTTTATGTTGTGAATGAGAGGATGTATATATATGTTCCGCGTGCTAACTGGCGGTCTTACGATATTGCATAGTCGGAGGCGGATGAAATTGGCCTCAGTATGTTCCGTATCTTACCTTTATAAGAATATTATGTGGTGTGACTAGTTTTCTAACCATGGTCCCATGGCAGTGATGATGGCAAAGAGCTGTTTTAAACCCGAAGCTGCCGCTGGATTGTACGCCCCTCCTCCCCCTCTGAAAGAAGGGTCCACGCACCCCAATTTTTATTATTATTTTATATATATATATATATATATTTTATGACGTTTATTAATATGTCCCTTTCTTTTTTAAACTATAGATGGAGCCGGATGCACCAGGCTGAGAAAGCAGCGCCTCCCCAGTTGTTGTCGACGCATCCTTCGGTGAGTTTAGTGGATGGTATGTTTTTTAGTGTTTGAATTTTTAGCTGATAAAGTTATACGCAGAGCCGGAGACGGATGGAAGCAATTCAGAAATTGTGAGTTTTATTTTTCGTTTTCCCATCATCATTAAGAGGGACTGAGAGAGTCTGAAAGAGTCCACATGGGACTTTCGTTCGCTGACGATGGCATTACTGTTCCAGGCTCCCGCAAGCAAATATTGCATATGATGATAGCGGATGTGGACTTACAGGGCGATATGGTAGGTTATTTTGATGTGAATGGTATCTTTTAACTTTTGGACTCCTAGCTGACAGGTCTGACTATAGCCGAGAGCTTTGGACAGACATTCAGACCCTTTTGGTAGAGAGGCGTGTGGATAGCTGATGACTTGGACTATCCTTGGGTATTTTGCATAGGAAATATCTGTAGCTACAACGTGTACAATAAGTCAATAGTCATCTACACTCTCCTGAGCTGTACAGAGTATGGAGTATTTGATATTGTAATTATTGTAATATCCACGGTATTGATACTGCACTGCAAACAGAGCAAACTCATCGCCCACCCAGGCCTGAGCTCACCAAATTCGGCAAACCACAGAAGCTTCAAAAAGTTAAAGCAGAGCAGACGACATCACCGCGCATTCAATTCCTCTTCACCACAGATAGAGGAGGGACACGTATTTGCATATACATACAGCTATGTCGTTGTCAATCCCCAGCGCCCCGAATGCTGGGCTGTTCAAGCAGGGTTATTCCAGGTATGTGCATCAAACTTACACCCCTCTTCTCCCCGCTGATACATGATAAATGGCGCTTCGCACCCACGCACCACGCATCACGCACCGTAACCTTGTATATCTTTCTTCCCGCCCTTAAATTTGACTTCCTCCTTATTCTCCGTATTCATATAAAATATTTTACTCGTGAACAACCAGCAAAGCCACTGAATATGGAAGCCAACCAATATCAAGGCCATTATCAATGCACTCACAATAACTGACCAAACCCTTCACCCCACAGCCATGACTCCGAAGACGGTGCCGTCATCCGTAATATCGAAGCATGCCGTGCCATTGCGCAGACTGTACAGACATCGCTGGGCCCCAACGGCCGCAACAAAATCGTAATCAACCACCTACAAAAGCTGATCCTGACCTCCGATGCCGCTACCATTCTACGGGAGCTTGAGGTTGTACATCCGGCCGCAAAACTGGTCGTCATGGCCAGCCAGCAACAGGAAGCAGAGATGGGCGATGCGACTAATCTGGTTATTGTGCTCACGGGAGAGTTGCTAAAGAAGGCGGAGGAATTACTGCGAATGGGGCTGAAGACGAGCGATATTGTGCTAGGGTATGAGAAGGCGCAGGGAATTGCGTTGGAATGTTTGGATGGTGTGTTTTTCTCCTCTTTGATTGTCTACTTGCGGTACCATACTTTGGGGAGGTGTTTCCACTAACATCTCTCTTTTTTTTTTTAAATTTTCTAGATCTCGAGGTGGATAGACTAAAGGAGCTACGGTCTACGACCGAGTTGAGCAAAGCGGTTAGAACTGTCATTGCAAGCAAACAGTCCGGCTCAGAAGATATCCTTGCTCCGCTAGTTGCAGAGGCCGTACTGGCAGTCCTCCCCAAGAATCCGGCCAACTTCAACGTGGATAATGTTCGAGTCGTCAAAATCATGGGAGGCAGCTTGGAGCAATCACGAGTCGTGAAAGGAATGGTTTTCGGCCGCGAACCTGACGGGGCCATAAAAAAGGCCAAAAAGGCCAAAGTTGGCGTCTTCAGCTGTCCCATTGATATCTCCCAGACAGAAACAAAAGGAACAGTCCTCCTGCACAACGCGAAAGAGATGCTGGAGTTTACAAAGGGCGAAGAAGCACGTCTGGAAGCAACGATCAAAGAAATCTACGACTCCGGCGTTCGTGTCGTCGTGGCGGGCTCTACCGTCGGCGAACTGGCAATGCACTACCTCAACCGCTTTAACATACTCGTCATCAAGATCCTCTCCAAATTCGAACTCCGACGCCTCTGCCGTGTCGTCGGTGCCACACCTCTTGCTCGCCTCGGTGCTCCAATGCCCGATGAAATGGGCACTGTTGACGTGGTTGAAACACTCGAAATTGGCGGCGACCGCGTGACAGTCTTCCGACAAGAAGATGCCGGCACCGTCACACGAACCGCAACCATCGTGCTGCGCGGCGCAACGCAAAACCTCCTTGATGACGTTGAGCGTGCCATCGACGACGGCGTCAATGTTATCAAGGCAGTGACAAAGGATCCTCGGCTGGTACCTGGCGCTGGAGCAACGGAGATCCAGCTCGTCGAACGCATCTCAGCCGTCGCGGATAAAACGCCTGGACTTCCACAATACGCCATCCGCAAATATGCTGAGGCTTTCGAAGTTATCCCGCGCACGCTTGCTGAATCCGCGGGCCTGGATGCCACCGAGGTCCTATCTCGCCTCTACACAGCTCACCAGCAACACCGCCGATCGGCGCCGGTGGGTAAGAAAGTAGCAACCAATGATGACGACGACGGTGACGACGACGACGAGGAGGAAGAAGATGAGGATGAAGAGGAAGAATCATCCGAGAATGCCTCCTCGTCCTCGGAGGAGGAACCATATTGGACCACGGGCGTGGATTTACATGCATTCTCCTCAGCGGGAACCGTCAATGCAGTCGATGATGGAATCCTTGACTTGCTCGTGTCGAAGGCATGGGCTATCAGATTGGCGACGGAGGCCTCGCGGACGGTGTTGTCGGTTGATCAGATTATTGTGGCGCGACAGGCGGGCGGGCCGAAGCCGCCGGGACAGAACCCTAATTGGGATGAGGATTGAGGCGTTTGACTTGATGATAATGATAAGAAGTAGTGGTTTGCGTTGATGATGTTGTTGCTCGTGCTGTTGTTCTGATATGTATGGTGACCGGGAAAGGATGAGAGGGGAGAATAAAAAAAAATGAAATGTGCGAATTTCTTCTTTTTTGGCATTTTCCACATTAATTTGAATGAAAGAAAATTCTCCCTTGCTTTCTTCCCTGTATTATTTTGTTCGTCTTTTCTTGAAACCTGCGAATTGGAAATGCAAAATGACTATCAGGATTTCCGCTGGGGCTGGGAGGGATTGATTGGTGCTGAGCCGGCCGTTTACTTATTATCCGCATGCTCATGCTAATAAATCGGGGAAACTGAAGGTAGCTTAGGGTAGAGGATTACTGTCCTTTTTGCTATAAATGAAATAGATTTTCTCGACCACCGACATGAAATTAAGATTCCTATTCTCATCAGCACCGATCGCAGCTTATTGGAAGTCTCAAACTGAACTGAATCCCGTGTCTCAATCACCTCATCCGGAAAGCGGTGAAAAATGCAACGTTCCAATATTTAGAAGCTATCTATGCAATTATCTAATTATGCTTCATTTTGCAAATTTTGAAGCCGCCAAAGTGTATAAATGGAGTATCTGATCAAATGATGTTTTGGAGCACATAGGTATGGACGCGTTTGTGCCAAATGACGTTTAAGAGCGTGAACTATGAAGAACGGAGTAGGACCAGGGTCACAATGCACAAATGAGAGGAGCCACAAGTGCACCAGGAAGCAAAAGTAAAAAGAAATAAGGGTATCATAGTCATCGAAATTCGTAAAGGGTGTGAGCGAGAAAACAGGAAGATGGTATAACAGAGATATCAGCAAACGCACGCTCTCAACAGTTTTTGTGCTGACACAATCCATGCCACATTAACGGTTGCATTTGAAAGCGCAAGCTCACGATATGTAAATGTGAGGGCGGAAGAGAAATTGACGTTGTAGTTTTCTCTAGCCTCTCCACCCTGCGCGATGAACCATTCAAGCTTGGTCGTCCACGTTGTGCATTGACGTATTGTTCCCACGCATACTCCAATGTGGAATATTGAGGATTTGTCCCTGATATTCGGTGGATATGGAGTTTGTGTGTCGGAGAGCTTACCACAGGCGTGTTGCTGTTAGACGGATTTCAAAACAATGCATGCAACTGTCGACGCATGGAATGGCAAGAACATGGATTGGGGATGTTCAACATCATATTGATATGCATTTCGTTCGTTGTTCGTCGAAACGTAAAGGTACAGACAGCCGAAACTATTTGGGTCGTAGAAGCAAAGTGTAAGCAATTCACCCGTAGCCGTCCCTCTCCATAAGACTTCTAAACCAAGCACCATTCTTGGAATATGTTTCCGAAATGCGCACATCAAATTCAACGAAAGCCAGAATCTCTATGTATCACTTGTGTTGATATCCAAAAGCACTTGTGCTGGTTATTGAAATTCTGGCCTAGTAATGGGATCAGGTTTGGCCTGCGGTCGCATTACTTGTTTCCGTAGTCTGTGAATCTTGGGCTACTCGAGAGCTGCGGTGGACCTGACGTCGTCGCGCGGCTGACCGATTGAGATATTTGCGGAGAAGTTTGACCACCGCCCTGCCGAAACGATAGAAGACCCAGACGAATGCGATAGAAGTGGCAAGCCGTTTCTCCACGACAGAGAAGTATAGATCCATATGAGCCGGTTGAAAAGGGGAAAGTTGCTCCCTTTCCCTCCACTTTGAGTGAGACCGTTGATATTCTTTTCTGTTGTTGCGTGGTGAGGAGTCCCGCAAGATGAAGATTGCCATTTGTTGTCCAAAAAAAAAGGTGGATGTATCGGATTCGGAGGAACCCATCGGATGATGTATCGTAACAAAAATTTACCGGTAATAGCCTGTAAAGTTACGCTCACGTGCTCTTCAGACATGGGAATTTTCAAACTTCAATCACCGAAATTCAAGCATTGCTTGACGGCAGCAAAAAGAACCAGCAGCACCACAGGCGGCACATCAGCTCAATTCCCTCGACATATTCCTCCGCGGCCCCTTCCGCTGTCCTCTTTGTGATACAAGCTGTTCCTGTCATATATCTTGCGCCTCGTCAGCCATGTCAATTCCTTCACAGGCGGCAGCTCGATCCTGTCGCACCCTCCTTCGCCAGTCCCCGTCTCTCCGTTTCTCCCCGTCTACATGCTTTCCCCAATGCAAACGAACAACCCCAGCTGCGGTCGGAACAAGGCGATGGCAGTCCACCGAGGCGCCGATGGCGGCTCCTACAAACCCTAAAATCACACAGATTGTGGACCAAATAAGTCAATTGACACTGTTGGAAACTGCTGATTTGGTTTCGAGCTTGAAGGTTGGACAATTGATGCTTTTTCTTCCCCTTGAATGTTCATTGATGTTTCGTTTTCCTTTTATTCCCCATTTCTTTGCCCATGTGTAGACATATTTGGAAATACAGGCTTTAACAGTTATGTCATGTACACGCACATTGGCTCGTTCTTGATGAGATTCTTTCAATGAAGTCTGTTGGCAGTGCTGTAGCTAACCTCCGATTCTCCGGTATCAAGTCTCGTCTTAACATTCCTGATCTACCCATTGGCGGTTTCGCAGCCGGTCCAGCGGCTGGTGGCGCTGCCCCAGCTGCCGCCGTGGAAGAAGAGGAGGCTGCCCCTGCCGCTCAGGAGAAAACATTGTTTAATTTGAAATTGGAGTCGTTCGACGCTGCCTCGAAACCCAAGGTCATCAAGGAGATTAAATCACTTCTCAGCTTGAGCTTGGTTGACAGCAAGAAATTTGTGGAGGGCGCCCCGAAAGTGATGAAGGAATCTGTACCTAAGGAAGAGGCCGAAAAGATTGTCAAGACTATGAAGGATCTAGGGGCTAAGGTTGTCATGGAATGATTCAGCTTTTTCTCAATTTCTTTTTCTCCCTCTTCTATTTCCTGGAGTTTAAGCGGAATGGGAATAGAACATTACATTGGACGACTGTGGATGCAGAACAGTGGATGCTCTGGTTGGTAGTTCTGTATGTATAGGAACGTGGGGGAAATGTATTATACATCATTACTTTGGTTATGAGATATTTCTCGTTATTCTGTTTTCGGCAATTTTCTGTCTATGGTTGATCAGACCAGTTCATCGTCAACTGCTATGCGGCTTTCTTGGCTGGGCGGAGGTCAAGGGTTGACCATTGTCAGTGAAGAAAACTTTTTTCTTCACTTGAGCAACATTAGGTCATGTCAAGCATTATTTTGCAGGAACTAGGATAGACCCGCATATTGAATATTTAAACACCAATTGAATGGAAAATTCCAAATAACTATGGCCCTGTGAACCTGCTTACTAAAGGTGTAACCGCTCGTTTCAACCTCAATTTTCTTTTCTTTTCTTTTCTTTTTTTTGACGCTGCACGTTTTAGTTGGGGATTGAGCATTATTTGACCTCGGGATAAAGAGCACCTTTCGTTTACCGTCCCTTAGATCGTCCTCGCCTTTGTTTAACCCAGAGGCCATGTTCACAATACGATGTGTGAGGCTACGGCCTCTGTGGTTCACATTCCATGCCTCAAGACCTCCCGCAAAACAATATCATTTCTCGGCTCCCCACACTGCCGCCAGGGCACCTTCGACCTGGAAAGCAATGAGCGATCGCAGGAGAGAATCTCGATATCAGTCGGCTTTTGGCTCTATCCGCTTGAGTTCAGATGAAGCGGAAGCATTGGTTGCTAATATCCCTCGTCCTTTATTCGAATCCGCCCTCTCAAGCATCTTACTGGGATCCTCTATAGATGCGGCTGTAAGTCTGGCTGGAACGCTCATAAGACTCGCAGTAACGTGTAATACAATGCATGGGAGTGATATATTTGATCAAAGTAGAGGTAAATACCATTGCCCACTCCTAATAAAGTGACAGTGATCTCCTCACTGATGAGGTGTTCCCTCTCAGTCAAGCTCTTACTAACCGTCACATAGATGGGGGCATGTTATCTAGACTTGCTTTTATCCTTTCGCGACATCCAGATTACCGAGCCGTAGCAAATTGGTTGTTATATAGACTAGCAGAGTCTAAGGAGCCATTCGCCGTTATCTACATTATTAACCAGCAATTCACGTCGGGCGCCCCTCTGAAAAGAACCATTTTGATCGCCTACCTGGAAGAATTTGCGCAAAGACATCTTCTTGATGCAATGGTGCTCTACGGACGCATTTTACATGAGCGATATCGTCGCACGGAGGAGGCGCTTACTCTTTGGGAAAAAGCTATGGAGATCTCAATACCACATCAGACACATGCCGGCGAAACTGATGAAGACCCATACAGTGTCCTTGGTATTCCTCAAGCCTGGGAGATGTATGCAGCTGTGAAAAGTTCTCAAGGAGATAGCGAAGGTAGTCGGGCGGCCGTGGAAGCAGGAGCGTTCCTACTCGACCATCCTGTCGCCTTCCAGTATCTTGCAAAGATTGTTGGTAACGAGGGCCAACTGGATAAATATGAAGAATATATGACAAAAGCCGCTATGGACTGCAACGCTGAAGCGTGTCATGACCTAGGAAGTTTTTACCTGGAGTTGCACTATTCTGGGAAAGGTCGGGATAAGTCATTTACATCGTCAAGGGGCCAGGATGCCTCGCCTAAAAATCTGGTTTCGGCACAATACACGAACAGCGAACTTCGCCAAAAAGCCATTGATTGGTTCGAAATTGCTAGTACGGGTGGCTGGGGTCCATCTGCACTTATCATGGCCTGTCTCTTACGTGAGGAAGGAAACGCTCACAAAGGATTACGGTATTTAAAGATTGCAGAAGATGACGAAAAGTCCGCGTCCAAGGCGAAAGATATACGACATATCTATTTGGGGAAGTCTTTCGAATTGAACATTGAACGAGAACGAGAGATCTTCATGAAGCAGTTTGCACAGTTTGATTGAGGAAGTGCGATTATCGCTTGGCTTTCTTTCTCCTGCAATTACATGCGCTGCACTTTACTAATTATGGTTTGGGAAACCGAACGAGTTCGAAATACAATTTAAAAGCAAACACAACCGTCCACACTTCAGAGCAACAGAGTGGCCATTGCCCATCTGTAAAATTATGGCCTTCTGCATGTGTGCTCATATGCGGGATCCCATCTTTCTCCGCTGCCGAAATTGCTGAAACGAAGTCTTCCTGAAGAGTTGGAGGAAAAAGAGGAAGATCTTCAAGGATATTGATAGAGGTATCATATTCTTTTCCTTTCCCTCCCGTGTTTCATCTGTTTGTACCACTCCGAAAGTTATGTTTCGCAGCCACAGTCAAGCTGTTACAGTCCCGGGTGCATCGATATGCTGCTGGGTAGATCACTCAACCGTCTTCAGGACCATTACCGTCCCCACCACCTCTCTGTATGACTTTCTTCTGTCGCAAACCCCGCTCTTTCTCCCGCGTCTTGATACCAACCGCTCCCAAGTCTTTTAGTTTTGTTGTCAAATAAGGCGCTGGTCTCATGCCAGGAAAATCCTTCGCCGCAAAAACCCGAAAGGGCTGAGACCAGACCTCATCAAGGCATGGGGTGCTTCCCAATTTCTCGGTTTCTTGGACATCCACTAGCTGAAACCGCAGCTGATACCAACCAGCTGAGCGGACGCAGAGGTCGGCGAAAATGAAAAAAGCTGCAGGAATATATCGTGGAGCATCTGAAGGCGATGAAAATCCCGGAGGCCGCATAAGAGTGGTACTTGGACCTTTCTCTCGGCTCGCCGCTGAGCGTGGGTGGGGAGGTGCATGAGCTGGATCGGGGTCTTGGTCGACCGAGAATAGACTCGCACATGTGCTTCCAGACAAAATTCTGCCACGATACCTATTTGTCAGGTTGCTGCCAGTTTCTCCGTTAACGGCTCCAATCCCTCTTTTTTCGAAAGGGCGTCCAGCATTGCCTCGAGACCGAATTCTGTGCTCGGGATACCCTCCGCATGCTTCACTGACCGGATGTAGTTGGCAGGTGACAACATGCTGCTTGTTTGTGAGCTGCCTCATATCTTCCTCGCACTGGGGGGAGAAATCGGTCATTAGAAGTTGGATGACCGGCAGAGGATCAATAGGCCTTCGACATTTATCTCCGAATCCGCAGGCACGAGCAGCAATGGGGTGTTGGCGCACAAACAAGCGGAGTCGCGAACGAAACGGTGCGCTTGAGTCTGTTTTTGGTGGTGGTGGCGGTGGTGGCTGTGGGTGCAACAGATGCCCAAAGCCCGAAGGCACAGAAGTAGACATGGGAGTGCTGGTATAATTCAACTTGAAGGCATTGCTCTTCGAGAAGCTGTTGACAACATGTTGTTTATCAGAATAGTGTGCGCATTTATATCAAACCGCCGATATTCACACAGGGCGCACTAGTTCATCTTTTCGCCTTAATTTCTACCTATTTTGATTGGGCTGGAACGAAGACCTACAATCTGGGAGAAGGGAGGAGCGGGACTGTACACGTTTTTTTAATCGGCCGGGTTGTTGTCTCCGAGTTGAGAGGGGGCGGCTCGAACGCCTATTCCAGATTTACCGGAGGATTGCATGAATAGGAAGGTCCAGATAAGGGCTTCTCGGAGAGTAAACCGCTCTCTGTGTAACCCTTGAATGATCAAAGCGTGGGCAGCTCGTATTATTAAACACGGGCAGGTTGTGCCGAAATATTGAACCTGTTGGCGATTTTCCAGCCGGGGATATGCCGTGCACGTAGGCTATGTCGGAGAATATTCTTGCCTATTCGTCCCGCTGGTCGATCTGCCCAATTCAAGATCCATTATTGGGTTGAGAGATGGACAATCAGGACCCAAGGAAGCTGTGAGGTCTCAGCCCTCAAATCCTGCATGACAGGCCATAACATGTCTTACCTTCTTTTTTCTATGGATTGATGGGACGATTTATCTGTCGCTTTCAGAGGTGCACCCGCTTTTGGGTTTCGTAATTATAGTTTAATAGTAGACACAGCTTCCGGGTCATGAGCGCTGCTCCTTATTATATAAGGAATATGTTTACATGGACAAAACCGGGTAACTTGATGCTCGGATTCCTGCTATGTCTTGCTCTTAAGACAATACATGTAAGGATATAAACTCCGATAGCGAGAGAATCGACAAGAAAAGAAAGCAAAGAAAGGGGAATGGTGATTCTCATCCCGGCCGAGGGAATATGTCAAAGAGTATGGTCGGAAGGCAAGGCTGGGCTTCACTTTACAATGGAACATGCCAGCCCCATGTCAGATGGGCCTGTATGTATGCACCGCCAAAATCAACACGGGCTGGAGGATCTGAGTCGATGGAGCGTGCAGATATAGTGGGAAATCATATGAGACCCGGTTCATCTGATAACTACTAAAGGAGACTAGAGAAGCAAGGCAGCTCTATCATCCAATACTGCTGGCCATGCTCGTGGAAAGTCATGCAAGCGCTGATCTTGTCATATCATAGCTACAAATTCACTCGTTTGCTCTTTTATCGTTTGCTTTCGGCCGCCACATCTAGAACACCGAAGCGATGCCTCTTGAATTAGGATAGGGATCGTTATAGTCGACCTCATTTTTAGACAAAGACGGTTATTCGTGCATCTGCGTGGGCTTACAAGTTGAGACTATAGCCAACCATTTTTTATCGATATAATATCGAAGATTGTCAAACCCTATTTTCCCTTAGAGTCGCTTCGGAGGGAAGGTCGTGGAGGACGACCCGCTCTCCGAAATCGCAAAAGAAACGTTGTGCCATAACAGAGAGCTGATCCGGGGCCATGGTTGCCTCATCGAATCTCTGCGCGGTAGCGTTTCTCCAGCGCTATGTTCAGTTGCCTGGCAATGAAGGAAACAAGAAAAATACCAATATAATCTATCGGCCAAAAGAGACCCAGAGATGCAGAAGGCTCCATTCCCGTAGAAAATGGATCGGAAGGGCTTTTGCTTTTCTGTCCTTTGTTTGCCAGCCGGGCGAGCAGCCACGTAAGATGGGATTTGATGCACATGTCTGCTTTCAGAGTCGTATTTTGCGGAAGCAGTGGTGGCTGGGAAAGTTGGATGAATAACTTCTCATAGTTTAAACAATGCCGCAATAGATTGCATGAGACCAAGAGCCGAAGGGAGTTGCGCACAAGGTTCTCATAGTCAGGGATAGATCGCTGTCCGGGCTCTATTCTGAAAGCCCCATTCACATTCGCTGGGCTCTGCTTGCCGTTCATTGTTCAATGTGAAAGCGATTGCTTCCCGAATCGGCGAACCCTGCCAGGCGTCTTTCTAATAGTTCGGTATTGGAGCCTCGAATGCCTCTTGAAAACTAGCATCTGCTGCCGTGTGAGTTGTACCTATCTCAAAGATAAGTCATTAGAAATATCCGGCCAGGCCCAGCCTGTATAGCTTGGGTCAGATAATATGACGTTCGGGTAAATGCATCGTTTACCAAAGCAGGCTGAGCAGGCCGTTATTGGAGTATGCTGAAGCAAAGCAAATATCTCTGGCCAAAACGTTAACTACGTGTTTGATTTTTTTTTTCCCCTTTCCCTTTTCCTTTTTTTCCTTTCTTTTTTGGCCGAATGCACAAATTTTCTGTATCATTGTCTCCTTTGGCTACTATCCGCCCATCTGTGACACCATAGCGAGTCTGCTATTTGGTGGGTAGCAATGCGGTCCGAAAAAGAATAGAAGTAAATCCAAGTTTTGCATTTCGTTGGCACTAAGAATCCTGACAACAGGAAACAAAAAACTGTCAACTGCATAATATCGGCTTGCTTCTGCTGGTTTCCAGGCCATGCTGAGTAGTCGACGCATGGAATTTCCTGGAAGAGCTATTATTTTGCTTGAGATTGATATGGCTGGCTTTATACTCTGAGGTATGGAGACAGGGAGGGGTACAAATTGAGGCATTGTTATCCTTAGATCTTCTTTAATCAGCTGGCCGCTCAAAGGTCACTCTGATACTGCTCCAAGTCCCTGGACTGTCTGCCTAGGTTCCCTTTTCGAACAACAGACCTGGAAATTGATTTTGATAGGCCAGCAGCAGCCCTTGTGAGGGGCTTGACAGAAGCTGATCTATCACATTTAATGCACGTTATGTTTTCTTTTTTCAAGTTAAAAAAAGAAAGAAAAGAAAAGATAAGAAAAAAGCAATAATCAGAAAAAGAAAACGAAAAAAGAAAAAAGAGATTTGCTAAAAGAGGGGAAGAGCTTAGGAGCGGCGCGTCATAATGGTGTGAAAACTACCTGCCAGCGGCTTCAGCGGTTGGGAGATCCCCTTGCACGAGGAACCGAACACAGGCGCCACTACGGGTGCCGTGAAGGCCTTGTAAGGTTTTGAATGTGGAAGGAAGACCTGCATCCGCATGGATGCCGGAAACTGTTCCCCCCGATTGTGTGGGGCCAATATGTGTGTATGCCTATTTGAGTGTCTGAATTGCTTGGGCCAAATCTCGAGCATAAGTCGTTGATATGCGTTTCCAACATCAAAGCCATAGGCATATTAGTCCGGGATTTCCTGGCTGAGAAACTTCTCTCGATGTTTTCTTTTTGTTGAACTGTCAACCAATGAGGTTGCGTATAACGAATATCGGGGGGCCTTGTGTGAATAAAAAAAAATGCATGGGCCGCGGGAGATGGAAAGAAATGCAGCAGGAAGAATTTGCAGCATTATCAACTGCAGGATATGCATGAATGTAGAACCGCCAGCCGAGTAGATACGACATTGACGTGGAGTGCTCGGATCTAAGCACGTTTAAAGCACTACCACAGCAGTGAGTATCAAGAGCAAACGTGAAGAAGCCAGAACAATTACATCCCATGCATAGCTTCTGGTCCTGGAATGTAGAATACAGCCAAAGAGCGAAGTGAGAGAATGTGTGCGTAAAGCCAACGAAGTACTGCACAATGAACAAATCTATATTACATTTCGATGGTATTGATAGCCACAAATTTGGTTATCGGATATATAGGAATAATTTTAGGTTGCGTTGATAGCTAACAAAATATGGATATGAAGGAAAATATTTAAGACCTCCAAAGCCCCCAATAGCCGCCAAAGTATTTGCAGGGAGACATCAACGCCACAATGCCAGGCGCCACAAAATTGACTCAACTTAAAGTAGAATCGATGGTTATGTCCGCACTCACTGCACCTCTTTACGACTTGCAGGACAGTTCGCAGCTTCGGAAGGAAGACAAACGAAGCAATCCATGGTAGACGCAGAGCGTTCCCAGGCGGGCCTCCAATGGATGGGGGTGCAACGTCGCTTCGACCTTACGCTCATGTTAATCAGATATTCTTCTGGCGATTTATCATGATACTGAAGGTGGTTATGAGGCGGATGCTGAAATTGCGGAAATAAGTTGTCGGTGGGAAATTTTGCATTGAGTGACACACCGTGTGTAACTAAGAGACATTGCTTTTCGTATATCATCTGCTAGGCTGGTTCAGGGGACAAGGTAAGCCGCGGGATCAACATCTAGCCAATAACGGATTCGCAATGGCAAAAGAAAACCGGAGTTTTCAGAGAACTCAGCCTGGAAATTATTCCACGGTTTTGAGGTCAGGTTTGCAACGGAAGGGAGGTATGGATGTGGCTTTTCGGGATAGAAGCCAGGATCTATGACCCCTAAGCCTTTTCCAAGAAAGAGTATCATGAGGTGATGATTGAGCCGATCCCAGCAGATAATATGACCTGTGGCTGTCCACTTTTCAGAATCTCCTGTTGTACCGTTGATGCCACTTTCTGCGAAACCTCGGCTTCTCTCACAGAGGTAACCAAGTTGCATCAGATACAAGTTCCATTTACTCAACCTAATTGTTTTGCCGTGGAAACCGTGAAAAGCACGGATTAAGCCCAGGGACGAAGGAGATTGTGGACCATTTATATTGTAACGTGACGGCGGAGCATTATTGGAAAATTCGATCGGGCAGCAATGCGGGAACCAGGCGAACTCGAGAGTTTTGTCGTGTTTACCCTTTCTAAAACCAAGAGGGATCTCGCAACCCTCAAAGTCATGTAATAAATTAGCGACCCTCGCAAGCTCCGTGGTTGATTTGGAGGACCCATAAAGTTTTATTTCTTCAAGGAGTCGCTGTAAACAACCTGATGATCCAGTTGAGCTAGCATCTGGATCAAGGCTGGGGAGTACCGCATCCACAGGCCAATGGTCCCACAAAGGATCCATGTCAGATGTTTTAACATGGCGTCCTCCGTCAACATGATTCCAGGTTATACCCAGTCTGTTTTCTATGGAGGTGAGCGTCGAATGCATAATCCCGTTTACTGTCTGACTGGAAACGATTTTCTGCAGCCCCTCACTGTTGTCCTGTTTAAGCAACTCTGCCCATACCCTCGTGGGTAAAATGTCGTTTAGGTCGCAATACGCCGACAGCTGTTCAGCACAGTACACTCCTCGAGAACCCAACCCTGACCTGAGAAGGGCTTTAAGGTAATTTTTGACAAGAGATTGGATTGGAGGACCAAACGGGCTATTTTTGAGTCGATCCTGGACTGTAGGCCAGATATTTAGTAATCTCCCGTTGTCTCCGATAATCCCAAGCAGCTGGACATAGTGACTATAGATAAAATGTGGACAAATATCATCAGATATCAAGAGCAAGGAGTGCAGACTTGAATCTGAGATTGCCAACCCATTCTCATCCAGACCAGTGACAACTTCTCGCATTGGACCTAGATCGATCGTAGGACTTTCAAAAACACTCACCCGACATGCTTGGTAGAGGTTGCGGAGAATTTTCGCAGCTTGGCGTCCAGGTATGGGGCCATATCCACCAGTGACATAGCTTTGGATATAAGATTGAAGAGTTGGGGCAGAAAACTGTCGAGAAGCGAATCTCATGCCAAGGATAAGAAGACCTTTCGGTACTTGGACTTTTAACAATGCAAATCTTGCGACAAGGGCATTCAGGGTTGCAAGGACTTTAGCAGCGCCTTCACGTTTAGCACAGCCTTCGAATGAAGCGACGATGCCTTGATGGTTCATCAGGATTTCGCGGGCTACCCGGGGCGAGACGATATATTTCTCACAAACAGCTTGTAATGTCGGCAATTCAATGTTATCTTTGAAATCTTTGGGATCATATCTATCGACGAGGGGAGCATTCTTAGTCAGGCGTCTGATTTTCGACGGTTCCGTGTTGAAAATGGTCCAAGTCTCTGGCAAATGAGGCTTGGAGAATGCCTCAAGCATATATTCTTCAAAGTCCTTCGCGTAGTATCCATCGTTGGGTTTCTTCAGAGTCCCCGTTATAGCAAATCGGAGCAATTGAGACGCTGAAGGTTCCCGCCGCGCCTTTGACCTTCGCACATGGAACAAGAGTTGAGAAAGTGATACCCTCTGGGTGTTTGGGTGTAAGTAGCTCGAGGCGTAGCGACAAAGGCGTGATGGTTGTGGAGGAAGCCATGACCGGCAAATCGAAGGATTTGACATGGAGGCTTCTCCTCTCCTATGCGGGAATTATATAGAGAGGCAATTAGGGGAAGGTGGCCATGGCTGGAGCGTTATTGTTGTTGAAGCTCAAGTTCTGCATTGGAGATAATAAATTATAAGATCGCGGCTCTGTGACAAAAGAGGCTAGTCCTAATCGTTACTAGTGGTTCCCAAAGCCTCTGGCGGAAATCGTCACCAAGGCATTTATCATTTATTGTCAACGTTGGACAACCACTCAAACAGCTACTGAGAATCAACCAGCACTACGCTTGTGGCGAAGGCACGCCTGTTCGTTTATTACATGCAATCATGCCGGACCAAGATAACCAGCAACACTACCCCTCCTCTGGCTCGGAACTGGCCACTCCGGTTGCCATCCAAGACGAAGCCGGGGTCCAGGTGGTTAATGGCAAGTCTCCCATAAGCCCCAAAGAGAATCCCGTATCGAACACGGCAAGTACATTGTCGGCCGACCTTGAAAATAATAAGACAACAGATGTTGCTTCCAGGACTAGGGAAATGAGAGACCGTTTCAAGGCACTTCAAGCGAGAGCTGTGAGTTTTTTTTTTCAGCCTTTGCTTCGCTCCCATTGATATCGTGCACCTGTTAACTGGAAAGTAGAAAAACGCCGCAGAGAAAAATCTAAGAGAGACGGCTGCCGAATCGAAACGCCTAGCTACCGATCCTAGCCTTCTCTCGAGTATTTCCCGGAAACACGCTTTCGCATCACATAACCTGCTCAAAGCAGATACTGAAGCCCAGGGCGAGGATTTCGAGCGGAAGCGTGCTTGGGACTGGACTGTCGATGAGTCGGAGAAATGGGATAAACGCATGGAAAAGAAACAGAGACACAGAGACGATACAGCTTTCCAGGACTATCGCCAAGACGCACGAAAGATCTACAAAAGGCAGATGAGACAGATGCAGCCCGACCTTGAGGCATATGAGAAGGAAAAAATCTTAGCCGTGGAAAAAGCTGCGGCAAGTGGTGGACTTCAGATAGTGGAAGCAGAGGATGGAGAGCTCGTCGCGGTTGATAAAAACGGCACCTTTTATTCCACAGCGGATTCGGTGGATTTTGCGGAGAACAAACCAGACCGTGCTGCAGTTGATAGACTGGTAGCGGACTTGAGGAAGGCAGAGGAGATTCGCCTGAAGAAACGTAAGGACCGCGGTCGTGACGATGAGGAGGCTGATGTTACGTATATCAACGACAAGAATAAGAAGTTTAACCAACAGTTGGCAAGGTTTTATAACAAGGTACGTTGGAAATACATTTTATACGCAATTATTTTTATGGCACTTCGCTAACTTTGCCACCTAGTATACTGCGGAAATTCGAGACAGTTTCGAACGCGGGACCATGATTTGAGAATAATGGTAAAGCTAGGATGGGTATTTGTTGTACACTATCGGGATCAACAGATGAGAATCGCTATTTCAAATAATAATACAAAGGGTGGCTCTTCGCCACCTCGGATTAAAAGGAGATAGACGATGGCTCAAGATCACAGCATAGATCTTCTCCAACCCTTCGTGGCCAACGTCTCAATCTTTTTAGGTCCCACAACACCTTGGACATTATCATCACCAATTGCCTCCACCACAGCCTCGCTGACAATATTGACGTTTAGCGGCTTTGCGGTCATCATTCCCAAAAATGAAAGCCGTCCTCCCAGGAGCGCGTTCACTTCCGATCCTACGATCCCACCCAGCGCAATAGGCAGTGTTAATTTCCGCGATGAATCATACATGAAAGTCGGTCTTATGAAAATACTGCGGAGGTCAGGGAGGTTGGAGGAGATGAGGGCCTCCGCATCCCTTTTGGATGTGACATATCTTTCCGGAACCACTGGAGCTCCGGCTGCGGCTGATATGAAGGCAAAAGTCGGGACGTTCTCGTAAACGGCTTCTTGCGCGAGAGCCACAGCTGTTGCAGTGAAAACGTTAGCATAGTTTATTATAACCCTATAAAATATAGAAAATCTAGTTCCAAACCAACCAGAATCCCGATTCATGAGTTCGTATGTTAATTGACCGCCAGAGAAGGCGGTCAATTCTTCTCCCTCTTGCCTTTGCAACGGATTCTGGCTTCCGGGTCTTGACGTTGCGAACAATTTCTGTAGCCCACTAATTACCGATTCCCTCCCCTGCACAATTCCCTTGTAATCCGCCTCTAACAGTATTCCCATAGAATGGACCACCGCGGAAGCGTCTTTGAGGAACGGTTTATAGGTGGCAGGTTTTAGGATATCGGCTTTAGCCCATTCAACGGACTTCGCCCACCGCGGCGCATGCGAGGACAATGTAACAGTTCCCCAGGCTGGTTCGCCGTGTCGACTATAAAAAAAATTAAAAGGACAATTGTTATGCTGTTTGGTGTAGGAAAGCAGTCTGCTAAAATTGATGAGACAAATTACCTCAACGACACCACCTCCCATCCTCGAGCTACAGCTGATTTGCATATTCTGGAACCTGTATCATGGGAGTTAGACAAATTGGTCAACACAGAAATAACAGTCCTCTCAGGATATGACGGTCATATTTACTAGCACTTACCCAGAAATCCGCTTCCGCCAGCAACCACAATTCTCTTAGTTGCCGCCATTTGCATATACCAATTTATATCGTAGAGGTAAGGATATTATCACCGACCATTTTGTTCTTATTGCTATATCTTCCGAAAGGTTCCAAAAGGGTATTCTGAGCTATAAAAGTTTGTCGAAGTTCGCATCATGTTCTAATTAAGCTAGCTGATAGGCGACCAACTTCCATGTCACGTGGTAAAACATGGATGCCGATGCTTGGTCCCACTTCCGATCCCCTCAGATCTCTTCAGCTACCAACAATTCGAGCGATTTGATCTACCCCATTTGGTCCCGTAACTTGTTTCGAAAACCTTTGGCAAAATGCCTGCCCCAGCAGGCACTAAACGTGTTCGCGTGAGTCCAAAACTTATCACATAGCCTTCCCCGCAACGCTAATTGATCTCCTAGGGAATCTCAATATTTAGACCATTTGGTAGGTAATAGCATGTGCGGCCAAGTTATTTAACTTACCCGCGATAATTCTCCTTTATCTGACCGCCAAAACTAGTTTTCGGAAGCGAAGCGCAGCCCTTTGACCCGGCAAAACGACCCCCAAACGCGCCCGAAGACCACACCCACCAGTGGCGTGTATTCGTCAAAGGTGTCAACGATGAAGACATCTCATACTGGTTGAAAAAGGTGCAGTTCAAACTACATGAGACCTATGCGCAGTGTGTGCGCACCATCGAATCGCCACCGTTCGAGGTCACAGAGACAGGATGGGGTGAGTTTGAGATACAGATCAAGCTATACTTCGTTCCAGAGTCGACAGAGAAACCGCAAACGTTATGGCACAGTCTAAAGCTACATCCGTACGGGGATGACATCGAGGGGAAAAGAGAAAGGCGAGATGTCATTGTGGCACAGAATTACGAAGAGGTTGTGTTTAATGAGCCCGTTGAACAATTTTATGATCTTCTTACGGGCGGAACAGGAGTAGTGCAGCAACCTCCTAAAGGAAAAGCAGGGAAGGGGGCTAAGCAGCCACAAACGCAACCGGGGAGGACAGCGGAAATCCCTTACTCGGACAGCCCGAAGAATCCGTACAGTCAAAAGACAGAGGCGAAGGAGCTGGATAGGTTGGCCGAGGCTATCAAGACTGTGGATCAGATGCTGAAGGAAGAAAAAGCAAAGCTGGCGGAGCGGGAAGCTAAATTGGATGAGCTGAGGAAGAGTGAGGGTGTGACGACCGTGGTGAAGAAGAAATAGACGTTTCTCTTGCCATTCTGTTTTTGCAATTCGAAGAATTATCAAGTCATTGGAACAATTGGTGAGAAATCTCCTGTCTAACACGCTCTAGGGATATCCTGTCTAACCGAAAGGTTTCCTACTTAAGCAAATTCCTTCTCCTTTCCAGAAGGTGGGAGTACGACGACACTATGTAACATTGGCGGCCTATGTATGGTAGAGATACTTACAGGCTGCCATCACTGGACCTGAAATACCGGTCTCTAATTATCCTTTTGGAACGAATCCTCGACATTTCACAAGCCAGTTCCCAAATCAACATGCATTAACATCATTCTTATTACTGGCCCAGCTTCTCAGCCGACTCTTGAATGGGCACGGATACCTCTACGCTTCTCAACCGCTCGTCAATCGCCTCCAAACACAAAAATCCCACAATTTCATCCATTCATTTCTAATTCCTTGAGACTTGGATCTGAGAACGTCTCTATTGAGGAAATATCGGCATCTTAAATATTCAGGCCATTTGGAGGGATTTTCCGGGACGAATTGGCCGCGCAGGCACCGGACGTATACATTGTTGCTCCTGAAACGCTCCTGTATTTCCACCGGCCATTTACGGGAAAGTCAGCAGTGAACTATTCCATCCGCTACATTGTACGCTCTATGGGGGATTGGCCAGCTTCAAGGCCTTCCCCTTTGTGACGAGATATAGTTTAGTATTGTCTAGGACGCAATGTCTTAATAAAGGTATATATTTCTATCGCACCGGTTTCACAAAACAAACGTACGTGTACGTGTATCTATTCTTCTCTCCATGTGGTTTCAGTGGCCGCAGGGTCATGCTTCCAAAAATTTCGAACAGCAAACGTCGAAAGTTTTATAGAGAATGCAACCAAAGATGATTTTGCGGAGAAAAACTTCAAAGAGAAAAAAGGAAAACAACCGAAGAAATGCAACTTCTACTTCACGACACTGAGCATCGCCAATAGTACATTTATTCATATATACGTGAATCCCGCATCATCGATCCACATCCAAAATCTACTCTTTCGATCCAAACACCTTGACTCTCTCCTCCAATGGTTTGAATGTTTTCTCCGTCAGTTCATCCGTTGAAGTGCCGAAGACCATTTGAGCGACCAGCTTCCATTCAGCAGGGAGGGACCAGGTCTTGGCAACAGTGTCGTCGATTAAGGGGTTGTAATGTTGTAAGTTTGCGGCGAGGCCAACGGATCGAAGGGCGAGCCAGACTGTATTCGATAACTGTCAGATAAGTGGGCTTCGCAGACATGGCCAAAATAGAAACACCTGCGAGGGGAATTTTTAAAAGAACAACAAGGAGAAGAGCGAAGGACTACGAACGGAAATACTGATGCATGGCATTCGTATGCTGTGCCCAAGGGGCAAATTGATCTCTATATGTCGGAAACTTCTCCGCCATTGGCGCGATGTGTTCCGGATCTTCGAAGAAAAGAATCTATACGGGTGCAGGCGATTTAGGTTAGTTAACAAGGATTTACGCAATCCGATTTCTTTTGCCCAGAAAAGAACGGCAATGGGGAGGAAATACGTACAGTACCATACGCTGCCCTGAATCCTTGCAACTTGGGCTTCGTATGGGTCTCCCACATTTCCTTCGACATCTTCCCCGGGGCTACCTTCGACTCCACAAATATTTTTATCGCTGCATCCCACAGTTTTCTATGCTCTTCATGCAACAGAAGCACAAGACGAGTGGATTGTGTATTGAAACTACTTGGCACATGCAGGATGGCACTCTTGACCAACTCTTGGATTTCGGAGTCTGGTACTGGACTTGAGGCGGAGAGCGTATAGACTGAGCGCCGTGCTTTGGCGAGTTCTATGAAAGCGGCGGCGGTAGCGGCGGGGATAAGAGGCTTAGGCTCTGCGACAGTCATTTTGTTTTCTGAGGCTGTTTTCCAGTTCTGATTCTGGTGCTGTGGAATACTGCGGCGATTGCGAGAACGCACAAAGACAAGTTCCGGTCAGACTCTAGGCGATATATGCTGGCGATCTATGGGAAGGGTGATTCGCGAAATGCTTAAGGGGTATTAAGTAGGAAAGGAATTCCTTTGCAGTTGTTATGGATGAGCACATGATGAACGGGTCAGGGAGAGGAGCTCGATTTATAGAACAGTGCTCGCGGGGTCCAAGAACAGTGAAGCCAAGGTACCGAGCTTCCTCATGAGGGGATTGTCAGAATATCAATTATTCATGAATGACAAATCGAGCAGTCCTCGAAGACCAGATATGAAACAAAGTCTCCAAAGAAAATATAGAAACTTCTCCGAATGTAGCTAGCTTCAGTTTCCAACTCCAATTGTCCAGTTGTGACCCGAGGTTTTTCGGGCCCAGCGCGGAATGCTCCATCGTGGTGCGCTTCTGCCCCAAATGACATTACCAATGCTTAACAAATGCTCAACTATTATTCCCAGTGAACATAGTTAGCCTTGCCCTCGGCGTTAGGATTTAACCCGCTCGGCACTTTTGACTTATCCGAGGCCGAGAATTATCCGATTCCTAATTATTATATGCAAATGATGACGAGAAAGAAAGATTGGAATCCGTTTCATGAGCTGTTCCTGTCCAACAAGCACACTTTAATGGCATTGAATAACCATAGAGGACGAATTAATAATGATAATACTTATCACAATGGACGCTGATAGTAACATATGGATAAAAGGGGAGAAATATCGATTTCTTTGGTAAAAAAAATTATGGAAAAAAGGAAAAAACAGAAAACTCCAAGCCCCACTATTAAAGAAAGGGACCTCAAAGGAGAATATCTAATATACAATGTGCATTACCCACCTTTAATGAGAAGGGCACGAGGACGGTATGGCCCCATGCGCCTTAATCCAATAAATGATCTCGCCGGTATTATTGTACGGATAGTTGTCCCTCTGTTTCCCAACATCATTATTATGTTTCCCTCTCCGCAAGCGCAGGGAAGCCACCTCGCAGACCCTGTAATGAGCATTCGCTAGATTTTTGGTCCGGATGAGTGCCGCTATACCACCCGCCTTCAATGAGTCGACTTTCCGTCTCTCGCCAATACTGCAGTTTCCCGCCGATTCCACTCTTGAAATCAAGATCTCCCAAGCGCGCTTCGAGTGGTTGAAGTTCGTCGAGTGGAACCTGCGAATTGAAGAAGGTCAGTCCCAGTATACCATTTCCTTATTCTGGAGATGCCAACCACTTACCTTAACAAACATGGTGCAATCCCTCAGCGTCATGGAAATAGCACGCTCCCGAAAATTTGCCTGTAAACCAGGGAGGCCTACTGCATTCATCTGGCGCTGACACTCTTGCAGTTTAAGCAGGGTGCTATTTCGATGCAAGAACGCGGCGACACGCTCTCTCCCGTGACCTCCACGGATAAACCGTGTCGCACGTAATACATCTTCAAAGTTATCCGAAACCAAATCAAGCGGACAGAATGATTGCTTTTCAGAGTTGCCAGCTTTTCGTGCATTGAAGTTTTTCATCTCGCGTAACGCACAAGTCCTGCATCTTTTTGCATCGGGCGGCGCTGATGGCGACTGAAGCAGCCACTTTGGTTTGAATTCCCACAAGCATTCTCCTGACCCTGTGACGGGGGTCATGTCAGTGATCATTAAACCGAAGGGCTCCTTGGTGGATAAATAAACACCATAGCGTTCTTTCGGGCGCAAATTGCGAGCTTCATCCACACGAAGCTGTTCATTGCAATATGCTATGAATCCTTTTGGTAGTCTGACAAGCTCCTGGTCAATCAATTCGTGGTTATCAAACATAGGTTTTATGTAGCTATCAAAGTTATTCACAGTGTCTGCGTAAGGAGTAGCAGACTTGATTTGCTTCCGCAACCGCAGCAATTTCCTGTTATCGCGCTGTTGACCACCCCCATTTGTCGTAATTGAGGGAGCATGTTCATTTTGTATCGTAAACTTGTAGACTATATTCGCACCGCCTTCGGCTAGATAGAACGGTCGAGCGCGAGGAAAGAGTTCCCGGAAAGTATGTGATGTTATAGATGTTGTTTGGGACGTGGTGCTATCTGATTTTAGGGGGACAGCTCCTATTAAGTTGCCGCGCCACGGCTTTGGGCCTTGTTTTTTCATTCCAAGGTTTCGTTGCATTGGAGTGCGCGATGCAGATGGCTGTTGATGTCGACACGCGAAAGTCACGATAAATATAAAAGCAGAAAAGGCAAAAACCAAGATTAAGCCGACCATCAGGAATCGACGATTGATGGAAACAGATGACCCAATAAAGCAACCAGTCTCCCCTCAATGAAAGTCCTTAAAAATGAAATGGCGTATGATTGAAGAGTATTATACTGCAACAATCACTTTAAGTTGGTTGTTGCCGCCTTCCTCCTAATTGCCAATACCAGTTTGTAAGACCTCGTAAGTGACTTTCTTCTGGGGCCGCTTCTCCTATGCACTACGCGATCCGTTTGTCTCTTTCACGGATTGAAATCAACTCCGATACAGCATTGCAATGCATGAAAGGAGCCGCAAACTTAGGATGGAGCAGGTGCAGCTCAACCAAAACGTGAAAGATGCAGGATCTGGATGTGACATGCAATTCGAAGGATGGGGTACAACTCCCCCTGAAAGCTGTGACGAGGAAAATGCTTATATACCTCGTGAGATAAAATTGAATATCGAGGAAGAGAGTAGGGGATATCGCAGCAACAACAACAACAGCAACAGCAAAAACGCAAACACTCCCCCGGGTGAGTTTATACGTGGACACAGAAGGAATTAACAAGACACCGGATACGGCAGGCAGCACGGCGCGCAATCCAATCGGGAATACAGCCGCTCCGCAGAGCAAGAAGGACCATGCAGCAGATGCTGGGAATGATGCTGGAGAATCGAGTGGTCCAACAGCCAGCGGGGAGACAGGCCAAGTTGGGCTGAGGTTCGGATCTTGGGGTTTCGGCACGGGCACGAGCAACTGGCCCTGCTAGCCGTTGGAGATGTGGTCGAGGAAGGAGAGGCCTGCAAATTGAAAGCCTCAAGTGTTAACTCCAGAGTTTCCATTCCCAAAAGGTTCAGTGATTAACAACCACCACAGCGCAAGAGTCGGCTGGCTGAAGGAGAAAGGAGCGAGATATATGAGTGAGTAAGGGACAGATCGGTCGAGTAAAGGCGTATATGAGTTTGCCACCACGCAATTTCGATTCTTATTGATGCGACTTGCTTTTGCAGCTTTTCTTTCTTCTCAATCCTTCCTTCCTTCTTTCTTTCTTTCTTGCTTTCTTTGCTTTGTCTTCTTTCCTTGGCTCCTTCACTTCCTCTGCGAATCTTTTTGTGTTGGCAACTGCGATATCAAAACGGTGCGCGACCACTATTTTTTCCCTTCCTAGAAAATGAGGAAACCCGTAAAAGACTCGATCCGTCACGCAGGTGAACGGCATGAATAGCCTGGGTTGACACTTCTGCTTTATAAGCCAGTTAGGCACCGCAGTTCGGTAGGTTCGTAGGGGTTTTCACACTGAGTCTTGCAGTGGGGTATTATCTGTTGAAAAATTCCGGAGCTGGGCCAGGGAAGAAAAAAGCCACAGACAATGTGCGTTCGAAAGTATATATTGTCCGTTGATTGCTTGGAGGCTAGTTATCAATATTTCCACAGCAATTGACAACTGATGGCGGAGAGAAATCGCGGAATTTGAGGCCCTAGCCCTCGTATCCAGAGGGCTTGTCGCATAGAAACGAGTATCGCGGAGCGCCGTGGCCTAACTTTTGTATTTATTCTCTTCGGCGTGAAAGGCGCAATAGGATAAATGATCAAAAATCAAACACCGGCAGCCAAAAAGTAAATTGATAAATCACAAGTTTGTACTCGTTAGTTGTAGAGACCTTCAGCTGTGGCAACAGAATATAAACTCAATTTTAAACGCTATCGTCTGTAGCGCTCTTCATAGTTCTGTCTGGAATCTGGATGTTATGTTGAATTTTTTCTTCTTTTTTTTCCCCGGTCCAAAAAAAAAAAATCATTCATCATGCGATTCTTCTAAACATATCAAGCCTTGACCATCACGAACTAATTAAATAAGTTGGTTGCAAGCTTCTGAGATCCACAGCTCCCGGTGGCAATGGGACTTTTTAGATGCATATGAAATACCCACGAATCAACCAATCCCACAGGGAAAGCATGCGAGGAATGGTGGGGCTGACTCGATATCTGGCGAGAGTTCCGCCGCAAAAAATGGATAGAGAGAATAACGTATATATTCCATGATAATATGAGGGGTAAGTTAAGTCAATAATGGCTGCGATCCGAAAAACTTTTTCTTCTCCCCTTGATCACATCAAGTTACTCGCACTAACGCTGTCACTTGTTAATTTGCCTTGGCGAGTGCTTAACATTGTTGCAACTTATATCATGGACGGAAGTGTGAGACATCTTCCCTCGAGCACGCTACATGGAGCCCCGACGGTAAATCCGTTACATTCCAGTGGACGAACTACTGAAATTATTTGGGCGTGGTGGAGAGCTTGATTCTTCAAACTTGGGCCTATAAGGTGTCAAGCCCTGGTAGCCCTTTTTCTGAAGGAGGCGCGGGCTCAGAGGATCGAGCTGGCTCCTTGCGGCGGCAGTGATCCGTATGCAGTAGAGACTCCACAAGGGCGGGGTTGTAAGAACGCCTGCTGATCGCTGTAGGACCCTGCAAGGTCTGCAGGATCCCGATATCCCGTGGAGCGGGTGTGCTCGAGCCTTCATGCAGATATCCGAATGGCGTCTCTTGCGCTACCCTTCAAACGTCCAATCCATTATAGCAAACCACACGTATCACACGGAAGATGAGTAACGGCATTGCCCTTGCATATTTCACCTGAGGAGTCAGCCTCACTTCAATTCCCTTTGTTGTAGTTAAATATCAAACATCAAACTTGGTTCAACAAACTCCACTCGATGCTCCGTAGGTGGGCAGGAAACAAGGGGACAAAAACTCAAAGAGTAGCATTTGGTGTTGAAACCCCAACTCAGCTCCTCCAATCTTGACTGGAGAAGTCTCGCTGCTCATGCCACATTTTTCTGCCACTCCCCCTGATTATGGTGCAGATCATTGACTCCCAGAAGGTCCAAGGCAACAGGCCCATGCTCTTTAACAGAGGGATCTCCGCGAATACATTGAGCACCATAAACCTCAAATCTAATTCATTAAATTGAATAATGAACCAACTGTAAACTGCTCCGTTTGTATAACTATCCTTAGGCAGTGCTTCACATTGTGATCCAATCTCTGGAGCTCTGCCAAAAGCAAAAAACTTCAGGCAGTTGCGGTTGAGCAGCATATTCATCTGCAATATGCAGGAACTTGATAACAGCAACATCACGAGAAAGACCATCCATCCATGGCTTTCACAGGTCGAGTGTTCGAGATTTTCCGCTCTTAGTATCCCGCAATGCTGCATGGTCCTGGACTTTATTTTGTTGCAGCACAGCCTCTTGTCGAGCTGTTCTCTTTCCTGTTTTCTAGTTTTCATCTTGCCTACAGAGTTGGCTCCCTTGCTAGCCGAGAACAAATCTTGGTACCTGTAGGAGCTCAGGGCGAAGAGCCGAAAACTGCTGAAGATTCAATCCCAAGTTGACGAAGACTTTGCGGAACAATTCTGCAAGGTTGGGAAATGGCACTCCAAGCGACTAACGCATCATGCCGACAGCGTAGCCCCTGGAACATTTGGCGCCACTTTAGGGGCCCCGACGCCTAAACTCAGCTGACCAGTTAGGTGACAAGGCCATAAAATGTTAAAAGCATCTGGTGCTTGAATGTCACCAGTCTCCAGTATTCTCCCTTACACATGAGTTACTGACATCCATGGGCAGCGTCAACGCCGTTTTCCTCACAGTCAAGAAAGATCAGAGCTTGGTATTGATGTGAATTATATGGGAATAGATGGACTGACTTAGTCTGATATCCATGAGGCTTGTAGCTCCGGTGAGAACAAGAATGAATACACTTCTCAGAGGGAATGTGAACAATGTCGGCAGCAACCAATTCAAGTTGACTATCTGAGGATCTCCTTGCTTAGCCATGACGGGGCCTGGACGATGGTCCAACTCGTTCCTAGGTTCATTAGGCGTATATCCTGGATTGCTCATGGCCTGTAGGCTTAGCGATGTAACTCCCAGGCTGCCAAGGCCGGGAGACCATCAAACCTCATTTAGAAGCCGTCATAAGGGATGCGAGTGTGGACACGGAATAGGATAAGGAGAAATCTGTCGGGATGTGGGATGACCCGTGAATTACCCGGGATCCAAACGCAACATCATTAGGCCATGAGCAAAACGCAGAAATTACTGGTAAGCTCAACTCTATCAACCTTGAAATCGAACGATGACAAGGAAAATGATATCTATCTGTGTATTTTCTGCTTCGTTGCGATTGCAGACTGGACAGTGATGCAATGCTGAGGTAATAATCGAACTCTTCAACCCAGTCCTCAGCTGTCCGGTATCTTCTTAACTTATATGCCTATAGATATCTTATCTTCACCAGCCACCAAAGATTCGTCTTAGGATCCAGTCATGGAGAGCATATCTAGTACAATTGCCACACCACCACATTGTACGGCAGATTTCTGTCTGATACCGGTACGTTAAAGCATGCGTTTGCGTGGGAGATGCGGCCAGCGGAATAGTTTGTGTGATTATATCTAAGGAAGAATTCACTCGAATCTCCATCAAATTTTATTTCTTCCTCTGGTGTCCTTATATCAATCCACCCCTTCAATTGCTTCGACTCCATGAGAGCCCAATCAATTGGAGAGAAAATCAAATGATGCATCATCGGGTGCCCCCTTTCCTCTCTCTAGTCTACCGCATCTTCGTAAGTAGCTAATCTCTATTACAGATAGGGACATCGTCAGCGTCAGTATCTCAACAAATTGCTGATGTCCAGCGTCTGGTTGAGAAATCCGGGGTGAAATATGTCATGCATTCGGCGGGGACTACTCTAGGTGAGTTCAATTATTACGTCTCATTGTAATACTGCTTCTTCTCCTCGGCTGGTTAACCCCGGGAGGATATGCATCCTCAAAGCTCCTGTTCCCAACTCCTCCCGATTCTCTGTCCCGCCTGGGGATCAAAATCTAACAGCCTGCAGAAGGATCATGGGACGCCGTTTTTGCCTTAATCGGCCAGGCGCATGCAATGCTCCATAAACAGGGCATTGTGCGTATACAGACAGATATTAGGGTTGGGTCCAGGTGAGGCGCTCCCTCTTTTGCTGGCATCTAGATATCTATATCAATATCTATATCTATAACGTCAGGTCGATGAAACAAAGTTTTATATAACTGACTGGTGGACATTTGTAAAACAGAACCGACAAGGTGCAAAGTATGGAAGACAAAGTGGCTGTCGTTGAGAAGCTGCTGGGGAAGTCGTAGTAATATTTAAAGCTTCCGTAGAGAATCGGAATCTTAAAATCGATTGATGAAAAAAATGTATTATCTTTCTTTCTCTCTAGGGGAAGAAAGAAAAAACCGCGCTTTTTATGTTGGATATGCCTTCCCATAACTGAAGTTTCCGGTTTCATTTGGCAAGAGAGAAGGAATAACTTAACTAGTTATGTCGGTTGAGACTTATTAATATCAATCATAGGAAAAGATCGATTGTATATAGAACGTAATAAACGAATAACCATATCATAATATATATGATCCCCAGTATAACATTCAAGCACAACTGCCAGTAGTATATGATAACTTCCACTCTAAAGAAAAAAGTTCAAAAAACAAAATAAAATTTGAAAGTAAGGCAAGAAGTGATTCAAGGACTTAGCTGACCCGATACGCTGCCATTTTTCAATCTTCCAATTCTCCTCGACAAGATAGATACTGGTGTTTCCTAACCTTGTCAACCCTTGTAGTTCTAATGTTTTATGTTCAGGAGCCAGGATCTAAATAAAAAACATGTAATCTCATTGAATACGAAACAATGTAGATTGTCTTTGGCAAACAAAGGTGATTGAGCTCATAGGTTATGGTGCTCTTGCAAACCAATGGCCTATTTCGAGTTACGGCACAGAATATATAGCCCTGGCATTGAAAGCAAATAGGGGACGAAAAAGGAAGAGAAAAGAAATCATTGAGTATTCTAAACGAGACCAAAGATCTCAGCAAAATGATATAAACAATACCTCAGTCATTACTATTATCGTTATTACGAAGTCGCTTCTCCACTTTCTGCTTTTCTTCCGCATAGGTTCGTTTCCTCGATACTTGCAGATGATCTCGTCTCCTTGGCCACATGCCTTCCTCACTCGCATATCCCGTCGCACTCCAGTAGCGAGTTTTAGGGTTCACGAGGTCATAAATATCCTCTTCCGCCAGATTCCCAAACAATGGGAACCCCCAAACATTATTTATATCGTGCAATATCTCGTCGAGGGCCCATGGATTTGTAGACCGCAACATGCGGTTTTTCGGGCGTCTAGAAACTCGGTGCTCACCAAATAATACAGCGAGCCGATGTCGGGTTACCTTACGAACCGTGTTCATTTGCACGACTACTCCCTTTTGCTTCAGTTCTCGTATGAGGACGTGCCCTCGTATCCAGGGTACGATTTTCTCGCGCTCGTCGCTAAAAGGATTGTGATATATTTGATTGGAGCTAGGTGGAAGGCTAAAACCCCAGGCTATTATGGCATATTGTAAATGCACAGAAAAGAGTTGGCGCAAGGGAGATTCGGGATGTGCGGCTGGTAGGAACTTCTTATGGTCTAAATCGGAGATAGGGCGATCAGGGGAAGTAGCATCAGTTTTGAATGTTGACACTGTTCGCTTGGGATTGACTGGGAAGTAAAAATGTGCCAGCCAAAGGCACAGCTTCCTGAATTCTTGCCAATCCGCGCTCATACCAAGTCGCTTCAGCACTTCTGTCCAATATCGAGCTGGAACATCTATCCCAGCGCCGACCATATTTTGTAATATGCCAATCAAGAACATGGTTGCACGAAAATTCTCCGGATGGGGGGGTTCCTGCATTCCTCGCCTGCGAGGGAACAGTATCTTCTTGACCATCACATCTAACGTATGTTTGGTAGGGTGTATGTCGTGGTCCCTCATTTGGTCTAGGATACGAGGGATTTTCTGCCAATCCTTTAAATGCACTGCATTTCGAAGGAGGATGTTGTAATGATATGGATCTTCGGTGGATAAGATGGACAAAATTTTGAACAGCATACGAGCCCGTCGTGGGTCGTCAACGGCGGAATAGGAATTAAAGAGACCTTCTGCAGTTTCCTGATTCTCCAGAACTTCCGGATGCAGATCGCTCTCCAAAAGTTCATTTAGTATAGAGTCATCGCCTTCTGAGGCTAGTTTCTGGACAACCCTTGAAAATGCCGAGTTTCCAACTGAAATGCCTTCTTTCTTCAAAATATCGATTTGTTCGGATAGCGTTTTTGCATCTCCTGCCTTCAGAGCCATCTGCCTCAGGGTTTGTGGCTTGAGAGCGGTAGCGCCGAACGCCTTGACACCGGCAAGGATGAGCTCAAACGTAAATGTCTTCGTTGCAAACAAACGGGCGCCGAGTTTATCGTTGACTGCATTCGCTTCCTTTTCTCCCTCCTTAGCTGTGGTGGGGACATATATCTTCGTTCGACCACCACTCCTGGAGGCGAGTGACATTACTGACTTTTCGTTTTGGAATAAGCCTTTTAATTTCAAATTTGCCAGGAACAAATCTACTTCGGCATCCGAGCCAAAGTGTCGTAGATATTTTATCAAAGGTGAGATATCTTGGATTGATTGGGGTAGGTCGTTCCGTTGCAAGAGGAATTCATGCATAGCGAAAGCATCGGCTAGCCTCCCAGCTTTCACTAAAAATGGCACGGTATGGCAGTAAATCTGGTGATTATCGAGCGTCTTGCAGATCTTCCTTAATGCTCTTAGCCCACCATCGGAAGAGACAGCGGGCTCAAAGAGCAGTAATAACATAGCATTCGGATTCGACAAGTGCGTATTTTTTAATTTTTCGTGCCACTCAACCCCCCTAGAAAATTGCCCCGCTTTGAATAGTCCAACCACAATCGATTTGTAAAATTTCTCCCTATCCCAACTCTTTCCAGATCGCTCATAAAGTTCAGAGGCGTAGGAATGTATTTCAGTCAAAAAATCATCGCGTTTCCAGCCAACTATGATGAAGTTTCTCCATAGGAGCGAGGCATATTCGCCATCCACAGGTAAATCGATTGGCTGTCCTCTTTCCCTTAGCCCTTTCCAGATAGCTATCACCCCATCGTCACCGTGGTGTCGTTTGCGATAAAGGAGGAGGTGCTTCCAGAGCTTAAAATCGTTGGCGAAACGAGGATCGTCAATTAACTTAGTTCCAATATCTCTAGAGTGGCCAACATCCGATTCAAACTGGATCCTGTCGGGGTCCAACAACCAGTCTTCAGAACGAAAGGTAGCTGAGTCGTTCAGGTAGTTTGAGAGCCCGCGGGGACTAGGAGGGGCATTCTCTTCTTCCCGGGTATCAATGCGTCTATCCTGGCCGATTGTGTATTGATGTGGCGCTGGAAATTAAGAGAATATCCGTGTCCCTCTTCGTAAGCTGTCGTTGGGCGATTGCTGCCCTGTAGTCTCGCATGTTGGCGCCGTCTCCATGTTCCGCTCGGGTTTCTGATTCCGCACACCCTCGATGAATTTGCCGCAGAACTTTTATCGCCCTGGATTCTAGTGTTACGTATTGCGCACCGTAAGCACTGCTCATCCAAATGCAATTGGTCCAGCGTAGTTGGGGCAGTAATCAGAGCGCTGAGGAGTGACAGTGTCGAGCGTGTTCCCAGCAGCTTTTGGACAGCCAATTGCATTTGGGGTCGCAATAGAGAGGGTGTAGCGACAATGGAGGGTTACGTGCGTTCAGCAGCTCCCCAAAATGCCGCAAGGACGAAAGGGTAGAGGGGAGAAAGCAGTGCCTGTCGCTTGCTTGCGTATCGCATGTGTCGCATCGAAAATTTGATGCTTTCTTGTAAGTTTAGAATTGATACTAAGTAAGAAGCAATATACCTAAAACAGCTAGTCTCCTTTAATAGCCACGTGATGTTGTGGATGATCCGACAACTTCGGCACGGAAAAGGAAAAGGAACCTCATTTTTCAACATCAAACCTCGACTTCACCCTCTATTGACCCCGAGTTTCTCTCTTGAATCCCCATTTTAACTCCCACAGACTTCGCAACCATGGTGTCCCGGACCCTCCCCAGAATGGCCGGGTAAGTTTCCTATCGAATTGCCCATCGCAGGCTGCCTAGATATCCCAATTTCCTATTCGACGCCCCAGCCAACCATTTGGACACCAATGGAGCAAATCCGCATGTCGATTATTCAGTGATATATACTAACACCTGCAATTTGTCTCCTTAGATTCGTCTTCCGCGAGAATCGTGTCCCTTACTACCAACGCCTCTTCCAGAGACACGACGGCAAGCGCATCTGGAACAAGGTGCGTTCAATTCGCTTCCCCCAATCCCGCCAAGAAAATCCGGATCCAATTAATTACACAATAATCCATAAGAGAACCCAAGATAAAACGATATGGTGTCTAATTGCTGCTTAAAAACACAGTCCCACCGCAGTCCATACCTTCTCTACCCATTCTACATCTCCCTCTTCGGCTCCTTCGGTGGTATGTTTCCCTCCCATTTCCCGTCGCCGGGGCTCTTCTTTCTGTCAAACGAGCCCAGCCAAGTAGCTAACATTTGGTGTTTTTTTTTTGCATCTACCACAGCATCTTTCTACGCCATGTGCCGAACAGTTCTCGTAAGCTTGATTCCCTTTTAAAACCTCATTTCCCTATCCCTCCACCTCCTTTTAAATATCACCCAATCTGCTCTAGTATACGACAGCTAACCTTATCGGCACCAAATTACAGGGCTACAAAACCTGGTATTAAAGTACCAAAAGGAGCCGGTGATGAGACAGCTTGTTTGAGAATTCGAAGCATGCGCAAGTTCCATGGAGCTCATTCAAACCCCCACCTCAATGTTCTGAGAAAAATGCGTTTCTTTTCAATGTAGGAATAGCATACCTTTTTGGCTATGAAGCGTTACATTCTGGCTGGACTTGTGGTGAGCAGGTGATGTGGAAAATGAAGGGGCCCTGTTTGCGTTGTGTGATATTCAAACTGTATATATAGAAATATGGAAAAGTTTTTAAAAAAAAAAAAAATGGAAGAAAGAAGAATTCTCCTGCCACAACGAATGATATGAGGCTAAAAAAGCGGTCTTGTAGTTTGATATCGTATACATTCTCTACCTAATATATTTACGTTGTTCCCCATATCGGTAGCTGTGGATAAACCCCGGTCTCCCCCAGCACCTTGATTTAGGCTTCTTTGAATGGGCAAAGTCAAAAGGTTTAGAATGAAGAAATGGACAGTCAAAATCGTAACGCTAGAGCATCAGGAAGCAATAAAGGATGCGGGTCATGGAAAAGCTCCTAATAAATACCCAGTTGGTAATTAGTTGTAGTAAAACATCTTTGAACAAAGGAAGATATCGCCATGAACGTAAGACAAGATGGGCTCAAATGGGTGAAAAAGAAGAAACAGATAGATAAATAATATAAAATAAAACCAAAATAAAATAAATGGAAAAAAAGAAAAAGAAAAAAGAAAAAAGACGTTATGCTTGTTCTTTATAAATACCGATCCACACCCCAACGAGTGTCCTTCGCACTTTGCTTTTGTACAGAAAATTGACAAAGAAAAGTTGACCTAGCCACAAATCAACCGCCCCATATCACATCGCATCAGACCAAATCAAAGGACAACTGCCCCGCGTCCCCCCAGCTTTACACCTCATCCTACACCAAAGGGAACACTCTACCCCCTCTTCACCGATTTCTTCATCCCCCTCCTCGTCTCCCTCTCCCTCTCCTTCTCCAAATACTTTCGCTGCTCCTCCGCTGACATCCCCCTCAATAACCGATCGCGCTCTTCCTTCTTCGTCTTCTCCACCAGCGCCTTGCGCTCCTCATTCTTCTCCTCATCGTGGGCGCGGCGCAGCTTGCGAACCTCTTCGTCGCGCGTGTTGCGAAGTTTGCGCACGACTTCGGCGCGGAAGTGGGCGGTGGACACGACACGGTCAGTCAGGCGAAGGAAGTAGGTGAATATGGGGAGGGTGGAGGAGTAGGAATTGGATTTCGGGAGACAGAGGGAGAGGTTGATGCGTTTTCCTGGGGTGGTTTCGTCGATTCTGTTTTTGTTTTGGTTAGTAGCTGCAATATGGGCAGGTATATATATGAACTTGTAAAACCTTACTTCGTAGGCTTATCCAGCGGCTGATCTGTAATGATCAGGTACTCAAAATCCTCCCCAGCCTCCTCAATAGCCTTGATAAGATCAGCCGTAAGCATCAATTCCGTAATCTCCGCACTCTCACTCATGACAGTCGCCCACTCAGGCAATTTCGGATTGTCCTTCGTAAATGTCAAGGAGATATCATAGCGATCCTCACGCAGCCTGCGCATGCAATTCTTGTGCACAACAGCAAACACAAACCCATCGTAACTCGAGTTATTCGCGCCCTTCGTGCGCTGCTCGATGAGCTCCTTTTCCACAGCCGATGGCGCGGGAACAAGATCCCTCTCCTTCCCATCAAACGCATACGCCGTGCACTGCACCCGCTCAACCGGCACGGGCCACGAGTCGAGAAACATACTGATCACGGAGTCTCCAAGCATGTAGAGCGGGTTATACCACCGGAACAAATTGATCGAGACATCCAGGAACGCCACATTCTGCCGGCCGGTCGCATACGTCGCGAACTCCGTGCCAGTCTTCTCCTTCAGCACCGACTCCGGCACGACAAGGTCGGCCGATGCAGCTGCCGCCGGCAACCCTTCCGCCTGCACGTTGTCCGCCGACGGCGCCCGGCGCGCACCCACGCCGCCATAGCCGACGACGGCAAACTCGCTCTGCAGGATGGGCAGATGCGCCTGCGCCCATTTCTTGGCTTTGCGTCGGTTCTTGCCCATTCCCCATACGTGCAGCAGGAGCAGGCAGGCGATAAAGGGGATCACAAAGGCTTCTTGCACGAAGTCTTGCCGCGAATGGCGTTCCCAGACGCGATACCATGCTGTATATGGCCGGGCATGATCGGCAGCGGCGGGAAGGGCCCCTCCGGTGGCTGATTGGGGGGTTCCTGCGGCTCCGGGTGTGGAGGCGGAGGCTGGGTGTATGACGGGTGGTGGTGGTTCAGGGTTCCCGGAGGCAAACTCTGCAAAGTCTGGAATATGTAGAAATGGAGAGAGGGCGGACGTTGGTGAGCCTTTTGGCCGGAGCAATTGGGGGATTTCTATGTGATGCATGGGGTATATTTGCGGAGGGAAAGGGGAGAGAGAGGTGTGGGAATTTAGAGAGCTATGGGCCTATGGCATACCTGGATCTGCGTCATCGCCGCTCGAGGGAGCTGCCGATGGAGCGTTGGGATCACCCTTGAATATGTTCTGAAGGAGGCCAGACATTGTGTCGTTGCGACTTCTTTGGCGACCTCAGAGTTTGTCGTGCCGTGGGAAAATGAATTGGGCTGTGGTGGTGAGGTCGGGGGAAATTTCGACCAACAAGGATCTGGGTGAAGGCGAAGCTGACAGCTTGGCTTCGGGGCCCTAGTCAGCAACACAGATTATGCGGGTTTGACCAGGGCATTGGAGGTCGGCAGAAAGGTCAAAAAAAGGATTTCAGATTGATGGAAAAGATAGAGTGAATTTCCATTGAATGAAGCTTAAGTTGCTTCAGGTTGATTTGCGGCTCAAAGCTCAACAAAGGAAATTAGTATTTAACTATACACATTATGAACGATCGACTGTCATGTAAGACATCTCTTTACACGAGGGATTGAGTTGAGAGTATTTGGTGCTTGCAACAGAAAAAAAGAAGAAAGGGAAAATAAAAATAAAAATAAAAAAAGTCCCTATATCCACCAGCAGCCAGATCGCAGTAAAGATTTTCCCCTGCCCTTCCACCTCCTCGATTTTTTGCCCACCGTAGAAAAATACCCATTTAAATATATTTCCAAAATACAAAGGAAAAACAAAAGGGTATCCAAAGGTCCTAGATTTCGCCCATGCGCCAATATAATACAAAACAGAAGAAGACCCACTTCTCTTTCCCCACACGTAGGAGGGAGAGGGGAAATCCAGAAGAGAGGGCTGGAGCGAGGAAAAAAATATACAAAGAATAAGAATTTTTCGTAAACGACCGTGAAGTAAAAGGGCTTGTGGGTTCTGAGATTCTCATCTGCGCGGTGGAGGGAAGTTATGCAGAATGTATATAAAGACATTTTAGAGGCAAAAACACGCGATGCTGCCGGAAACGCCATACATGCGACACCAGGGAAAGGACGAGGGAAGAAAAGAAAAGAAAAGAAAAGAAAATGAAGAAAACGTAAAAAGAAAACGGGAATGAAATGAAAAGATATTATATTAAAACAAAAACAAAAATCTCGAGGCTGGAGACCCGAGTTAGCCCCGAAGATGTTTCTTAATGTCGATAAGCAGGTGGTGGCGTATGCGAGCGCATCAACGACTGTTCCCAAAATCCGCCAGTATTATTATTCTTGTTGTCGTTCTTATTGTTACTGCTGCCGGCAGCATCCTCGCCGCCCATCTTCTCATCCTGGATCCTGCGGGCAATTTCACTGGCCATTTTCATCATCCATGCCTGCTCCAGGATGCCGCCGCTCTGGGCTGCTTCCATGATTAACGATGAGGGCAGGTGGGTTTGATGCTGCTGCTGCTGCTGCTGTTGTTGTTGTGAATCTCCCGAAGATGTGTAGTTTGAGGCGTTGGGTTTCTCGATTGGGTAAGGGGAGTTAGAAGTTAAAGACGGACGAAGAGCTGGTTCTTGAGGTGGTACTTGTGGCGGTAGTGATTTCGAGTTTGCAGGGTGCAGTTGTTGCTGGAGAGAGGAGGTAGTTGCTAGCATCCTAGCTATATCGTTGGCAGTAGGCAGCGTAGTGCGGGAAGCAGGGATATCGTGTCCGAATTCTGCGGGGATACCTCTCCGCGCATTTCTTTCGGCACCGTTGCGGGCAACGATACGGTCACATAGGGTTGGTTGTCTGATCGTACGTGGTGGAGAACCTGGAGGGGTTACGGGGTCATCGTTGTTCTCTTCTGGGATGGTCGAGCCCGAAAATACAGAGGCTGCACTTGTACTCTCCGTGAATTCACTTTCGCCGCTGACGCTCTCCATATCATCTGTATTCTTCGGCCGTCGTCGAAGATCCACGACTCGCTTCTTTCGCTTCCTCGCGTGAGCCTTTGAGTGGCGACCGGCACCCATGCTGAGCCCGTATCCGCTAAACCCTGTTGAGGGAAGACTCAGTCGACTGTGCGAAGACGATGCCAGACTTGCAGCATCTTGGAGTGAAAGTGATGATGTTGCGACGTGTGAATGGGTTCTGGAGAGCGGGGGACTCATGGGGGAGACGAGGCCGCTGGGACCATCAGCCTGCTCCATCAAACCTGTCCATGCTCTGAAAACAACTTCTTGGATAGAAGGCGTGAATAAGGATAGCGTCCTCTGGGAATCCGTCAGCGCGGCTAGACGGAGGACGTTCTTGCGGGAGAAGAGGGAATGCATCTCGACGCCGGAATCCAGAGATAGGGATGCGATTTCCGAAGTAGACAGGACGTTCCCGGATGCGTCGACGGGATCCTCGGGGGGATTCAATAAAGGATCCAGGCCTGGTCCTTCAAGGGGTGGATTCGTGACTTGAGCCGAAGTGGTTTCCAGTTCACTGTATTCCGTTCCCCATAGGCGCAAAGAAAGCCTATGTATAATCGCAGGCAACTCGTCCATGAAGAGAATTCGTAGCTGGCCCTCGATTTCCTTTTGGAGGTAATCGCGGACAAAAGGGATCGAATCGAAGGTCGACGAGACTTTTAGGGATTCGAGGGGATCGTTCCGAAAGACGACTGTAATGCCCTTTTGCTTCGAGAAGACGAGAATAACGAAACCTGAGAGTTTTATGTCGGAGAGGGTAATTTGGAGTGGGATAGTCAAACCGGTTCTTCAGCAGAAATATGAACCCGTCAGCAAATTTCACGGCTCGAATTTTACGTTTAATTTTCTCTTATAATTATTTTGCCCACATCACCAGTGAAGCAAGAGCATAGACCAGAAGGGAATAGCAAAGCCGTGACTTACGCAGCAGCAAGTGGTTGTGGAGAGGCAAAGGGGTGCCGAGTAAGGAGATAAGTATTCAAGGGGTTCGCCTGCACACAGGTCTTGAGGGTCAAGAATGCATCTCCAGCATAGGACATCTTGAAAATACCCCGAAACCTGTCCTCTGCCAGATCACCTATTTCCAGGATTTCTAGCTCTGGGGGGTTGGAGCCCAGGTTCAGTTCGGTCACCACGATATCATCGACGATAATCGGGGGTTTGGGCGATTTGTTCAGCGCAGCAGTCAGCAGCTCCTGCGCCCTGGTGTAGAAGCCCGCGTCTGCCATGAGCGGCGACCAGTTGAAGTTGAACGCCATGCCGGCGACACACGCGACATGAGGACGGTCCGATATGCAGTATGAGAGAGGCGATAGATGGAGATCAAACGGGGTCGACGCGCGTTCGGCCAAAGGGGGAGAAAATGCGACGGTTTGGCGCAAAACGAGCAGAAGCGGGCGGGAACGGAAACAATGGCGTCGCGTGCTGGCGAGGTGGTGATGATACAGATGCAGGCGGGTGATAAATAAGAAAAAATAAGAAAAGGAAACAGGGAGACCAGAGGGCGAAGAGGAAGAGGAGGAGGAAGAAGAGGAAGAAGAAGAAGAAGAGGAGGCCGAGGAGTCAGACTGGCCGACTGCCGGTTTGCATGTGGCCAAGGACCGAAGGGCCAAGCAGGAAAAAATTGTTGCCAGCGGGTTGCACGTGACAAGCCTTGGTGCACAGCTTTTGGTTGTATGTTGGACACTCTTCACCATTATCAAACTTGATAAGCTATTCTCTATCCTATTACTGGCGGCTTTGCAGTGGAGATTGCTAGCTCTGCGGAGACCTTCAAAAAATCCGCTGCTAGCCAACGCACATCCCAGAGTCAATGCCAAAACCAACATTATGGCCATACGGCTTTTTCGCCATGCAACCTTCAATATGTCGATGCACACTGTCAGCTAGCACTCTCATTGCGTCATGGAAGATCCTGCTCTTGTGACGCTACTCAAGCGCCGGCTGACGGCAGCTTATACTGGGCAGTGTTTGTGGTATTTGATGACGGAGTGGAATGGGTATTTCGATCCCCTCAGCGTGATGAGATCACTCGGACTCAATTGAAAGTGTATCATAATTAGACACTTAAGTCTCTAAATACAACAATGCATTTAAGTATAAGAACCAAGAACTAGATACTCAGACCTTGAATATAGAGAAATCGATTTGTAATAACTTTAATGAGGGTTCTGTTAATTGACAAACTCAGCACTGTTCTAGTTACAGATTTGGTATCAAGGCACCTTCTCATCTGAAGTACGCTCCACAGAGGTACTCAACATCACTTTTGAATGCTTCAAAATAATCCTCAAAACTGAACTGCTAACTGGAATTGGCACTCTGCATTCGAAAAACAAATAAAAATGAGCACTTCATGGGGTTTTCAAACCAAACCAGCAGACCATAAAAGTTAAAAAAAGAGACAGTCCATCCAACCATCGATCCTTCAGTTCAACATTTCGTGAATCTGGTTCAGGGTCAGCAAAGAATTTGAAAAGTAAACAAGGATGGGTGTTCCGTTGGGTTTCAAACCTCGAAAAAGAAAAACAATGAAAAGACAATCCATCCGGTCATCATTCCTCCAGTATAACAGATAACGGATCCGTCCCAGGCTCGGCGAAGCATCCAAAGTACTCCCGCTGTTCCGGGGTGTTTTTTTCCCAAGGTTGTATCAGTTTTCTTCCCCCAATGAAGATGAAGTCGCTGACAGCCTGGTCACTGAGCTCCTGACGAAGCTCTAACATATGGTAAAACCCGAACTGAAATTTCTCAGCGCACTGGTCGGTAATAGTCTGCCCATCCTGGGCCATCCTGCGACATAAAAATTTCACATCAGAGACATCACTCCGCCGCTTCTCCCGTCCATTCTCATCGTCCTGTCGAAGATATAAGCATTTGATTTTCATTGCTAACGCGTAGTCAAGGTTCGGAACGCGAATTCGGCCCACTGAGAGTAGGTTAAGCCCCAGATTTTCCAATGTTACGGTGTCGACGGCTGTCGTAAGAATGTCAAGAGTCACAGTTTCACCATCACCAAAATGAAGTTGTCCTCCGATGTTGGAAAACCCTTGCTGGCCTGCCAGCAAATTGACCAGTGAGGAGATGTTTTCTTCGGTGGAAACAAGAATGTCGACGTCATTGGTTATTCGGTTGCTCCCGAGCAGCTGCATCGCCGCCCCGCCGATCAGGACGAAACGGTCCCCGAGACACTTCTCAACTGCCTGAATGCAGGCTTGGATATTTCCGGTTTTGCTCGACATCACTCTAAATCAACGTTCAATTGGGTGAAAACTCTGGATTCGCACGTAACACGCTGCAAGCTAGCTCCTGTTTGTCCACCAGTAGACCCTTGTTGTTGTTATGCCACGAATACATCCTGCGAAATTATATCAGGCGCAGGGAAGATAGGGGGAAGGCGCGAGGCACTTTTTAGTTGGGGCATGTTAAAGCTAAATAGAATCGAGAAGTCGCACTATGAATGTGAGCAGGGTGAGGAAGGAGAAAGAAACGAGAGTACGAGTAAACTTATCAAGAGGAAAGAGAGAATGGAGGCAGGGAAATTTTGAATTGCCTCACTAGTTAGTTCCACCTCACTACGAAATGCATGATCAAAGCAAGAACCGAGAAAGTTTTTCAGCATTCGCTGCCGGTGCCACAAGGTTGAAAGGGGCTCTGAGCAGGAATGCCGAAAAATACCTTGCCGGCAGCTCAATTTTCTCACAAACCCAACATATGGTATACGTTTACCATGTCAGATGTCATCCTGAATGCATTTTGCCCAGGGTCATCCATTTAACTAGTGGTAGACGGTCCAATGCCCTTCGGATGTTCTATGTCGTGGCCCTCTTGAAGCATGCTATCTGCACGATCTCGGTACTTCTGTTTTATAGCCGCAAGCTTCAGGTCCGGCCTTGGAATCAGAGCTCTTGCTTCTTCAGGAGTTACGATCCCCGCGCGGATCTGCTGTCTCTGAAAACAGACCTTCTGCCGCACATGGCGCATTATGACCCTGCGGAATAGCTCAACAAAGAATTGATCCTCATCAGGAAGGTATGCGATTATATCTTTGACAAAACTCAGAAGGTATACATAGTGGCACTCAAAGTAATCGGTAATGGTAGTATTTAAGCCTTTAGCCGAATAGCGGTCGGCGACGATATCAATTATAGCTAGCATATAGATAGTCAGATTGAATGTCACAACGTTTGGAAGAACTCGAGTTCACCTCGAAAATAGACAAGCCTCCGCGGGAATCTGCAAGGGGAATTTGGAAAGAGAAAGGTGTCTCTACTCCAGGCATCGCGGCTCAAATCGAGATGCCAGAACTTTGCAGGCACAATAATGATGCTCGTCGTCCAATCATCAGCATCATTAGGTAAAAATCGATAACCTGGCCAGCCTGTTGTGCTCTCGTTGGTTGCAGTTCTGTCAAAAAATCTCTGATGGGTTTGGGGGACTTCTTGGTAGCCCCCGGAAGCGAGAGCTGAACGGGCAGTTTCCAGTTGCTCATCTGCAATTGCGAATTGGAAATCGAAGGGAACCAGTGGATATCCAACGGCGACGACAATGAGATCACCGACGATACAGTGTCTCACACCTGCGTTGTCCAGGATTTCTCCAGGGGCCCAGTCGCATTTTGCCAAAGAAAGCTTTTTGTAACCATCCATCATGGGTGTATACTGTTAGAGGCGTAGAACTAGATAGCGGGGTGGAGCAGCAGCTATATGAGATAGATCGTAGTGTTCCTGATTCTTGAGGAGGAGAAGTTGGCCACAGGTTGATGACGTGAAGTAGGTGTTAGGTGACTGTTCTACCTGTTACGGACTAGCGCACCGCACATCGATGCCTCAGTGGACCAATAGCAGTGATCAGGCTAACGGGGATAAAGTGATGCTGGGAGCAATGTTGTGCTAAACCCAATCGGGCGGGAGCTAAACCATGGAAGGCAATTCCCCATCCTCAGCTACAAAGCCCTGTATTTACATTTATTTACATTTATTTACATTTTCCTTTTTCCATTCTATTGGTTTACTTCACCATCCCCAGTCACACATCTAACGACCAATTCTGCCATGCGACACGATATGTCACTTTTCTCCCCTTCAGCCACCCCTGTATCTTCAACCCAGAAGGTGCCCCGGAATGCTCATACATACAAGAAGAGGTCAGCAACTACTGCGGGCAGTGTTATTGGATCAAAAAAGGTTTATGGCAAACGAAAAACAAATGCGCCCCGTGCGGTGCTCGAGAGGGACCATCAGAATGCTTCGAATGCAGTTCCTGCTGTAGAAAGTGAAAGGGTTGAGGAGGCTGAGATTGGGGATATGATCACGGCAATGGAAAATGGTTTATCGGCGCTTCAGCTCGATGTTAAACGGGGGAAAGCTCATGTTGATAGGGATGATGAGGATGTCAATACTGCAGAAGAGCTACATGCGCTACGGGAAAGGGACATTCAACAGGGCAGACAGCCTTTGATCGAGGTCGGGATACCCGCTTACAAAGATGCCCGGCGAGATGACGCTGCACATGATTGCGATACAATCGGGTCCAAATCCCCGGACGCCGTTAAATCCAAACGAAAACCACGAAGGTCCTCCGGTTGGATCGAAGACCTAAAACTCAATAACTACGTGCGCCCCATCCTCAAAGAGTCAACCTCCCCGATATCCTCGCGCGGAATCCAAAGGTTCGCAAGCTGGGCTCGACGGACGGGGGATATGTTCACCGTCGAAAAGATCGCAGAGGGCTCCTACGGAGAAGTCTACCAGCTACGGCTGAGCAAGGATATTTCTAAATGCAACCTCTCTAAGTCACGACTAGCACGGTTAAAAGAGTACAGGGATGGCGTATTCAAAATTATCCCCCTCCGCGCGCAGCGTGGAGTGGGCTCGAAGAAATTCACCACCGTCCAGGAGATCGTGTCTGAGGTGCAGCTGTTGAAACTGCTTGATCCCATCCCGGGCTTTGCGAGGTTTCGGGAGGTGCATGTGGTCCAGGGCAGGTTTCCGGAGACTTACCAGCAGGCGTGGATGCGGTATAGCCAAACGAACGGGCATGAGTGTTTTAATCCGGATCCCAGTAAGCCGAAGTCGTATCCAGATACGCAATTGTGGGCGGTTTTGGAGATGGATAATGCTGGCTGCGAGTTGGAGAAGTTTCCGTGGTCATCGACTTTTCAGGTTTATGATATCTTTTGGGGAGTGGCGTTGGCGCTTGCGAGAGCGGAGCAGTTTGCGGCGTTTGAGGTATGATTTCGAAGTGAAATGATTCCCGTATCTATCCCCTTTCACAGGACGGAGTAGATATGGAAGGACTTGCAGAAATGTTTTCTATGGTTACTGATGGCTGTTACAGCACCGCGACCTGCACCTTGGAAATATCTGTATCAAACCTAGGAAGAAAGGTGGCAATATTTTGACGGAGCTAGGGAAGTCGAGACCAGAAGGACTGGAAGGTGGAGCCACTGGGTTTGGTTTGAGTGGACTTGAAACTACCATAATCGATTATTCACTTTCGAGAGCCGAATTACAACCAACAGATACTGCGAACACAGATATGCAGGCGGAAGCAGAGGCGGCGACCGAGAGCAAAACAGAACCAGTAGCGATTGCGTGGTCGGATCTTGACAAGAGGCAGATCTTTGGCGCTATTGGGCGAGACGAGGATGAGAAGCTGCTCAGGGATACTTATCGATAGTGAGTTACTTTCTTTCCCTTTTCTCCTCTTCTTTCCTTCCCCAATCATCCAAATCAGTTACATGAAATATAGCTCTCAATTTGGGCCAAGTCGTGTCGCTCTTTTCTATCCTAATCAGTTATTCACAAACCCTAAATTATTAGTATGCGATCCGAAATATATCATCAAGACAATCTCCTCAACTCTGCACAACCCCCTTCTAGACCCTTGCAATGGAAGGATTATAACCCCAGAACGAACCTTATCTGGCTTTCATTTCTGCTACGGATGTTATTGAAGAAAATGAAGCCAGCCTGTGCATTCCGGGTGGCTGAGCAACGACAGCCACAACAACGGCTACCACTTACGCCCCGTCCGGCAAATCACAAACTACAAACCAATACTACATACTATAATGAAAATGGTGACACTGTTGGTGGAGCAGGTTCTCCACCACTTAAGTCATCAAAGAAAGTGGTTCGTCAAGTTAAAACGGGTGCGGGGATTAATGGTGACGGTGATGATGGAAGAAAACAATTGGACCCTGCCGCTATGAGCTGTCAGCAACGGCCGCGGCATCAGCAGATGTTGGGAGAGGAATTAGCAATTCGCCTTCAGGCAACGGCGGATATGCTAAGCGTCGAGAGCGGAATTGAGGATTTGCATTGCGCGGGGGATCTTGTGGCTTTTGCTATTCGGGCTGGGTGGTTGAATGAAGGGGATTTTTTGTGTTGAGACTGCACTTTTGGAGAAATTTTTTGGTCTTTCTCAATTGTTATGTATATGGAACTGGGAATAGAGAGATAGAGATAGATGTGGCGTAAATCTTGTATTAGTTACACTATTATTCACTTTCTGGGACGTCCATATGAATGGACAGCACAAGGAGGGCATATTGTGAACTGCCGTTCCGGATAGTCTGTTATTAATTCTCTTGATTGAGGTTATTTTATTTTATCTCCTGTCGTTTCCATGTCGTGCTAGGACACTTGAGAAATGTGTTCATCTGTCAGTGAGTTTATCAACTCTCCTCTTATGACTGACATGATTGAGCTGTCTGCATATTGTATGGATTAGAGTGATCAATTTACATACTGTGTAAAAGGGGAAGCGGGGTTTAGCCTAGTTTTAATCTTGGAGCAGCGAATCGGTAACTTGCAAGTCACTAGGAGGTTTGTTTTGAGCAGAACAAACCCCAGAGCCGTGTCTCCAACGATGGCAACGACGGGACCCGGCTGTGCGGGTGCTGGAACCTGATCTCCGGCAAATGGCGGGGCAGGCCGATGCCGAATCGTCCCCGGCTGCTTTGGTTGCCGCTTGGGGAACTCTCCAGCAATGACGATAACGATAACGAGCGAACGTCATAGCTGACACTAAGTTGACTTGTCTGAGATGTCGATGCGACTGTCGTCCAAGTACAGAGCTAGCTAACGCGGCAACTTGTACAGATCTGTATACTAGGCGCTGTCGATTGTTTTCGCATACAGACTCTTGCGTAATAGGTGTGTGTCCCACTTTACTTACCTTGTTCTCACTGTATACACTGCATAAGCAAGCCTAAATATCACCGCCATCCTCCACACTCGTAAGCTACTTCTTGAGCACCGACTGCCTCAGTATCCATAAACCATCCCAGCTGGTCAAAAGACCGGAAGTCGCTCTTGCTGGTCGTTGATGACGAATCGATAGGCCAACACACAAAACCCCGCACAACTGGGGATGGAGCAAACATTGTGGCTTTGTTCATCATCAGCACACCCACAGGCCGTGACCGGAACGAGTTGGCGGATGCAGGGGTTATCAATGTAGCTTGTTCCATTGTGCATGTGAAAGGCTCAGGAAGAGCCGACGGATCATTCTTTAGCCTCGGAGCTAGCGAAATGGCTGAGGTTGGTTGCGCTCTTATGCAGAGAGTATGGAGTAGTGTCGTTGATGTATTCATCATGGTCGTGTGAGTGACTCCTCGTGCAATTCTCTGATAGGCCATAGATAACTTAGACTCAGTGCATGTCCTGCGTACTACAGCGCGGAGTGACAACCACAGAAGAAGATTCCAATAACAGCGAGCTGCAATGATGTGATGAGCTCGGTGATTCAACAACCTAACATGTTTAGGGCAATGTTTCTGTAAAATGTGGCTTTGTCAATTTCCCCAACCTTCCCCGCTTCCAAAGATGTTAACAAGGTGGTTTGCCCTTTGGTTTGCGGCTCCATGCGCCTGACTGACCCCGAGAGCCCGCACGCTTCATATCCCCCCAACAGACAAAGTCCGTGGTTCAAGTAGTTCTAGGACTGCGTGCATTGTTTGTGTGCTTTCTTCTGAGTATCTTTGCCTGCTGCAAGTCAGTTACTCTGTGCCGGCGTTCATGAGCCCCATCTGTCTTCATGCTCGATCCTCCCACTGCAAAACATGAGGAGCCGCAAGAGGGGACCATCGGCGAAACAGCTGCGACAAAGAAACCAAAACGCTTCCAATGTATGCGCTGTGAGACGCGATTTGCACGACTCGAACATCTCCAGCGCCATGAGAGAATCCGTGAGCACTAGCAACCGTTTCCGATATAAAATCAATCTGATTGATATATTGAAACTTGTGTTAACTTTGTGCGCATCATACGTTATATTTAGATACCCAAGAAAAGCCTTTCTGCTGTCAATTATGCGACCATCGGTTTACTCGAAGGTGGGTATAGGGTTTTCCCAGAATCGCTCATTTTTTGGCTGGAAATCATAATTGCGACAGGCCCGCTGACCGAATCAAACAGTGATCTATTGATCCGACATGAACGCCTTTCACACAATAAAGACGGGTCGAGAAAAAAGCCACGAACCCCTTCCAAGCCGCGTAAACCAACATCCAAGAAATCAGCTCCTTCAGCTGTCTCATCCGTTACGGCTTCTCCAATGACTCTACCACCATTTAAAATCGACGATGGGCAGAGAAAAATATTTCTGGGTGCCGACGTGCTCTCAGATGCCCCTGATACCAACAAGTACCCGTTGGCGACACTAACAATGGCCGCTGAACATGTAGCTTCGCAGATGCCCGATAGAATAGTCAGTACACATGCCCATATTGTCCCAGAGAATATGGGACACAGCAAAAGTGAGCCGGTTCGGAGACTACCAGAGTCTTTGGCGACGAAGGACAGCCATGCTGCAAAAACAGATCTGAGGCATTCTATAAACGAACTAGCTGCCTTCCTAGATGACGAGGCACGCTCTCCCTACCAGTCTGCGTCGATGGTGAGCGTGGAGCATCCGGTGCCTTTTTCTTGGTTAGAACCAACTTGTCATCCAGATGGCCTTGATGCAGATATTCGACCGCCGTCCACTATCCGCTACCCACGAAATTCGGACAAGGCGGGAGAAATTGACTCGTTATCCCGTTTGGGTCCATGCGTTCCATCTATCTTGCAGGAAGACCGGAAATATCAGACTGGACAAACGATTCCATCACGGAAACCTTTGTCCAAGGTTTCACTCGATGACAGGCAGGATATTTTGTCCAGGTTAGAAGACTTTTCTTCAGTAATACCGTCAGGGTTTCAGTTGCCTTCTCGTCTCGCACTGTCCCGATACATCGCTAGCTATATCAACGGGTTCCATGAGCATTTTCCGTTCCTGCACGTCTCCACAATGTCGATCAGCCATTGCCTTGTAGAGCTCATTCTCGCCATGGCTGCTGTGGGGGCGCAATACTGTTTTGAAAATGAAAGGGCGATTGAATTGTTGTATGCTAGCAAGAAAATTGCAATTACGCGCATAGGGCGTAGAGATGCGAAGCTTGCGGCAATGCAGCGCCAAGCAGAGACAGAGTTAGCTTCTTCTGCCGAAGGTATAGATAATTCTGCAGCTCTCCACACACATCCATGCCAGGACATGCCCAAACGGCCTGGTCTACAGCCAGAGCCGCCATCATCGTTGCTGGTGACTTCAGACAAGCAAGATCTGATCCAACCAACCCAGGCTCTTCTAATATTGATGGCCCTAGCAACGTGGGCGAAACACAAGGAATTACTCCGAGAAGCTCTTGCCCTGCAGAGCATGTTATTTACTCTCGTCCGTGATGATGGCCTCCGCAGCCAGCCTGTGCCTGATGATATCTCCTGGGATGATTGGATAGAGCTTGAAAGCATCAAACGGACGAAATTCATCGCCTACTGTTTTTTCAACCTCCATTGCATAGTGTATAATATTCCTTCACCCATCCTTAATTCTGAGCTCAATCTTTATCTGCCATGCAGTGCGGCTGAGTTCAAAGCTCCAAGTCGTCTCAAATGGATGGAAGCGAGGGTAAAAGCTGGCCCTCAAATGAGCTTCCAGACAGCTTTGAATCGCCTGTTCTCGCATGGCGGTAACGCGATCACGGAATGCAATTCATCCTTGGGTAACTATATTTTGATCCATGCCATACTCCAGCATATATTTTGTCTCCGTCATTTTTCTCGCGGTAGATTCGATGGTAACCGCGATGTCGCGCCGGAAGACATAGCGGCAACCGAGCAAGCACTATGGAACTGGCAAACTGGCAGCAAGCGTAGTCTTCAATCATCCCTTGATCCACAGCACTCAGACGGACCAGTAGCTTTCAACTCAACTGCGCTTTTACGTCTTGCTTATATTAGGTTGAACATTTATACGGGACCTGGAATAGCGCTTGACACTCGAGATCCAATACAGATAGCCAAGGCACTCCGTACAAGCCCGCGGGTCAAACGCACACCAAAACTTGTTTGCGCCGTCTTACATTCTGCTCGGGCATTAAGTATTCCGATTAAAATCGGTATTCGACTCGTAGCACAAACACAAACTTTTATCTGGTCGATTCAACACTTACTGTGTTCCTTGGAGTCTGCCATTTTACTGAGCAAATGGTTGGAAGCGCTCTCGCAGCCAGATCCAGATCCGCCAGTATCATATGATGAGCGGAGGATCGGCACCCTTGTGAAGATGATGCTGGACGAGACGGAGTTTGCTATTGCGTCGAACCTGACTCTTGGATCCCCTGCCATGATCAAGCAGATGAATGCGGGTGTGTTGCGTGTGTGGGCGAAAATCTTCAAAGGGCCGCAGACTTGGGCTATCATTGATACCATCGGGAACTCGCTGAATATATATGCAGATATGATCGAGGATAACTAATTCGGCACGTTTCCTGGGAGTTATAATAGTGACATATGACAGTGGGTGGTCAATTCAATTTGGAGAATGATCAGACCGCGGGCGTGGTGAGGTAGATCCCAACTCAATCTCATGCAAGTATAGTTCCGCCACTATTTTCTTCTATCGCAATTATCTGTTAGATCTGCCTCAGGCAGTATCTCCTCACAGAAACCCCAAAGATGTTCAGATATATGAGTTTAAACCAGATAGAGGTCAGGAACACCGCATCTATATGGAGGGTGTCTTTCTCCCTCCCGTAGTTTCATGTTGGTCACAGAAGAAACTTTGTTATAAATATAAACCGTAGTTTGGCACCCTATGTGGCTGCGTGAAGCTAGCCGCCGGACATGCCATTATATTAGAGAAATAGTGCTCCCGTCTCGTCTGCCAGGCAGTTGAAACAGCATAGGGGGGATTTATATCTCATTTCAGCTCCTAAACGAATGGCTGCCACGAGGTTCATTGTACTGTGGTTGCCTTGGACAGAGAAATTAGCCACTATTATTCATCGCCATGTTTGCTTGCCTTCCTCGCGGATTTTTATCCACGGGTAGGGGTCTTTCGAATAGCATGGTGTGGTGGATCGGCAAAACGCATCCCCGGCACCAGTATCGCTCCTTTCCGCTTAGTCTTTAGAGATGGTCCCGCGCTCTGATGGTCAGCCGTCAAACTTGCAAATCTTTGCTTCACCCTTGGTGGTCATGAGTCTCTAAACACGAACTGGCCAATATGCGGTTACTGTAGTTGAGGTATATCCTTATGCACGATCGATATATTCAAAGCCTGAAGCCTGTTCATCCTCGAGAGGACTTCTTCTAACCACACACACCAACTTGCATTCTTGTAGACACGAAAAGGACGTCCATAGCCAGATATTCACGTGGTGTCATACTCCTGAGAGAACAGCTGGGAAAGGATTCATCCGCCCACAGCCGCATTTCCGGCATATGCACCAACATGGGCAAAGTGCAAGAGTACCTCATACGCATTATATCCCTGCAAAAGGCGGGGATGGAGGTTATTTTGGGTTAAGGTTTTGTTTAAGGGTGTGTGTGGTCAATAATAATGCATGCACAGGCGCATGTGTCCGCGAGAAGGAAGGGGGTGGTTTGGTTCGTTGTTGGCTGATGACTTTCTTCGACATACGGAGTACAGGAGTGTCCTATTGGCAAGGAAGACGGGCCAAAAGTCCAGGATGCGAGCAACGGTTGCCGCATGACAGACGCCCAAAGGCTATATGTTGGTTGGCTGGGGCCTCATAGGATGAACTGCGAGGACCTAAATAAGATTTTTGGTTTTTTAAAAAGGACTGTATCCCGTGCGCTTCCACTTCCTTCGCCCAGCATATATAAATCCTTTTAATCGGAATCGGAGTGCAGACGCGAGAGATTCTCACGATGATGTTGGATTAGAGTTGCAGAGATTGATTGATAAGATAAACAGCCCCCAGCCAGGTTGGCTCAGGCACGTGATTCACCACCTCCAGACTCCAGCTTCACCATCGAGTTGTCAAGCATCTCCAGGATACAGATAGGTATATCCGCGCACCCGGTGGCTAACGTCCAACGATGCTTTAATAACCTCTGTCCTAACGGCCGCTTGACTGCTGTTTGGGTTTCTCTTCGGCTAACGATGCTTGAAAATCGTCTGAGGAGCCTGCTTAATCGGCATCGGCAGCAGTCGTACGAGCAATTGCGGAACGAAACTGATGCAGGCGACATTAGTGATGGAGTGTCACGTAGAGATAGCGGGAGGGTCCACCAGCTGGAGGACTACTCGGACTCTCCCTTCTCATGGCTTGAATACTCAATGTTCTTCTGGATGGGGGTAAACATGCTTTGGGCTTGGTATGTTAATAAATTTCCATTGCAAGGCAGGACACTAGCTGTGTACCTCAATCTACTCAATGTATCACGTTGCGGAGCTGCATTTAGTGGATGTATATGCATATAGGAAGACCCATAGCTAATGTATGAACGTTCAGGAACATGTTTTTAGCAGCAGCTCCATACTTCCAGCTCCGATTCGCATCCAACACCTGGATCATGACCAATTTCCAATCCTGTATCCTATCCGTCTCCTGCGTCACCAATCTATTGTCAGTTCTTATCCTAGCAAAATTGCAGAAAAATGCATCGTATTCTCATCGCGTAATCTTCTCCCTCATTCTTAACATCACAATCTGTACCTTGCTCGCCATCTCTGCCATTCTATTCCGGGATGTCTCCATCCCTATCTACTTCGCATTCCTACTCTTCATGGTGCTTGGTGCCAGTCTTGCAACCGGATTCAACCAGAATGGGATGTTCGCTTATGCCTCCGGATTTGGGAGGACCGAATATACACAAGCTCTTATGGCAGGGCAGGGTGTAGCCGGTGTTTTGCCCTGTATCGTCCAAATTGTTTCCGTACTCGCCGTACCCGAGCAGAGTGAAAGCGTAAGCGATCGTGTTGTCCAGTACAAATCGGCCAAGTCTGCATTTGCGTTCTTCCTCACCGCGACTCTAGTATCTGTCATCGCATTCTTCTCTTTCTTTTACCTTCTCCGCCGACGAAGGAAATCATTATCTCTCACCCTTAAGAACGCCACCACTCTCGGACCCGACGACGAGGAACTCGAATCCACCATCACCGCCCAACCCAAAATATCCCTACCGCTCTGGATCCTCTTCCAAAAACTCCGTTGGATGGCGCTAGCCGTCTTCCTCTGTTTTACCGTCACAATGGCCTACCCGGTCTTCACAAACCAGATCCAGAGCGTCAGAAACTCCAACTCCACCCCAGATGGAAGCCAGCATATTCCCCGACTATTCCAGCCAACCATTTTCATCCCCGTAGCCCTCCTATTCTGGAACTCTGGCGACCTGGTCGGCCGACTCATCATCCTGATCCCTCAAATAAGTCTAACACACCGGCCATTCCTGCTCTTCCTCCTCTCTATAGCACGCTTCATCTTCATTCCCCTCTACATGATCTGCAATGTAAACGGACGCGGCGCCTGGATAGACAGCGATATTTTCTACCTAGTTATCGTGCAGTTTCTTTTTGGCGTGTCCAACGGGTATATTGGTGGAGCGTGTATGACGGGTGCGGCTGAGTGGGTGGCTGTTGAGGAACGAGAGGCTGCGGGCGGGTTTATGGGCTTTATGCTTGTCGCTGGGTTGACCTCGGGGAGTTTCCTGAGCTTTTTGTTTGCTAGTTAGGTTCTATTTTAGCATGCTGGTCTGTTTTCGGTTTTCATCAATTATACAACTATGTACTGAGCTTGATGGCTCTACGTGGCTACTTTCCCATGCATTCCTTTCCCGTTAGAATGATTAAGATGGTCTATTGGATATATTTTTCTCTTTATCATACCCCTATTTATATTATGGTCGTCGCAGAATGAGGATCTATACTGCATCACAGATGAGCAAGACAAGGCGGTTTCTTTTCTTTTTTATTTCTGTCCGAATATGTTTATCGGTTTAGAAATGATACTCTATCCGGAATTTCTTGTCTATATGAGAATAAATAACACTCTTACATAAAAAGTGAAAAGTCATACATATTACGCTTTATAGGCGGGAAGAGGGAAGTATATCGTGATTGATGCTTGACAGGTAGACTGGCTGATGGGTGATCGGCTGAGTTGTACGACAAGAGGGGAGAGTGGGTTGGGAGGAGTGGGGATCAGGGGTATAGAAAACGGAGGGGATTTGGGTCGAATATACAAACGAGTGACGACAGTGGGGATGGTAGGAATGCAGTAAAATGTTCTGAGTGACATAATATACAGATAAAGTACATGTACACACAGAGTGAGGGGTGATGCATGCAAAAAAGTTGACGAGGAAGGAGAAGCGCAGATATGTACGCCATCCACATTGATTTTGGACGGCAGTTACAACTAATTATAATAATAAAAACAAGCAATCCAGCAATGGTTCAAAGGGGTATTGTACCATAAGTAGTAACTGAACCGAGAAATTAAAGACAATCGATTGTAGCCACCTAGAAAGAGGAAAGGCACAGATATTGGAGTCATGAATCGGCGGACTTTCGGAAAAGGAGATGACCGCACCCTGCAGGCGGGGCGGGGTGGGAAACAACAAGGAATGTTATCGACGGGTGAGACGAGCCCAGGAGGAGAAGAGGCAAACACCCAAAAACATATGAATTTGCTAGTCGTCGGTTCTATTTTGATCGTCGATGCTCCGCTTCTTCCACGCCAACCACAGCACCATCCCGTCCAGAAGAAGCTTCCTCATCTTTTTTCTCCACCTTTTGCTCATCAACTACCTCTCTCTCGGACTCCGTTTCCGCATCGTCATCCTCTGCATAATCCTCGTCCCCTTCCTGTAGCATTTGTTGCAATTCCTCCGTCTCAGACGGCGGGCCCCGTCCTGCAGAGCTATCGTAATGCGGCAACGGCCCAACACCACCCTCTCCACCGCTCATTTGCCATTCCATAAGTTTCGTGAAAGCGCCATCCGGCCGCGAGCTCAGTTCTTTGTAAGTGCCTTGCTCGGCAACGCGGCCGTCTGAGCTGAGCACGACAATGGTATCAGAGCGCTTGATGGTTGAGAGGCGATGAGCGATACTGATGGTTGTGAGATTTCCCTGAAGAAGTGCAGCGAGGGCACTGTTGACTAGGGTCTCAGATTCGGCATCCAAAGCGGATGTGGCTTCATCTAGGATAAGGATGTCAGGATTCTTGATGAGAGCGCGAGCGATGGCAATCCGTTGCTTTTGACCTCCAGAAAGTTGGGCCCCGCGTGCGCCGACATGGGTATCAAGACCGTCAGGCTAGATGAACGGCAAATGTTATTAGCACGCTTCGTAAGTGAGAAGAAAGGGAAGAAGAAAAGGGAGGCGTACAAAATCGCTTATAAATTGACAATTCGCTCTACGTGCTGCGGCGATGATTTCCGTCCTTGTCGCGTTAGGCTTTCCGTATGATATGTTCTCAGCTATAGTTCCGGAGAAAAGTACCGGCTCCTGTGAGACGACACCGATCTTCCTTCGCAACGATTTGGCATTCATTGTAGAAATATCCTTGCCATCTATCAGGATTTGACCCTTGGTAGGGTTATAGAATCGGAGCAATAAGGAAGCAATGGTTGATTTACCGCCTCCTGATGGGCCGACGATCGCAACATTGCTTCCCTGAGGAATTTCGAAGTCGAGCTCTCTAAATATTGTAACGGCAGGTCTGGTGGGATAGCTGAAATCCAGGTCCCTGAAGCGAATTGGTCCTCGTGCGGATAAGACCTTGTCTCCTTTGGTGGGAGAGACTGTAGGGTTGCGGTCCTGAAGTTCAAACAGCCGGCTGGCAGCACCGACACCTTTCATCAGTTCTGAATAGAAACTGGAGAGGCCGAACATGCTTGAGCCGGCGTAAGCAGTATACATGAGGAATGAAGTTAAGTCGCCAATCGAAATCGCACCAGACTGGACCATCCCGCCGCCAACATATAGTAAACTCAGGATGGTCATATTGCCCATCAAACCAGTCTGTACAAACACAAAGCCTGTCAGTCTCTATCAGGATGCTTAAGAAGAAGAGCGGGATGAAATAGTTACCGAGCTAAAGAACGTTGCGCTAACAAACGATTCTTTCTTTCCAAGATCAAAAATCTTCCTGACTTGCTTATTATATCGATTAACTTCCAAAATTTCCCCTGCAAAAGCCTGACTTGTCTTCACATTTCCCAGCCGCTCCTCCGCAATTTTTGTCAGGCCACCCAGATTTTTCTGAATCTTGCGACTGATATTTCTTATCGCTCTTCCGTAAAAGAATGCCCCAAGCGCTAATGGCGGTAACAGGACTAAAAGAACACTCGACAGTTTGAGACTAACGAATGCCATCAAGCCAAAGCCAGCAGCACCGCTAACAAAAGCTCGCAACCCGTCCGAAAGGTTCTGTGTAATACTCTTGCCAACGATTATCGTATCAGAGCTCAGCCGAGAAATCAAATCTCCGACTCGGTTCGCGTCGAAAAACTCGGCGTCCTGGATGAAAGTCCGCCGGAAGAGTTTTGATCTTAGCCTCGCAACGATTCGTTCACCCACAATCCGTAGAATGATGATCCGGCCGTAGTTTGCTGCTGCTCCCAGGGCAAGAACACCGCCCAGGACACCGTAGAAGACGGGAAGCGTGAGACCGAACAATTCATTGCCGCCCTCCGGGCTGCCGTGCGTCGCGATGTCCAGGATCTTGCCGATGGAGAATGGAATGGACATGGTGATAGATGACGAGATGAGCAGGCAGAGGAATGCAATGGACAGGACTTTGGCCTCTGGACGAGCAATCTTCAGCAAACGCCACACCTCTCCAAAACCGGCCTTTTTCCCGCCTGAATCCTTCGCCAGCCTTGCGCTGAGGTCTATTTTTGCTGCCTGGGACGCCTTTTCCGTGCGCTCGAAACCCCTGTGTATTTCTTCCAAGGCCGCTTTTTCCCTTTCCTCCAGCTCCATTCTTGCATTCTCGGGGTTGTTCGAGGGTCCGCGATTGGATACATTACGTCGCACTATTGTCGCGGAAAGGAATCGGACCTTCCGGAGGCAGCCTGGCCTTGCAATGGAAGAGAGGGGCCCATGATTACTAGTTGTGAAAGGCTTTAGAATATTGGGCTGCTGGGCGATTCTGGATTGTAAGGATGCGTTGGGGATGCTCGAATAGTGCTGTCTCAGGGAATTGTTTGCACCATGCGACACCTTCTGGGCATAGGCGGAGACATTGGCTAAAGGAATCAATCCGGGTTGAGCAATGCGCCGAAATGACACTCGTGGAATAGCCGCCGCAAGCAGCCCTGAGCTGCGCATTTCGGCAAGCTGGCTGTCAATGCTCCGCTCGTTCGTACGTTCGCTGACGCACTCCACCCACCAACGACTCGGAACCTATCGAGAGATGGAAGCAGAAGGCAGTCCCATATTAAACAAAAGGAGGGCCCCGAGCGTGTGGCATAAGATATTGATGCGGGATGGCTGCTGTTCTGTTGTCGCCGCCAACAGAAAAAGCTTGTTGCTGGTTGAGTTGCGGCTGTCGGAGAACAGAGTGGAATCACGGGGAAGAATTGCCTCAAGCGGGATCAACAACGTATAAATACAAACCACTCCACCTGCATGTATCCTAGTAGCTACTGAAAACAATGCGAACATTACTTCCTCCCCACAATGGCAATGCCCGAAGCAACATTTATAGGAAGGCTAAGGACATGATTATGGAGCTGAGAGTTTGATATTTACCCTCCTTGCTTTGTCTGTTGTTCACCCCGCGTATTGAAAACAAGCCCTTTGTACCCCTCTATAGTCTCTTAAATATCCTCTCTGTAACCCACCCCACCTTGCGCCCTCCGGGCTTCTGCTCTTCAACATGGTTCTCGACTATAGCAAATGGGATGCCCTGGAGCTCTCAGATGATTCGGATATCGAAGTGCATCCCAATGTCGACAAACGATCCTTCATCCGCGCAAAACAGCACCAGATCCACCAGCAGCGCATTCAGCGCCATCAGGAAATCGAAAACCTGAAATACTCTCGCATCATAAATGACGGACTGTTGAAGCGCATTGACGCTCTCATAGCCTCACTCAAGAGCCATGAAGACAGTTCCAGAAACCCGGATGAGCTTATTTTCCAGGCCCTGATCGAGTCCGCTGGCGACCCTAACGAAGACAGCCCTCCGCCACCTCCCGAAGGCGTATTTACGCACGAAAAGGAACAGCCTAAATACTCGCAAATGATGGGGTCACTAGTAGACCAGGTGAAGAAAGAGCTGGATGAGTCCAAACCGGAAAATCGGTTTCAAGAATACATCAAGGGTGTGGAGCAGCATAAGACCAAAGTTTTGGGCTTGCAGCAGCAGTTATTGGAGAAACTAGCTTCTCTGGAGAAAGAGGAGGCCAAAAAAATTACCAGCGAGAGCATACACACCGGCTTTGACAGAACCTTAGTTAACCGGCCGAAACCCGAGCAGAAGAAAACGGAGACTACTACTTCGGTGGAACTTCTGAATCCGGGTGCGGCCAAGAGCGTCAATGAGGCGGACGTAGGCTCCTCTGGGGCCGAAGTCGACATCGAAGACGAGGAAGAGGAAGATAAAATCAAGGTAACACCGCTGGCTAAACAATTTGCCAAATTCAAAATCGGTGACTACAAAAGCTGCCTGCAATTTATCGGCGATCACCCAGAGATCGTAACTGAGCGCAAGACGGATGAGCTACTTATCGAGGGATTCGACGCCCAGCTATCCGGGAACGAAGAATACGCCCGCCAATGTGTTCATCAAGGCTTACTGCTTCAATACTGCCGATCTCTTGGCCGTGACGGCGTGAGCCTCTTCTTCAAGCGGTACGTCGAACACTCCCATGCAACCGACACTTTCCCATTGTTTAATTGATGTAAAATATATACTAACCAAACCACACTTTCCACGCCAAACAGCATAACTTCAAGGGACCACAAAGCCTCCATACTCTTCCACAACGACGTTACCGAAACGTACGGCAAGATGAAAACGCGCGCCGCGGAGCTCGCCAAGGACTCTGCCGGTAATCCTGTAGAGGTTGAGCAAATCCAACTCCACGCCGTCGATCCGAATACGAAACTCAACATCAAAATTCCCTCGCCGGAAGACACTAATCCAGACTCCGTTGCGGCGATGGAGACCTTCAAGAGCTTCCCGCCGAACCTGCAGCGGGCGCTCAAATCCGAGAGCCTGGATGAGGTTAATAAGGTGCTTGGGAAAATGAGTGTGGAGGAGGCGGAGGGGGTAGTGGACAAGCTGGGGTCCAGTGGGATTTTGACGATGGAAGAAGGGATTGTGGATGCGACGACGGAGGAGGGGAAGAAGTGGTTGAGTGAAATGGAGGGCCAGAAGGGCAGAAGTGAAGAAATGGTGGAAAAGGATTGGGAGGGGAAGGAGGGCGTTGTCGGCGAACCTGAGTAAATGGGAACGGCTGTTTCTGTGCACGTCGATGGGCTGTTGGTTGCTTAGTTCTGGGCTTCCTTTTCCCTGCCCTCTTATTTCTGCTTCCTTTTTATTTTGTTTTTTTCGTATGTGCTGATGAGTGATGGTAGCAGGGAGGATAATCATTGCAATTTACTACGAAAATACTTCTTTACATTTATAAGAGGAAGGAGAAAAAGGGGGTATGAGTGTTGACACATGCAAATAGTTACTAACGGATAGTGAGGAAGAAAGACGACCTATTTTACAAATTGTTACAGCTTTTTTTCCTGTAAAATCACCCCTTCCCAGGGCCCCCTCAATTTCCCCCTATCCATACCGAGGGGGATAAAAAATAAAAAATGGCAAGGTGATACGTATTATTCTAACAAAACATAAAAAACAGGGACACATAAATATATTTATAAAGCTTTCTTTGTAGAGTAAATGGACGAATGAATTGAGGGAGTAGGTACAAAATACAAAGGTAGACGGAATTTGATATATTTTGCATATATTTCCATCACCAGAACCTGATGAAGGCATGGTTAAGGCGGAAAACCAGAACGGAGAGAAACACGCAGCGTAATTTTCTTGCTAATGGGTTGTTCTAATGGACATGAAATGCAAATGATGAGAAAAATCGAATAGAATAGAAGAGAAAGTGCTTTATGTTTCGCTCTGCTTCCTTTTTTCCCTTCTTCCTTTTTGTGCTTCCAGCGATGTTTCCCCCTCTATATTTATGCAGAGTACACTGTGGCAGTGTGGGAATGCATGATAAAGTCATATTATACAATAGATCTAAAATGTGTAGTAGGTATGCGAGATGAATGAAAAGGAGGCGCAGGGGACAAGAAGCAAACACTAATATAAAACGATAGGTCAGTTCCTTGTTTGACAATCATCTAAATAAATGTATGGCGGCGCTCTTTGCCTTGCCGCCCGTGATTGCTGGCGTCCATACCAAAAGGTTAATGCTGGAAGGGTAATGTGAAGATTGCACATGCACTGTACAATTGATGCTGCCGGGCAGCGTTTTACCCTTGCAGACCAAAACATTGAAGGGGGCGAAAAAAAAAAAATTTCAGCAGTGTCGTTCTCGTTATTTCAGCACCAGGAGGAGAACATTCATGTAAAACATGGCATGCCAGTCTGTTGACCTCGTATGGAACCGCTCATCGGTAGAGCACGCAGCCTCTGTCCAGCATACACTGCGCGTTAGATGGGAGGTCTATCCCATTTGGTTTGTGAGATGGTGACAAAAAATTGTGCCTCCGCTTCTAGGCTGGAGTCATGCGAGCTTCGCAGGAGAATAAAAGGTGAGAATTGCATCGTCGTCCGTTCGGTTATTTGAGAAGCAACTGCGACGGAAATTCCCTTTCCCCTGCATTTTCCACCTGTAGGATGGTTGGACAGAACTCGACTGATTATGATGGATTTCGGCCGCGGGCGAAACAGACACGATAATTCAAATATATATATAGATATATATAAATAGAAAGAGAAAATAAAAAATTATAAAAATATTAAATAAAAATATACAAATAAAAATCCAATCCTTTATTTATTCGCCATATACTTCATGAAGTCTTCAATCTTCCCGCACAATTTCGGTTTGTCATTCCAGGGCACGAACTTGCTTTCAAGCCCACACGCGGTCTTCTGCAATCCGCCCCAGAGCCTGCGCTCGATGTCGAAACCGACTTTCTCAATCATTTCATGCTTAGGGCCCCACATTCGCTGCGGGTCGCCTTCGGAGTTCCACGCGAGTCCCTTTTCCCCGAACACGCTGATTGGGTCCAGCTTGGGCAGGTTGGCATGGCATGTCATAAAGGATTCTGGAGGGGCGTTGGGCTTCCCGCCCCAGCCGTAGACTTCGCCCTCTGGGAGGCGCGAGTCCCAGATGGGATTTGTTTGTAGGATCACGCCGCCCTCCCACCCGCCGTCCGGTTTGCGATAGCCGAAGACGGCCGGTCCCGTGGAAACGGCGTAAAATGGAAGATGCAGAATCATGGCGGGGGCAACGAGTGTTTCCTTATCTCCTTCGCCAGGGTGGCCTTGGGATAGTAATGGGTAGTAATGCGACGGGCCGTAGAAGTTGTAATAGGCCGATAGCAAAAGCATTTGCGCGTGGGATTTCTTGGAGACCAGCAGCTGGCCTGATTCAGTGGATGCATGGCGGAATCCTGTCGGGACTTGTTGGGACGAAACGTAGAAAAAAGACGGGTGGTAAGTCACCTGCCAAAAGTCGGGCCAGGTAACCAGGCCGGTTGAAAGGAATGGCTCTGAATCGAATAACTCTCCAGGGTTGTGTATGGGGAATGAATCGGCGTCGAGGAATAGCACCTGCTCGAAGGATGAAAAGAGAAGGGAAAAGATTTTGAACTGATATTTCTTCAGGCCCTCGTCTAGCGGTGAGAAGTCCAGAATATCTGCCAAGATCACACATTTCGCATTCAGCGAGGGCAGCACCACGCCACAGACGTATTCATCATATTCACTTTTGTCCGCCACGAAGATTTCGACGGGAAGAGTTGAGCCTGTTTCCCGGAGCATATGCAAGGAGGTGACCAGGACCGGGAGGTACCGGCCACCCGCGGTTGAGACAATGCCTCTGGTGCCGGGGGTGTAGCGTAGTTTTGGGGCAGTCGGGCTCGATAACAAGGTGGTAAATCGGGAGTGTGCGGTTTTTAATATCTCTTTATCTTCAGGCTCTACGATGATATGTTCCGGTAGGGTGACATGATCGGCCTCGTCGGGCTTGAAGCCGATCGCGGCCGGGTGGTCTTCTATTCGCTTCGGCGACTTACAACGTGGTTCAGCCGCTTTGAGGATCTCATGGAAGGCTATCCAAAACTTGCCATGGTCTGTAGTCGTCGGGGCACCTGATATCGGGAGATAACGAGGGTCTGCTGGCTGTGTGGACGAAGAGGACGGGGAGGATATTCGACTGAGGGTGAAGTACAAGAAGAGAGCGATGAGGACGAGCGGGAAGCCGCGTCGATAGCGGAGGCCTTGAACCATCGTGACTTGAGTCGGAGAGGAAACGAGGAGCTCCTCCGCCCGTCAAAGAGAGACAGACACTCACGGGAAAGAACAGGGAAAGAGAAAAAAGGGGGCGGCGTGTGGGGAAAACCAAGATCTCAAAGCGGGCGACGGAGCGGCCGGGGCCAGCGGCTGGGCAGCCGAAACAACCATCGGCGGGGAGGATTGTCGCAGAAGTCAGGGACTCTGGGGCATTTGGACCCTCGACATAGCAGTTGATGTCGCAGACAGACAGGATAGGAGGTTCGGCGGAGGTTGAGGTTGGCTGAGTCAGAAGCCCTAATTCATTTTGCCTGAAAGGGGAAGACTTTGTGGAATGATATATAGAATGCTAGCGATGGACAGAAGAACCACCTCGAATTACGGATGATTATGATGGTGATTATGATCCTAGGCGCATCCCAAGAACATGACAGATCACCAGAAGCGACTTCGAGCCTTTTGCCACTGTGGGGTTGTGTGGCCGAGAGCTTCCATCGTATTTCGACTCGTATCCTTCTTCCGCGCTGTGCTCTGTTTTTTTTTTATTTCTTCCTCAACTTCTGAGTTCTAACTTTCTTCCACCCTCAATCTCGGAACCGTGCGCCCTTGGTCCGGCCAAGCAACAACTGGTTGACTACTAGGTGTTTGCACTAGGAAACTTTCTATGCGTTGATACTGTAAGTCATCTCTGCGGTGCATCCTGTAGCTTAACTGAAGTCTTTAACTATCGCTAGATCATCTCACCCCCGATTGTACGCTTAAATGGAGTCGATTAGGGCGCAGGCTCTGGAGTTGTATGAGTCCTCGACGTACCACAGCGGCGTTCAGGTTGAGTCTTCTTTTCCTTCTGAAGCTGAAACGCCGCCCTCCATCCTCCAAAGCAAACCATTCCAGCCAAAAGCAAAATAGCCTGACCCCTGAGCCAACGGACTCACACTATTCGGTGGCCCCTGCTTTTTAGTAGCCGCTGAAGAGCCGTAGCCTCGGCTGCTCCAAGAATTGGCGCTCCTTAGATAGCACGTTCCCAGATCAATGATTTGTTACGGCGCAAGATCCGTATCGTTTTCTGCAACCATGGGGCCCACTCGCCACTGGCCGAGATCAATCGAAAAGCAAAGTTTAAAAAGAAGCGTCGTTGTGACAGTTTGGCCCCTTGTAATTCTGAACCGAGAGGTTGGCAGCTGAATTCCTCATTTAACGTGGTGATGTTTTTTTTTGATGTTTCTTTTCCATTCTTTTTGAGGGCGTTCGAGTTTCCATCGTGCAGTTCGACAATATGTTTAATTTTTCCTTCCAATGATTCCTTATCCTACTACTCCTTCGCCCCATTCCCTTCGAGGAACGCTTGTCTACTTGACTGACATCTCTTCCCCGTTATATCTAACTCTGGTCTAGAGATATGGTGATGCTCCAATCACCCCGCTCAAGGGGTTTCGTCTCGAGCACTTTCCGCCTCCTACCAGCTATCATCCAGTGTAGAATAGACCCTGGATCAAGGAAACCGTCGAGGGCGGTCGGGAAAACCTCTTATTTGGATGGTATCCGTGGCCTCGCTGCACTGGGCGTGGTGGTGTTGCATATGGTACTGGGGTTCTTTCCGAACAGCTCATATGCCTACAATGGGTCCGAGGGCCGCGATTCCATCTTCCAATTGCCCTTTTTCCGTCTTCTCTACACCGGGCAACCGACCATCTTTTTCTTTATCTCGGGTTACGTCCTTTCTCTCGGCACCATCAAAAAATGCCGTAGCCAATCCTGGGGCTCCTTGCAGCTGGACCTGAGCTCCAAGATCTTTCGGCGTCTGTTCCGGCTATATATCCCCTCCATCATCGCCACGTTTATTCCCATGTTCTTGGTGAGCTTCAATCTTTTCCCCGCAGTCGCCAAGTTCGAAGATGGCAACATGCCACACCGCACCTTCGACATGGCCCCGCAGGAATCGACCTTTATACGCCAGCTCTGGCTCTGGTGCAAGACCGTCCCTCCCCTCTTCTGGCCCTTTGATTGGGAAAACTTCAGCCAAAACTCGCCATACGCCTACCAGCTCTGGACCATCCCGGTAGAATTCCGCTGCTCGATGGTCCTCTTCCTCGTTCACGCCGCTTTCGCAAGATGTTCCACCAAGACACGCCTAATCTTCAACGGCCTCCTCTCCCTCTACTTCCTCACCTTCGAGAAATGGGATGTCTTCCTCTTCCTCGCCGGCTCCTTCATTGCCGAGCTAGACATCATCAAAGATGACGCCGCCGAGGGCCAGCTTCCCAAGCACGAAACCGCAGATACAAAATTCAGATCCGTCGCCCACTTCACCCCGCCGGCATGGTTCATGGTCGCCAGCATGATCCTGGGCCTGTGGATCCTAAGCGTCCCCGCTTCAGATATCTGGAATGCGTGGTCATTCGCCGTGCTCGAATGGTACGCACCGCGCACGTACACGGCGTATTTCCGCTTCTGGGACTCCGTCGGCACCGTCATCCTCATCTGGGCCATCACGGGCCTCCCATCCGTCCAGCGGTTCTTCACTCGCCCCATCTTCCTCTACCTCGGAAACCTCTCATTCTCGCTCTACCTGACGCACACCATCGTGCTGAAATTCCTCCTATACCCGCTCATGCCGTGGCTGTATGCGATTTTCGGATATCAGACGACGTTCCAGTACGGCTTGACGTTTGCGATTGGTGGGTCGGCAACGGTGGTTCTCTCTCTCTGGGTTGCGGAGGTGTTTCAGCGGCATGTGGAGGAGCCATCTGCTGCGTTTACGAAATGGCTGGATGTCCAATGTTCGTCGACGTGAGGGAGATTCCCCCCGTTTCCTCTCCTTTTGCCATGACTCACTGGATGAGTTTTTCTCCATCGCCATCGATATAATCTACTCAATCTTGTATTCTCTCCCCTTTTATCCTCAAGCACCTACAGGGTTTTTTATTTCATTCTTTTCTTGTTGCCTGATTTTTAATATATTCTCGATATTGTACATATTTTGGCGTTATTCTTGGATAAATGCACAATTAGCTATGGACCATTGTAATCTGAGTTATATATATATATGTATGGATGGATGTATGTATTCGTACAGGTGCCGTGAACTTTTATCTACATACCCGCATCAGTATACATATTTTGCTACATTACGTTCGTCGTATTTTTTTTCTTTTCGTGCAGCAATATCTAGATATACATAACTCCACATATCCTATTTCATCACCTTCTTACTAAAATAACCCTCCACTCTGCCGCCGCATGTCATACATTATTACCCTATTATCAGCAAAGCTTTATCCTGTATAGTAGCACTTCTACATTTCTCCACTCTATGTAACTCGTCTACGTAACTCAATGTGGCTCAACGACTTGGTAAGAACAAAATCAGGGGAAGGTGTTACGAGAGTGAGTGCCGCCATCGCATGCCGTGCAACTACACAGCTTCTAACAAACCCCACCACCATATCATATCACTTCTAATAGGTGTGTAGAAACGGGTCTGATGCGATAGAGGAATCGGGTTGGTTGGGTTCGGGAGTTTATTTTGTTGATAAGAAGAATGCTAGCAATTGAAGCAAGTGGTGTTTGCAGCAAGCTGAGTTCGAACTTCTTCACGTATTTGTTTCTGTTTTCTGTTTTCTGTTTTCTGTTTTCTTTTTTCTTTTCTTTTCTTCTCCTTTGTTTTTGCTCTCTCCACCAAATATTCATGTGCCGCTCTCTAGTGGCGCTGAAACTTCCCAGTTAAAGTTATGGGGCCTTGGCGCCTAAGCCTTGGCTGTCACCTTAGGCGCCAAACCTCTAAACCCACCCCAATCGTATAGGGGGCTTGGCAGCTGGTGATGAAACACGCTTACCCTGCGCAAGTGGACTTGTGTAGGGTCCACAGCCCTTAAGTGAGATAGGGATCATCCATTGCCCACTGCACTGCATACAAAGTACGCCTCCATTCCATACAAAAATAACCATATCATGACAGACACATGCCCTTGATAGCTACCAGTAGCATCTTATATTATTATTATTATTCCTACTCCCATTCATGATATTAGATAGAGAGAGATAACTATAGAACCTTAAGGAGCAGTGAGTGGTGAGTGCTATCGGTCCCATAAGAGGCATTTGTTGAAGTCGATCTGGCTGAAAACTAATTGATCCACAGGAATGACCCATTTTTCGCCATTATTTTTCTTATAGAAATACTATACTACTAGTATACAGCCGCTCATTTACGAAAGGAGTGTTCATCGCCCCGAGTAGTCTTCAGCTTCTTTATCCATAATGGCTTCAACATCTCCTCTCCGAAAACCAGGCCAGCGTCTTACCGGAGTGCTGAGCATGTGTATGTACATGTACATCATCACCGAGCAACTAGGCGGCACCATTCTACTTATATGCATTTCTCCTAGCTAGCAACAAAGCCGGGCAGGGCACACTGTTGTTATCAAATCCGCCCGCCATTAGCGTAGGTAAACTATTGATAATGAAAAAAAAGATACCCGGATGAAATTTCAACCTCGAACCTCATGCCTGCGTGTGTGAGCTTTTGATTGACGAGATAGTTGAACAAACCGTCAGATACATCCACAATTGCATTAAGAGATCTTGAAGATGATATATTCGCAGCTTCAAATGCTAAAAGAAACTTAACGGAAAGGGAGATCAAAATCAAATTATGTCTCAACGGCGGGGTTCTGGAGGAGTTGAAAGTTGAAAGTTTTTCTTCATTGGAGCTGGCTGGCTATGTGCATACGGGTTTTGAATCCCATCGATATTGAATGGATGACGTTTTGGTGAATAATAACCCAAAATCCCCCCGTGAGAACCAACGCCTTGCTGATGTTCGACTTGCAGATTTTGAAAAGTACAGTGCACATAAGCTCTCCTTACTGCAAAAAGCAGTGATGGAATTGGCACACTGTTGAGGTTACAGTGGAGACCACCTACCGATATTTGGTCTTATGGGGAGACAACGAATGGTATTTCTTCCACACTAGGTTGTTTCTGTTCGTGATTCTTAATGTTTTGAATAGGGCTCATATCCATGATCTGGGCGTGATAACTTCTTTTTTAACTTCGAGCCTAAAAGTTACCCGAGGTCACGAAGACTATGAACCAAGGATTCTTATACAGTACCGCATCTTTTCCAGGCCATATCTACCCACCTATGCGCTTATGCGGACCTTGCCGACGAGGAGACATTGGCAATCCTTTTCAGCTCTCATGGACAGGGTGCCATCTGAGAATTCGAGACCTTTTCTTTCTCACTGGCTAGCCAAAAAGAGATCTCGAAAGAAGATAAGGAGTTTGTTTGTCTTTGAAGGATAATGAAACTTGGCCCCAGGGACAGACCAACTGCGAGAAGGCTTCTTGAAGATGAGTGGTTCAAGGAGGAGATGTGAATATGCCACTGTTTGACCCACCAATCCGATTCTAATATTTCTGCTAACTACTTTAACTGAGCCGTGAGCGTGAATAGATCGATTCATGCAATACATTTTATTTGGCTCAAAAACGGTAACTAAGTAGTTGCATGCCCAATGTACGTACAACTCTACAGTATCAGCAGGCAGCGTCGGGGTAGCCGTCTGCCTGCCCAACGCTGCTGGCGATAGATTCCCGTGACTATTTCGCGGTCGTCTGGGTAGCCGCGGAACGGATAGCTTCCATTCCATCTTTTTCAACATGCGACGGTCTGTTCTGTTCCTTGATGATTTGGTTGTAACTACATAGTTGCTTGTGGGATTCTGAGTTCAAGAAACAAAGTCCTGATTTTGAACGGTGTAGGTAACAAGAAATGGCAAGTGGGAAGATTACTTGAGAGTTTCTGGAGCAATAGAAATAGCAGAAAGAAAGAAAGAAAGGAAGAAAGAAAAAGGAAATAAGATGGGTCATATTCAGCCAGAGGATAGTTGTACACGTTTCTCTCCGGCGGTATGACGATTTTAAGACATAGCAACACACTTTACTCTGTGTCATACACCATTGAAACTGAGAAGGCTGAATTTGTCACAACGTATATTGGGAACTGGTGAGCGAACCAAGAGACGAATGCAAATACGCGTTCGGGGACGTTGCTGGATGTGACCCCCCTGTTCCCAGGCCAAGCCTCCGCCACTGGCTTCCAAACCCAGACAAATATATGGAGGAGAAACCTTAAGCCATAAAAAACCTCTTGCATCCCTTGTCATGGTCCCTTTGGCTTCGTAAAATCCGGAATCAATCTGCTAAGTTCTTGAGCCTGGAAGGTTTGTGAATATTTTTACGTGTCTTTTTTTCTCCTGTTGCATCTTAGAGTGTATTGATTGACAATGTCTTGTCCCCGTTTTCTTCCTCTTTTCTTTTGTTATTCCATGTTCTTTTTGACGTCATGGGGTCAATGATGGAATGTCCTTCATCTGTTTTATTTCCAGTAGCGTACCGGCTGCTTGTGATAGGGCCAACGTGGAATGTAGACGGAGTTGACTTGGGCCCAGGCTTGTTTGGCCCATGGTGTGAGATCAAATCGGAATGTGTATTTGCAAGTGCTTTGCTTGCCCGGACAAGGGAACCCAGAGTAGAACCAGGCAACACCATGTTCTGTCAATGGCAATGGCGCTCTGTCGAACCATACCCGCCGATTCCTTTCCCATTCAACGTCACAGGAACTGCTATGATCAAAGCCAGTTCTGCTAGGTTGCAATTGAGTTGTGTGTGGACTGTAAAGTTAAATAATTGCCGTTTTCAGCTCTCGCTGGTATGCTCTGTAGGCCATCTCCGCAGCCATTGAATGGGCTTTCCCTTTCTTTGGAAAACGCTGCTCGGAAAATCTGAAAATTTCTCGTGCAGGTCAAGATGACACGGGACGTGCTGCCACGCGGCCCCTCACTTGAGGCTTTTGGGCTGTTCACCACGGCAGTTTTCATCTGAGCAAACTATACCGGGCGAAGATGGATCAGCCAGACATCCTGGTGGGCCCTAGATAGATGCCAGTGTAAGAGCCGGAGGACCTTTTTGCGAGGTCAGCATGTCCAGGCAGCTTAAAGCAGCAAAAAGTGCCATCACATCCTCTTCCACACGCCAATTCAGTGAGGGAAGACGAGACGAGGTAAATGTTCGAGGGCTGCTCCGAGAGCACGGGTTTCCAGCAGTCGCCATGCGACGGAGGAATATCACAGGCGATGGTGAGCCCCTCTCGATGGAAGGGAGAAAACGTGCTGAAGAAAGAAAAAACGACAGCGTGAGAATGAATGAAGGGCCCAACTGGAGTGTAAACCAGTGAAAAACTCAATCGTGACGCCGAGGCGCGCCGGAAACTCAACCTTAAGATGCGACTAACCTTGGTACAGGACAACGTGCAAACAAACTCCAGGAACAGGAAGGGTTGTTGAAAGTTTATCATTCGCTCCGAAACTTACACAAGGAGGAGGAACTGACCAACGTAGCTGATTAGTAGTGATGACTTCAAGTCGGAATCGAGAGTGTCAAAAAATAAATGCAGAAGCATGCTTCCTTCTATCCTGCCCGATTTCATTCCTTCTGGGTGTATCTTCAACGCCCTTGATTTTTTTTTCTCCCTCTCTCATTCTCGGAGATGTCTGACTGCAACCCGTATTTTCCCTGTCAAGATGGTAGCCCAATCCCTTGTCGGATATTAGGGACTCTTTCCTGCATTGCATACTGGGATGTTGTGGATGACAATGGATATTGTGCAACCAGGTTCCTGGATGCACAAAACAGGGTTAGACACCAGGAATAGTGAATAATATAATAAATAGTTATTGAAAATTTCAGGGAAACCCACAGATACTATTTGAAAGGGGCGCGCATATGGAAATGGAAAACGTCACCGTCTCCTCCTCATGAAGAAATTTCCCCTCTTTCTTTTTTATGAGTTATAACTATTCCAAGTTCTAACTACATACAACTCAACCCAAAGCCGAATCCAAATCCCAAGAGCTGATGATGCCCCCTTTTTCCGGCTGTCCCTCATTGGCTTTCCACAGCGCCAATTTTGTGCACCGCCAATACCCCTGTCCCTGCATGTTTTGCTGACATGGTCTGTCGCCAGTGGCAGTCCAGTAGCGTCTTAGCCTTGACCGGTCTCCATCTGGCTTGGAACGAACTTCCTCCATCGGTGTTCTTGCACTGCGCCACACCACGCCCAGAATTCGCCGTAGGCATCCCACATGGCAAAAATGAGAGGGGATTGGCGGGCAGGGCACTCATGGGCAAGGTGGCGTTCTTGCTTTCATGGAATACCAGCAGTGCAGGAGTACTCACTCTGGATTGTGATCCGTGGAATACTTCTGAACAAGAGGGTCGCGTGCCTCTATGGGGCGAGAGCAGCGGCGGTGCAACCGGATTCTGTAGGCGAACAAACCGGGTACCTAATCCCACCGCTGATGCTGCCACCTAGCGTTGAAGATCGGGAAGCCGGGGCTGTTGGGGGCATTTGGGTGGTTTTGGGCTGGGCCGGAAGGAAGAAACGCAAGGGATTTGAGTTGGGGCCCGATCCGTGGGAACAGACCCGGATAGATATCGTTCTCCTCGTCCGTGGCCGCACACCGAGAGAGGAGGAGGAGGAGGGGGATGAGGAGGATGTGACTATCATGACCTCCGAGGTTATGAAGCCATGATTTGCCAGCCACTACGGCCACTCGATCCTCCACTGCCATCCCAGGGTGTCTCAAGCCGTCTTGGGACCGAGTTGCTCAGATTTGGCCCGGTGGCTGCTTGGCATCAAGCCCCTGCTCCGGGCTTGTCTCAGCCCATGCCCTGTACCGGACATCGACCTCATCGTTTGCTTGATCCCAAACGGACAATGCTTGGTCTATCTCTCGCTCTCTCTCTCTCTCTCTCTCTCTCTCTCTCTCTCTTCCGCTCTCTTTAACAACTCCTCCCCTCCCTTCCCACTGTATCCTGCTGGTCAAGTATCTACCGCGGGCTTGGGTCACTCGTTACTGTGGTTTTGCTATCTTTACTATCTTTACTATCTTTACTATCTCTAACCGGTTTTTCCTCTCTGGGTTCGTCTCATAACCCCCTTAGCCGCCCCGGGATCGCCTGGGAATCCGTACTTCGGTGCGTCGATTGGTTACACCCGCGGACGAGATACACTGCTGTTGATAGAAAACAGAAACCGAAGAGAGGTAGCTCTTCTTACATTGTGCTTCTAATGATATAAATCTTCTCCGCCACTATGTTCGCTCGTCTGTCGCTTCCCTTCGCTTCCCTCGGGTCGATTCTGCCCAGTGCGGCCACCACCATGGCCTCTGCCGGCCCCAAAAAGAGAGAGGACAACTGGGTCGATGTATGTCTTCTCTCTCCAACCATGTCTCTGCTTTGCAATCATCTATAGTTTTGGGCGTCCCATCTAATAATATATACTACGCCTAGGGTCTCCGAGGTGTTGCGTCCTTCATCGTCGTGACCGGCCATATATGCACCGCATTCGTTCCATACCTACACAGCCCCGCCCCGAGAGAGGGTGCCGGGCCTCTGCTCTTCCAGCTTCCCTTCTTCAGACTGGTCGTGGGCGGCCGTGGTGCCGTGGCTATCTTTTTCATCATCACCGGCTTCGTCAACTCGCTCAACCCTGTCAAGAATTCCCGCAACAACAACACCTCCGTGGCCCTGGTCAATCTGGCTAGGAGCACCTTCACCCGCTCAGGCCGGCTGGTCCTTCCAACCTCCATCGCTATCTGTATCGCTTGGTTCTTGGCACAAATGGGTGCGTTTCACATGGCTTCTCGGGTCAATGCGACCTGGATCCGTGTACAGGCCCATCCACCGGATTCGTCCTGGGGGGAGGCTCTGATCAAACTGTTCCGTGCTCTGACCCTATATTGGAATACTGGTCCTGGTGAATACGATGGAACTCACTGGACTCTTGTATATTTCCTGCAAGGCTCGTTCCGGATATACTTAGCGCTCTTGGCCATGATGCTTCTCAAGACACGGTATTGGCGCCTGGTCACTCTTTTCCTTTATGTCTGGTGCTGGTCTATCGGAGATTGTAAGTGTTCTCTCTGTTTCTTCTTCCTCTTTTTCCCCTTCTCTATCGTAAACTTAAAACTTTATACCCATTTAAACTCCACACTAATAAATCTTTCCAAATTTAGATATCGTTGGAATAAATATTTTCGCAGGTCTCATGCTCGCACAGCTCCAGGTCGACCTTGGCTCTCGTGCCACCTCCTTTCTTCCCAAACCCGTCCCTTCTCTCATTATTATCATGGGTCTTTTCATATGGAGCTTCCCACAGCACAATGCAGAATGGATGTACTGGTCACGGATAATGAAACATTTCTTGGAACAAATCATCCCCAACAACACCGACATCTCTCGTTACTGGGTTTCCATCGGCACCTCAGTCCTTATGGTTGGTATCTTTTTCTCCCGCAACGCCAGGAAAGTCCTAACCAACCCCGTTTTCAATTTCCTCGGCCGCGTCTCTTTCCCCGTCTACCTGCTACACAACTCCCTTATGCGGACCATACTTGTCTGGATGGCTTACTGGCATAAAGCATCTACAACCCCGATAAGAGATGCTAAGGGCGACCTTATTCAACTGCCTCAGCCGGGTGGACTTGCCTTCGTATTCATCCTCCCGGTGTTCTACACCGTTCTCTACGCAGTTGCGTACTCGTGGACTATCTACGTAGATCCAGTGTGCGCGAAAGCCGTTGACTGGATGAAGCGCATGATGTTTAAGGAAGAAGAGCAGCAACCACAATCTGAGAAACCAGCCCCTCTGACGGCCGTGGTGGCATAATAAGCATCCCCCCCCCACCCTTTCTTCCGTCTTTTTTCTGCCGTCCTTTCATTTGTTCTCAAATACCCTCCATTCCTACACACAAAAGTTGCCTGGGGAACCACACTCCCTTACGACAAGACGTTTGGCCACTCCTTTCGAGGACCATTTTGCTACATTTACCGAGTATATGTTGGAGATAGTCTTATTTTATCATTTATTTTTCACATTGCATCATGTATAACAAAACATAATATGGCACAAGTGAGGAAACTGCGAAATAGTTATCCCCCTCCCCGCCTCCCCCTATCCTCCACCCCCAACAAACCCACTTGGAAAGCTATTTTGGTTTATTTTATCTTACGAAATTTTACTCTTCGACTTGATGACTCGAGGCAGGGCTACCATGCCAGTTGCCAAATATTTCCCAAACGCTTTCAGTCGAGCAGAGCCAGACCGAATATAGAAGCTACAAATGAAGAAGTTAGTCTTTCACGGGAGTTCCGTCAATAGATAATTTCTTGTGAACATTCTTATATACATGTATAGACTTATTATTTATTCTTCGGCTGGCCCCCCGTCTCTTGTTGTCAGAGCATGTGCGCCTGCCGGAGATGGCATTTTTCAAAGAAAAGAAAAAGAAGAAAGAGACCCAAAAAACAAAACAAAATCTCTTTTCTTTCGAGGCCGATTTGGCTCGCCGGCCGTTTTTCGTCATCATGATGTTTTCCCCATTTTTGTATCTAGTTTTTTTTTTTTTTTAACGACATTAGATATATCCATTATCTCATCATCACCTGAAATCTTTTTCTTTATTTGCTAAATTAATTTTTTTTTCTGACCAACTCCGTTTGCTCAATTACGCCTCCTTCCTCAATTGTTCAGTCTTCCGAATATGAATACTATTCATTGCTCCTCCTAGGACATAATCAGTCTAAATAACTAGGAACTATCATTAGTTATCTAATTTTCTAAGTTTTGCTTCTCTCCCTCTTCCCCTCGCACCTCACGTTAACTGCCATTTTTTGATGCTTCCATTGAAAAAAACAAGGTTATGTATGTATGTATATAAGGAGGGCCTTCTTCCGCTTGGAAGGTGGAAATTGTTTACTAAAAAATGACCAACAATCCACCCGCTGAACATGGGGGAAAAGGAGAGAATTTTGCAAGGGGAAAAAAAGAAACAAGCTATCTTCTTAATAGTTATACTAAACTAAAATAAAAATAAAAAATAAAAAATAACAAGGCAAAAATTATAAGAAGCAAAAACTGAAAAGAGAAAAAAAAAAAAAAAAAAAAAAAAAAGCTTGGGAAAAACGTCGAACGGCGAACGGGAGGATGGGTTAAAGGAAATTGAAAAAAAAGGTCGTTAGGAGAATTGTCAACATGAGAGAATAGTTGGGAGAAGCATGGATGTACACGGGACCCGGATAGGACAGAGAGGGACAGGAGGGAGGAAAAGTAGATGTGATGAAGCCCGGATGGACAGGACTCTATGAAATGAAAAGCGCTGGGATGATGGGTGATGATGGGATTGAATATACAGTTTTATCGACAAAAGGGGGTTTTGGAAGGCGGGTAAGTAGGGATTTCCTCAACAATGTGTCGTCAAAAGGTTCATGCGCACTGATTGATTGATTGATTGATTGATGTTTGTCGCCCAGTTTGGTACTGTGCATGTACGCCAGTACATCGAAGGTCCGGATATATACCGGTATCCCCAACCGCCCCGAGCACACCTATCATAATAACCATTCCGTAATTTGGAATCGCACAGAAGAAAAAAAAGAGGTCGTCTTATCGACTCCCACGTGTCCTCGCCAGGCGGCGTCGTTGTATTTTTGGTTCCTCGAAGCCCGTATTGAACAAAAGGTGATGGACTTCAATTATCGTAATGTTCATTTTCCTCGTTGGGCAGATGAACGAGGGTGAATCATCCATCAAAAAATTCTACGCTCATCACCCATTCCTATCCCAGCACGCAACCTCCATCCGCAATCCCGTTCATAACCCCTCACAACCTCTTCCCCATCAATCCGCAAAACCTCAAACCCCCGAAGACCCAGGCGCATTTTCATCTTTCCTCAACTCAAGCAGCAGCTCGCGAAACCTCTCCTTGCCGGACCCACTCGCACCGCCCTTCGGTCCCTTCCCACTAACATCCACTAACTTGGCAATCCGCTCCCAACTGCTTCCGCCCGCAGCCGTATCTTCGCGGTTCTCCAGAAACTCCTCTGCCTCCTTGCGCGTGCGCTCCTTTGCGCGGTCTGTCCGCTTATTGTATGATTCGTAGTAGTCGTCGATGTCCTGTTGGGCCTTGGTAATTGTAGCCGCTTTGCGCTCGGCGGAGAGAGCGGCGCGGCGACTGAGCTCTTCATCGCGTTTTAGGCGCCATTCGCTGAGCGGGCGGAGGGGCGGGTTAGATGACGATGATGTTGTTGGAAGGGAAGTAGGAGAAAGGAGGAGGAGGACTTACCGGACCGCTTCTGGCTCTTCTTCTGGTTGCTTGTATGTGGAGTATGAAGGTTGGAAGGGGCTTGTGCCTGTGATGCTTCCGCCTGGTAAAGCTTGCTGTATAGTTAAAAAAAAATAAGATTAGGACATTGTTAATCACTTTCCTGCATTTGCTATTTGAGCATCGGGATACTACGGATACTACGTACCTCATTCTGTGATTCAAGGGCGGGAAACGACGATTCAAAACCCGTCATATCTCCGCCCTCAAGATTACCCGGCTGATACTCGTGTGTTCCCCCGCCGCCTAACAGATCATCTCCTGCAACGTCTTCTACCGTGACAGATGCCTGCAGTTGGTCATTTGGAGTAGCGAACTGATCGGCGTCATCGCCCAGGAGAGCACGTTCGCGGGTTAAGAAGTCTTCGCCATCAGCAGCTGCTCCTCCTGGGCTGCCATGGGTGACTACGGGCTCTGTCTGACCTAATTTTAATTTCAATATCGCAAGTTAGATGGGTTTTGGAAGAGTAGATAGAGGATAAAAGCCTTGGTTGGATATTCGTACCAGCGGAGAATTCGTCGAGAGATGGGAACCGATCTGCCATGATGGAGGAGGGAAGCTAGGAGAAAGGAGGTGGACAGCCAATTGAGGGCCAGATGCTGTAGGATAAAACCGATCTTGAGGGGGTAATCGCCGGTATTGGTCGGTCAGCTGGGACAAACAGATGCGAGATGGGGCGTGGCAGATGGGGGAAACGAACAGAGACGAATATGGAATTTGATGGAGGTTGCAACCGTCGGAGGGATTCTGCCAGCGCCTAATGGCGAAGGCGGTGAGCGATGACCCAGCAACCTCTTTCCCAGCATCTTTGAAATTATCCAAGTTAACTTCCTCTGTGAAACTTGATAATTAAGGTCAATTATGATAGTATCTGGCCACCGTCTTTTAAATTCCGCTGCATGTAGCTGAACTCACTTCACCCTGTGATCCCATCCTCCGATCTCCCTACAAACTACAAACAAAGCTCCATCCCGATTCTTTGCTTTGTTTTGAGGCATAGTCCGACACCATCACCAAGCTCAAGCTGGAAACTCTCTCGTACAATGTCATATACCGATGACGCCGTCAAGGCTAAGCTGTCTGCTCTTAATGAAACCCAGGAATCCATTGTCACAGTTGCCCAATGGGTTATGTTTCACAGGTTGGCTCATCCCCTCTATCTATCTATCCTGCCTCTTCTCTCCCGTGCAAAAGCAATGCTGATAGCAGAATTGCGGCTTTGTAGGAGACATGCAGATCGCACTGCACAGCTGTGGTTGCAGAAAATTCGCGAGTCGAATCCCCCAAAGCGTCTGAATCTTATATACTTGGCAAATGGTGGGTTCATCCAGGAGACACGGGGGGAGGGGGATATACATATACTAACTTTTGATCCTTATCCGTCTGGTAGAGGTCGCGCAACAATCCAAAGCAAAGCGGAAGCAAGATTTCCTCATTGCTTTCTCGCCAGTGAGTTTGCCTATCAGTCTTGTTTTCATGTTTTATTTGACCCATCTGCCCATCGTATTTGCTAATCTACGTTCTCCAGATTATTGCCGATGCGACTGCGGTCGCATTCAAGGGAGCTTCTAATGATATCCAACGAAAGCTGAGGCGCGTAATCGAGGTTTGGCGACAACGGAATATCTTCGAAGAACCTATTCAGCAGGCTGTAGAAGCTCGAGTTGATGGTTTGTCACTGCCGAATCACCGCAATTCCCCCAAACACGGCCACCCGAGCTAACTTTTTCTTCTAGAGGTGGACAAATCTAAATCATCGGGTAAAAAGCCATTGCTAGGAGGCTCACTATTCGCTAGCTCGCCGGGATCCATTCCATCTGAGTTACAACCTCTAGCTCCGCTGCAAACCGCTGTTTCCAAGGCCACAGTCTCCTCATCTGCCGCCGTCACGGCTGCCAATACCGAATATGACAAAATGAACGACCCGTCGGCCCAGGTCCCAACACCGCCCGTTCACGCTGCCCGTCTCAGCCAACTTCTTAAGTCCCTTGCGAATGCAGAAAGTTCGGTTTCCGAAATTATCAAGTCACGACAGTGTTTGATCCAAGGGCTTGAGAAGCTTCTCGACACGAACCGCACTGCGTTAACCAAGGAACAGGCACTGGTTGAGCAATTGGCGGCACGCAAAATGGAAACAGAGGGTAAGAAGCGGGACGTCGAAGATGCCATCATGCGCGGCTTATCCGTGGAGGATTCGTCGATGTTGCGGGGAGTTGGCAGTGGGAATGATACTGGCAATACTGAATCGACAACGCCAAGTCAGCTAGGTGAAGAGCCTGAGCGTCCCGTCATCGAGGCGCTGACACCTCCACCTGTTGAGGACCTCACACCAACCGGCTCCCCTACTCAAAACCAACCACCAGGGGGTGAGGAATATCACAACAATCAGCATCAGCATCAATATCAACATCAGCCCACTGCAGGGATTGGTGTTTTCACCCATCCAGGTCAACCGGAGCTTCCTCAACATCAATACCTCTCAGAAACCGCGATCCTCCCGCAGCAAGCACCTGCGGATGGTCAGGTTACAACAACATCAATCACTACCCCCACAATAGATCTAACATCTACGCTCGCAGCCCTACATGGACATGGACAGCAGCTGTCACGGGAGAACCCCGCAAATGCAAACATCAACGTGAGCGCGAACACGAATGGATCGAGCGTGAAGAAGCGCAAAGTTTCTCATCCGCTTGTGCATGCGCAGCAGGATGAATACCCGGGCTTTTCTGCTGAAGGAGACGTTATGGCGGAGTTGGATGATGACGTTGCGGAGTTGTTGAGGCAGGAGAGTAATAAATATTAGCGGTCTAGGGCGTACTGCATTGTATCGTACCCTGGCAATTAGGGGATTCCAAGGTAAACGCCGAAGACGGGGCGCTATTATCGACTGGGTTAATCGATGGAACGTGGGCCCGCCTTAGGGCTCTCTTTTTACAATGGCTTTTATTTGGCTTCCTCTATGTGTCCTTGGTTAGCTTAGCTTGCCTTTTATCGGAATATATCAAATAAAGGGACATCGAGCATTTCAGGGCCTTTCTTAGTTTACTTTCTGTTCGACTCCGGGGGGGGAGGGGGTTACCTCCGTACGCCTCCGTCTATCTCCTTTCCAACCTTATACCCCTTTACCCATGGTTCTACAGGTGTAATGGCTCACGCTTTTTGTCATACATATGTGCATTGAAAATTTCCCTTTGTGTATTTCAGGGTACTCCGCGTAATGTCGGTTGTACCTGGGTAATAGGGGTTCGTTGATGGTCCAATGCTAGTGGGGGGAAGTAGCTGGGTGGAAAATTAAACTTCGCAAATATTCAGCCTTCAAATGAAGATGTGACCCGAATCGAAATATTCTATCTATTTTGTATTATATGCACAGCGCCTCTCCACATGCACATGGCACAACACAACATAGATTGGGAAAGGGGTACAAGAAGACATAATGAGAGTGTATACAAGAGGGGAACCAAGAAACGGGCAGCTAATAAGTAAACCGCGCTTTACGTCGTCGCGATATTTAATCTATTTTACATTATTGTCATTTGCTATTCAATTACATCTATTATATCCGGCGCAACGATCCAAGAATCTCTAGAGAACCGGCTCCTTCGCTGGCGGAATGAGGAAGGGAATGAGGAGAGGGAGGCTGACGAAGGTGATAATGAAGATAACGATGCAGGAAGTAAGAATGGGTCTGCGGATCTGGAACTATAGTCGTAGTGGAGTACCGCTCTGCGGTGTTGTCTTCTTTGTTGGCGTTGCTGCGGGTTTGAAGCTGGGGGCTGCGGCGCTGGGGCTGGCGCTGGGCTACCGCTCCGTTTTGGTTTTACGAGAAGAATGATGAACATGCCGACCACGAGGAGAATTAAGAGGAGGAGTATTTTTCTTTTCATGCTGCGTCGTTGGTAGTTGGTTGCCTGTTGTTGTCGGGGATGGTTAGATTGACGAAAATGCCAATAAGAATTTATATGATTATCTGTTTTGAGAATGCAAGAGAGAGGAGGGGGAAGGAGGGGAAATGGGTGGTTCGGGGATAGAAGAAAGAGAAGACATACGATTGTAAGATCTTTATCAGCCGCTTTTACATCGACCATCATGCGCTCGACATTGAAATCGATCCGGTCGAGCATTGTGCCCTGATCTATAATCATTGCTTGGAGATCGCGGAAGATATCAGAAAGTTCTATGATACCGCGTGCAATGTCATTTATTTCGCGCTCGCGCTGGATGATCGCGGCATCGTTGCTAGTTACCCGTTTCTGGGATGTTTGGAGGAGGGTTGATTGTGAATAGGATTTGTCGGCATCTGACTCTATGAGGGATGGATCCATATAAGGGTTTTGAATGTGCATTGGGGCCGGCTCCAACGGTGTCGTCATTCCATCCAAACTTCGTAATTCTGCATTTGCGTAACAATAGTAAATTAGTTGGTCTGACCTGTGGTGTAAGGATACGGAAATCTTTCCCGTGAACGGGAGTGAGGACATACTTTTCAAATATGTGCTCTGCTTCTTTCTAAACCCGGCGCTAGCTTCCTGGACTCTTGATGCAAGCGATATCTGGATATTCTTTGCCATCATCTCATCACTCTTGCTGACTCCCCCGTGCTGTTTCTGTTCTTTCACCATAGTCTCGATTCGCTGAATCGCGCGCTGGCAATCATGGAACGCTCGGGTGATCTCCTGAGTCAGCTGTTCTATTACGCCCTCCTCTTCCTTTCTAGCATCCTCGTCTTCGAACCCAGGCAAAACGTGCTTCTGGTGGAGCTTATCTAGGCGGGCTGACTTCTGCGCGATTCCTGATAAGAGCTCCGTTACATCGTCTTGTATATCGACCCAGCGTGGTGGAAGGAGATCCATTTCGATAACGGCGTCACCGTCATCTTCGAGCCCAGCACCAGACATGAGTCCGCGCCGCTCTTCTGATGTTGACGAGGAATCTGCATGATCACTCCAAGCTCCAATGTATCGCGGCTTTTTCGTGGGGTGGTGGGCAAAGGATTGGCGGTAGGAGATATATCTGCCGGAGCAGAATTGTCAGAAAAGAGGCCAGCCACATTGGATGGCACAAGGAGCTTACAGATTAGTGCGGTCCCGCCACATAGTTGGAGAGAAGACGGAGGGGTGGATGGAAGTCGAGAGTTGACGTAGGCACTAGTATGGACGGGGGAGGTTGGTTGTCTAACGGTAGCTGTTGTTCGTCACTGCGTACGACGTGAGGGGGTATTTTATCATGATGGAAAATGGCCACTAGACATTGCGCTTGAGTGAAAGTACATGAGAAGGAACTAGACAGACGGAAAGGCGCTGTATGAAGCCATCGAAAGCTGAAATTGGGATCGATGAAATGAAGACAACCTCCGGATCTGGGGTTGGGAATGCACCAATGCGGACTAGCGCCATGGAGTCAACGCAGTACAGCGTAAAGTCAACCTTGCCTGGGCTTGCACACTGTGAACATACAAGAAGATAACTCGACTAATATTCAGAAATAATTGTATTGATATATAAAACTAGGGTTAGTTGCCTTTCGCTAATTTATCTATACATCTACTATTGTACCGTGGCTATTGCTTGGACTCTACCAGTTATTGTTCCTTTCCGAGGAAAGGAACTAGAGTTTGTAAAAGGGACAAGAATGGTTGTTATAAAGCAACTTTCGCTGATTAGGATAATAATTGGCTTTGTCGTGACGGGAGGAATAGATTATCTCTAAACTACAAATGCAGGTTGCGTCTCTCTGTTCAGCTCACTGCTTCACCTCAGATTTTAGTGGATTGATTGTTCGAACGTAGCGCAGTTTTTTTCGCAGACTCATTTGTCAACCTCGTGGTATCAGTTACCCAACGTATCGTAGGTAGTCTTGATACACGCCCGCCTGAGAAATGTTAGCCAAATGTACGGAGTGTAATCAAGGTACATATACAAGGTACGAGACACACAAACACCTTGATTTACCCAAGGCGATTTAAGCCGGTGTCATTTTTGCCAAGCAATACAACGACCAGCTTCGTCCCGGCTTGCCTAACGACAACGTTCTGTTCTGCAAAAAGTTCCTGGTATATGACGGCTTCATTTACCCAGGAGTGAGTAGTCAACATTCGCAATCATGGTAGGACATCAGGCCGCAGCATTTTGGTATAGCGGATTTCTTGGTCCATCAGGTAAAATTGAGCAAGCAATTCTTGTATTAAGAGAAAGATGGTGTATGTTTAGCTTTCGTATGTAGCTTTAGCTTTTCGTCGAAAATGGCTGGCTAGAGTTGATTTAGTCGCTTTCGATCCTTTGGACTCCAATATTGGGATAGAGCGCAAAGAGCTGTGGCGCGGAGGGATAGTGCATATCTTAGAGTGCCAGATTCCGCTATCATGACTGCAAGGTTCACGGCACATATATTTGCTTGTAATTTCAAAAGCGCCGACAACACTATGGTCACAAAAAATCGATCGCCATGGCTATGTTCTGACGCGTCATGAGGCGCATTCCGAAGATTGCAACTCCTGTGTTGGTTCAGAATTAGGGCAGAGGCTTAACAACCGCAAATAGGTAATTTCACGGAGGTCGCCAATTTCCGCGGCTTCATAGGAGTTTAACAACTTAGGGTGTCGGTGCAACAAACGGTGTAAAAGTGGGCCTCAGATGCCATTCAGTTAAGCGTTTCTAGATAACAGGAAAACCATTACTCAGGAACGCGCCGGGGCCGTTGGCGCAGAGAAGAGCAATCTCACCAGGCAAAGATAACGTTTGATGATGTTGAATGATGTTGGCTGAGGCTCTTTCCGTGACGAGCCTCACCTGGTGCCGGAGGCTTGGCACCAACCCAAGCGAGTAGTGGGGGAAGTCACGTTGTCTGCAGGTCCACCACCTTGGGATCTTCCATACCGAGTGCTATATATGAACCTCCTGCTTTCCAACATCTGCGATTCCTGCCATCTTTCCTGTCTGCTGCTTGACACCCTACGATATTTCATCATATACTCTACGTCTACTAATCTACCTAGTTTTGAAATCTATCTGCAGCTATGGTACGTACTATCATGATCTGCCAGCGACTTGGTCGCTCCCCAAACTACCCCTCCTTATCCGACCCATCGTAGATCTACCTTTCAAGGGGAAAAATCTCGCCCAGAAACTAACGTTTTATACCACATCTAGGCCGACTCTTTGACTGAAGAGCAAGTATCCGAATACAAGGAGGCCTTCTCTCTATTCGTAAGTTGACTTCATTTTTTCCCCACACCTAACAGGCTTACCAACCACGCCTCAGGACAAGAACTAACATCGGCATTTATTTTACAGGATAAAGATGGCGATGGTAATTATTTCCACTTCCACTTGTTTCCAGAAGCTTAGGGAATGAGAGATGTAAAACATTTGTTGACTGGGACTAGAGCTGACCACTTGTTTAAATGAAACAGGGCAAATCACCACCAAAGAGTTGGGAACAGTAATGCGGTCTCTGGGGCAAAACCCTTCCGAATCAGAACTACAGGACATGATCAATGAGGTTGATGCAGATAACAATGGAACCATTGACTTCCCGGGTATGGTGCCCAGTTATTTCTCAGATTCATTTGATCGTATCTGCAATGATGCTGTGTCTAACCGCTTCTCCCTGTTTCACAGAGTTTTTGACTATGATGGCAAGGAAAATGAAGGATACCGATTCTGAAGAAGAAATTCGAGAAGCATTCAAAGTTTTCGATCGTGATAACAACGGGTTTATCTCTGCTGCCGAGTTACGCCACGTGATGACTTCGATTGGTGAGAAATTGACCGATGATGAGGTTGATGAGATGATTCGTGAGGCAGACCAGGATGGTGATGGACGAATCGACTGTGAGTTGGACACACTTATGGATATGCGATAACACATACATACAAATCTAATGACTAACCGATCTTTCCGCACGAAAACCTTAGATAACGAATTTGTCCAACTCATGATGCAGAAATAGGCGCTGTTCGAACGCTGTTCCATTGAATCCTAGGCTACGAGCGGTTGATATTACGTTTTGCTACTGTGCAGCCCAACATTTGCTGTCATGTGTTCAGTCAAACTCTTACGGATTTCGAATGGTATCTATCTATAGTTTCTTTCGGCATGGTGTCAATTTAATAAGTACTGTACCAAGCGTGCCTCTTAGTGTGCGCACCTGATTGAATACACGCCGGGAAATGATAGAATGGAGCTTTGGAGGTCGGAAAGAGAAAGCACATCATGAAAAATCAAACCAGCAAGGAGGGCAAAAAAAGGAGGGAAAAAATTGAGAAAAACCAGAAAAAAAAGAAGTTTCCCTGCCACTCAATTTTTTTTTTTTTTTTGTCATTATCATGTTTCGCTCTTTTCCATTTGGTTGTCTATAAGAAGCTTATATCCCTGCTTATCCTCTTTCCCCATTTCCACATATCTCCCCCTGGCCTTGTTTAGTAACCTTACAGCTCCCTCCCAACGTCCTATGTGAATTGAAAATTCCGCCATGTGGTAATCTGAACTGGCCTCATGAAATTTAACAATAGAAACGGCAAACGGCAATCAAACTTTTGCAACTCTCATTTTTTGGTTGTATTTTTCAACTTTTATATTACTATTCTAGCCTCTCCAATCTAACTTCCATCATAATCAATGTCTTTTTTTTGACCTTATGCCTATGGCAACCGCCACCACTTTGCCGTATTGTCTTCTGATATAGTGATCAAGATGGCGGAGAAATAAAGTTATCAAAGACTGATAACCGACTTTATTTTTAGTTTTTCCGTGGTTATATTTATAATATAACCAACCACCTACAGTGCAGCACTATTCCTCAAATTTCCCGTACTTGATTCTTACTCTTACAAGCTCCCTCGTATAAATAGAAACTCTACCTCCGACCTCAACCCATCCATGGATAGAAGCTGGAAATTTAAGGTATGAAAAAAGTCGTATGAATTAGACTCCTCACTCCGAAAGGCCAGAAAATCAAGCACAAAAATAAAAGATAAAATTATTGTTTGAAAACGGAGTTACAACAACATCCAACTCTCCCGTCCACCCCTTTTAGTTCACTGCGTTTTCTTTCCCCCTATTTCAAGTCCTATATTTTCACCGATTAAACCTAAAAACCTCCATATACTGCTTCGCCAAATCCGCCCCAGCAATCCTCGCATTGGTCTCTCGATCCCCTAATTTCCCCAACCGCCTCGCTTCCCTCGCCTCTTTGCCCAAATGCGGCACACGAATCACCTCCCGGGCTCCCTCCACCGCAAACCGACTCCATAGCTCCCTAATAAGAACCTCCGCTACTTCCCAATCTTCCTCTGTCGGGATTTCCTCTACCGAGGATGGTGAGGAGAAGGAGGAGGAGAAGGTCGGTAGCGACAACGACGACGATAATGTCGACATCGACGTCTCGAGTTGCGGGTATACGATCCCTTCGTCACCACGGCTGCCATCAGGGTTGACACTGCCATCCGCAACAGACGACGGCCATGTCTCGCTTCCATCGGCCATCAGGATATTATCAGAGCCTGGCGCAGTGGCAGTGGCTGTCGCGGCGGCGGCGGCGGGGGTAGCAGTGCCGGCGGGCCCACGATATTCGATCTCGACAATGGTACCGCGCACACGGGTTTGGGGCGCGGTCTGCCGCACGTCGCCGATGCGGATGCGGAAGTCGTTGATTTCGTAGTGGCTGCCGTTTAGAACTGTGAGGGTGTGGCGCGGGCACCAGAGTGGCTCACATGCACGGAGGGTGATGGCGTGGAAGGATTGGTAGGAGGGATAGTCGAGGATCATCATTGTTTTGGGCCCGGAGGGAGATGGGTCGGGCGCTTGAGGGGTTGGGTTTTGATGTGACTGTTGGTGTTGTTGGGAAGTTTGTTGATATTGTTGTTGCTGCTGCTGCTGCTGCTGCTGCTGCGCATGACCTGCATGCTTTGCGCTGGAAGATGTCGAATCCCATGGGTCTGGATCGGGGCGGTCAGAAATATATATGAAGCCGTATGGCTGGCGGTGACTGAGGGAGAGAAATTGCATGAAGCGGGGTTGCAGCGGGGGTAGAGGTGCGTAATCGCTCGGTGGTAGACATGAAGGGGTATCACGTAGCAATCGGTGTTCTAGAGCCCAGCGTCCGCAGAAGGTTGGATTATATGCATCTCGAAGTCGCTCAATTACTGCCCTAGTTGCCGTTGGCGAGTTTTGGTTCGCTGGGATGAAATATAAGCTGTGCAATACGGTTGTTAAGACGCTGATTTACAAGGGGATCCAAGAGAGATTTGACTGAGGTACGTACCCAGTGACCGGCATGGCTCCTGGACCATCTACTAGACGGCTAAGAAGGTTATGTTATGTCTTCGACCTGAAAGCGGCCGCACAATGAGAAGTATATACGTAGTATATAGCAGTAAACCCGTGTTCTTGTAGATCACGACACATAAGAGAGACCCCCTAAAAAATCAAATATCGAATCAATAGAAGAACGGGGCGAGTCAATGTCAGATTTCATCTAAATAAGTCTTAGGTGGTCATATATTATATATGTATCTCTTCACAGGGAAGATCAAAAGGTCACACAAGGCAGCTGTCAAGGCTATTTCAACGAGGCCAAATCCAATGAATCTTTTCAGTGAATAACAGCCGGTGTTTAGCCGTTCAAAGTTGTGGCCGCGATGGAGGGTGAAGAATACAGGCCCAGCAGTCTCATCGATCACATCAAGCGTTGCGCATATGGATATCGGCAGGATTCAGCCTGCTAAGTATTGACTAACGCTTTCTTTCGTTTCTAGATAGGAAAGGAAAGAGTTTGTGAAAACTTCACGTGATTTTGGATGGCGGATGACTAATCAGTCTGGCAGAGAATGGATGCAAGCGCTAGTCTGTTGTACGTAGGGGATAAGAGCAAATAGTACGGTGGGTTTCGTGTCCAGAACAGTCCAGTCCACTTTGTTATCATCAGAAATCTGCACCTCGGCAAGCGTCAGAGTGGTGCGACAGTTGGCCTGGAAAATATTCTTTACCGGATTCCGGAATGCTTCGCGTCCCAAAACTGGACCTACCTTGGCTCTCAATCTGCTCCCCAGCTTCCAGGATGTTTTATCAATCAATGCAGTACCTGTAATATACCATCAGATAAGATGGTACTGCAGCAAGAAAAGTATCGAAATAATGATAAAATAACTCTAAGAACAAGGAATCAAGAAATCTCATTTAGACACAGCAAGGTGATGCTTGCAATGTATCCAATAACAAGCATAGCAGCCTGTTTGCTTCTAATCAATGGCGTGAATGATGTTTTGTTTGTTTTTAGATGTAGGGAAGCTTGCAGCTAAAAATCCCATCCCCTGTCTGCTCTGTGAATGCCTCAAAAGTTCCCTCCCTTGGCTATTGATACTCATTATTGATAATATTTCATCATTCGTGGAATCCATAATGAGTAGAGCCTAGACTCTTTATTGTCAGAAGTACGGAGTAGTTACTGCGCAATGAATGCAATTACAAAGTGTGGAGATATGAAATGATCCGTAGGGGTTTGCACTAGTATTCACGCTAGAAAGATTGATAATTGTCCTTTGTTTCACCTGCTTTTTTTTTTTGCTCGTTACACCCCTACAGACAGCCACAAGTTGGCAGGCTTTTCCTTCTTTGATTATGATTCAGCCCGTGTTCCCGACCCCCTGGACGAGGCTTTGTGCCCTCCGATGTCGCATCAGCTATTTTACCAGTCAAAGGGGTTGGGCTATGTTTTGATCTCACATGCTTGCTGGTCACAGTCAAACAAGCCAATCCATGCTCCACTAATAAGTACAAGCCACCAATGCAAGTTGGATATGCTAGTGATGACAATCGCTTCGCCAGCATTCATGTTACCATTGTGGGATTTACTTCTAGGGTGTCCCAACAGATCGTTTGTTCGCGCCGTGGAACCACCCACTGGCAGCCCGTTGGCGCCCAATGCAAACGGGAAGAAGACCCAGAGGAGGGATGTATCCAGACACACCAACCTTTGATAAAGACATCTCCACTACAAGAGACCAGGCTGCGGGCGGTAACTGGTATTCCCCTCATTAACACATGCATTAGTTATAAACAAACAGTGGAAGCAGAGTTGGGTTTTTATGTAGGTAACCAATTGATGGAAAATCCATTACCTTACCAAGCTATTCTGCATATAGACTAGTGGGCGTGTCCCGAGGCTGAGGGGCTGGAAGCGATCCGTGGATGATCTAATCTGATCCGCTGATTGATTAGCTAACTACGGGAAAGGCTCTTGGCGGATTATCATGCCTTACCCCCCCTGTATCGAAAAAAACCTTGCCATCTTGCAGGTCGCCCAGGTCTTGCGCTGTGCCCTGCAATTGAGAAAAATCCCTGGAACATTCTCTAATGCTGGCTTCCTGGTAGAGACTAGGCCAAATAGTTGGATCTGCTTTTATGTTGGGGGGCTGATGAGAGATGAGAGAGCTTCTTTTGTTCATCCCTGGTGTGCCGAAACGGTCCTGTAAATTATACACTTGCAATACGGCCTGTATTTTCCGAGTCAACCCACTTTTTTCACGCTGCTGCCGATGTTCCTCTTTTCGCCTCATCCCCAATTTAATCTCCTTCGATCCTGCTTCCATGACTGCTCCTCACGCGAAGCAATGTCTCCTTTCAGTCCCTATCTACGACTCGAATCCTCTCTTTACTTCCTCCTCTCTCAATGATATTCGTCGATTTCTTATTTTTTAATACCCCTTGTCGTGACGTTTCTTCTCTGTTCCGTCATACCCTTGATACGATTCAAAGCAATTGTATTTGGAGAGATTGGGCAACCCCCTCTTCAATCTAAACGCGCTTTACTGAGCAGGCGCTACAACCGTATAGAGGTACGCTACCAATTTGGTGACTTTCATTCCTCAAGTCTTCCCTGGAGGTTTGGGTTTGCGGGCCGTCTTTCTTGGAACGAAGCTAACATCAAGTCGAGGCATCTGGTAATTGCAGCTTTCCCCCTTTTAACAGCTGGGATGGCGGTATCAATGACTCGGCAGGTGGATACTATCACCGTTTCCAGCACATCTCACGCAGGCAATCCGGTCCCAGAAGAACCGACATCCTTGCCACATCTTAAAATAATGCACCCAGCAACGAATGCCTCCTCGCCAGACTCGCATTCATCCTCTGTATCTACGCCCGGAACAGTAGAGCCAATTAGTGGCATGGAGACTCCCTCAACTCCATGGAACGAGCCATTACCGGATGATCTCACAGATGGGATCCTGGACCTTACGCTCAGCTCGAAATCTCCCCCGTCGACTACGAAACGCCGGAGACGGGCCTCTACTGTCTTGATATCGCAAAGCTCTGAAGATGTCGAGAAAATACTAGGCAGCGGCCAAGGCGGTACACATGTCCTCGAGAAAATCTGCTGTGGTGGAGGATGCTGTAAACTTCAGCCTCTGCAAGAACCTGCATCGTCGTCCTCGATCCACCTTGTCATCAAACCAAAGAATCAGGCCTTCGAAAGCCTAAAATTACACCTAGGCCAGTTATCGCATGACAGTGTTCTGACAAACATTATCCCCCTCCCCGAGAAAACTGTGTCGTTTTCTCCCGTACCAACAGAGTTGGCCGATAGGGAACCAGGGCCTGCGGATCATCCACCTCAATTCGTCCAACCACACCCCCCTTATGAGGTGTTCCGTGCACCCCTCTACCACGCTCGAGAGTTGACCAAGCCTGGTGCGGAAAAGAGGACTTACCATTTTGATATAGATGTTACAGACTACCCCGTTGAGGGTGGCGATGTCGACTTCGTGGTTGGGGGTGCGATTGGCATCTGTCCCCAAAATTCAGACGAGGTGGTAGACGAGGTTTTCAACCTACTTAGCATTCCGAAAATGGTCCGAGATAAGAGAGTAATGGTCAACACCACCACCGGCCGATGGCCTACTGTCTGGGGAGATGAGAAGCCACGAAGCCTGTTAACTACTAGGCGCGAATTGCTTTCGTGGTGCTCTGACCTACAGAGCTATCCACCGACAAAACAAATGTTCCGACTTCTGGCAGAGTACGCCACGGATCGAGACGAGAAAAAAATATTGATGTTCCTCTCATCGGCACAGGGCCAGGGGGCGTTCTGCGACCTTCGAACTGGCCAACATACCACAGTGCCTCAAGTTCTATCTGCATTCCCCTCAGCCCAACCCCCTCTTGATTACCTGCTCTCTATCCTCAATACTCTTATGCCACGATTTTATTCCCTTTCTCAGGATCCTCTAGTTTCATGCACCCTCCGTGACGGCAAATGCAGGAGGCTGATAGAGATCGCTGTCACTGTCCACGAATCCCCTGATTGGCATGGAGGAAGAAGAACTGGTGTGGGCTCCGGGTTCTTGGAACGCAAAGCAAAGCAACTTCTTCGCGCTGAGGAATTAGGCGATGACATTTCGTCTTTAAACCTGCACATCCCGATGTTCCGTGGTTTGATGGCCAACCCTCTTGCACGCGAATTTGTTTCGGATGGGCCCATGCTCCTCATTGGTGCAGGAGTTGGAGTTGCCCCATTCCGTGGATTCGTGCAGCGGCGCTTGAGGTCTGCTAACTGCGCCAACAAAGTGTGGGTCCTCCAGGGAATCCGTGACTCATTGCTCGACGAGCTTTATTCTGGTGAATGGGGCGTCCATGAGGACACCGTGAAGAGGGTCGTCCAGAGTCGGCGTGGCGAGGGCAAGTATGTGCAAGAAGAGGTGCGCAACCAAGCTGACCTCGTATGGTTCGTTATCAACTCTCTTGATGGGCGTGTTTTCGTCTGCGGGAGCAGCAAGGGCATGGGCGAAGGTGTCGAAGCTGCATTGGTAGATGTTGCCGTGGCCAAGGGGAATCTCAATCGTGAAGAAGCGAAGCTCTTCTGGCAAGGGAAGAAGGATGCTGGCCAATATATCGCGGTATGTACTCACTCACTTTGCAGCCTTTCCCTCTTTTTGATAACTTATGCCACAGATTTCACAATTAGAGAAATGTGAAATGCTGACATTCTTCCCCCTATCCAGGAGACATGGTAGAAACATCAGGCAACATATTTATGCGCACCTCTATCTTCCATTGACGATATCTCAAGCTACCTACCGGATTTCATCTGCCTACCTTCACATATCTGCCTCCTCTCTCTCCACTCACTCGGTATCATTTATTTTGATTTATCGAGTCTCCACCTCGCATTAATTTGAGTGCATCGGCATTTGAACTGTTGTCGACGACACCGTTTTAAAATATTTGCAAATTCTTTCCTTTCCCCTTCCTGAACTCCCAAAGATCTAAGTGGACTTTCAACTCGTGCGCTTGCATCCTTCTAACTAATTGGTAAGAAGGGTCCCACATTTCCAAAATTATGATTGAATTTGTTTGTCCCCGTTTTTGATATAATGTATATTATTCACCTTTCCATCTGCTTTTACGAACACTACCTCAGGGTCTGGGGGAAAAAAAAGGGGGGGAAGAAAGAGTAGACCCAGAAAATACCTCGTGTCTTTTTTATCTTTTTTTTTTCTTTCAAACAGCATTATTCGCTTCTTGGTATATTCCTTGCCCCATCTCTATAAACTTACCTAGGTCAACCCAATCGTGTTGTTTCCTGTTCTATTAATTTTTTTTTTCCCAAAAAAATTTCGACACCCGTTTCTTTTTTTCCAGTGTTAAGGGTATATTTTGGCATGGAAAGGGGACTCTGTCAATAATTTTCCATTTTTCTCTTTGTTTTCCTTTTGAAAATTTTCGATTTTAGAGACACCCATTCTTCAATGAAGTGCAAAATTTCGCAAGCTGATGTCAGAGTTGACCAACCACATTCTAAACCACAACTCACACTGCACCGCTGCCTGCCTCCTTTTGCTCAGTGTTTTGGTTTTGTTTTTTTGCTATAAAATACCTCCCCTTCAAGAAGGGCTTTCTTTCTTTCTTTCTTTCTTTCTTTCTTTCTTTCTTTCTCTCTTTCTTTTTTTTTTTTGGCTATAGCATGATATATATCACTTAGTTTCATTTTTTCTCTTCTCTTCTCTTTTCCTTTGAGCGTGGGTTGGGTATGCTAAACTCACATTGTTCAGAAATCTAAAAGTGCAGCGTCTCCCCTAGCTACATATTTATTTAATACATTCTATTTGGTTTATAAATAAATATACATACCCTTATTCAATTGGGTTTGATTTTTGATTTTTGATTGCAGGGCGGCCCTTCTTTCACTCGGCATATCAACAACAACAATAATAATAGTTAATAATAATAATAATAGATTTACTATTTTTAGGTCTCATCCACGCTGGCGCTGATATTTAATTCCAGATGAAGTGCATGGTTCCTCCCTCCCAAGGGCACTCTTCAGGGTCTGATATGCTGAAAAGGGCGAAAACTATTGATTCCATTCTTCTGCATTACTCTGGTGTTCAAGCTGAAAGTTTCCATTCAGGGACCTATGAGAACAAGAAGTGGTCAAAAGTGTATGTGTATGTGTTTTCTTTGCTCTTTTAAAGCCCACACAATACCTTCTTAGCCCGGTTTCCCCATTCATTCCCTAGACATAGCGGGAAAAAAAAGGCGGGTTTCTTGAAAGTGATGCTCGATGCCTGTTGAAAGCGGCTCCTCGTTGCACTCTCTAACATCTCGGTTTTTCTTGCTCTTGCCTCTCGGAAGTATTATAACCTCGAATAAATGTATGTTGTAAAAAACAAGTGTGTCTTGGCACACCAAGTATCGACTAGTTAGTCAGTCGCCATAATTTATCATCTTTAGAGAAAGGTGGATAAAACCATCTTTATTATTATAAGTCTAGTTGATTTTATGTGGCTCATGGCACGACGGCACGACGGCACAGCACTTCGGCCAAAATAGCTCCAATTCGACTGATTGTTGTGCGTACAGTTTCTGATGTTAGGACTCCCCGCTCGCAAGACCCAAGACGTGCTTTCCCTGAATACTTTGTTGATGCTTTACCACTGAGAAGATAGCACAGGACAGCTGCGAAGTGGAGTGTACCAATCTCAAGTACTGTGCGTGCTCAGTACACACACCCTGTGGTGCGTAGCAGTGTCATTTTGAATGTAGACGCTGGCATTATATAATTGAATTTTGTTTGTTTTTTTCTCTTCCGTTCAACGTTAGAGAATAGTGAGGAAAGGGGGATGGAATATATGTTGCACATAGTTACAACTTGGCATACGCATGGACACAATCGGGCGTTTGAAAATCAATTGATTCGCTCCTGAGGATTCGAATGCCTTTCTTCTCTTGGGACTGTTGGCAGTAGTACCTCATGTTCTGGCGAGATGGCCGGAGAAACAGCAAAGCATGAGAAAAGCGCATGGATAGGAGGACAGTGACCAGCAATGTGGGTGATCATCTCGCCTGAATACCGGGTCCGTGGGGGTTGTCAATCAATTCTTCGATTTTCTTCTCATCTGCAAACCGCAGAATCTATCCATGGCTTAGATTTTATGGTGTTTTTAGCGTTTTTTGGTGCTTCTTTTATTGCCAGTGTTCCCTTTTTCTGTGCGGCAAGTAGCCGCCGTTCTTGTGATACGTCACCAAACCCTGCAGGGCATTGTTAGAGAAAATCCATTCTTTGACAGAGCCGATGGTTCCACAAATATAGAAGAGGATTTGCTCTCCCCACAGCCTTGGGACAAACGTTAAACTGCGGTTGTACCTACGGGTGCCCGGTACAAGCAAGTGGCTTGGTCTTGTCTTTCGGGCAAGCTTTGTGGTGGCCTCGGTCCCTAAGAGCACGATGCGGTGCAGCCGCCTGAGGTTCCAGTCTTGATGAAGCGGACACAGTGGTCTCTTTTGCTTTAAAGTCTCCGGGTTATCTTGACACCAGAGGCTCTGATGGGTGTCCAGACATGAAAGTCAGCTCTGTACAGTACTATACGTGCACTTGCCGCAAAATAAACAGTTATACAACATCAATGCTGCGCCAACAACCTTGGCTTTACAGGAAGAATGCAGAGTCGGCAATGCCAACCCATACCCACTTTGCCACTGTCCTTCGGACTGACACAGTGTAACCACCCTTGACCTCCTTCGCCGTGCAGTAACCCATACGAGAAGCATCTCCGCTTAACTCTCAGGTGGGTCTCAAGAATAAAGGATCGGGTATCAAAACGACCATATCGAGTCTGCAGAAAGTGTGACTTGGGGGCCGGCTCTCTTTCCACCATTGACAAAACCGACAATATTTGCCAGAGATAAAACATGGTCACGTCTTGCAATCGATTATACCCAGCTTCAATGTTGAGTCGATTCCCCGTCGAAGCCGTTTTAGCTGTTTTTTAGGAGACATCTAGAATATCGCAAACGAAATAAGGGGGGAATGGGAAAGGGGGGAGGGGTTGTGGGGAGGCATTTGAACCAAAGTGGTAATTGGCCCTTTCCAGGCTCATCCTATATCTGAACAGGATATCAATCCTGTGGCCAAGAAGTCCATGGTGGTTGAAGAGCACCTGGCGCGAAGGCATCGCCGTTGTTGGCAGTTGAGCTAAATTAAGAAATGCTGGCGCAGTTGTACGCGAAGTCGGTAGCTGTGTTATAATTATTAATTCTATGGATACGGTACAGCAGCGCATGTCTACAACCTTCGCGTTGTTGTGTACCCGGATATGTATATCTTGACGTGCTGCTATGTTTACTCTTTTGGCGGCTGCTTCTTCTGCTTGGCTTCAATGCGTATGGATCGGTCGACGGATAAGTGGTTATGGGTACATAGGGCCGATTATGGCTATGGCCACGGCAAAACTGGAAATACAGAGTAGATGTTGAGGACATCTTCACCGCGTATGGTGGCTGTTGTGTTGTGGTTGTGGACGTGCGATTGCGATTTGGGATACACGAGTTGGTTGCCCTCGTCCCATTTTGGGAAGTTTCGGACGTCAATGGGACACAAGGGAGGCCAAACCAAAAAAAAAAAGAAAGAAAGAAAAATCCACCTTTCCCTTGTCCATCACATCTATCCAGAGCAATCACCGGCATCATCCTTGACGCAGTCTGTCAGATGCTGTTTCTGGCCAGTTTTGTTCGCCCGGAGAATTGACGTACGGAAGCATTGGACAAGAGGGCTGGTTGGGATTCGAGACAGCTGCCACCTGGGGCATCCCAATGCCGGTAGCTGCAACGTCGTCACGCGTAGGTCTTGGTCGTTTGAGTATCCTGTCATCCCGTCTGTCTGCTCAGTAGAAGAGCTGGCTTGGAACGCCGTTCTAAATCGAGAAACGGAGAAAAATGAGTTATGGATATGCAACCCGGGGAAAACGTGCGCCAGACCAGATCGTATTAATTTGTATTGTCTGGCTCATCGTTTCGCAGGAACAACCACAGACAGAGGATCGCCCCTTTGTCAGTCTGCTGCTATCAAGTTCTGCTGCAGGACAGTAATGTTGAAGGAATCCTTCATGACTGCGCGTGTGTCTTCGATTTATCAGCCTTTTGAGGGAACTTTGCTGTGCATCGGGGCCCTCGGGGGTTTGTGCAGCATTTCGACAAATACCTATCATTCAAGCGAAGGCTAAGTTGACAGAAACGCCATGGAATCTTTGATCAACGCCTTCCACCTGGGGACTGGACAAGCTAGCAGAATTACCCCGAACGACCTCGGGAGGTTCAGGTTAACATGTCCACATCACAGATGTGATTTCGGGTCATTCTCTGCCCTCGCGTTGATTCCCTCATGGACGTCATTGCAACACAGCCCCTGAAGCCCAGTCTGTATGACCAGATAAAGAACCAGGCGCTTGTAAAGCCCCCATAACTCCATACGCATTATCATTGGTGGAGATGTCTAGGTTTGCTCTGTCCGACGGTCTTCGAGGGATTTATTCGGTCGGTGGGTCTGGAGGGCGAGGAGAAAAAAGAAAAGAAAGGAACTTCACAGTGAGACAAGATACATACAAAAAACTGGCTTAGCGTACCGGAATGCTGCATAGGATAATAATACATTTACGCAGATCTATGCGTGCTTCCGGTTAACAACCTCAGCCTGGATCGATGGGGTTCGGTGCACTGGACTCTTCTTTTAACTATGGGTTTGTACGCCTGTACCTTTTTCGAGTTGGAGCAAAACCGGTTCGAAATAATGATATGCCCTGAGGTTTCTTTTTCCATTCCTTTTTTTGCAGAAAACTTGGGCAGCCTGGACAGGCATTTGAGTTCGAAACTAATACAGACTAAGTTCATTCCAAACCTCCCCCGCTAACTTGTCGAACTAAGATGCGAGCCTTTCACTTGATGCAAATTCATACAACGGCGGCCTCAAGGGTCATTTTTTCCAACGTTGGTACGACCTGGCCTGGATCAGGGACGGCCCTCGAGTGTAACTCGGAGCAATATCATTCGCTGGTGGATATCTGGCCTATCATGCATAGCACATCTCAACCTTGTGGGTTCGTCATAACATAAGCAAATCTGGATACAGCGACAGCCTTCAGCGCCCTCATGCTCCGCCCAATCTCCATGCACTGGGGCTCACGCTATTGCGTAACTCCTCACTAGACGTTTCGAGATTTCAGAACCTGGATCCGAGGAATCAAGGCACAAGAAATCCAAACATGTTGAAAAACCAGGGATAAATTCACGCTCCTCATTTGCAAAACCAAGTGAGCCATTTCAGCTGCCATGTTAATTTACATTTGAGGTTGAGCATGGGCCACGAGAAATATGAGGACGTTTTCTTTTCCATGCTATCTCGGTCCTCGGCGGGAGGACACGGCGTTGAGTTTTCAATCTGGTCCTCAGATTACTCTCCCAGGGAAGTGCCATCCGATTTGACCCACTGAGGGCACGAATCGTCCCGTCGTGGCTTCATTGATTAGCGCGGTTTATCCAAATTTTTTTTGGGAGCATCAGTGTCGATTGGATGCGCTACCTTGCACATCATTCTGCAACCCAGCATCAAATCCCTGACTCCATCGACTGTCAACTCAACCTTAAGAATCTTACTCTTACGGTACCCGATTCGTCTTGTTACCCCTCTCGCCTTGGAAAGCTGTAATAGTCTTAGCATGATCGTCGTCTTTGCTTTTTGGCTCACGGATCATTTCGTCGAGGTGTGCGTGGTCAGATGTTGCAGATTGATCTCCCATTTGACAGGCACAGTAGTCTCGCCCTTATTTCTGCCGAATGAGAGCCAATTCTCGCACCCATTTTTTTTGCCCACGTAAATCTCAGCAATAGTATTGGGTCTGGCTCCCCAAATGGAGGCATGGTCTCCAAGACCACCGGGTTTACTCCACGCCTTCCAAAAAACAATGCTGTGTCAAAAGCTCCCGTGATGGTGCCAAAGTAGCAGCTAATCTTCTCTTCTTGGTCGCTTTTACTCTCTCGCTTTTGATCTAGACCAACCCTACCAGAACATTTCCTGTTTTGATCCTGCACACTGCAATTCGATTGCTGTCCGCATGATTCATAACTCCGAATGGCGGCTGCCTCCTATTTCTTGTCTAACGCCCGACTGGCCAGCACTGTAGGCCATCTTGACGTAACCTATTCCTGTCCAACATAGTTTCCGTTGACTTTAAAAGCTGGGGGATAAACTGAGTTATCGACCGTTTAGACATCCGCATGTCCCGCAAGGCAAAAACAGTAGAGGAGTCGAACAATATGGTTGTATCGTATTCAAACGAGTTCAGGACAGGCGGGCAAACACAAACTCTCCCGCCATTCAGAGATGTAGGTAGCTGACACATTCCTATTATTTACATTCCGAATACTGATATTTGTCTGCCCCAGCTTCTTCCACAATATCTTCATGAAGAGATAGACTCAACGCCATATCTATCTCCAACAACACCCCATCAACAAGGGTCCTCGTCACATGTTTCATCTCCTGTTCATCCCCGATCGATTCTAGGAGCCAATCTTTCACGCTCGCATCCAGTAACTAAATTCGACAGTTATGAGGAATATCCTAGCCGGACCGAGAGGTTCCCCAAATATCAACCCCAAGGAGGCGTTGCACCTCTCAAACGACATGCCTCTGATACCAACAGCCCGTCAACCACGATTCCAAGTTCTCGCGTTAATTCTGCGGCAGCACTGCCACCCATAAACGACATTCATTCTTTTCCTGCAAACAGAGGTCTTTACACTAGAGGAGCTCAACCCAACAACTTTTCAGAATACCAGTACTCCCCTACTCGAGAGAGCCCATCATTTAGCTCAAGGCCTCCAGATTCACATTTTACGGGATGCCAACCATTACATGTCATCCCGGCAAACTCCCTTTTACCCTCTGAACCCATGAAACTCAATCACCAATATGAAAGCCCACGATATGGATCTTACCCTCAATCGTTTAGGCCCGAGCTTGATTACTCCCCAATTTCCCCTGGTGGTTTTCATGATCGAAGTTTCGTGACTCAAACAGAACCGATGGACTCGAAGAATAAAAAGCGAAGAGGAAATCTACCGAAGTCGGTAACCGACGTACTTCGAGCTTGGTTCCATGAACATCTTGATCACCCTTACCCTAGTGAAGAGGACAAGCAAATGTTCATTAGTAGAACCGGTTTAACCATTAGCCAGGTAATATTCGCGTACCAGTTCTGTTCTCACTCTTAGTGAAGCTGAGTACGATTTGTAAACTAACATTTACTGCAGATAAGTAACTGGTTTATTAACGCCAGACGTCGCCAATTGCCCGCACTCCGAAATCAAGCTCGAGCGTCCGAATCAGGTCGAAGCGGACTTCGGCAATCTCCGCTGAGCGACAATGAGCCGACTTCTTCACCCTCCAGTGTGTGACCGTATAATTAATGATATTTACGCCACGAAACAAAAAGTATACGTTTTTTAATTTATGGATGGCTTTGGTGCCTCCTACATTTTCGGCCTTTCTCCTTCAGCGTTGACCAAAACGTGTCTCATATATTTCTTACGAGCCAGGATTGACTTAGCTTCGTTTTCTTTTTCCAAGTTAATTCTTGTTACTTCTCTCGGCGGTGCTGCACGCTTCTGTCATTGATAAAAATTGGGAGGAAATATTATTACATTTACCGGCGTTCGATTTTTCGAATAAAAAAAGGCGTCGGCATGGACCTGATTCCGTTTCCTCCTTTTTCATGCAGCTCTTTTCTAAAAGGTTATAAGAGTCGTTTTATATACTGGGTGTGGGAATTTTAGCTTGTCAATATTCAATCTTTCCCTTCTTTCTAGGTACCAATTTGTTCTGTTATCCTCATCGCGTGGTTTATTGAATACAGGCATGGGCAACCTGCCCGCAACTCACCAGTTGCCTCGGATACACGATTTTTATTTATTTTTATTTATTTCTGTATGACTATCGTGCCACTATTCGTTGACTATCAAAGACCCTCGAAATACGTCGTGAAATATATCAGTTTCTTCGTTCTAATTTACCCATCTGATGCATGAAACAAATTGCTTGGTTCCTGTTTTTGCTCTTTCAGAAATAAACAGGATACAAACGAGCCTGGCTTCGGCAGCTTGTTTATGCAAGTGTACCATGTGGCCCGCTCCAGATTCCCCGGGGGCATCCTGTGATGGATATCAGGGAAGATGGGTGCTCCCATACGGTTGCTGCTCATTTGGTCTGCAGTGGTCATTCATTCTCTCAGGAGCATTTTTGGTCGCTGCGATTTTCTTTTTCTTTTCTTTTTCTATAGTTTTTATTGTAACCCTTCGATTTTCGGGCGAGAGGTTTGAAACCTGCAAAGACCACCGAGTTGCTGCTCCTGTCCAAACCCAGCACAAATTCATCAGCTGCATTTCAAGCAGGCGGTCTTTCGCAGCAAAGAGAAATCCCGAACGCCAATCACCAATTTGAGATCACCGTTTAGCTGGCTGGAAATGGTGCTCCATTCACACAAAGTTTACCCACCACAGGGGACGCTAAGAAACAGCCCACTGAGCCCAGAAACTTGAGGCGCCACTATGATTGTCTCTCAAAAATAGGCGGCTTGGGAAGATAAAAAAGACCATCGCCCAATTCCGGTTGCCCACCTCATGACCAGATTACTATTATTGACCGCTAAAAGGTGGTGTAAGTTATTTATATTTGGAGTAGTTTACATGTGTTTCGTATCCGCATGTGTATCCCTTTTTTACGAAGGTGTAGAAGCTCAGTTCGTTTGCCAAGGTTGATATGCGCAGAACATCTTCCACCCCTTCAGCCAAGACGTAAAAATCACAAAGAGTTGGGAGAGCAAACAAAGGCATGCCCTGGACGGTACCTGGGCAGGATAATTATACTTCCCGGTATTCAAAGTATCCTCTTTGAAATGTGTACGTCAGCTCACCTGAATTTCAAACCATAAGAATTCTCTGGGCCGGTACGAGTTGGAAACATTTCGGCCCCTCGAAGCGGCCCCTCGAAGCGGCCCCTCGAAGTCTGCTGCTCTTGGTCATCATGACATTCTCCACATTCGATCACTTGCTCGCCGCTCGGCGGCTGGCGGCACAGATGGACCAGTGCTTCATCGTACGTTCGTTTTGAACCAAGGCATGTCAGGCCCACAGGGTGGGCCGAGAATCCACTCTGATCCCCACATCTTGTTTCTTCCCCACTAGTGACTGCCGCTAGGACACACACACCAAGGCTTCTTGATGACCTGTCCAAAGCGCCGTCGTCGCTGCAGCTTGTCCAGAGTGGCTGACACCGCCCTAGTGTATGGCATCCAAGGCAGAGAGACATATATCATTGATTTCGACATGAGGGGTGTCATCGATGTCACCAGTTGCAAGGCTCTGTTTTCATCCACTGCGCAGTTGTTTTAGAGCAATGCATTCTTATTTTTGGGTCAGGAACAAATCGCGAGACTTCGTTTTTGCCTTCCATCCCTTCCGTAGTAAGTTTCTTGGGTGCTTTTGGCTTTCTTATGTTGCTCCGTATGCTTTCCGCCAGGCCCCCTTGCGATATAATGGTGCTGTTTCCTGGGGATTCCAGTGTTTCAAGGAATGGCCAGGCAAAAGCTTAAAGAACAATGCCATGGAAGCGAAAAAAAAAATGATGATCTGAGACAAGGGGGTTGGTTGCGTGATTTCTTTTCTTTTTTTTTCGTCCTTTGTGGTGGCTTCCAAGTCCCTGAAAATTCCCATATTCAAGAAATAAGCTTCAAAACTTGCATGATTGTCAATACACAGTTCTGGATCCATCAATGTCAAACTGGCTTCCCCAATGGCTTCGCATAAGTTGGAACTGAGAGAAACGGTGATTCTTCAAGGCATTTCTGATGTGTAATTGTCTCGAAACTCGGAACGGGGCAATCAATCCCTGTTTTTCTGATGCTATCGGAGCCAAGGGGCATTATGGTTTGTCTTGATTTGACTTCAAGCTGAATCAAAATTTGTGAATAGGTTTTCCTTTTTCCTTTTCTTCCCACCAGGACTGGGTTTCGTCTAGAATACTGATTCAGAGAAAGTTTGACATGGAGGCCCAATCGCTGTCGCTCCTAATAAGTTGCGTTCTGAGGTCGAATGCAAGGGGACTCCTTAGACAGTGATATACACAGGAGGGCCACAATTTTAAGACCGAGGAATGCAGCCCATTATATCCTTGTTTGGCTTGGTTCCAGCCCAACTGATTGTTGCCACGGAGATGCGTCAAGAGTTCAATTCAAAAATAAGAGCGGGATACCGATACTTTTGCGTAATTTGCCAATCTCAAAAGGGTGGATAAGACGAGTAACTAATAATCAGTTTTTTTTTTTTTTTGTTGTTTGCGATGTTCGATCATTTGCCTAGATTTTCAGCTCAATCGAGGGATCTCGCCTTGAAAAGAGACAGCGGCATATTCGACAGGGATTCCCGGCATATAGTTCAATATGATTTACTCCGTACTGCATTTGTTGAACTGGCGCCCCTGTGTGTCTGCAAGCCTTCTGCATCCCGACAGCATCCTCCGGAAACCCATAAAATGCACCTAACCAGGTTAATAAGGCTTGAAGTGTCCCCCTGTGCTTGTTCAGGAAGTTCTTCAACTTTATGAGCCAGGCCAGACTTTGTCACTATTGATTACATTTTAACTGTGTCTATATCCTCTGATGGACGTTCTCAGTTTTTATTTTGTGATGGACACGAATTTATGTCAGTTGTGACAGTCTCTTGAAGTATCCAATCATGTTCAAAATATAGCTATCAGCACTTCTATAATACTGCATGGTTTTACCTTCGGGAGCGTCATCTTCACAGTTTTTAAAAATTACTGAAAGGTCTTTTTCAAGACTCAAGCCTAAGGATAGACAAGGGAAAAGCAATGCAGTTTGATCGAAAATGTGTGGATCGAACTATGGCAATTAATTCCGTATACCTTTTCCAGATCATGAAAGGCATATCGTAAAATTAATATTAATATAAAGATCAGCGACTTGATCAAATCTTTTTAGAGAGATAAGTATATCCTCTCTATATCTTCAATTTTGAACAGATCTCAATCAGCTGTTAAAAAGCTCGAGGCTATTGGAACACTCGGATATATTTGTTACGGGCTCATGGACACTACTAGTGTCTATTCTGTCAAACGCTGTACGGCCCAGTCACAGATGGTGTGCGCTGCTTGTCATTTACAGCTGCCTCCCAAACCTGCAAATGCCATCAAGTTAAGCCCCGAGGATCCAGGCACTTCGGCCACGAAAAGGAAATCTACTATGTAGGTATATGCTTGAGCCCGCCTGCAGCCTCTGTGTGACCGGATGATGACAGCTGGAACTGTCATGGGCAACCACTCGCCCTACAAATGGTAGGCCACAGTTGCAGGCGAGCGCTCTCAAAAGCCAGCTGTTCTATTATGGTTACGCTGTGCTCCTGGTGGCTGTTTTATAACCACAAATATTGCCATTACCAGAGTGTTGGAGAGACGTTGATGCTTGATATCATATTTAAAACCGTAAAAGAAAGACTGAATGTGTCGATGAAAATATGAAGGTCAGGTTTGAATCAATTTAGAATTTATAGTCATTATGAAGCAGCGAATATTCAAAGGAAGGTATAAAATCAGATTAGGCAGAGGATTGTGATGAGTGAGAACCGAAGTGAATGAACATTTTGATTGATTGGTGCTGAAGAATAAATGTGTTTTCTCTCGTCCATTCTCAGTTCCAGACTTTATTTTCTTTGATCAGTAAAGAGAGTTAATCAAAATGGTCATTGCACATCGTTGTTTGGGTAATTGAATGGGGAACTACTCCGTAGTATGGCCCCAAGCGTCACAAAGTCTAGGTGTCAGCCAGCCGCCTCCTCGCTTTATGGCCTAGCCATTAGCGCATGCCCGGCTGGTGAAAAGCCACGACAGGAGCACTGTGTATATCCACTACCTGCAGACGCTATCGACGATTTCACAAGGGACAATGCTCCCTGCTCTTGCGTCAGTGACAGCACGTCTATTGGCTTGTTCTGGAAGCCCGACTTGGCTCGTGACATACTTCGATGAGCAGCATCCTTTTGGCTTTATTCCGTGATGGATAATTGTTTGATACGTATTATGACATGTACAGAACTGAGCTTTTTGTGATGAACTCGAGCGTATGCATCCGCCTGCATTCTGCAGAGACAGTGCTCAGGCCTCTTCATAATGCACATCTCATGAAGTCGAGGCCGATATCCTGTGGCGAACCACACCTCGTACCTCCATTCCCACCGTTCCTGGAACTCCAAAATGTCTCGGAAATTCGAGCGGAGTGGGACATGTTTGGCCAAAAATGGCGAGCTCCGACTGACACTGACAGAATGTTGGAAACTGTATTTTTCTTCGCCGCCGTCATGCCAGGTGGTTCTTCCTATTTGGCCAAGGTCATGCATGCTCCACCGATAGCTGTCATGCAGCTGTCACGTTTGTTTTGCGAATCTAGCCCCAGCCATCTGACGCCATTTTTTCATTCAGTTTTATTCTTACCGTGAAAGGCTAGGTAAGTAGCACTTCGGGAACATCCTAGGTGCGAGGAGCCATCAAAAGCTGTTTCCTTTCCAGTGCTTGCCGCACCGTTGCGTTTTTAGAATTTATTGACGAAGGTTTTCTTTCGTACTTCTGGGAAAGGGCTGAGCTTCCGAACCAAAATCGTTGAACTTTTGGCTCTCATCGTCAAAAATTCTTCGAGCTGTGAGGAGAAGCAAAGCCTGAGAACAGGTGGAGATTTAAGGAGTTTCTCCATTTTCCTCCGACTCAAAAGTACGAAGTGAAGCTTGGGGGATCAGGCAAGCGCTTCACCATTTTCGCTGTCATTGAAACTGAGCGTGCTGTTTTGATTCCCTGTCATCCAGGCCTGGTGGGCGTGTTTTCGACTTCTCTTCTTCGGATCTGCGGTAAGCAAACGTACGAATCAGGCAAACCCCATGATGATCAGAAAGAGTGAGCATATTTCGACATTCCGCCTAACTGGATCCTTTGCTGGCTCTAGCGAAGCCTATGAGTGCCGCGCCTTCGGAAGCTTAACCTGGCAACATGGCTACAACGGTGTCAACCCCCTCCACAACTGTAATTCGAAGGACAGTTTGCACTTTTGATCTAGCCTCCCAGTCGCCTGATTTGCCTGCGAAATTTTCAACCCATGGAAGCTGAAACGAATCAGTGGTGGGGCTTCCGTGTTTCAAAGTACCCGTGGAGATGTAACTAAACAATGGTTCAGGAACAAATGCAGGGAACATTGCTCATACCCTTTCCATTGGGGCGAAGACGAAAAGCATGCTGATGAAACAACCACGACGACACAAATGTTTCGAGCCATCAGACGCAGCCCTAAACTCTTCCATTCTTCCTGGCTTTTGACATCCTGGTCGGCCAGGGTCCAATACCCCGTTAATGGTGGTATTCAAATCCATGTTGAACCCAGTTCAAATTAGCCGAAGCACTATTGATGAATACAGCATAATGTTTTCAGACGGGAGTGCTACGGTCAATTGCAAGCATTTCCATGCAGTTCATGGGTGTCCATTTAAAATCCTCCAGCTCGACAAGGGCCCCTGTTCAGACCAAACAGCCTTAGCGGATCAAGGGTTCCACACATGTTCCAAATAATACCACGTGCAATACTTCCACGGAGAACAATGGAGACGTTTTGCTGGGATTTGGTTGTGGTTGCGCATTCCCGGGACGAAGTTGATCATTTATTTGCTTGTTGTCGGTCTGCTGACGGGCAAAACGTCACATAAAGGCCCGTGGGCCTCCGACAGGGCTGGTGGTATGCCTTGATATTCGGAGTAGGTGATGAGATTCAGGGTTTGCGTTGGTCCTCTGAGGGCTCGCTGGTGTATTCAATTAGGTTGATGGTCGTCCCTAGGAGGCCAAGGACAACATTTCAGACGGGCATCTCCTATACGCCAGACATACCTTTTCCAGCAACGTCCTCCCGTCAAAGGGATGAAGTTGGCTTTCGGAACGAGAGAGGGAACCGCATGTGAATTTCTTGTGAGAAACTGGAATTTTGCGTTGGCAACGTCCCATCCACCCCTCCATAGTGACCGCTCTCGTGTGCTAGTCTTCAAGCTGCCATCTGAGCCGGGCTTGAGATTCAAACCTTTACCTGAGATCTCTATACTTTCCACTTTTAAAATCCTTTGAGTGAAGGGTTATCATAATTTATAGATTTTGATACATAATATCTTTTTGTCTCTATATCATATTTATTCGAGAATAATAGTAAGTGATTGATGCACAAAGGCTGTCAAGAAACTTTCAAAATCTGAGGTCACCTGGTCAACCGTGCCCTAGCTATATAACTAGGTACTCTGTAGTTCTGGCATATCTGTTACAGGACACAGAACAATGATTTCTTGCAAATATGGCTTCACCTTTTCTTGTCCATGACAGCATGTCTGGTAGGATTAACAGCCCTGGCTCAGTTTTCCCATGCACTGTTGGAGACTCCAACGCTCTGTCCATTGAAATAGCCATTCGAAGAAATAATAGTTATCCTTTTTATCTATTATTTTTTATTTCAGCCTTTGTCGCTCTGCCATTTTATAATTTTTGATACCTCACTGAGTTTTGGAGAATTGGTGGTCGGTGATGTTGAGAATCTTGTCCTTATTTACATGTTAGGAAAAGGGAGGACTGAGCGAGGACGGCTTTTCATCCGTATTATTCAGTTACGCCTTCAAGACAGAACGCGTCGTTTGCATATTTCGGTTGTCAAATACGAAATGACTGGTTTCTACTAAATACTCGCGAAGTCACAGCACAAAATGAGCAGTTTAATTGGCTCCTGCGGCAAGAAATATCCCCTCACTGAAGCATGCACCAAACACTGAAGGAAGAAGTTGGCCTAACTTGGCTAAAGTTGGAGGATTTTTGCCTTTTGCGGTTTGATGATATGCGTCAACAATTGTCCGAGTGGCAAGGGATTCCTATTTCAACTACTGTTCAACCATCAGGTTTCTGATGATATTTTTTAATATTCAATCACACATTACGGCTAAAGACTCCAGGAATCCTTTCTGTTGGACAAAATGACTTCCGCACAGTATAAAAACCGTGTCCTCGACTGCAGCATTCTGCCATGCCTCGAAAACCTCAGAGGGAAGAGTGTCATCGTGACAGGAGGTATTTAGACTGGACCCCCCAGTTATGTGTTTCTGTCTATCAATTCTTTTCATTGTTGACGAATATGCGACTTGCTAATAATATGAGATTCGCAGGTGCGTCTGGATTGGGCAAGGCGTTCGTACACCGTTTCGTTGAAGCTGGGTGGGTTCTATCTCCTAACTAGCTGGTTTGAACGGAAGAAAGAAAGCATATATATTTTTTAACCTGAACGGAAACCCGCGGGCAGTGCCTATGTTACTTTTGGCGATGTGAACGAGGAGGCTGGTTTCAAACTCGCTGCGGAACTAACTGGGTATGTTATTGAGCCCTATATGCTCCAGGATCTCAGTCAAACATGGGATAGTGAGGTGAAATAAATATCTTAGAAAAGCACGGTTCGTGCGATGCGATGTGCGCTCCTGGGAGGAACAAGTTTGCCTGTTCGAAGCTGCTGTCGCCAATTCTCCGAGGCTATCCTGCGACATTGTCATAGCAAATGCCGGCATTCCTGGTCCTGATGGTCTTTTTGCCGGCGAAGGTCAGGATAATTGTCATATCTTTTACCCGACTATTTGGACGCTGCATTGTTTCATGGTTGTATTGCTGCAAAAAATAGCCCACATAGGTGACTTCGGGGGTTAACACTTGCAACCTGCAGACCCTTCACTTCCTCCCACGAGGCCAGACACTACCATCTTCGATGTCAACCTTACGGGAACAATATACACAACAAAACTAGCCATCCACTACTTTCGACGCCAATCACTCGAGCCAGGCCGTGATAGGTGTCTGATTTTGATTGGTAGTATTGCTGGTTATCTTGACTTACCAGGTTCCGCAACATATTCGATGTCAAAGTTTGGTGTAAGAGCACTGATGCGTTCCCTTCGTAGGAATGCTTGGGTCGATTCGATTCGAGTCAATTTGGTTTCACCAAGGTATGTACTTATGTACAGACCGTGCTGTTCATGTATGCTGTTCATGTATGCTGTTCATGTGCTGTACATGGATATGTGGCTTTCCTATGCCAACCACCCTCCATCCTGTCATAATTTTGAACTGTTCTGACGGACCCTAAAGTTACATCATAACTCCCGCATACACTGAAGAAATAATCGCCTTCTTTGAATCAAAGGGCGTGAAATTCGCTTCTGAAAGTGATGCCTGCAAGGCAATCTTGAGAATCGCCTCCGATACAACCGTCAATGGCCGGTCAATCGCAGTTGTCTCAAAAGAGGATTGTGCTGGGGGATATTTCGATCTCGCCGAGGACGATTTCCCAGAAGGTAGTAAATTGTATGACTTGCAAAACGTGGCGACAAATGTTGGATCGCGGACGTAAGATCCACCACCGTGCGGGCCGGACTCGGAAGAGTATGGTGTGTATGTTGGGTGTGCATTTGTGGATGCTAAATAATTTAAATTCCATGGAGATTGATTGCAACTAGGTGAGAAAAATGATTGTTATATATATTTTACCATCCATAGTTGTTTTCGCCAAACACAACCATAAAGGAATCAATCGAAGACGTGTTGAACACACTCTAGCCCAACCATATTCCCATAGGACCCGGATTCAAACCTGGGATTCCCCAGTTATTGTGTGCTCATCTGCAGAGGCAGTCTGTGCTTCCCAACCGTTCGAACAGTATTCCGTGGAATTGAGGATGATTGGAAGACAAATGCCGATAAACCATGACAAGCAAGCCCCATGCAAGTACATATTTATCCGCTGTATGCATTTCATGTTTATGAATTCGTAGCTTCTCCCGACGAATTTCATGTATCCACAAACCACGGTACGGAGTAGATATTGGAAGCCAAAAGAAGGTTGATCCATAAACTGTTCTCGAAGCTTGCCCGATGTGGCCCCGGAGAAGGTCATGTGATATATTTTGAAGTTGAGGATATTTCAACATTGCGGGGAGTTAATCAAGAGACGAGCAAAAACTTAACGCAGATGACCCAAACGGAAGTTATCTGCAGAAAGACTGTTATCGGAGTCTTTCTAAGGATTGCGTCCTATTGCTCTTTCTTTCTTATCTCTTTCTTTCCTTTGATTCTTTTCATATTCAGGTGCCGGTCGGGGCGCTTGGACTGTTCTGCATGGCCGCCGCCTCGGTTCAACGCATCAACGGATTGCTTCAACGGAGCTCAATCGACGACCATGAAGAAGTTATCAAAGCTTGCAATGCGGTACTGAAAAAGTCGAGAAACGACCTTGACGCCCTTCACGTGAAAACCGTCGCTCTGGTAAAATTGGACCGGTTCGAAGATGCGATTCGAGTGATTGAGGAAGGCGGGGATGCGTTGAAGGAAAGGGTCCCTCTGGAATGGTCTTACGCTTTATATAAGGTTGGGAAACTGGAAGATGCGATAAAGCTGGCCACAGCTTCTGGGACTGGGAGAGGAGGAAAACATGTCGAAGCCCAGGTGGTACGTTTAAAAAGTCTTTTTTTAGCGTACTACTTAATTACCCTTCAAGAGTGGCTCATGATTTATATCCCACTCAGGCATATCGTGCGGAAAACTTCCATCGAACTGCGGAGGTTTACAGAGAGCTATCTGCAGAGCATTCGGTGCCTGCGGGGGAGCAAAATGACCTGCGAATTAACTCGCGAGCGGCGGAGGCACAGCTCCAGTGGGCTGGACTGGCAAATCAAGTCCAGAATACAAAACCAAGCCGAGAAGACCTAGAGTCTTTCGAAACAACTTATAATCTGGCATGCAGCGCCATAGGGAGGGGGGAATTACAAACAGGAGGGGTACTACTGAAGCGAGCAAGGGGTTAGTTTTCCCTTTCTCCTCCTCTCCATTCTCCCAACAATCCTCTAACTAATCAAAACCGCAGAGCTCTGTAAATCATCCGAGGATCTTACACCTGAGGATAAGGTTGCGGAAATTCTCCCAATTGTCGTTCAACAATTATATGTGGCGCTAAGACAAAGGAAGACAGAGGAAGCCAGAAGCCTGGCGGAAGAAATCAACTTAGCGGAGTATGTTTGCTGAGCTTCCTACCACCGACTTGCGTGTTAATATTGACATTTACGTTAGAATTTCCGAGATTTCCACCAAGAAAATCGCTCAAAATAACATTCTTCTTACCTCCAAACTTGAATCAAATCCATATTTACTACACAAGCACTTCCATCAAATCCCATCCGCAACAGATGGCGATCGACTATTCTCATTCCAGAGTCGAACCTTGACTGAAAACTCATATGCGGTAGATCTGCTGGTCCGCAAATTTGATGGTTTAGCAAAATCGACTCAGAGGGCTCTGTCCCAACATCCCACTCCCACCATATCGCCCGACATCAACACCCTCTCCATTTTCAACATTGCCGCTCACGCTCGAGACGGATCAGATAAAGCTGGTCTCAAAGAAGCACTTCAGCTTCTCGCAAAAAGACCGAATGATGTTGGTCTTGTCCTCGCTCTCACCCAATTCTATGTTTCCGCTGGGAACCTTAACTCTGCAATCTCTGTTCTGGAAACATTCTTGAAGCGTTTAGATCAATCAATGTCAGAGTCAGATAACGACATTCGATTCAACCCGGGCCTCATCGGCATCCTGGTTTCCCTTTATAGCACACAGTGCCGCAAATCCCACATGAAGGCAGAGCTCGCAAAAGCTGCATCACACTGGCGATCGCGTCCTGACAAATCTCCATCCCTCCTCCGTGCCGCAGGCTCACTGCTCCTCACATCTGGTGAAGCCACAGACCTCACCCTGGCAGGCCAATTATTCACGGAACTCCATAACGCCGACCCAAATGATCAGTTTTCAACCGCAGGGTACATTGCAGCGTACGCGACAACATCGCCTGATAAAGTCAAATCGATGGTGGATAGACTTTCACCTGTCCAAGACCTTATTGCCGACATCGACGTCACCTCCCTGGAAGCGGCGGGCATACCCTCCGTCACAACAGCAGCAGCAGCAACAACAACGACAACGGCGACAACAACAGCGTCATCATCGATATTACCCACAAACTCTTCTCTCCCAAGCAACCGTAAACGCGCGGCAGCCGATGACAGCAACAGCAAGCAAGCTACTACGAAGAAACGAGTCCGCAAATCACGATTACCCAAGGACTACGACCCTAGCAAGAAGCCGGATCCAGAACGCTGGCTACCGTTGCGGGATCGCTCAAGCTACCGTCCAAAGGGGAAGAAGGGGAAACAGAGAGCCGCTGAGCGGACGCAGGGCGGTGTCGTTGTTGAAAAGAGCGGGGAGTCGGCTGGCAGCACGCCTGTCATCCAGCCAAAGGCCCAGGGGGGTGGAGGGAATCAGAAGAAGAAAAAGGGCAAAGGAAAAAAGTGATGGCGGGTTTTGCTTATGGTTTATGTCCTTGGTTTGTTTCTATGTCGTTCTCTTCCCTTTTTTTTTTTAGCTTAGCGGGATGAGGAGAGATATCTAGACCGTTTCATATCAAAATAAATATATCTTTTGTGTTTCTCGGTTTCATGCTTGGATTGGCCTTTTGCCTCCACTGTGAGGCTAGCAGAGCTGGGAAACGAAGTGCAACATTTTCGCAAAACAGAAGGACGAAGAAATTTCAAATCAGCGCCAAAAAAACTTCTTCATATGGATAGAATCCGGCATCAAGACCCCGCATCAGAATCACTGGAGCTGTGATTGATCGGACACGGGCATGTCCCTGTGAGATGATTCCCTGTGTCCAGCCTGCCTTTCCCCCAGCTTTCCTTCCTTTCAGCCTTTCCATTCAGCCTTGCCTCGAGGTTGGCCAATGGGGCGGTGCTACGGGCTGTGGCTTGTGTGCGTCGCGGCTCCTTGGCGGGCGATTGGCTGATGCTTGGACGATGTCATCCATGCTTGGACTGTCGGCGGTTTGTAGTCGTAGTAGTAGTACGCTGTAGTAGTCAGGGTGTAGTCAGTAGTCAGTCAGGTCAGGTGTCGGTTTACTTCTCTATCTGTCTATCCATATATCTCTCAACCTGCTCGGCCTCCCTCCTCTGCTCCCAACACCCGGACCTTTCCCCTATCTTCCTCTTCCCCTCCATCAGTCCAACAGCGAAATTTGTCTCTGCACTGACTTGCCGACCTCCAGACTTCAATATGGGTGTAAGTTTGACGCCCCCGAGATGTTGCCGGACCGTACCCCGCCATTACCCCTCGGTAGCTTTTTTGCAACCCGTGGAACCACCACTGTTTTTGAATTTCTGTTTTCGATGTTTCCCAACTCCAGGCTGACTTGACCATTTCGATTATCATGGACTGTATAGCTCGCTTCAAAGATGGCTGCGGCCCAGCAGGCTGGCGGTGCTCCTCCCTCCGGCTATCCAGGTGGTCCTCCGCCTGTTGGAGGCGCGCCCAGACCAGGTGCATATGTAAGTTCGCCATCAATACTAGTACCAGTAGTATATACATACATGGAAAGGATATCAGATCGTCACAGGGCATTTAACCGATGAAATGGGCGATTTTTTTTTTTCGTATTCTTTCCCCTTTATCTGTGCACAGAGTGGTTCTGATTGACCCGATGGGGATTGCCATATTGCAGCCTGGCCAAACCCAACAGTACCAGGCGTATCCTGGCCCGCAAGCAGCAGTTCCACCGCCAGCGGTAAGCAAATCACCGTTCTCTGCCTGGAACCCAAGTCCCCCGCGCTAGTTTGGCGGTTTGATCAGGAATAAAATCCTGCCCAATATCTTGTGCTTCTGTCTGCTCCCTGCTGTTTTGTTACTCATCTTCCAAACTTCCCCCCTCCATCCTGCTGTTTCTCTTCATCCTCTGCCTCTTCCATCTTGCTGTTGTCCATCGGCCTCCCCTCAAACAAAGCGATCTGTCCTGGAACGAACCGCTTTGTGATCCTACCGTTCTTGCATCACCGCAACTATGCGTCCGTTTAGCCAACAACAGTACACTGGACAGCCCTATCCGAGTTCGCCGCAACCCCCTTACCCCTCGTCGTCTCGACCACCACCACTGCCGCCAACACCTCAACAACATCAACATCAACAACAACAACAATATGGACGACCAGAGATGACTTCCACCCCCTCTCCAGTTCCAGGTTACCAAGGGTCCCCTCATCCTTCCTCCCCCTCGCCCTACCCCCAGAACTATCAACAACCCAACCAGCCCAATATATCCCAAGTACCACCTCATTCGCCGTACCAGCAGCCCTATCAACAACAGCAACAACAACCACCCTACCGACAGCCCTATCAACAACCCGTCTATGGCCAACAACCCCAAGACCCGTATGGACAGCAGCAACAGCCGCCGCCGCAGCCACAACAGCCTTATGGAGCACCTCCACAACAACAATCCCCTTACGGACCCTCCTACAATCAGCAATACCCCCAACAACAGCAGCAGCCCTACCCGCAGAGCCAAGCCCCATACGTTCGTTGATTTCTACATGTTTACCCATACCTTCATACATCATTTTCATTATGGCTTCCAGTTATCTTATGTCCTGTGTGTGAATATGCGTTAATCGATTTATTGACTTTCAAGAAGAAGAAGACGATATTGACATGTTATCGTTTATATATAGGGACAACGCCCAGGGCAATACCCCCCTCAAGGGGCCCCAGGCTATCCACCTCAAGGACCACCTCAGGGGCTACCGCCCCAAGGAGCTCCACAGTATGGCGCTCCGCCTCCCCAGGCAGGGCCCCATATGATTGCCGCATATAAGCAAACCCTTATGGCTACTATTCAAGAAAAGAATCTCCATGGGATGTATCCGCCCAATTCGCCTGTCCTCGATCAAATTGCGTCTCGAGTTACCACGCAGATTGATCAGCTCTGTGCGGCATGGCGTGTGCCCCGCGAGGTGGGGCAGGACATTCTCAAACTGGCCCTATTCGACGTCATTCTGTACATCGATGACAGCGGCTCCATGCAGTTTGAAGAAAATGGCGAACGCATCAAGGACCTCAAATTGATCCTCAGCCGGGTCACCTACGCCGCAACACTATTCGACGACGACGGCATCCAGATTCTCGCTTCATGAACTCAAATGAGCAGGGGAATAACATTCGCAATGAACAGCAGATCGAACACCTCATCAGCACCATTAGGTTCTCGGGCTTGACTCCGATGGGCACCAGCCTGAGGACTAAGGTCTTGGAGCCGTTGGTGCTCGGGCCTGCTAGAAGCGGTCAGCTGAAAAAACCTGTCTTGGTCATCACCATCACCGATGGACAGCCTGCTGGAGAACCAAACGGTGCGGTATCTGATGCTATCAGGTCTGCGAGCGCCGAACTGAGAGCGCTCCCCCAGTATGGGCCTGGAGCCATCTCGTTCCAGTTTGCGCAGGTTGGGAATGACTTGAAAGCGCGTGAGTTCTTAGGCAAACTCGACGAGGAGCCCGGTATCGGTGACCTCATCGACTGCACATCCAGTACGTGCCAACTAATCTTCGTATTCCCAATCCTGACCAACCAAATACATCATCATCTATACTAACAAAAAGGGTCAACAAAACAGACTTTGAAGTGGAGCAGGATGAAATGTCCCGTGCCAACCCACCAGTTGACCTAACCCCAGAACTCTGGGTAAGTATTTTCCTATCCTCCCCGCTTCCCCCTTTCGACAAAATCAATCAAACATATACATATACCCATATATATATATGTATATATATGTATAAATCTCTCCCAACCAGCCAAGTAACCATGCTACCAACCAACTAACCCCAACGCCCCCCTTAAAATCTAGCTCACGAAAATGATCCTCGGCGCTATCGACTCCTCCTACGACACCAAGGATGAGAAATCTAGCCGGCCCTCCGCTGGCGGCCACCGTCCTCCACCCCCACAGACCCAATACGGCGCCCCGCCACCACAGGGACAACAGCCACAGTACGGCGGATATCCTGGAGCCGGAGGAGCTCCCCCACAGCAAGGCGGTTATGGCGGCTATGGGCAGCCGCCACCGCAGCAGGGAGGTTATGGCCAGCAGCCACCCCAGCAGGGCGGCTACGGTCATCCCCCGCAAGGCGGTCAAGGGGGTTATCCACCGCGGTATTAGGACCTAGAGTGGTCCTAGTAGAGGGAGATAGGATAGTTCTATGTAGTTTGGTAGGGGCGTGTTCGGGGGGGGGGGGGGGGGAGGCAGTTTCGAAAAGCAAAAGGAAAAGGATTGAGAAAAGGCTCCCCGCTCGTGTTGCTTTTGTTTGATTAATATGTAACTGATGTTTTTTTTTTTTTTTCATGTGTTTAATAATGCAATGACTTATTGACTTATGGGTTAAATTGGTCTTCTTTATATCGATCTGCCTGCCTATTATGCATTCTAACTTATCCATGTCGCTCTCTCCCTTTTTATGTTTTTTTTTATTTTTTTCTTTAAAAAAAATCCTTCTGCGAAACTATTTCTCCATGTTTGACATAAGGACAGCTCAATCAATCAAGGTTTAATATAATAACTTCACTGATCAGCAGTAGTTAACTAACTAGTTATATTAAATATGCAAGTCCAAACCACGCGCAGGATAACTAACTACTTAACCAACCGCATCGTTTAGCAAAACCAAAACCAAAACCAAAACCGTAGCTTATCCCCAACCCAACACAACCCATCCATTTCGAGCCGCTGAGTGTAGTAGTATCAATAGACGGATTTGAGTGGCCTGCCACACCCAGTCAGTCAGTCTGTCAGTCAGTCAGTCAGTTGAGGGAGGCAGTGGGGGGTTTTGGGATTAGGGTTAGGGTTAGAGATTGGGCCTGCTCTGTGAAAGGGTGTTGTTGGTGATTTTTTTATTTTTTTTTTTTAAACCTCTCTTATTATATTAGCTATTGATTGTGACTGGAGCTGCGCACGCTCTTTCATGATGTCAAACAAATTGATGAATGGGGAATGGAAGGGTTTTCTTTTATTTCTTTCCACCTTATTTCCTGCCACGGTTATGAATCACTGGTTAACCAAACCCCTTAGTTGGGGTAATTATTTATCTAGTTACCTATATAACTTCACCGTTAGAACTGTTTCAGAAGCTCGAATTTTTTGACCATTTTTTCATTTTTCGTAAAGAAAACTGGACAGCCAATTTTTTTTTCACCATTGCTTCCGAGGCGGCTACCATCATGGACTTTGTGGGTAATGCTTTTTATATAGTTATGAGTATTTGATGCTGTTGTTTGCTGACTGATGTGTAGATGAGGGAGCATTCTCGGCTAACACCGGTGCCCAAAGGTGCTTTTTTTTCTTGGAGCTTGAGGATAGATAATCCTGTCGGTGCAGAGTATATTATTAGTATTATAAAAAAAGCTCACAGGGGGGGTAGGGCTTGATGAAATATGGAGCAAACTTGAAACTTGACGTTGAAGCCAGGTGCCAGGCTGAAAGGTGGTGATAAGGTGGTGAAAGGTGGTGAAAGAGAACCGCCGAATATCAGGCAGATTGGACTTGCCATCTTTTCATTCTCCCGGGTTGGCGGTCTCTATTATATTATAAACAGGATCCCCTTCCCTCTGCTCAAAGTCTCGTCGTCTACATGAACGAGGATGGATGGAGGTCGGATCGTCAGTGATTTGTTTTTTGCTATCGGTCCCTCGACTAGCAGACAGAACATAGATGATGGATGGTAGAAAGGAGATCAAAATTTGACAAAGGACGTTGTACTGTACATACGTGTGTAAATCTTAGTTATTTAAGCGTTTGGCGGATGGGGATAATATCTCTATTACAGGGGAATACTGCGCAGGAATATGAGATTGCCAGCAGCATGAGAGGAATTGCATGAATTGAGCGAGCAATCGTCGCGGCTTCCAGAGTCCTCCAAATTGCACTATATGGTCCTGGAACTTATCGTCCCTCAAAAGCCTAAGAAACTCGAGGCCGCTCGAGGCTATCTCAAAATTCGTCAAGTACCAGCCAGCCTCCCGAAGACCAAGCCCATCCAGACTTCTCATAAGTATGGCACAGCGACCTCCATGCTGAGGACATTTTTTGTCAACCCAGACGGACCACACCGGAGATCCTTGGATTTCATAGATTGGCAATCTACGGAATTAGCGCCCTTGCATGATCCATACTGTTGAACCGTATGTTATTGATCATGATGGTCCACTTGTTGAAGGGCTCCTGGAACGTCCTAAGCTCGAGGAGGTTCAGAAACCTTTGGATCCCGATCCCCGCATCGCAAAAGAAGGCTGAGGCCCTCTTTGTCAAAACCACTTGTCCCATGTGTCTCTCTCTCCATAGGCATCTGATCCGCCTGGCAAACAAGAAGCTATTCCGGGGTGCTCGGATTTTCAGCAGACAGCCAGGTTCCGGCTCTTCCTCTTTGCATGAAGCCTCCTGGTTGATGGTGAAGCAACTTACCTTGCTCTACTTTGCGGGAGCGGCAGAGGAGCTGGAAAGAGCTTTCCCCGCGTGCGAGCCGAGGGTAGCCCAGAATGTCCACTTGAGTTCTCAGCGGATGAATTAGTTCTCATTGAAGCTGATAGCAGGGGAGCTGCGCTTGGTATTAGTTTGATGCAGGATCTCCAGGACAGGTTCAGCCGGCAGTTCTTTCGGGCGCAGGGCGTGTCGATCATGGGAGTATGCGAGGCCATTTGAAGTGAAACAAACATATTTCACCAGCTTTCTCGTTCAGTCCGTGGGAATATGCATGGTCTGCTTGTACAGCTGTCAATTGAACTACTCGTTATATCTCCATACATCCATCCATGTAAAAAAAAAAAAAAAAAACCAGGCCATGCCATATGTTTTGTTTCCGGCCGAAAATAGAAAATCCCGTTCAAACCATATCCCCCCACCTTTCAATCCTGTAGCGATGAAAACCCCATACATAGTATCAAAGCGCCTCGGGCTCATATCCCGCATAATCCTCCTTTCGTAGCACTCGCGCCCCTATTTCCTCCAAATCCTCGGCCCATAAGGGATCCTTGGTGATGCCATTCAGGCATTGGTCGATCATGGCAGCGGCAAGCTCCGACAGGTGAACCCAGGGGGTGTGCCCGAATTGCTTGAGAATGCTTGTGGCGGCGAGGGTCCTGGGGCGGCCAGGGCCTTCTACGCCCGCGGGCTTAGTGACGGTAGCTTGTACGGCGGGTTCATGTTGCTTGGCGAAATCCAGGATTGCGTTCTCGATGCGACCCTGCTTGTCGCGTCAGTCGAGTTCACAGAGAAGAAGGAGGATGGGGGGAGGGAGGAGGAAGATATAGGAGGAGAGTTTGGAACCCACGCGCATGAGGCGGTAGTCAGACAGAAACCAGAGGGTCTTGGTCTGATCGCGCTCCACTGTGACGCCAGATGTGTAGATGAAACGGAAGGGATTGTTCGCGACAGAGGCGATGTTATGGAGACCGTTGATGGTGAAGTCGGAGCAGATCCTGGTGACATCTGCAAAGTCCATCTTTTGGGACTTGGTCGGGGTAACTGCCAGACACCTACCAAGAACATGGTTGTGAGAACTGGTGGCAGTGATGATGATGATGACGATGATGATGCATGTACTGTATATATATGCCTAATCGTATGGGGTTACGAACCATATGCACGCATCGGCGCCTTTGAGTTTCTCCTTCACAGACTCGGGATACGGCGCTGTCCAGTCGTCGAGGATAACAGATTGCAGCTTGGACTCGTCCGCGTCCGGACCAACGTGCTCAGGAACCTGAACAGGCAGGCGAGCAAGTGCCACGACGGAGCTAATGGCTTTATTGCGAAGAGCAAGCCGAATGACTTCCGTGCCAACGTACCCGGTGGCTCCCGTCAGTATCAATTTCATCCTCGGATTCAGACCTGGAGGGGGCGGTTTTCGGGAATTATGAACACTGGCAAGTGATGAAATCGACCAAATAATGAGAATGCACGAGTTTATTTACTCTGTTTTTCTTGCATCTACATCACAGCGGGGGGAAGTTGATGGGTATATAATGCCTGGCAGGTGTGTCGATCCCTCCTTCGGCAACTTCTCGGGGTCAATGACAGGCCCTGAATTGTTTCCGAGGGGCCGATACTGGTCGTAGACCTCTCTCTGCCACCTGGGCTAGTTGTGCATAGTTTCATGTATGTAGAGAGTACATGTACGGTAGTTGAACAACTGCTGGACGGGGAAGGGCCTGGGCACATTCCTCCCAGGTGGTTATCTTCATTTTCAACGGATGAGGCGCAAAAAGTCGCTGCCAACACAAGAAAAAGTCCAGCCAATCTGGGTTTGGCCCCTGGTTGGCAACAATTCATCCCTTCAGAGGCATGCTTAGGGTGGTTAGGTTAGGGGGCGTTGCGCCTAAAGCTTAGTGAAGCCAAGCTCAGTGTTCAAGCCCACCGATGTTGAGGGCCCAGAATCATTCGATCTCTGGTAGTGAGAGTTCCTTGGTATATCTCTCGTGTCTGTGTAGGGTTTTATGTTCCCCGCCTTCGTTCTATGCTCACTGTTCAGGATGCGGTGTCAGATAAGCTTTGAGACAGACACAACCTTGTGTCATGGCCATGGTGGCGGCATGCAACACAAATTGGCGCTGCTGGGCCAGGGTCATAGGCCTCTCTTGTTCCTTGTTGCAACGCTATCTGGCCCAGACTCGACGAGGATGCTGTATGCATGCCTTGGATGCGTCGAAATCCATTTGCGAGCCCCATGGTATTGGATGCAGGCCGGCGACTTATCACACAAGATCATCCGCTCGCACCACAACTCCTATGTTGATTCTCCTGGATGGAGTTTCGGCCTTCCGTGGAAACTGAGGCGGAGTTTCCAAGCGATATTCTGAAAAAAGAAAGCTCCGCCACAAGAGTCGACGATGGATGTACTGTACAGTACATGTATGTTGTGAAGGGTACTCAGTGTTAAGCAGATGTAGATAAAAATTATGATGAACCGCAGGACAACTGGGTAAATTACTCTTTGTTAGGATCTGGGAGCGAAAGCCATGAACGAAATAGTTGGTTGGTATAACATTTGGTCAAGAAAGACTCCAAACAAGAGAGGAATATCTCCCACCAACATACATATCTAGGGGGTACAGAACATGTACGCTGCTGCATATGTATCTCGACATGCAAACGCCATCCCATCCATCAAAGTGCCGCGTAAAGAATAGCTGGAACCATGCTTCTACATATTCACCTCCCGTTCATAGAACCTGACATCCTCCTGCCCCTTCGTGATGTATTTGCGCAGTGCTGCAAGTGTGCCTGTATCTTGTCCAATTCTTATGCAGCGCTGGCCAGACAGAAGCGTTTGTCGTTTTCGCCCGTGGTCAAAGTCTGATCGATAACAACCCGCCCCGGTTGCAAGGCTAAAAACTCTAGGCCAACGCTTAGATTTAGACAATCAAAAAAGAAAAGCACTTGCGTAATCGACTTTCCAGGGTTGTCCTGACTCTTTCTTCCTCCGCTATCTTTTTCTGCTCTGCTGCAACGCATCCTGGCGAACCACCGCGCCCACTGCTCACTGCTCACTGCTCACTGCTGACTGCTCACTGCTGGCTGCTGGCTGCTGGCTGTTGATTCTGGCGAGCTGTGTTTCATGTTGCCATCCTGATATTATCAATCGATGTGCCGTTGGGAATAACCTCAAATAAGGTTGTGTGGCCTGCTGCTGATTCGTCACCCCCAAGCCCGCCGCTGGTTGGACCGCTTCCCCAGTGTGGCCTTGTACCGTGGATTTTCTTCCCTCTACATACATACATATTTTATCTACACATCTACGAGGGCAACAGGGAGGGGTCCCAGTAGACCTCCCCTCTTCTTTGCTCTGTTTTCTTCTTTTTCATTGTACTGTACATCTTGGGTTTATCGCCCTCTCCTCCACCAACGCTACCGGCAGTCGCTCGTCGATCCATCCACGTTTCCCCCGCCGGCCTCTCGCTCGGTTTCCCCAATGCGCTCCATCCAACAATGAGCAGTGGCGTCTCGAGCGTCTCGACTTCTCCCCGTCTCCCTTCACCCAATTCTATCCTTGTGTTTGCCTGTGATATACCCGGTTTATTATTCATCCATTGTCGGCCTCCGTATTGTCTGGTTTTCGTCCAATCCGCCATCTACGACGTCCGGTACTGGTTTCGGATAGCCGCACTGCCGAATATATATAAGAGGTGTACACGGGTATATACCTAGGTCAAAGTCTACGGGAGGGGGATTTTGCTACAGGAGGAAGGAACCGGAACATACACAAAGCTGGGCGTCGACCCAATGGCGGGGCGCGATGATGGAAATCGCCCCGGACCTGGACGGTTGAGCTCTCCTCGACTTTCGCGTCGTGTGTCATCGAGGTCGCCGCTAAGAGACAGTATTTTGAGTGATGGTGGTTCTCCTCCTGAGGAGGACGAGACGGTCCTACTTCGAGATGTTGGGGCGCGGAATAATACAGATGCGCGGGGAAGAAGGGAAGTGGGACAGGAAACAGATGGGGTTACGGACGCAGGTTTAGGTGCTAACACCCCAGCTCGCGCCTCTCTCCGGGATATCAGAAGGGCACCCTCATTGCCAAGCCTAGCGACGGCGGCAATGCCACTGCAGCGACAGGCTCAGGCTCGAGTGCGCTTTTCAACGGATCTCGAACGCACGGCGGATACCACTTTTCAGAATCTGCGCTGGGAAGTGCATGACGGCGCTGCAAGGGAGGGTGGCGGTGGTGGGCCTGCTCCCGGGCTAGGACTTACTGTAGACACCTCCTCGCCGAGTGTCGTTTCGAATTTAAGAAGCCCAACACTGCGGAGTGGCGGTCAACGCATATCCCCCGTCTCTCCCGCAGACCCTGTTCCGCCGCTGCGCGAATCTCCTCCCGTCTTGCCCAAGACGCGGGATCGAGGTTATTCTCTACGACGCTCGATTTTTAACCGGAACATTGCCAACCAATCAGATCAAGACTGGACGAATAGCATCGAATTAGGTCACCGTCTATCGGCGGATGGCGAGGCTCTGTCTAGGGTCCATTCGCAGGGTCAGGAAGCTGTGGCTCAGAGTAGCTCGAAGGATGAAGAATCTACCACGTTCTCGGACCTGAAGCCCCAAATAAGAGGGGAGAAGCCTTACTTGACATTGGACCGATGGAAAGACTTTACGGCTGCTTTCCGAAAACAAGTGCTTCGCATCAAAGAAATCCCGCCGAGTAAGGATGGTCGACATATCGACCTTGATGTCCAGAGGCAACATTCCCTGATCGACGAACGGACGGGCAAACACTACATCAGCAACCGCATCCGATCAAGTCGATATAGTCTATGGAGCTTCTTCCCCCGCCAACTCGTAGCGCAATTTTCCAAGCTTGCGAATTTCTATTTCCTTGTTCTTTCCATTTTGCAAATGATACCCGGCCTCAGTACCACTGGAACTTTCACCACTTTTGTTCCCCTGATGATTTTTGTTGGTATTTCCATGGCGAAGGAAGGCTTTGATGATTTCCGTCGTTACCGATTGGATAAGGAGGAAAACAACCGGATCGCATATATTTTGCGGCCCTGTGGCCCGCTCGGAAATGCTGCTACTACCATTTCCACTACTTCTACGGATTCCCCGGAATCCAAAGTAACGGCCACAGTTACTGATTCAGAATCCAATCTTTCAAACTACTGGGTGCCAACCAAATGGGTAGATATCCAGGTGGGCAACGTCATCAAGCTATCCCGCGACCAACCAGCGCCGGCAGATCTCGTTCTCCTCCACGCAGACGGCCCGAATGGCATCGCATATATAGAAACCATGGCGCTGGATGGCGAGACAAATCTGAAAGGCAAACAACCCTGTCGCGCCGTCGCCAAAGCCTGCAAAACGGCCGACAACATCATGCACATCACATCAATTCACTTTGCTGTCGAAGACCCCAACACTGACCTCTACAAATTCGATGGCAACGTCACAGTTGATGGGAAGAAACTACCCATCACCAACTCAGAAGTCATCTACCGCGGCAGCATTCTGCGGAATACCCATGAAGCCTTCGGCATGGTTATCTATACCGGGGAGGAGTGCAAGATACGTATGAACGCGAACAAGAACCCACGCATCAAGGCGCCGGCCCTACAGACCGTGGTCAACCGCGTCGTCGCTGTCATTGTCCTGTTTGTCATCGTGCTCGCGTCCGCGTGCACGATTGCGTATACGTTCTGGTCGCGCAACGTGGAGGATGTATCGTGGTATTTACAGTACGCGGATGTCTCGATCGGCCCCATTTTCACATCTTTCATCATTATGTTCAACACCATGATTCCCATCTCGCTGTACGTCAGTTTGGAGATTGTGAAGGTTGCGCAGATGCTTTTGCTGAATGATATTGATATGTATGATGCGGAGTCGGATACGCCGTTGGAGGCCAGGACGTCGACAATTAATGAGGAGTTGGGGCAAGTTAGGTATGGATAATGCTCACTCTCCTTGTCTCTAGTGTTTTTTCTCTATTCTCCTCCCCTCCTCTTCCCCGTGCAATTTCTCTCGGCATGTTCATAAACAAACGATATAACTATTAATACGCAACTACAGCTACATATTCTCGGATAAAACCGGCACGTTGACGAATAATAGCATGAAGTTCCGCAAAATGAGCGTTGCAGGGACGGCATGGTTACATGATACTGATTTACAAGAGGAAGCGGCCCGCGAGGCAGATCGCAAAATGCTCCTGCATAAGAAACGCAAGGAGAAGAAGGCTCCATCGCGGAAATCGGCCACCTTTGACCAATTCGCATTGGCGCGGAAATCCGGCGTGTCAAGTCACATGAACGACGAGATCTCAACACCACTGACGACGACGCGTTGGCGGTCGAATAGAAAACATAGAATGCATCATGGTGGCCGCACTGTGGAGATGTTGGAATACATACAGCAGAAACCGCATACGCTGTTCGCGCGCAAGGCGAAATTCTTCATCCTCGCCCTCACCCTGTGCCACACGTGCTTACCGGAGCGAGACGGCGATGGTGATATTTCGTTCCAAGCTGCGTCCCCGGATGAGGCTGCGCTGGTCACTGCTGCTAAGGAGATGGGATATCTGGTGGTGGACAGACAACCCAGCTCGCTTACCATCCGACTCTCAACGGCCAGGCGGGGCGGTGATGGCGATGATGGAGAGCCCATCGAAAAAGAGGAGGTCTATGAAATTCTAGACGTCATTGAATTCTCCAGCGCGCGCAAACGCATGTCGATCATCGTGCGCATGCCCGACAAGCGAATCTGCCTCTTCTGCAAAGGCGCCGATTCGATCGTCATGGGCCTCCTGAAACGATCCGGGCTCGCGGCGGAGAAGGTCGCCGAGATCGAGAGCCGCGCCAATAAGCGTAAATCTCTCGAGGCGAAAGAAGTCATGAGACGCAACAGCGAGCATGCCAATCGCAAGGATGGCAAGCGGACGAGCCTAAGTATTGGTCGTCCTAGCTTCGTGGGCACGCGCCGCTCGAGTGTTTCTGGCAAACGCCGCTCGTCGCTGCGGGATAGCATCGATGTCTGGCTCCGGGATAGGGAGACGGATGGCGGTCTGGAGTTGAGGGGTGGCGATGATGCTGGCTACTATTACAGCCCACGCCCGTCGATGCAGTTCTCCCCGCGGCCTTCCGGGGCGCTTTCGGAGGAACTGCACCGCTCTTCTTTCCAGACGGATGATGGCGCGGAAGATTTAGTCGAGGAGTCGTTGGTGGTCAATGAGGCGATGGTGTTTGAGCGATGTTTCCAGCACTTGAATGACTTTGCGACCGAAGGGCTGCGGACGTTATTGTATGGCTATCGGTTCCTTGACGAGGGAGATTATCAGGAGTGGAAGGCTAGGTATCAGGAGGCGACGACGAGTTTGGTGGGCCGGCAGGAGAAGATTGAAAATGTGGGCGAACAAATTGAGAGGCAGCTAGAATTGGCCGGGGCTACTGCTATTGAGGATAAGTTGCAGAAGGGAGTGCCAGAAGCCATTGATAAGCTGCGCCGAGCTAATATTAAGCTCTGGATGCTTACGGGGGATAAGCGGGAAACGGCGATTAATATTGGCCATTCGTGTCGGCTGGTGAAGGATTATTCGACTGTGACTATTTTGGATCATGATGCTGGAGATGTCGAGCAGGTTATTTTGGAGACGACGAGTGAGATTGAGAGGGGCGCTTGTGCTCATTCTGTGGTTGTGGTGGATGGACAAACGCTATCGACGATTGAAGGGGATGCACCGCTCCAGGAACGCTTTTTTGACCTTGCCATCTTAGCGGACTCTGTCATTTGTTGTCGTGCGAACCCCAAGCAGAAGGCGTTCCTCGTGCGGTCAATACGGAAGAGGGTAAAGAAATCCATTACGCTTGCCATCGGGGACGGTGCGAATGATATCGCTATGATTCAGGAAGCGCACGTAGGGATTGGCATTACCGGCAAGGAGGGTCTGCAAGCTGCCAGGATATCAGACTACTCCATCGCGCAGTTTCGGTTCCTGCTCAAACTCCTCCTCGTCCACGGTCGCTGGAACTACATCCGCGTCTGCAAGTACACGCTGGGAACCTTCTGGAAGGAAACCGTCTTCTACCTCACGCAGGCTCTCTACCAGCGTTGGAACGGCTACACAGGAACCAGTCTCTACGAATCATGGTCTCTGAGCATGTTCAACACTTTTTTCACCTCCCTCCCAGTCATCTTCCTTGGAATCTTCGAAAAGGACCTCGCCGCCTCCACTCTGCTCGCAGTCCCTGAACTCTACACCAAGGGCCAACGCAACGGCAGTTTTAACATCAAACTCTATCTTGGCTGGGCCTTCATGGGAAGCTGCGAAGCCGTGATCATCTATTTCACCATGTACGGCCTCTTCGGCAACGCCATCTTCACCCTCGACAACGGCGTCTTCGCTATGGGCCTGCTGACCTACACTGTCTGCGTCGTCATCATCAACCTGAAGCTCCAATTACTTGAGATCCGCTGCCGGACCATCATGGCCGTCATCGCCATCATCGCGTCCGTTGGCGGCTGGTTCCTCTGGAACATAATTCTCTCCCGCCGCTACGAAACAAACGCCATCTACAACGTCCGCGACAACTTCTTGCCCCGCACAGGCCGCAATTTGCTCTGGTGGGTTACCATCTTCCTCGCCGTGGTTGCGGTGGTTCTCTTCGAGCTATCTGTGGCGGCGCTGCGCGTCGCGCTGTTCCCGACCGACGTGGATCATTTCCAGGAGTATGAGGGCGATCTGGAGATTCGGAAGCGGTTTGAGGAGGCGGCGGCGTCGGAGTTGCAGCAGGGTTGGGATCGGGGGGGAAAGAAGTCAAGTTTGGAAATTCTTGCGGGGCTGGAGAGCGAGGCTGCGGACAGGGAGGCGGAGAGGGAGAGGGAGAGGGAGTTGCAGATGCAGGAGTTGTTGGATCGGAGGACCTCTCAGGGACAGGGCAAAGATAAGGGTGGAGACGGTGCTCATGTGCAGACGGAGGAGGTGGAGTCGGGGAATAGCCAGCCCGTTGCAAATGGAGCTGCTGCGGCCGGAGAGAGTGCAGATGTGCCAAGTTGCTCGCGGCGCTCGTTGGATGTTCATGAGTTACTCAGTAAGGGGTTCGGTGCCATTCGCAAGGGGCATTTATAAATGAGTCACCCCTCCCGCCCTCTACCTCCTGACTTCTATCCTCGTTGTTGATTTATCCGTCGCATTTCTCTCTTCTTCCATTTTGCTGTTTTGTTTCGTTCCTGTTTTGATTCATGCTTGGGCCAAATTTTGAAGTTTTCCAACAAAGCACCCCACAACTCAGCGGTTACTCTTTTCCCGCCTTCCCTTCTCTATCCCTCCCCACCCCCTCTATTTTTTTTGTCTTTTTGGAGATACACTTTCCGTGGCATTCGGGTCGCATGTGGTGTGGTGTTTTAGGGTTGTATCTATATATACGTTTGATGATTCACCTTCCCCTATGCCATTGATGTTTTAATGCTTTTACATGTTTCATTTAGATCGACTGACTGGCTGATTGACTGATGGAGAAAATAGACCTTTGTTTTTAATTTTTATGCGCTTCCTTGTTGTTGCTTGGTTTTTTCTTTTTTTTTTTTTTAAATGTTTTTCTTCCTCTTTTGGCCATGTTAACATTCCCTCCAGCCTCAACCTATCCCCGCTTCCTTTCAATTTGGTGGTCACTCAGTCGCTCCAATCTCCCGCTGTGGTTATTTGACTCTTTCCTTGGGTGTACAATCATCTTTCGTTTTTGCAGATTACTTGGACTCGGAGCCATGTATGAGGATATGATACCATATATATAAATATTGTTATATATCACCGTTAGAATTGAATTGATGAGATGTTGCTTCATACATTCATTCACCCTACTTACTCAGTTCCGTATTATGCGGGCTAGATAGGGCATTTGTTTTGAAAATAATAACAAGGAATCCTGGCATTGATAGATATCTAGTGGAAAGGATCAAGGTATGTATCCACGGAAAAGTAACGAGCGTTGTCATCGTCTAGATAGAGAGAAAAAGAAAAGAAGAAAGAAGGAAAAGGAGGGAGCAGGACATCAAAAACAAAAAGGTCATCGTGGCATAACTCAACCGGGAAAGATATCTCGTATAAAACTAATAGAGTCCCATACCCGTCCACCCCGCACGATAGCTAACCAACCTCCTCATCCGCTCACCATCAGACCAAAGTAAAAACCCAACCCCAGCTCAACCCCCACCCCCCCACGTTCACTCCTCACCAAGCTTCTACCTCCCGCGGCTCCCCACCAACCGCATCATCCTTCCCTTCCGCTATTCCTGCAGCAATTCCCCTCGCAAGACTTCCCAGCTCATTCCGACACCGGATACAATCCATCCAAAAACTCTCGCTCCTCAGATGCACCTTACGCCGACTACATGGGTGATTGAAATATCTGGCCTTGGAAATCTCGGCGTCGGTGTCGCCGAGCATGAAGGTGGCGGAGGGGCTGTGAGGGGTTGTGGGGGATTCTTCCTCCGCGAGTCGTTGCGGAGAAAGTGGAGGAGGGGGTGACAGAGAGGAGGGATGTGGCTCTTCTTCTGGAGGCTGATGATTGTCCCCCGGAGTTTCTTGGGGCTGCTTATGGTTATATTCTGTTGGTGGGAAATCATTGGATAGGGCCCGTTGTTCGATTGGGGGCACGTCAAGTTCCGGCGTTGGCTCTGCGGCCAGGATCTCCCCGCCCTTCTTTCCCTTCTTGACCTTCTTTCCCTTCTTGCCCTTACTGGATTTTACTGGTTTTGGTTCAGGTTCAGGTTCAAGTAATGGTTCTGGTTCCGTGATCTCCACCGATGGGTCCTCGCGCTGTTTGCCCTTCCTTTTTACAGATATTTTTGCACTGGATCCCCAACTTCCCCACCCATCATCAACCGTAGGTTTACCGATATCAGCAAACTCCTCGGCTGGTTCAGTTTCCAGTGGTCTGGGATATCCCTCAGATACGGCTCCGGGGAAACCTCCTGCGACAGGTTCCTGGGGGGCCGAAAGGACAGGCTCTTCAATCTCGGGTTCTGCTGGTGGTTCTTGGACACAATAATCTGCATGGTCATCATCCAGGTGCGAATTTTCCCTTTTCACCTTTCCAGATTGAGGAGGGCCGAGTGGCTCCTCCATAACTGATGGCTCTCTATTGTTGGCTTCAGGGTCGCACATCAGGGGCTCCGTTAAGGTTGTGAATAGGTCAACTGCCAAATTGCCATGTTCATTCCTGAACACATCAAGAATCCAAGGCTCTCGGATAAGATTATTATTTTTCTCCATTGCAACTCTTGTTTCATGCCTGAACTTCTCGCGATACATGTCATCGTCGCCGTGGTTCAGGAGCTTGGGGTAAGCCTCCTTGGCAACGGCAAGTACGTTCAGAAAAGGTACTTCCGTCATGTTTTGAATATTCGTTAATGCAAGGGCAGAGAGCTCGTCCATCCCATATTCCCGGGCGAAGCAGTAGAGGAAGGAATGTATCCTAAACTCTATATTGGCGTCGCGGCGTTTATTGGCGTTATCCTGCTCTAATGAAGGAAAGTTTTGGGTTGGATAAGAACACCCTTGATACTTTCCGGTATACAGAAATCTTACGGCGAGCTCGAAAACCACTGGATCTGTGTCCACTAGTGATATGCTGCTATGTCCTCCAGCAGCAGTTGCCGGACGCATCTTGTTGCTCAGCGATGAAGCTTGATTCAGGATTCCTAGGTGGACAAGGAATACCCTCTGGCCGCCAGTGGGACCAACGAGAATTTTAACAACCTCTGTTTCATAGGGGCTGGAAGAAATAGGGTGGTTATCTCCATTTGACATAGAAGCCGTGACAATCTCTGTGTTCTGGGGAACGGGGCCAAAAAGTGGCGGATGTGTTTCACTTGGGGGGAAGCTGGAAATGACGCGGGTATCCTGAGACGAAGTTGAAGTCCCTGCGCTCTCATTCGGTTGTGCACCTGCTTTCCCATCTTTTAATAGGCTTAATGTTAGCAGTTTGCACAAAACTGGTTTCACGGCCAGGGATAACTTAACTGGAGGTCAAGTGGCTTGAAGTCACAGCGCTCTTCTTCTTCTTCATGGCCATTTCAGCTACTGTTGGGAGTTCAGAGCTTCAAAAAAAATAAGAAGAAAGGGAAAAGACTTCAATATAAGCTTATGAAAGGGGGCCGGTTTAGCCTTTGGAGTCGTAATGAGACATACTCATGAGAATTGATATACCCTCCGTGGGATGTCAGAGATATATAGAGCTCTCAAGGCTCTTGGGAGCCCCTCCCGCTTCATGCTTTGGACCGCCTCCTAGCCCAATCACAAAGGGGGAATGAGCAAACATGCGGGGTATGGTAGGAAAATGAACTGTTGCAGCGGGGAGCAGTAAACGCGGCGTTGGAGGCCTCGTCCTAACGCTTCTGCTACATAATATGTTCTTCGTTTTTCCATTAGGAAGCAGATGCGTGTCCAACCTCGCAGCTCTCTGCCGCGTTGTGCTGGCCCTATTGGTCAATGAGCAAAGAGATATGCGTTTGGATCTATCGCCTCTTGGCTTCGTAGACGAACCCATCAAAATATCAGTGCAAGGTTGCGGCGCGGGAGGATAAACTCATTACTCATTGGATGCCTCGGAGAAGAAGCATTCATTCTGGCCAATGCCATAAGGTCGTTTTGGCAAAGCACTTCTAGGAAGGATTTTCCTACGATGGCTGCGCATGCAGTCAAGTATCGATTGTCCTGCCTTCACAGGAATGAAATTGCCCTGGTTCAGAGATTATGATCGAGCTCCATTTCACAGCCGCCTGCAAATGATAAAGAGTCGGGGAAGAAGAATTATAGATTCATCTTGGTTGCTGGTAAGCCTTCAAGTTTTCCAAAACAAGGGCCCTTCAACAGGAGTCGCCGAGAAGGCCCCGGGAAATTTCTTTGGCACCGCCTACAGATAGTTAGTTAGCTGTCGGGCACATATGAATCACAAAGCTTATCCTGCTAGCACTGGGTGAAAATGTTTCCTTTTAGCTTAGTGGAAAAGATCTCAGTTTAGCATCTGAGTTCCCCACGAACAACACCATGCACAGGCTGTAGTTAATTACCTGGCAAAGACATAAATTTAATCTTCGATTCCGTTCACCTCTGATGGATCAGGGCTTGTAAACCCCAACCGGGATGGGCGGTTTCTCCCCCAGCGAACGGCGCCTGCGATGGCATTGCTCTCCAACCATAGTGTCCAGGTGAATATACTGGGAGAACGCACCAGGACCCTGTCTCTTGGTGCTTTATCCCCAGGCTGCCTTGTCAGCTCAACAATATCGATGATGGCGACCCAGGAGCCCAGGACGCGGACATGCCAGCAACACCTGGGCCACAGCAGGACAAGAAAGCTGCAGTCTCCCGAAGTTCCACGTTCTAATGACAATGATAACAGCTAAATCTTTGCAGTTTCAGCTTTTTGTCAGCATTGATGGACTACTTAGTGAGTAGTCTTCTGCATATTATGCAGCGTAGGTATATGCCCGCCACATACCATCCGGAGACATAAATGATGATTACCTAGGCATTTCCGCTTATATTCGGTAGTTAACCCGGGGATTCTGATGCTCTGGCCCTGGAGTGTTCGTTAACTGATTGACTTGAACATTGAATGAACGAATCCTGGCGTTTTGTTGTGTTCTCCAACGTCGCCATCAATTCGCCGTTGGAATGGCAGGTGAATGAATTGTCAGCGATGGCGATCTACACCGGACTATGTCGTACATAGCAAATAGTACAGCACAACGAGGCTTGGAGAGAAAAAACCCCCCGTGCTTACAGAACCAATGATGACCTGTGGACTGCGTTCTGTGTATCACCAGAGGCCGTTTGAACCCGCGACTGGGTTCCCGCCATTGATCTCGTTGGGCTGTGATCGGCCGTGGGCCAGGGGGCGAACATGCTACTAATAATAATAATGCAATCTCCACTACGACTGAGCCGTTGTTTTCAGCTTCGGACGCGAAGCTCCATCTGCCATCCGCTCATTGGAGGCGGCGGTCGCTAGGTTCAGTTTTGAACGCTGTGCCGAGTTCGGAATTGGATGTCCATCATAATGCGCAGGACTTTTTAATTGATAAAGATCGTATCCCTGCGAAGTGTTGTTGCTACCTTCACCCCTTCACTGACCTGACAGTGGTAAGGACATATTAACAATACTAGTAGTATCTCTATTGACTGCCAATTGTTATATAGGCTACCATGCTCCCGGCACTGTTGTTCGCTCCTTGACATTTTGTCATTCAGCACTGGATGGCCCAGGCTCTCTCACAAGATATAGACCATTACCCGGCATCCATAAAGCAAGCCATTTATCTGAGAACACCTAGTTGTCAAGCAAGGTTAAGGGAACATAGCGCAAAATGGTTTCCTCCAACAGAGGAGACGTGGAGCGCAAAGCCATGGTGTCGGATACGGACAACACTTCTCCCTATCCATCAGAGATGTTGCCAGAGGAGCGGACGAACTTGGACCGGAAGCTGCTGCTCAAGCTTGACTTCCTCCTGGTGCCGATGATGGGAATGCTTTATTTGCTTTCTTTCCTCGACAGAGCTAATATCGGGAATGCCCGTGTGGTACGTGTCAAATCATATCTAAATGTGCTACTCTAATCGCTTGGAATGCTATATGACGGGAAAAAAATGTGCTGATGGGGCAAAATTGCATATAGGCTGGCCTGCAAAAAGATCTCGGTATCAGTGACTTACAGTATCAAACAGGTGAGGGAATCAGTTCATTTAAAAAGAAAGAAGAAATAGAAAAACGCAAAGCAAAGCATCTCTTTGAAGTGGCGAAATGGATTTCTTTCTGCTAACTCAAGAATAGCTATCACGGTGACATACGTTCCCTACATAGTCACTGAGCTGCCATCAAACCTTCTCATCAAAAAGATCGGACCCCGCATCCTACTTCCAGCCCTCTGTGTATGCTGGGGCATTGTCACCACTCTCCAGTCGCAAGTAAATAACTACTCAGGCCTTATCGCCGCTCGTTTTTTCCTCGGGACGCTCGAGGGCGGCCTATTCCCCGGTATCGTCCTCTATCTATCCTCTTTCTACCGCCGCCATGAACTCCAGATGCGCGTCGGCCTCTTCTTCTCTGCTGCAGCGCTTAGCGGCGCCTTCTCCGGCCTCCTCGCAGCAGCCATCCAAAATATGGAAGGTCTGCGCGGCCTCCGCGGCTGGCAATGGATTTTCCTCCTCGAGGGCCTTTCCACGGTGCTCTTCGGCATATTCTCCTTCTTAATACTCCCCAATGACCCCAGCCAAGTGTTCCTCTTCAGCCCCGAGGAGGTCGAGCAGTGTACGCGCCGCCTAGCCCAAGACACCAACCTCCCAGACAACGAGACCGTAACCCTCAACCGTGTCCTCTCAACCTTCAAGGACCCACACATCCTTAACTTGTGCGCCATCCTCTTCTGCAGCGGTATTAATCTCTACGGCCTCTCCTACTTCACGCCCTCCATCGTCCAAGCGCTCGGGTACAGCCCCACCAAAACCCAGCTTCTAACCGTACCCCCATTCGCCTGCGCTTTTGTCGCAACCATGATCGCCGCCTACTTTGCAGACAGATACAAGCAACGCGGCATCGCATCGATCTGCACCAGCACCATCGCACTCATCGGCGCGGGGCTGGGTCTCAAGGGCCGCTCGATCGCCAGCAGGTACGCCTCGATCTTCCTCCTCGTCACGGGAATCTACGCCACGGCGCCCAGCTTCATAAGCTGGATGACGAACAACACTTCCGGCCATGTTCGTCGGGCAACGGCCATTGCGATGGCCTTCGTCAGTACCAATTCGGGGGGGATCGTCAGCACCTGGATCTACCCGCGCAAGGATGCGCCGTATTACGTGTTTGCGGCCAAATTCAATCTAGCCGTTCTTGTGATTACGATTGTGTTGTGCGGTGTACAGGTGTGGTGGCTAATGACGCTGAATCAAAGGAAGAAGGAGAAGCCCGATGAGGTGATGGGTGATGTGGCGGGGATGGGGTTGGAGGTGCAGTTGGATAGGTTAGGAGACCGGCATCCCGAGTATAGGTATACATACTGAGCCAGAAGGGGTACGAGGAATTTATTCTAGCGGGATGGGAATTGTGCGACTGGAAAGGGGTGTCCTCCTTCTGGAAAAAAATATACCGTATAGCCAAAATCTGTGTGATTGCAATGGGATGGGAAAAACGGAATTTACTGGTCTAGTCTTTGTATATATGTGTATAAACAAAAGTTCACCTGTCCTTCCTTTGTTGACAGAAAAAAAAAAAGGAAAAAAGGAAAAAAAAAAAAAAAAAAACCTGAAAATCCAATCTCATGATCGAATCTGTGCATTTTCTTATCTCTACAGAGTACCCTATAGATGCTTCTCCCAGCAAGCCCATTCTCAATAACGAACAATATCAACGAACTGCAGAGCCATATACTCTATTAGCCTGCAACGGCAAGAGACACAAAACAGGCGCTAATAACTACCGAAATGCTTAATTAAATTTCTCCTTCATGCCCGCTCGCTTGAATGCATAAGCGCTTACAGCTAAAAATAGTTCAGTTGCACTACTGCTACAAAAGGAAAAACCCCCAAGCATACACATAGAGCGTAAGTTCATCATCAGGGCTCCTCTCGCGCCATCGGGGGTCCCGTTCGGAGTTCCGAAGGACACGACGTGCGTTGGAAGATGCAATAATAAATCAGCACCGTACCCAACATTGTTTTGATTCTGCAGGCCGCAGCAAGCTCGCAGCAAGTTCCAAGCGTCAATCCATGCGCCAGCAAACTCATCCAATGTCTTTAAAACCTTCCGTTACTAGTAACAACAATGATCTGAAGAAACTCACCCCAATCCCCTTGCCAAATATCCCAGAACGATTCGTCCTGTCCCGTCCTAACTCCCCCTCTCCCTGAACCGCAACTTCAAACGCTACTTGACCTTCTGCAACATGGCCTGTAGCCACGGCGGCTCGTTATACAGCGAACAAGTCGAGCCCTCCTCTCTCTCATCAGTCCGTTCCTAGTACGAACCATATTGTTTTGCAATAGCCTTTTTTTACAAGGGAGTCCTTCATGCGCATTGCCGAGACAGGCTCCGCAACGCAATATAGCGAGCAGCCTTGCGGGATCATAGCGTACGGGTTAATTAGTGAAGCTTTCGATGCGGTAGCCCGAGGTTACTCGAATGCACAGGGAGCGGTCATAGTTGGGTCCTTGCTGCGGAGAATGTGTTAAAAAAAAAAAGTGACTCTCCGTTCCGGAGCCTTGGAGATCTGGAACACATGCCAACGGACATGCCACTGGTTCCGCAAATCTACCGAAGATTAAAGTGCTGAAATGTATATGTGTCGAAGAGAGCTGCAAGAACCCTATCCCATCAGCGATCAATCATCCAATGAGGCAAGAACTACGTCCTATCAACCTCAAAGGTTCGCTGATTGCCAAAAAGTATACTCTCCTCGCTCTTTCCGTCTGTTCCCTGGAGTGGGAGCAGCAGTAGCATTGGGAAGAGCAATTTTGCTGTGTTCTGATCTTTTGCCTTATGGGCGAACCCTCACCCAGCTCGGTGACATCACAACTGGAGGGGCATGATACAAGAACAGACAATAAATATAGTCACAATATCTTGTTACCACTCTTGAGATGAAAAGACGGGGAAATATAATACAGATGATTCAGGCTGGACTGCTCGGGTAGCAAAGGCATTCTTGATTTCTAAAACGACGCATATCTTGGTAGAGGAGAGGAATTTCAAGTGTGAGGGGAGAAATCAAGGAGGCAAAATACCTCTCCTCTGCTTTGGGCAATTTTCTGCTTTTTCATACCTTGCTCTGGTCGCAGTTCTAACACTGTTTCTCAGATAGATGGACCTTGGGGACATGTCGACTGAAGGGCTTTCCTTATGTACAGAAGGAAGCATGGGGCGAGGATCAATTGAGTCTGGAGCCTGTAAGCAAGTTATATAGTAAAGGATTAGGCCAGCAACTCCTGCAGTTGGTCACGCTTTAATGGGGTTTCTGACATAACGTCAAGATATAGTTGTGACGGAACTGTTCAAATCCGGTTCGTTTGGTTGCGCGACCGTTATTCTTCGGCCAAACGACAATTAATTCCTCCAAACAAGAGCTTTGGAAAACAGGCAGTTCCCACTTGACCATCCATTCTGACTTTAATACTTGTTCAGCCGTGACTCTTTCTGCGGGCACAAACTTCAACATTTGTCGCAGCAGATGTAAGATGGATGGCCTGTCTCCCATCACTCGCAAACTCTTCCACTTGTTCCTTGCGACTCCAATGCCGCATCTAGTGGTCGAAACCGTCCTCGAGAGAGGGCCATCGATACCTGTCTAGTATCGGTTCCCTATTGTTGTCAAAGAACATGTCACGGCCGTCCCATTTCTACCACCGACTATCTAGCAAATCGATACCGTCGGGTCCGGCGCGGAGAACGTCGATATATTGAGAAACGAGTTCGTCCGGACAAGGGAACTCCGCGGTAAAGAGTTACTTGAGTCCAAGAACTCGCCAGATGAGCAGACCCAAAGACCAGATATCAGCAGCAAATGATAAAGGACTATCAGGCTCGAATATAGCCTCAGGTGGTCTGATTCCGAGAGGAGTGTGGCTGTCTTGTGCCTGACGATGATGAGATGCTGGAGCGAATGCCTCGCCAGCGCCACTGAGCAATACCCTGGTATCAGCGAGGGTAACCTGATTGGCGGGATATTTGATGGAAGTGGTTTTCCATCACATTGCTCAACAGGTATAAGGTCAGGATCTCCATAATTTTTATATGGAAGTCCTCAATGGGAAGAGAGTCGAGCTGTAGCGGAACTTTTACAAGAATATTCCGAATATGTTCATATAAACTTCAATTAGCTTTGATGGAAATGGGAGCAACGATATATAACGAACCTCCATGTATAAATCCTTGCGAGTGCAATATACGCAAGAGCCTGAATGATCCTCGCTTCCAGAGCCCTCACAACTGGAAGGGGGGAAACATAGCCATACGCAGCGTCACTAAGGTCGTATCGCGCGGGGACGGTCGTATAGCACGGATGTCTCCCATTCGGGCTCTCAACAACGAATTTGTCGAGGAGAACGGGGATTAAAGGGCAGCCTGGGTGTGACCGAGAAGTGGAAGAAGCAGCATTTGAGAGCTTATGAAGGACCCTCAATCTCGTGTCGTAGCTGATCTTTGATCGGCTATACCAACTTTCACGGCGATATATTGTTTCTTATGGGTACCAAGAGCTAGCCAAACAGTAGAATAACCACCGAACCGCAGCTTGTCCACGATCTGGTACCGATCACAGAGCATATCCCCGATAAACAATGGATGATATCCACCAGGCTTGTACCTTTCGAGCTTTTCCACCCCCTCGATATATATATATGCTCATAATAACGAATATTTCTCTTGTTTTCAGCGCTCGTTGTGGAGGCTGATAAGCAAAATGGCATGCCCAAAGGACTCTTCAGAGGTGGACAAACATTTAGTGGTGGGAGAGCCCAAGGACGCAAGAAATCGAGGAAGTAACTTAGAGCGTAACATCATACAGAATGACTGAGTGGCCAACTGTGTCTTGCTCCGAAAACGGAGTCCAACGCTTCAAAACGTCGTGTTGAGCGGTTTGCCTGATCAAGCTCAATGATGTATCCTCAAGTGAGTTCCTCTGAATCACTTTTACCTTCTTTTTTTTTTTTTTAATTACATCTGTAAGAATTTAATGTATGTATAGTTAACTAGAAAAAGTTCTCTTACATTTCCCTACCTCGTCAAACAAAAAGTAAAGCCAATGGCAATTGCAATGTTGGTTGGAAGTAAATATAATAGTAAAGCAGGGAGAACAAATGAAAAAGAAATATGAAATGGATGAATATAGAACAGAAAAATGATGGGGAAAAAAAGAAAGAAAGAAAGGAAAAATAAGAGTAAATAATATGTATAAGAGAGTTAGCGGAGAATAGGTAAGGTGAGTGCAACAGTAGACCACTGAAGCCGCTTTTAATTATGGAGAACAGTTTCAGTCAAAGACCGTTTGGTAAACCACAAGTGTCGATGCATACCACTACAAATAGAGATACTAGAAAATATGCAAGGAATATATCAAAAACAAATAACTAATAAATATATAAAAAAATTGTAATTTATTGTTAATTGGCATTGTTGATGCTCTTGTTCAACTCAAAGAATCAGAAGAAAAAAAACAGGGAAACCCGCCCTGTGTATTTGATAATAAATTAAACGGATAGAATGGAAAGAGAGAAAAACAAATAATAGTAATCATTGGAGAAGTTCTTAAAAGTAAAAATAGGAAATAAATAAATAATAAAGTAAAAACATTACTGAGATTTGTAAGTAAATAAGGACTTAGCGAGTTGGGATGAGGAAAGAAGCATGCGGGTAATGGATTTGGAATGGGTGAAGTACATGGTCGGTTGCTTGGTCGGTTGATAGGTAGGCCAGCCAATTGACTGATCGGTTGAGAGGAGAGGAATGATGTTGAATGCAAGTTTGGTCCCTTACAAGTTATAACTTGCGAGGGGGAAAACGGAGGAAGAATGAGAATGGTTAATAGAAGATAAAAGTAAACTCAGCATGGTGAGTAAACTGAAACGTAAGAGCCAAAAAGAAAAAAACAAGAAAAAAAGAACAGGCTCAATGAAACCAGTCAAAGGAAAAAAGAATATAAAAAGAGAAAACCCGAGTTGAGCGTGAGAGGAATCGATGCAATTGGCAATTTGGAACAAAAAACAAGAAAAGAATATATATCAAAATAATCAACAGAACATATAAAGCCATACAAAATCTGCGAATTCGCCATTTCCAAATCTGAAAAGAAACAAAAGAAGAGAAAAAGTATCAGAAAAATAAAAAGTAAAGAAAATATTCGGCCGTAACTTGAATTCACCAAGACCTCTCTGCTCGTGTTTTGTTCAATTCAAGCCTCCGCAGCTGTCACAGCAAGGGAGCTCGGATCCACAGTGTCAAACGGGAGCATACCATGGTAATCGCCAACACTCTCATTTGGTGGTGAGTGACCAAGGCCATGTTGCTGCTGTTGTCGGTGATCATGGTCAGCCCCAAACCCTTGCAACGCAAGCACGAAACTATCGTCATCCATCTCCATCGGCGGCGAGTGGTCATGGTGCATAGGTATAGGCATAGACATCGGCATGGACATGGACATGTCCTGATTATTATGATCGTGATTTTGATTAAGATCTTGCTTCGAGTACATCTCGCTCAATAGCATACCCGCAGCATCATCGCTGCCGTCTTCACCTACAACACCAACAGGACCAAGACCAGGCATACCGGCCATATGTTCGTCGTTGCCTTGTTTGGCGTCATGGTCAGCAAGGGAGAGAGAGAACAAGTCATCCGCAGAAGGCGTAGGGGAGGGATTGAGTTGCAGTTTCGTCACGGAGGGTGGAGATTGGTCCGCGATCATTGGTTCGGTAGCGACGTGGCTGACATGTGATAATGGTGAGGGAGAGTGTTGTTGCTGTTGAGGCATCATATTTGGGGCATCAACCATTGGAGACGGTGAGAGGAAGGGAAGGCTGTATGGTGATCCTAGTAGCTGCGTGGAAGTGTTAGGCTGTTGCTGGTGAGTTTGCATCTGAATCGGCTTCTGGTCTGCTGGTGCAGCTGTAGCGAAGAAAGGTGGATTGGCGAATTCTGAGGAGGTCGCAGCTGTTGTTGCAGTGTGTGTCGTTGTTGTTGCAGACATGGGATAGGGTTGGAAGTCCATGGCATAGCCGGGCGGGGCATCTATCCGCATGTCATCACTGACAGGCGGAATATGTGGCATGCGGCTCTGCGGGATGGGTGCGAAGATGTTAGGATCTGGGTTGAACTGCTGTGCTGAGGGATGGGATTGTTGGATGTGGAATGAAGGCACATGGTAGCCCATGGCAGCAAAGTCAACTGGCACGGGAACAGACCGGCTTCGTTGCCGTTTATGACCCCGACCAGGATGTAAGTTCATTCCGAATTGGTTATTATTCTCCTGATACATGGATGAATTGGGCCTAGCTAGATGGTTTGGCTGCGAAGCTGGTCTGTGAACGATGTGCGGAGAAACAGGAGCTGACACAGCGAATCCGCTGAAATCATACTGCATCAGACGATTTTGGAATGACTCAAGCGATACCAGTTTCGCTAATTGAACACTGAGGACTTTCGGGTGACCGCCTAGATAATGAATCATTGACTTGGTAGCCTGTTGATCCTCAGTGAAATCCCTGCATTGGTAAAATCCGCCCGAGTTTGATGAGTCCATATAGAAATTTGGAGGACGATTGAGTTCGATAACCAGTCCTCCAGGCTTCGGTGGAGTGCCATCAGCATTCGGCCCTGGGTCGCCAGATTCCAAGACAATATTCTTGATGTAAGAGAATGGGTATTCGATCTTATACCCCGCAGAATCGTTATTTATATAGTATGTCATGCAAGACTTCTCAGGAGAATAGAAGATCACTAGGTCCATGGCATTTTGGCCTACACGACGCCAGGTACCAATTCTGAGGGAACGACATGCGAAGTGGTGGATAACGATTTTGCCAGACGAGACAGGAGGCTCATGCATCTCGTTGGGTCCGTATCCGGGGTATCTATTGAATAAGTTGCGTGCGTGAGCCTTTGAAGTATCAAAATGGAGGGCAAGATATTGGCGCATCGATTCGGGAATGGCATCACAGTCTTCACCAGTCTCGATGCCTTTTTTGGCAATCATTTTGATCTTAGCACGTCTACACTATCAAGTTAGCTCCATCCATCTCAGGAAACACCGTCTCACAACAGAGCAAAAATGCTATATTTTGTATATCAGGGCGGGGATCCTACCGATTTTGAAACCAAATCTGAACCGACCGCTCAGTCATATTGATCTCCTCAGCAATCCTCTCGCGCACAGCAGCTGTCGGGGTTGGATTCTTATTGAACTCCGTTTCAAGGGTAACCAGTTGATCCTGCGTTGCGCGCTGGCGTTTCTGGTTCTTCTGTTGCTGCGTCAAGGTACTTTTTCGCGGCGGGCGACGGATTGATGCGCGGTTCTGGGTTGCAGAGGATCCCGATACTGCGGAGGCACTGGTGGAAGATGGGGAGGGAGTTGATATTGCGGAAGTGGTATTGTCTGGAGTCACGCCACTCGTTGAATTGATATCGTTGGTAGTTCCATTATGTGCTGTCATGGCTGTGGCCGTGATCGACGTGGCCACGGACTCTGTTGTCGAAGTCATGACTAGCAATGGAGATGTATATAATGCAGGAGCAGATAGAATATTTGGGCAGGTCTAATGGAGAAAATGCTGTCGCGAGCCGGTCGACAGATGCGAATGGGTCGTCAATTCGTAGAAAGATAATTTTCGAGGCGTCAAGCTCGAAAGAGGGGGAAACGGAGGGGAACGGAGGGGACGTAATGAACGGATATATCTGGTCGAAAAGATGTAATAACGATGGTAAAGGAGTGACTTGAAGAATGTGCAAAAAAAGCGAAGCAAGAAGAATCGAAGCGTTTTTTTTTTCTTCGCCCGTTTCAAATGAGTGTATGAATAAATAATGGATAAAACGAATGGATGGGATTACTCGCGCTTCTAAAAAAAAGAAAGAAAGAAAGAACACGAGGATAGAAGCGAAGGGATATGATGTTATGATGGAGTTCTGGGACGAAGATTTCTCTCGATCCAGGCGCAACCAGCCGAACCACCAGGTGATAAGAGATGGATGGATCGCCTCCCTCACGGTTGATTATGTCCCGGACCTCGTCGATGAGTGTAGTTAAATCGAAGGGAAGAAGTCGAAGAAGTCAATAAAGTCGAAAAAGCTGGACCAAGGCAGCGTGGCAGTGGCAAGGGGTTCGAAGGAAAGCAGCCGCATGGGCTAGGGAGAGTCTCTGTTTTGTATATCTTGATATATATGGATATATCGATATCGATATCTATATATATGTGTGTGCAATATACGAGATAGATCCTTAGTGGTGAACGAAAGTAGTCGGCTAAAGGGCGGACAGAAGAAGACTAGAAGCAGAATAAAGAAGGAATCAAAGCTGAAGGAGCGTGGTTGGAAAGCCGTGAAGGAGTGAACGGACTGTAATCCAGGGGTTTGGAGGGGGTAAGCAGACAGACGATAGGGGTAAAAAGGAAATAAATGAAAGAAAAAGACGACCAGTATATGTTTGGGGGAGAGGAGGATGGAGGGGAGGAGAAGGAAGAGAGGAGAGGAGTGGGAGAAAGAGAGTTGAGGTGAGCACCACACGCCCAAACCACACCACACCACACCACACCACACCACACTCCACTACACAACAACGGCACTGGCGCAGGGCAGCCAAACAGCAACCAAACAGCTGCCAAACAGCTGCCAGACACCAACGACCAAGACTGGCAGGTCCTTGGACTGGCTGAGACGACTCCAGGCACGGGAACCAGGAACCACACTCTGGCAGGCCCGGGCTGCTAGTCTCAACGCAGCCGAGTCCGCGCAAGGCCCACGCTGCCCGGCTGCTGCTGACTGGAACCTTGGGGCACCCCCCACACCCTTGAAACCTGGTAAGAAGCGTGTCTGGCCGTAAGCAGCTAGCCGGATCGTGGTTGTCTTGCCTGGAGTTGCGGCCAATCAATCCCCGGACTCAGGTGCAAGTTGGGCAAACAGGTGCAGCAGGTGAGCAGGAGCAGGCACAAGTGCCGGCTGGCTTGGCAGAAGAGAGAGACTAGTATGTTGTCAGCTGAGGTCTGGTATGGTCCCTTTTCAATACTACACTCCTTAAGAACATGCTAACATATATATATGTGTTTCTGCTAGATATATTAATATATTTATAACCACCCATGACTTATGTATAAACTGCGCCTGTATATGTATGTCGTCCCTCGTGGCGCCGTTTGGGGGCGAAGCCCGATTCACCCTCCATAATGTACTGTACCATGGGGTGCGCTGTGCCATGTACTGTACCTCGGCTACCATCATCCTAGTCAGAACAAAAAAGTGAAGAAAGAAAGAAGAAAAAAGAGAAAACGTCATGAGGGCCAGATTCAATAATTCTAGATCCTCTTTTTCTTTTTCCTGTAGTGGGCGGTCAGTTGTCAGTTCACATAATTCCCGACATGAACTAGTTTTGACCCGGCAGCTGTCAGTCATGATCTGAATATGAAAAAAAAAAAAATAAATAAATATATCAATTGATATAAATAAGAAGAAAATAAAGAAAATAAAACCTCACACAATCAAGTAGCAAGTATTATTCTATCTCATATCCGTTTCTTATTCGTTACAAAAATTGTTCCTTGCTACTAACCTAGTCTAAATCGCATTATTGTATATTTATACCATCAAGCAGGGAGGGATCCATTGCTCGATAATAACTAACACATACACAAAAACGCAGCAACCCGAAAAGAAAAAAAAAGATTAATGCATTCTGCAGGTCGGTCTGGCAATCTGATAAGTCCAGGGAGAAAATAATAGGTAGGGGGTTGGGAGGAACATGTGTTGTACTGTACATACAGGCTTGGATCAGACAGTCGCTAGTAGATAGCTTTTACACCGTGAACCTTTTTTTTCCATGGTGCTGCACTTCTGCTCTACTGCATATTGCGTAATCCTCATGCCAGGGATATCTGGTTTGGTTTCTTTCTGGGTTCCCCTGCCAGTAGTTGATGCGCATATAGTTATGGATTGGATAAGCCGCATCAATCAATTGTTTATATCTCGTTGTTATTACAGGGGTTGAGATGGGTAGTCGCCAGGGTTGTCTATTTATGTCTATGTAAACTTATCGCCACCAAGTTTGGTGCCGGAATACTTACCATAATCATCAAAGACTCATGAAATCAAGTTCACAAGATAAAATATGGCGTATCCATACCGTGCAGCGGTCCAATATATATAGTTCATAGTACATAATAAGAAAAGTGGATGTATACTGCCTTGAGAATGCCAGCCTCCCCAAGCAGCGCTTTGGCTCGGAGAAATTCCACCAATAGCTCCTCAATAGTCTGTCTAAGTCAGCGGTGTCATCCCAGGGTCCCGGAGAGGCTTTTCCTGTCCTACGGAATCGCTAGCTATGCTATGCTATGCTGCACATGAAAAAAAAATGCTACCTCCCCCTGACAATAGGAGGCGAGGCGTATGGGTCAACCAAACAGTGTTAATCCGTACACCCCCTTGGAGAGGAAGGAAAGTTTCTTTTGCTATGTGCAGCCCAAACGGATACACAGGCAGATACACAGGCGAAGGCCGCGGATGATTCATTGTTCTACGGATTTACTTCCTTTCTTTTCTTTCTTTTGACAGTAGTGTCCCCTTACCCAACAATTTATGCCCTACAGGACGCTACTGGTATTCAAGGGTTTATCCATTAAATGGAACCTGGGATATCTGCACTTCTGCACAACAAGGTCTTATTTAGCAGACTTCATTCGCTTAGTTATTAACTAAGCCAAATCCTTCATTTGTCCAGCTCATTGTGAAGCTATGTATGAACCTTCCCCCAGCTACTCTTGTTCTCTCCTTTATTGAGTACATACAATTGAGCACAGATTCAAATCAACGCTGCTTTCTCCCTTCCCTTCTCATTTCTTTTGGCGCTGAGGCCAGAGCTGCCTGCCTGTGGTCCGTTTAAGCTCAACGAAACCCACCGACCCCTTGCCATCAAACGTGTCGATCAGTTCGGATCTGCAGAAGTTTAAGTTATCTATCTCACTAGAAGTCCAAAGATGGGGGGAAACGAAATAATAAAGTATGGAATATGGGATTTTTGAAGAGTTGCCATCCAGACCTCAGGAGTTCACATTAACTATTGCCAGCCAACCAGCCAACCAACCATTATCCCCCTACTGTTACATATGCAACCCCTAGATGGGGAGGATTCAACAGATGTAACAAACGCAAAGCCAAAGTTGTCTATTTCAACCTTCAGTACTTGTTTCCCCCATCAGCCCCATCAGCCCCAGCTGGCCCCACTTGCTCCCGGTGTCCTTGACCCTACCTATATCGAAAGTAACTTGATCCATATCCATATCTTCCACGCGCGGAATATTCTTCCGGCTTGGTGCAGGCTGCAGCAGGGAAGGTGTTGTGTTCGGCATTCGGTATGCGGTATGTGGTATGCAACATGTAGTAATGCAGCCATGCAGGTCCCATGAAAGAACAAAGGGAGCGTTTTTTGCTCTTGCTTCTGTACCTGGATTCGAGAAAGAAAACAGGAGGAATAAAAAAACGTGCGCCAGCTTCGACACTCACATGAAGGTACATGCAATGACTGGACGTACAGTAACATACGTAGCACGTACAAGACATCATCGCTTCGTGGTTAACCGAGTTTCATGGAGTTTCAACAGAACCCGGTTTTTATAAACTATTGATGTTTTATAGTTCATGCCCACTCGCTGAACGCTTCTTCTGCTTCCTCTTTTTTTCACTTTCTACATTTTTAATCCAGGATCAACCTCGGGTCCGATATTGCACAGTCCATGAAAATTGCGCTATATTTAGCGCCTATGTAAACCCATAGCTAGCTAGCTGTATGTACCCGTCGCCAGCGGTACTTCCAATGCCTGCTGCAGGTCCCACGAGGCCCACAGTCCTGTCCTGTCCTGTCCTGTCCTGTCCTGTGCTGCGCTGCGCTGCACTTCTCCGTCTGCGAACGCTGTACAACGCCTGCTATATCTCCTTGCTTAAATCCCCGACCGAGGCATTGCAGGAAAGCATGGTTCTCTTTGACCAGAATTCGTGCTTGAAAGCAACGTGTTTTCTTTCTTTCTTTCTGTTCCGTTCGTTCCGAGACCTGGAGGATTGTTTGTTTCGGCTGTAGGTATGTATGACGCATTGATGTCAGTCAGCTCATATATCGAGCTACGTAGGATGGTTTTTAGTCGATTATTTGTTGTAGAGCAAAGACTTTACGGTTGGATGAAGATCAACCATGGAGAAGGCAGGATTCGAGCTACCAATTGAAACGTCATATAGTATGGCATGGCGTGGCATGGCATGGCATTGCATTGCACAGTAAGGCGGTGTTGCAGGTTCCTGCATCCAAAACCTAAATAAGGAATCGAGTACTCCACAGCGTGCGCTTCCACAGCCCTCGGTCTAATCGCTCCCCTGCACATTCTTTGAATGACTATAAAAAAAATTCCCTCCAACTGAACTCAGCCAAAACGCAAAATGCAAAATGCAAAACACAATTGCATAGGCTGGAAACAGGAGGGGGCTCATGGAGCGATTGACGCCTACATGCGTCATTCATCTGCGACAGCACGTTTGATATATGTGGAGATGTGTGTTTTGGCAACCGCTATTGAAAGTTCAAGATTTGCAACACATTAAACTAACTAGTTGACGGAGTTCTTCCATGACTTCAACAGCTTTTCTGTATCATGTTTGGTTTTGATCCGTTGGAACCAAGTTCTTTCCTCTCCTTGCCGGCCCCTTATTGAATGAAACGTATCTGACTCGAGTCTTGAAACTTGGTGTCACAGGTTGGCAAGCTGGCTCTATCTTAGCTTCTGCGCATGCGTTCGCCATCTGTGACCATGTTTGAGCCTTTTTTTTTATTTTATTTTTTTAAAATCAAGTTAATTCCACTAGCACATACAATGAGTCATTGTCAAATAATATACGGAGGTGAAAGGAAGAAAGAAGGAGAAAGGTGAGATCAGTATCACCATTGGCTCTCGGAGGACGGAAAGTCAATTCTTCCAGAATTTTCCGTCGATCCGGCAATTCAGGCAGCGGCAGGAAAAAGGAAAGTTCGCCGCCGATTCATCCACCGACGTCACATAACTGATCCCCCCGTCGCAACCACCCGAAAGAAGGCAGAAAGGCCGATTCTGTTGGAGAGAGCGCTAGGAATCAAGTGAACGGAGGAAAGCCTCGAAAAATTCTTCCTTCCACATCCTCAAGGAAGTAGGAGCAAAGCGAGGTCCCCAGCTAGCTCGGACCTCGTCGACGCCACCAAAAAGTGGGTTCAAAAGGGGGCGCCATCGCCGGTGCCTTGGTTGCCAAATCGTCAGGTCCCATGGATTTATGGCTCACATCAGGCACACTTATCGTTGACCCTTGGTGCTCGCAAGCAAGGTCCAACAAATGTTGTTGGGCCAAACGACTTCACGCATCCTCCGTACACGACGATGAGAACTTGTTCATCTTGGTGCCGAGCGCCGAATCTGTCATCCAAAGCCACCTAACGTTTCCCTAACGTTCCCTTAAGCCACTAAAGCCACTAATCGCACATAGGGTAGGATTGACAATGCGATCCTGCAGGGCTTAGTTTCGATATCCACCACTTTCAAGGAATCCAAACTATATCAGGAATGGTTTCAGCGCGGGAAAAAAGGGGCCATTTACTCCAGAGAGGTTCCAAATCCCACCCTCGTCAAACTGGCCAATACTCTTGAGTACTCTTGTGCTTTTAATGCTTTTCTACTACATAATAGTACAGGACATCGAAGTGGGTAAGCGGCAAGTGAGAATGCTGTAATACACAAGGGAGATCATGACTTAAAGTTCCATACTAACAAACAATTCCGCCTGTCATCAGATCAAGGGATTCCTAAGAATGTCAAAAACGGATGCGCAAGTTTAATGCCTAAACGTTCTCTTCGGACCCAGGTAGTTCTGCACTTCATGACTCGGGTTAGAGAAATCCACATAAAACGCCTGGCCGTTACAATGTCCCCATGCATGACTCAACCCGGGAAAAAACAAAAAGGAAGGTTCATCACCCGCCAACTGAGGTGCTTTATTTTCCATTTGTCTTGTTCGGGTTAGGGGGTTCTTCTACCTTTGCTATCCCCCCCAGTGCAGATACGGGACCTGGTGGTAAATCCAGATCCTTTGGCCGAGACCATGTCCGTGTCAAGTCACATCGCATCCATGGATGCTAAATAGGCTAGCTAGCTTTGGCAAAGTGGAATCTTGGTATCAACTGGTTTGGGAAAAAAATTTTCTGCTTCGTTGTAATATTGAAGCTCATCAGCTCGACTAACTAAATAACACTTTTTGCCATCTTTTGATCTCTCAAATGTTTTCCAACTACTTGGCTTAAAAAAAAAGAAGGTCCTCGTTCATAGCCGTATGAAGTTGATAAAGTCTTGACAATCATGCGCTTCGCCTGATGAAACGAAACCAGGCACCATCAACAGGCGCGGGAGGGGCTGCTGCTAAAAATAGTTATTTATCCAGTTTTTTATCTGTTTGGAACATGTTTCAAACAACACCAGTGTCACAAGTTAAATCTTGATTATCTCTGTTGTTTGTTACTTTGTTTTCTCCTCCTGGAGATCGGATAACAAGGTCAGGCCCCCCGTGCTACCCCGTATATCTGGTTGTAGGACTAGTGGAAAGCGGGTAGGAACATGTTTGGTAAATCATTTCTAACCCCTCGTCCGTGGAGGAGCAGCGGCATCATATGACACGAATTATGGAGGGGATGGGGGGATACCCGAAAAATGTTTTCGAGAGTATGTGACTGATTGCTTGGCTGCAGATTATGTGACACAGATGGAAGCTTTGGAGTATCAGCCTAACGAAGTAAACATAATATCCCTGCGGTCTTGCTATCTCTTAAAAGGGGCTCGCTCCATATCCTTCGATGTGACGGGGACCGTCATTGGGGCCAGCGGAGCACCTCTCCAACTTGGTGTGGAGAGAACCTGCAATTTGGATAAAAGCGTGCTCTGCTGGGCTTGTTTTTGAATAAAATGGAGTCCAGCGACGGGTTCCTAGGTTCTGGTTCATGGGTTGATGGATGATGGGGAAGAGAGTGGGAAGTTAGTGACAGCGGTAATCGTATGGGATTACCCTGGCTTGCCCTCCGATGGAACATCCACCGTTCAAGAAGGATGGCAGGGAATCCACGTCAAGTTTCTAGTGCAACGCTAAAGTGACAGTTCGGCGGCAACAACAAATGTTGAGTGCTACCTGATTTTTCGCGGCTGCATTTGCTTCCACGACTGAAGCCGTATTTTCTCCGCTGTTGGTGAGCATCCTATGCAGCAAAGATCCCGGGCACTCCCAGATATACATACAGTCAATCCGTTAATACAATAAGAGAATACGGCTGGAGTGTATTATCTCCTACATATGTATCCGAGGTGTCCTTGATCTCTCCAGTGAAGTCACATTGACCACAGGATAAGAATATAAGTGTAGTGGAAGCAGGTCTCACTTTTGACTCGTTGTAATCGCCGAAATGACCTTCTTCATGCTGTGATTGGGGCTTATGCTCCCACTGTTACAAAGTACAGAAAATGGACCACAGCGTTTCCAGTTACAAGTCCTCAATCATGCCTAGTTCAGGAGTTAATCCATGTATACAAGATATGGGAGCTCGAAGACGAAATCCGTGCTAGAGCCTGTGCACAAGGAGCCTTGTAGCGAATATGAAATTTTTCGTTCAAAAGTACATGGACGAACATTTAACCGTCTTTGTTATTTTTATACCGCGCTGGAAAATGATTAATTGAAGCTGTCAAAAGTATTCCGCTATCAAGAGTCAGAAGCCGAAGATCGACTCTACTGATCGAGATCTTTTTTTTGACACAATGGCTGATGAAAAGAGAAACAGACCCTGGCTTATATCAATGCATTATCACAGTTAGCAAAATTCTGGATTGTGATGTCCGTGGCTCATATAAAGAGAATTAGCGAATGGGTTTCTCTTGACAGTAGTGGCAATGTGCAGAGGAGGGCAGCTGGAAACATATTTGGAACAGCAACCGTTCGCGTCTGATTATACTGGCATATCAGTTTAGCTCTATTTTCCGCTATATCGGCTGCATAGACCTGACTCACCTTTAACAGTGTAGATAATATGCACGTTGCATCTCAATTAATACCACGTATTATTTGAATATATATTCCCCAAATATATCTCAAGACGGCCTTCCCAATCTTTCATGGCGTTTCGAATTCGCGGTCTTGTGCGGAGATGAACGGAAATATATCAAAAAGAAAGCATAGACAAGAGCGCGGCGGCCTTCAGCTTGCGTCAATACGTATGGGCAATTCCACGGCCGCCTGTCCTAGACTCGAATAACCCAAAAAGAGCCACGCATCCTAAAATCGACTTATCCACACTTATCCATCCCTCCAGAACCGATTACATTCAACTTTCCCACCCTTTTGGCACCGCTGGTGCAACTCCTCTTCGCCTTAGGTACCGCTCTAACCTCACTTCTAGTTTGGCCAACCTGCCTCTGAAATCCATACCTTCTCTCCCTTCATCCTTCCCCTCTACACCAACAGTCACCCCCATTTGTGTCCAAATGCTCCACGAACCCATGAGTCCAGCCATAATCACGTCCGTGCCGAGGCGATCACCCACTATCGCAACTTCATCTGGTGAAGCTATAGCATTCTGAGCACGAAGGTGGGCGAGGATAGAAGGGTAAGAAAACGGTTTCTTGAGCGAATGGCGCGTTGGCGGAGACTCTGAAGCTTCGCTGGAGCCAACCACTTTCGGGGGGATGCCAGATCTAAAAACTGGAATTTTCAAATGGGACAAGACCGACTCGATATGTTTTGCTTCTTCCTCGTAAAGTGCAATGTTTGGATCACTCCCCGCCGTGTTTGAAACGATTAGAATGCCATGTGGATTATTATTCATGTTGAAGGGAGAGGAAGTGTCGGTACGGAGGTCCTTGAGCTTTTGCATATAGGCAGGGGGGATTATGCGGGACTCTGGTGGGGTGAGTGTGTTGTCTTTGTCGATTACTAGGGCACGAATTTTGGGTGGAAATTTATGTTGATTGGCATGGCTGCTTGGTGTGGAGAAGTACGAGGAGGGAATAAGGTGGGCACCCAAGTTGTCTCCTGGCAGTTGAAGGAATGTCGGAATTGTATAATTGGGGACAAGGAGTGATGGATTACGGAATAGAGTGGATATGGCAAGATTGAAGGCTGGGATATTCGGATTGAGTGGACGTGGCATGGTGACCTCTATTTATCTGGTGTATACAGGAGAGGACGGATGATGTTAGCTCAAGCATCCGCGAGGGGTTGAGCTTAGAGATGGTTGCTAGATAACAGATGTTGGTAACCATGAGACCTAATTGAAAATGAAAATAGGAAAATGAATCAAGCCATTGATTAAAAATGTATCGGGCTGGCGGTTGCCCAGAATCAGAACAAAGGTCTGTTTATTGCTGTCGTCGATGCTGAGGATGAGAAGAATGAAGCTGGAATTTGGGCAACGAAGGCGGCTCCAAAGCTTAATTTGCGAACAGAGGTTAAATTGCCGAAAGCGGTGACTGTTATTGAACCAACTTCTGACAAGAAATCCACGATGATGCCATGACACTGCAGCCCACCCATCCGATATTGTCTGGACATATTTGACGATATCTCTCAGACTATTTAATTGTTTATTCAATTACGGATTTCTCCTCCTGCCTCGACGCACCTTCAGCTTCGAGATGGGCAAATTAACGAGTACCATTGGTATTCCCATCAAGCTCCTCAACGAGGCGCAAGTAAGTCTCTCTCCCATCTACTCGTGTTTGTTGCGCGTGTGACACTTTTCTATTGATAAGGGCATATGATATCTGTTATTTTGTCGCGCCCAGCACTCTTTATTTGAAGGAACCACATGCTAACCGTTTCTTTTATCCCGTAGGGCCACGTCGTTACGCTAGAAATTTTGTCCGGGCAAGTCTACCGAGGAAAGCTACTTGAAGGTGCGTGGAATATTTATATTTGTTGACTGTTTTTATGGCGAGAATCTTCGAGGTTCTCTGAACGGGAGGCTGTGACGGCTGTCACAGCCATTGCATACGGTTTTATTTTTTGCTAACTTGAAAGTTGAGTTCCACGTAAATAGCCGAAGACAACATGAACGTCCAGCTTAAAGACATTACTGTCACGGCTCGCGATGGCCGTGTTTCGCATCTTGACCAGGTCTATATTCGGGGAAGCCATGTGAGATTCTTCATTGTACCAGATATGCTGAGGTATGACATCAAGATAATTTTTGCTGTTCGGAAAACGCGATGTTTTGGCTGTTTTGATGGACTCCCCTTCTTTCTGCTCTTCACCCGTTAGCAATTTCCTCTGTGATTTAGTAAAACCCATAGAGTAGTCACTAATATACGTTCCGTCTAGAAATGCGCCCATGTTCCGGTCAAGAGGTCAACGCGGTAGAGGTGTTGGGCTAGCCAGAGGCAGAGCAACTGTGAATAGGGCTCGGGGTCAACGGAGGGGTTAAATTGCCGTTGTTTTTCTCACATTAATCATTGGTGTTTTCTCTTCGAATTCTATTTTTACGGATATATGAAAACTTGCATGAATGCAGCCTTTTTTCAAGGCCGACCGCTTCCGCTGGACCATGCACGCCATGACTCTGAAGTCCTTCCTGCTATATTGTTCATATGGCTTGATTCAAAAATATGTACAAGAAGGATATATGAGCCTAGCAAATTGGAGGCAGTATAGATGCATTTTGCTACGTGGTGGTGGGCTTGTTCATTCGTTCACGGCGTTAAATGCGGGTGGACATATTTATGTTCAAACAAGCTCTAGCTAGAACAAAAAAGGTATCTATTTGTGATTCCATATCTTAGTAAATGTAAAGGACTTGAATTTGGCTACGCTTTGAAATTCCCGCCCAGAGTGGAAGGAAGTAAATGTTAGGTTTGATTTCCCAAATTCAATCCTATGAGAAACATTGCTTTTCTTTCGGTGGTAGGACTTCAGCCCCGCTGAGTAGAGGAATCCACTCTTCTATATACAGAATAAGTCAATCTGACCTATTTCAACATCCGTTATTATATCCTGAGGGTAGAATCCCATATGCCCCTAGGGACATGTAATACTACCATCTCACTCCTGCCCCGCTGCTCCCCGCAAATCCTAACTCTCTTCGTCAAAGTTTCACTCCCCCATATTAGTATCCCTTCAAGCCCATCCTCGCCATGCAGCCTCCACGACCACAGAAAGACGAATCCCTGAACAGTGCAAAACCCGCTCCACGGATCTCAAACCCACGTCGTCTCCTAATCTTAACCCCCGCGTCGCAATCTCACACCATCGTCCCTCCTTTTTTGCATAGCCTAACTGGAGTTCCGGTCACCAATGCGCCGCAAGCTACAAACACCACTCAATCAGGAGAAAAACAAGGTGAGTTATGAAAATGTGATATGTATCCTTCTCTCTACGTGCTCTTAGCGTCAAGTATTTAACGTTCTTGCTCACCTGTGGCTTTAATTAGACCCTGTCACGGCGGACAGCACCGACAGCAAGGACCTAACATCCACATTTGCTGGATACACTACACATTCTCCACTACGAATAGAGACGAAATACTACACGGCAGATATACCTATATGGGTCGATGAACTTCCGTTCCCTTATAATAACAGGACGTCGCCATACTCGTTACCGCAATCCCACCCAGACGCATCTAGCTCTAGAGACGCGGATTCGAAGTTACCACAACCCCACAGCCTCACGGCCTGGAGATCTGAATTCCTTTCCGATGAAGCTCGGGAGGTGCGAGACGTCATTGGTGCCGTTGTCGTCTGCATAGAGAGACCGGCCGTGGCATCGTATGAGTTAATTCCCAGTGAAACCCCAGAAATTACACGGGATAGAGAACATAGAAAGAGGATTGCGCAAGGGATAAAGGAGCTTTTAAGTGCAGTTGCGGAGGTTAGGAATCGAATTGAAGAGGAGCGTGGCGGGATTGGAGAAGTTCCGGGATTGGTTGTATTGGTGGGGACGGATGAAGGGAGCAAGAGATCGGAGGGGAATATGAAGCGGAAGGGAAGTGAGTTGGAAGAGCCGGCGGACAGCGGTGATGGTCTTGATCTGGGACACGCCGTGGAGTTTAGTACTAGCTGGTGGGAGGACGAATTAACTGAGATGGGACATTTCGAACTGGAGGTTGTGGCGTGGGACCCCAAGGCGGAATTAAAGGAGGATAAGAGGAATGTCTTTGGAGGTCGGTATCTTTCTCTCATGGTCTACCTGCGTTGCATTTTGGGTGTGCAGTTCTCCTCGCTCCTAGCCTCTTGTTTTCCGCAGTTTTAACCTGATTTATTACCTTGCTAAATTCCCAATCCCCGCAGAACTCCAAGGTATGGCACGGATAAAAGAAGTCCTGCAGACGAATGAGTGGGCCTCAAATCGCCAAGGAGATCTTTCAACTGATTTTCTTCTCGACTCTGATGAAGATTTTGGTTTCGATAACGAAGCTAGTGAGCTCGAGCGTGAAATGCTTGGTCTTAAACTAGCAATTGAAAAAGGGGCTGATGAAACTGGTGCTGGCGAACCAGATCTAAAAAGCCACAATGAGGAGGATGAACTCCATGTTGAAAAGATTGATGGACTAATGTTGAGAATGAAGGCTATTAAGGGTGAGGAGATTCACATTCCGTATATTGAAAGGGGAAATGTGGCGTTTCGAATTTCCTTCTCTGCGGATCTGTCTACTAACATATCCATAGATATGGCTGCTGAATTACCTGAAGCAGAGCGTAAGGCGTTTGCGGTTAAGGCAATCAATGATATCATGAAGGATATTTAAAGGCTTATGGCAGCACTAAATCAACAATGCCAGAAACGGGGTTTAAGTAGCTTCTATTAATTATATATCTGAACGTAAATCACGGATCAGCTCCAGGTAAATCGCATTACTAAAAATATTTCAACCATTTATACGCCAATAACATCATCTAATTCAGTTTCACTTTCAGTCAGCCTTCCTGGGTTGCATCACCTTTCTTCTTTGTGACATCATATGGGTATAGAGAATGAAGGAGCCTATACGATGAAGAAAAGGGGGTTAGCAAACTATCGTACAAACTTTAGGGTGAAATAGTCGGAAAACCGACTGAAACTTACATGGCGGGTAGATGACTAGCATCGATATGAAAAACCATGCAACCACAGGCTGAATATCCCACGCCGGTGCAATGGCTTTGTAAATCAATGTACACTCACTCGAAATACCAATGGGATAGAGGACGAAGAAAGTATTGTATCTAGTGAGGCCATCGAGTTAGCCCCGAGTCAGATCATGAATAAGCAAATTTAGATGATATCTAAGCACATCCACGAACTCCAGCCGCAGTCACAATAAAACCGCAGACTAGCCCGCTGATTTAGACGGAGTGGAAGGAAGGATAAAAGAACATACCTCAACCAAATCAGCCATCGAGGTACTGCAGAACCCAAACACTGCACCACAAAATATCCATATCGAATACACTCTGTAATCCCCCAAGCGCTCGCGCAGCCAACCACCATCCAATCGCCCAATCTCCACTCGGGGGCCTTACCCCTGGCGCCCACAACTCCCTTCTCTTTCCCAATCATATCCACCGAGAAGGGGAACATAACAAACCAAACCACCAGGATACGGCTGGCCACCTGCATTGCCGTCGTGATGGGGGATGCACGCACGAGCTTTACGAACGCGTGAAATATTTCCAGCAGGGCAAGCGTCTGGGTGAAGCGGAGGAGGGGGAAGAGAGCATCGAATATATGCGCGACATGGCCGGTGGGCACGAGGAGGGCGAGGAAGAATATTAGTCGTACTGTTATGATGGCCCAAAGGACGAGGGAGAGGGTGTTGTAGCAGACGAGGTAGGTGGTTGCAGTCTTGGAGGCTGGCTTGCTGGTGCGGTTCTTGCCATTGGGGTGTTTGAAGTCTGGCATTTTGCTTTCGCTATTCTGCCTCTACGGCCTGCTTCCGTAATAACTGTAGGTTTGGCCTCCTTTATCGTTTGTTCGTTTGTTGGTTGTTGAGATCGTTCTGGGTTCTTCTGATGCTGGTGTTAAAGCCGCTTGGCTACCAGAGTTTCTTTGCCTGCTCAATTGAGAAAAAAAATATGGTTGTTATACATAAAAAAGCACCCGAAAAGAATGGGTAGCGGCCACTTTTACTACTCAATTCAGGCCGAAAGTGTTTTCGGATCTTTGATTCATGATGACCTAAAAAAAGTAAATATCCGTATGCCAAGACTTCAACAAAATCATGACGAAGTCGCAGTGGTGATCAGGAGCTATCATTGTAACAATATCATTTAACCCACAAGCATGCTATGCTTGCTACGACCGGTTACAAGAGCATAAATATAGTGCATCTAATATGTGATATTGGAGAAGAACATAAATAAGCAGAATATAAACAATTGAAGAGAATCAATTCATATTTACTGATAGATATTGCTAGATATTAGTGTTATTTATTGCTGGGGCTTCATATCATAGATGATATCATCGCCAGATATCGCTACATCTTGATATTGCACATAGTTGGGTGTATGGGTATATGGGTAGGAGAGAGTAACCTGGATATCTCACTATCATTAGCACAAAATCTCCACATAACAGCTCCTCAGTATCATTCATCTTCATAATATAATATCTCAATTAAGATACGTCACCGAATTCTTTGAAAAGAGGGTGTAGAAGGCAGAGATTGCTCATATGTAACTATGGAATATAATATGAGACATTTGATGGGCAGAGATGCAAGGAATAGGGGTTATGAAGCTAACCACATTACTGCCCATAAAATACAGAAAAACCACTTTTCAATTAACTATATATAGAGAAGAGAAGATTATAAGACTATTGGGTCACATATTACAAAGTCATTGCACGAGAACAGCACCAATCGCACATGCCCATCAATTCATTCAACAAGATACCCACCAAAATCCTGATTCCTGCTAACTCAGGATACGTTAATTGTCTGGCGGTGCAACAATCGAGATTCGTTTCATCAGGAAATCATCATGCAACTTTCATGGAATAGAAAACAAGAGACAAAGAAAACAAGAGATGCGGTATCATGTGGATAGGAGAGACATTGCATACTTCCAAAAACACAAAAACAAACATGCACTGGATTCAGAGACTAAGAGAAAGTTCGAAACTATCAGATCACCTCCGACCCAACGCCTTTAGACCCGGATATTGGCTTCGGGGACCATATGGGGGCCGGAAGGGAGTTGAGTACCCCCGATTCCGCGTTTGCCCGTGTCCTGGTCGTCCCGACTGATAGTTTCATCAACTGAACCAATTCCTGAATCCCTAGTTTTAGGTCGTGAACGAGGTTTGCGTGCAATAGGAGCTAACTGAGGGAGGTTCGTAGATTCAGCGGCGTCGCCAATGGAAAAGACGGGTGATTCCCATTTGTCCCCCTTGGCTGCAAGCTCCTCATACTCTGTAACCTTGGAGGATATGCCCCCCGGCAGCTTGATATGCTGGAAAAGAGCAGTGCGCTCCGTGGCAGTGAGGTTAACTTTGGTATCCCGTTCCTTCACAGCGCCTTTCTTCTCGGCTGCTTTCTTTCTCATAGCCATAACTTGTTTGCGTACTGCATCAACATAATACGAGTAAATAGTTTGGCTTTCCTGCGGGCTGCTCCGAGCAGCCTTCCAGGCACGCTGCGCTTCACTATGGACAGCATACGCGAACCGATCGCCGCGAATAAAGCAGTCGCGGATTTGCTGCTCTAAAACTTTTTCAACGGCCGGACGTACGGCACCGTAGAGTAGAGGCTTAAATATCGTAAAAAGCAATTTGTGATTCGACTTCTTGATCTTAATTTGCAGGTTTTTGATGTTGACCGAAATATTTTCTAGTTTGAATAGGTTGTCACCTGAGTCGCTGGTCAATCCGGAAATCCTGAAATTGAATCCTTCGCCTCCCATCAATATGTCCATTACCCCGGTGTCAGTGATACCAGGGAACCCAGTCTTTTTCTTGATGTAATAACTAACGTCCCTCCAATCAGTTTGTATCCCAGTTGCTGCTATCATGACCTTAGAAGAAATTGTCAGCAGGTTCAAGGAACCCCGCCACCAACAGAGATACGCAACGTCAAAGCATCACCAACCTTGTTTGTATGTTTGCTGGCAATTCTCTTGCGACCCCAGCGCCAATAATTGTCACTACTAAATTCGACCACATTGGGTAGCAAATTGTCACCCTCAAGGACAAGATTTTCGACAACCTTATCATTACATTGATTAGAACATGAGGTTCATATTCGGCCGCTTAGAATTACTTACCACATCGACCATTGGGTCTGATACTTCGATACGAGGCAGCGGGACATAGCGTATTTTCTCGAACAACGAAGGCAAGATAATGCTGGTAACATCCTTGACCAGATGTTCTTTAAAAACCATCTTTCCAGAGTCGTCGTAGCCGAGGTTGTGAAACAGCTTTTGCAAAGAATTGCCCAACTCTTTATTCAAGGGGTCCTGATCAAATTGATCCCCAAGAAATTTGATTTCATCCACGATGTTATCTGTATTTTCACGGTACCTGGCTCGTAGGAGGAATTGGCCTTCATCGTAAAGGCTATTCCATTGTTCATTTGCGGAATCTTCTAAAATAAACCCTTGCTCTTGAAGGCATTTTCTAAAATCCAAGCTGATTAGAACCAGCCTATATGTTAGACGACTGGAGCCTCAAGGCTTACCTGGTGAAAGAATTCACGGATCTAAACCAGTCTTTCAGCCGTGGATCTTCATTAGCGGCATGATAGAAGTTTTCAATATAATCGAAAAGATTGTCCATTGAAGAGCTATTCGCAAACCGTTCGAGGATCAGCTGGAGTTTTTTCATGGCATCTTTATTCTCGTCTACTAGTTCTGGAGCCGCACAATTAGTATGGCCACACTTGAAGGGCGGAATTCGTCACACACCTCTGGTGGCTGAAGCACCCTCCTGAGAGACGCCTTTGCCATGACCACCGAAAGTTTCTGCGAGTGAAAGAAGGGTTTCAATTGCTTGCTGATCTACAAATAGTTGAAATTATTTAGCAGTGTTCTAGGATATCGTCAATCCTGTGGACCACTCACAGTCGGGGTGGCCTTGGATTTCCACAATCATTCTCTTTAATCGCCAAATTGTTTGATCACGTCGCTCCTTCGGCATCCTCTCTTGCAGAAACTCCTTCGCCTTCTCGGTAAGCTCACGGGAACGGGTCTTTGTTTCCTCTGGGACATCCTCAGATACTTTTTCTAGCGCAGCCTGAGCTCCAGCAGTTGCGCCAGACGTGGCATCTACGCCACCCTCAGGGCCAGTTGGATGAGCTGCGCTCTCAGCAGCTTCTGCCGTGTCTTGTACATCTTTGGTAGCCTAGAGATACATGAGCGAAGGAATAGACACCAGTGCGGAGAAGTGCGAGCACACCTTTTCCTTCCTTTTTCCCACCTGTGAGTTAACTTGTGATTTTATGTTGGCTGTTGAAAGGTCAGGCTTATCATGCCAAACGTTCTCTTCCGCAGGCTCGTCTATTCCAGACATCTCTTCTTCTGACGGCTTGATCTTCCCTGCAGCCCTTTGTGCAGCATCGCTAGCCATGTCACGCATAAGTATTGTCACATCACGAACTAGAATAGGCCGGTTAGGACGGAAATAAAGTAGATTTAAGCATTCAGTGAGATATACGTACGAAGCTTCCGGAACTGGCCATTGGTTACAAGCAAAGTGAAGAGCGTCTGCACTCCCTCAGCAGCCAGCTTAAGATCCGTTTTCATAGCATCTTTGTCAGTTGAAACCCCTGGAGTTGGGGTTGTGGAGCGCTCCCCAATATGTTCCACGTCCCAGATGAACTCCTGTATCAAATTCCCCTCGTTTTTAACTAGAATAAGCTTTTTAGCGTTCTCAATCACATCGCGAACATCTTTGATGAGTATGTGGCCTTCGGGCGAGAGGCTACTAGGAGGGGAAGAGAGAGCGTCTGAAGCCAAGAGGCTATTCAGGGCGACATCGATTTGCTTATTCTAGAGATGGGTTAGCAACCTGAACCCAGACCTTTCGAAATACGAACGTACCGATGGGACCTTTCCAATTTTGAATGCTAGCCAGCGAAAATGCCATTAGAGACGATGTAAAATGGAGCCTGGCACTGAGAGAATAAGCTGCTACAAACCAGAGTAAATGCCATAGAGCTGCAGTTTACGATTGATATCCTACATTTCGCCAGGTGTTAGAGAAAATGCTTGTAAGGGAATGGCAATAGTAATACATACAGCCTCCTTCACCTTCGGATCTGAAGGAACATTGACTTCGTTGCGATTCATCCTGAAGAAAACAGTTGAGAGTGGTAGAATTTATTCGGATGGGAACAAGCTCCGAAGACGGCGGACTGAAATGAATATTCAAGGGTGGCTACTGATACAAATGGAGAAACGCCAGCGCAAGAAAGGCGACTCGAAAGTACTGCATTGGTTGCGTCGGGGTCTCTCTCACCACAGGGTATCAAAAGACCCAAAGCTGTAGCAGCAGTAAGTTTGATAAAAGTTTCGCAACAGTTCAGTTTCAAATCGAGGTGGGTGGAAGCGAGGCAAAACCAGCCAAAAGAAGCATATAATGACAGTTCAGAAATGCAAAAGGGGCAGAAGCTGGTAATGTGTTTAGATATAGAAGGGGAGCGGAAACATTGGGAAAACAGGAAGCAACCCTTGACGTCATGGTTGGGTAGCTCCAATGTCAATCGAATCGCGACTCCATATTGGCGGATAAAAACGCCAACGACGCCATTGTTGCACTGAGTGGCTAAGATAATCCAACCATGGTTGAAGTTCAGTTCTTATTTTTTATTTCGTTTCCCCCCTGTTGACCAGAATTTCAAAGCGGAAGAGAATTGGTGGATCTAAACTTGTTATTGCACCAATTACCGAGCATGGGAATATTTTAAGTCGAAAACTTGGTTCGAGCCAAACATTTACATCATCATCCTGTAATAACCATGAACTTAGCTGCGAAGATGCCGTGTTTTTCAAGGTCATAGCCTGTGATGTAAAGTGGCCAACTTCGTTGGTGAAGAGTGTTCAGTTTGAAACATTCAGGATTTGCTCAACTGAGTTGTGTTTCTCCTTGTAGTTTTGGGCTGTCATGGGGAGCTTCTGCCATATCTGCTATATGACATCATTTTCCTGCTCCGAAGACTGATGTTAGGGATTGTGCACATCATGGTCTGAGGGATGTGTCAAAACACACAAGGAGGCGCCTGTCAACTTTAAGCAAATTTGGGGCCATCTGTGTTCCCGCTTCAGAGGTCCGTCATTAGACATTCTCGCAGTGGCCTGGTACTCCGTCCGACGTGTAACCTATTAAGTTAACCAAAGGATCTCGATCTTGACAATCTCAAAGATTCCACGATGAGGCGAAAAGGAAACGACGGTACTATCACGTGATATTCCGGGCGCGACGCGGTGTCGCGGCAAATGAGATTGATTGGAAAAGTGCAAAGATGTCGATATGACAACTTATATTACTCGAGGGGTTGACTGGCTGCTACCTAGCAGCAGCTTTAACATATCTACTACACATGATTCTCTCAACTGCAGACAAAGATCTCTAGGCCCAGGCTTCCGTCATTTGGAAGGGCGCAAACCCCTCCAAAGTGAGGCCGCAGGAAATAATATCTTTATATGAGCTTCACTGCGGCCGACAGAGCCTCCTCACCATGCCTCCATCAACACAGCCAGCTAGAAAACGAAATGCCAAAAGGCAAACCCGCTTAACCTTCACTTCCTTAACGTCATCCTCACCCGGACTGGAGCGAAGCCCTGGGAATGAGAGAGTCGCAACCATGCAATTCAAAAATGACCTTAGTTCACCCAGTTCAAGCAGGCGGATCGTGGAAAAGGAAGGGCAGATCCCGAGCCTTTTCCAATCAAGCGAGCGAGAGGACATTTCGTCAGATGAAGAATCTATTCGCGCTCCTTCTTCAAGCCGCAGGCCCTTGAAGCGATTAAATATCGAAGATATGGATGAAGATGACAATGATGGGGAGGAGTCTGAAGATATTATCTGCTCATCGCCCGCAAAACGGCGGAGACTAAATCTGCAGTCTAAAGGCTCAAAGGAACATATCCCTCGTAACCGTGCTGAGCGAGATAGACTAGATCTAAAAGAGGATCTGGAAGATCTTCGCGATTCGGGTATGATACCGATATTTCCTTTCCTTTTTTTTAATATCAATATAGCTAAAAATGAGTTGCAGCCGTGACAAAGACAAGAACTCGAGGAAGAGCAGCAGATAAAGCTAAGCTTAAGCGGCAAACCCAACTAGAAGCTCTGAGACGTCGGAGAGCCGGGGGGAAGCGCGGAGTGATATCCGTGGAATCATCGGGAGAAGAATCCAACGCAGAACAAAGCAAAAATGGATCTTCATCGGAAGAAGAAAGGGAGGAAGAGGAAGAAGAAGAAGAAGAAGCCTGGATAAATCTCGATGAGGATAGTGACATTGAACCCGCCAGCCCTGAAGACCTTGACAAATACGAGGATGATTTCGTCGACCAAGGTGAGGATGGAATACTCGGTGCTCCAGATGAACTCAATGATATCCCTTTCGAATTTACAAGACATCGATACAAGCGCTTGAGAGACCATTTCAAGGACGTGGTTGAGTGGATGGTGCATAATAAACTGAATCCTGCATTCCCTCGTGACGACGTTGTCTATCGCGTCGCCTTCAGCAAAGTAAATGATGAGGTAATGGGTCTTGCAGGGTCACAACTTATTTCCTCCGCGTGGAACAGAGACTTCAGGAAAGCTCTTGAAGCCAGGCCGGGCCTCGATGTCACTCTATATCCCATTTCAATGGGCCACTCATGCGACGCTTGCAATAAAACTAACCACCCCGCTTCGTTTGATATTAAACTTGATGGAAAACCCTACTTGCTTGAGACACTGGAACCCATATCTGATGACGATGACGAGGATAGCGACAGCGATGAGCAAGACGATGATGAGAGTGGGGATCACAAACCTGGAAATATCGATCGTGGAGGCAATGAGATCCCAGATGCAAGCACTCATTTTTACTTGGGAAGGTAAAAGAGGAATAAGAACCACGCCCACGCCCATCCCCTTCCCCAATGCCCTCAGTAGCAGCAGTAGCTAACCAAACCAGACACTGTAAAACCAAAGCCATTATGGCGCACACACTCATCCATTGGCGCTACCACCTCAACGAATGGATCGTCGATTACCTCCAACGCAAAGGTATATTTTCCGACGCGGAGATCCTAGAACGCGAGCGCTGGAGCCAGAAACGACGTACGAAATACGCCAACCAGGTGGTAGATGATATGGACGAAGTTGCTGAAATCAATCGGCTGTGGAGAGATTTCAATACAAATTTGAAGGCAGCCAGAGAGGCAAAGGTTCGTCCTGGGTTATTTCTATTTCTATTTTTTTATTTCCTTTTGGCTTTGTTTATATATCCTTTCTCCGATCCTTCCCCTACTTTTCTTCTTTTGTTTCTAACAAATGGACGACCGTCGCTCTAGGAATCTCGATGGTGAATACTCTTCTTTTTTGGCTTGTTGTCGTACTTGATTTCAAACTAGCTCTATCATACCCTGTGTCAGATGGAGAGCTGGCTGCGACAAAATTATCCACCAAATCTACCACCAAGAATGCCACTCATCTAATGAGCGAGATTTTACCGCACAATTGATGATTGCGATGATGATTATCTAAATATCTTCCATTTTGCACGTAATAACGATAGGATATTAGCAGCTGATCCTTGGGTATAAGAAGCCTGGTAAATCCTCTGTTGGTTAAGAAGGGATCGGAGCTTTAGCTAGCAATTATTCAAGATAAGATACAATCCTACTGCGAATGTTACAGTATTACACGATTGATAGCCTCGAACCAAACGAACGAGATGGGAAGTTAGTAGACGAAAAAAAAATCAAAATGCCAATCCGTAGGAGATTTGAAGCATTGCGTTCTCCTCATCAAGCTGTTTCTGATCTTGGAATCTCCAAGATAAAACATATTAAAACATATTTCGTGCAATGCCAAATATGTACCCTCGGGGGTGGTAGACAGGTGACATACGCTGCACCACCACTCACCAACTCGGCCCTCGCGGGTCGAAATGTATACCCGGGCGATCTACGCATGGCTTCGTATGGCGCTTTTTTTGGGCGCTTTTTTCGAGCTCACAAGATAGTCGAGTTTTCAACATAGATCTCTAAGACGATAGGCCGTGTGGCCTTTCACCAGTGTCACGCATTGGCTAAGCGGAATATCTGCGGTCCACTTCAGGTCCACTTCAAGTTCACTTCTGGCTTTAATGCTCGCGCGAATATTTCCGATAACGGAGACGTCAAAGCGAGGTCATAGGTATTCCGGCTCAATGTCAGAAGGGGTTTTCTTCTCTTGGATTGCATGGCATATATATATATATATATGTATGAAACTGTAATTCAGTTAGCAACGGAACGGCATTCGTCCATGTTCAAAGGCGGGTTTCAAAAGTGTACAGGAATTGAATTTCCAGGCGTGGTTTAGGCAATACATACTACCCATTGTTTACTGGAGATATGGCATTCGTGTGGCCTCGGGGGACAAGGCGGAAGATGTCGGAGGATCTGGTTTTCGCTGCCACGAGGATGTATGTATTGTACGCAATTGCTGGAGTCTCCAAAGGGTTCTCAGAAACGTCGCCATCGACAGCACTAGATGTAAGTTAGTTATTTTCTAAGCTACTATTTGCTTTTCTTGTCCTTTCTTCTCCGGGGCCAATTCAGTCACCGGCCTGGGCCAGGCTTGCAGATAGGCGCGATAAGATAACACCTAAGAAAACACCCTGGCAGCCTAGGCTTGGCTGCAAACGGCCCTGTCTGGCTTGGTTGCCAAAAAAATTACCTCAGTCATACTACACCTCAGTTCACGTCCTTTGATACTGCGGTTGTTCACAACACAGCGTGAAGAAATTCCCTCGTCCTTTCTGTCGCTTGGAGATTGCTTGGCATGGTAGGCCAATTGTTGGTTTAAGTTGCCATTCAACACATCTCATTTTCTATTTGCTGTCCTTTTCTCCGCGTGTAGCTCGCTCGCCGCGCGACAATGGCCAGCAAATTCCTCACGACTCGACCCAATATGTTCTTGCGCTCAGCTGCCCACCTGTCACCAGCAGCCTGCAGCTCTCTCTCGATCCTGTCGATCCGGTCTGCTCACTACGCTGGGCCATTGAGGCACGCTTCTCTGTCCAACCCTGCCCTCCAGAGATCGTTCCGAAGAACCTATGCAGATCTGCCGGCTCCTCCTCCCTCTCAGCCCCCGACACCGAAGCGGAGGTTCAGGGTTTTCAGATGGATGTATAGATTGACTCTTATGTCTCTGTTAGCTGGTGCAGGCGCATTGGGATACAGCGTCTACTTGCTCCGGAATCCAGATGAACAAGTACAGCCTGATGCATCCAAGAAAACGCTGGTTATTTTAGGTGCGCTAGACGTCCAGGTTTTGGTACTATACTAGTGCCGATCTCTCTACATCGATATGGGAAGCTATTTATATACTGATATATGGGCTTCGATTTTTAGGAACGGGATGGGGATCTGTATCTCTGTTGAAAAGACTCGACACGGAAAACTACAATGTGATCGTGATATCGCCCCGGAACTTCTTCCTCTTTACTCCGCTTCTCCCGTCGTGCACGACCGGTTTGATCGAGCATCGGTCGATTATGGAGCCTATCAGGAACATTCTACGCCATAAAAAGGCTGCGGTAAAGTACTACGAAGCCAGTGCTACTAAGATTGACCCCGTGAGGAAGGTGGTGCGCATCTGTGATGAATCGGATATCAAGGGCGATACATCGACAACAGAAGTTCCTTACGATATGCTAGTGGTCGGGGTTGGAGCGGAGAATGCTACTTTCGGTTAGTTGCTCGAGATTCACACTGAGTATGGTTATATGTATATACTGATATATATCTTCTTATTCCATAGGTATCCCCGGCGTTCGGGAACATTCGTGTTTCTTGAAGGAAGTTGGCGATGCTCAGGAAATCAGGAAGCGAATAATGGACTGCGTGGAGACTGCGATTTTCAAGGACCAGACCAAAGAGGAGGTCGAAAGACTTCTCCATATGGTAGTTGTTGGTGGTGGGCCAACCGGTGTTGAGTTCGCCGGTGAACTGCAGGACTTCTTCAACGACGACCTCAAGAAGTGGGTGCCAGAGATAAAGGATAGCTTCAAAGTTACTCTTGTAGAGGCCCTTCCAAATGTATGGAGTTTATCCTTATATCCCTTCAATTGTTTCCCACTGGCTAATTCTACTTAACTCAGGTGCTTCCCACCTTCTCCAAACAACTGATAGACTACACCGAATCCACTTTCCAAGAAGAAGCCATCACAATCCGGACGAAGACTATGGTGAAGAAAGTCTCCGATAAATATATCGAAGCGGAAGTCACTAAGCCCGATGGAACTAAAGAACTCGAGACTATTCCCTACGGCCTCCTTGTCTGGGCTACTGGCAATGCTGTCCGCGGTGTTGTCCGCGACCTCATGAGTCAAATACCAGCTCAGAGTAAGTCGCGACGTGGCCTTGCAGTCAACGAATACCTTGTCGTGAACGGAACGGAGAACATCTGGGCTGTCGGCGACTGTGCGGTGACTAATTATGCGCCAACAGCGCAAGTGGCTAGCCAGGAGGGTTCATTCCTGGCCCGTCTATTTAACTCCATGGCCAAGACGGAAGCCATCGAGGCTGAATTAAAGGAGCTCTCCACCGCACAGGCATCAGCCTCAAGTGACGAAGAGCGCAACAAAATCCTAGATCAGATCAGAGCGTTACAGAAGTCCCTACGGAGAACAAAGCAGCTAGGCCCTTTCCAGTATTCCCATCAAGGGAGCCTTGCATATATCGGCAAGGAGCGCGCTGTAGCTGACGTCAGCTGGCTGAGTGGAAACATCGCCAGTGGTGGAACTTTAACTTATCTCTTCTGGCGGAGCGTCTATCTGAGCATGTGCTTCAGCAGTAAGTTTTCGCTTTCTAGATAACTCGAACTTGCTATAAGTCACGTAGACTTTTCGAAGGATAAACTAATGTTCCTTTATTCTCAGCTCGCAACCGAGTCCTTGTCGCGTTTGACTGGCTGAAGGCCAAGATGTTCGGCCGTGATGTCTCGCGGGAATAATAAACTGAAATTCAGCAGAAGAAACTTAGCTCCTCCAAGCGTCTGTCGTACCGCCTTCCCACTACTCCCTACCACTGGGCCCCTAGGTGCTAAGGCAGCGCATAACCTCGTTTATCCAAGATCGGAGGCAGTTGCTGCTCTAGCCCCTATCTACTAAGCCTGGTGCCCTGTAGTCAAGCGAAATAAAGCGCTAAATCTACATGTTTGCCTCTTTACATGATTTCTCGCAAGTTTTGTTCCTCAATTGATGCTCCTTGATTCTCTCTCTTTCTCTCGCTTTTGTTTGTTTATTAGAAAAAAAGCTTGTTTTTAATCTCCTTTGTCCTACCGTTTTTATCATTTTCTAATTTAAACTTTTTTCTGCCTGGCGCCTTGTCTTAGAAAAAGCCTTTTTTTTCATACTATATAGCTTGTACTTGTTCCTTCGTCATTCAGCATGCCTTCCTTTGTTTTGTGCTTGATTACTTCATATATATATATATTTTTTTGCCGGACATTTCCCGATCTCTTCAATCCAATCAATTACTAACAAATATACACTTACTAATCACTCTCTTTCGTATCGGGTTTTCTCACTTCACATTTCATCTCAGCTCTGTTCTATGTTAGCAGATGGCCTGCCTTATAGCGCTGAGTTGTGTTTTTAACACTGATGTTGATATAGCTCTTCTCGACCTTCGTTCAAATCCTGGCGATTTTTATTGTATTTCGCTTCTTTTTCTTGTTCTTTTCATTCATTCATACTTTTTTTCCCTTCCTTCCTTCCTCCTTTTTCTTTTCTTCATTGTATTGTACTCCTACATGTACATGTACATGAGACAGCATGTGCAGATATCTAACTTCTTTTCCACCCGAAAATCACGAGTAATATATATAACGGGCTTTGCTTGGGAGTTTGTCTTCAGAAGTAAGATCAGTCGTTTCCTTAGCTCTGTATAACGAACGATTTGACCACTGCATGATAGCCTCCCCCCATCCCTCCCATTCCTCCCGGCTACCACCCGCCCTTCCTCACCTTCCGCTACCCTTGGGAGAACGACTGGCAAGGCTTCTCTTCCCCTGGAACCAAGATTCATTCTTTCCTAGTAGGCTGATCAACCACGCACTCATACCGCACCGTTGTAATCCCCCTGTTGGACGGAAATACGAAAGGGAATTATTACAGGGCCATTCGTACATGCAAGGTTGCTATATTTAAAAAAGCGAAAATATTCGGGAACCCCCAGGCAGATCTTCAGCTATAGGAAGCTGCACGCCGTATCCACGCCGAGGATGGTTTGGAACACAGCCACCCCACCACACTGCTTAAATCTATAGAATCATCAAAGATTGAAGCCACTGTTTTTGAATATATATTGTCATTCAATCATTTCAGTCACAAAAAATGAAGCAACTTTTGGCCCCACCCTCTCAGAGTTTCATATGATTCTTAGAGACTTTGCTTCGCTCCGTCTAATAAAGCAAAGAATTTTATTAAAGATTTTTGCATCTTTTTATCTTCTATTATAAAGTAGTTTTGTAGATTGCTCTTTAGTGGGCAAATAGTGAGCCTGTGGTGTATTTTTCATACTCCTCTCTGGTCCCGCCATCTTCCCGCAACTTACCTTTCTGCTACACAGTTAGTATCTTGCTGTTGATTGAGCTTCATCTAACCAATCATGACTGGCTTGCAAGCTGGGCCAACCACCTTTCTAGATCAGCCATGATGCGCTCCCCCATCGTCTCATCAACAGTGCAGTCAGCCCAGCTGGCACCCACATACAATCCCCGGCCAGCGACGCTGACTGGAGAGAACACGATGGCTGCAGACGGAACCTCGACGCTGAGGCCAAACCGGGCTTGACTGATCGACCATCTCTGGGCGTCGTTGGTATGGTCCCCGGTCGTCGGCAACGACGGTGGCGTGTTGCCGCCCAACACACCAATGTTAGTCACCAGCCACGAGAATTGGCGCGTCTTTTTCGCCATGCCGCTCATCATCCGCTGCCAGTCCGTAACGTACTTAAACATCCCGACCAAATCATTTCGTAGCCCGGCTTCCAACTTGTTCACTATCTCCAGTCGGTTCTGTGTCGATACGGCCCAGAGCTCACGCTGAAGGTCGGCGGATAAGTCTCCTCCCTTGTTGGCGACACCGGCCGGCGGCAGCTTGGAACGGATCCGTGCCACTAGCTTTGTGTCCCATCTATGGAGGCACTGCGTTACGTAGTTGCTCACTGATCTGTCAGATCGAGCCCACGGAGCGTCTGGCGGGGCCGGAGGCAGATTCCGGCGGTGGTCTACCATGGTAGAGCTTTGAAAGGCCGGGGCAGCGGCGGTGTCAAGATGAGATGAGAAGGATATGAGCGCTAGCCCGTTTATCAAGCCAGTGATAGTAGTCTGGTTCTGTCGGCAGAGTGTTTGGATCGCAAGCAGAGATTGATTGTCCATGGCAAAGGCCCGGAACTGGGTTTTGTATGGAGAGGGGCGGATCGGGCACCAGGTTGCCCACGATACGTCCCGGTTAAGGAACTGAGGCCGAGCTTCCTCCCAAAATGCCTTGGCAAGGACTTTCAGATCTACCGGAAGACTCTTCAAGCTCTCGATTGGGGATGGCAGCAAGGGGGCTGCTTGAGGCAGTCGAAGGACATGGCCATCCAAGTCCGTCCGCTCGTGTGCTCCATTGTCAGCATTGAGCATCTCTAGAAAGTCTTCGTGGAAGACCTTGGCACCCATAGCATCGAACTGAGTGTGATTCCAAGTGAGCAGGACCTCCATGAAAGGAGCATTCCCCTGTCGAATGACTGTCATCTTCCAGCCCGGTTGCCTTATAGAAAGGTCTGGGAAACGCTCATCGAGCTGAGTGCTAAAGGTTTCCCGCACCGTGTGTTCAAAGTCGTCATGCCCTGTGAGATAAACCCATTTTATATGCTGGGTCAAGTCGAGACTCTGCAGCTGGATCCACGAGGGGGTCTTGGAAGTGGCATCCATCATGCCGACTTGTAGCATCGGATGTCTCATGACTATGTCCACGATAGCAACCCCAACTGCCTCCTCCAACTGGGTCCGCGACTCTGCAGGCGCAAGTCGTGGCGGGATTACATAACGACAAGAGAGGGTAGTGCCACGGTACTGGTCAAGTATATACATGGCCAGTTGGTACGTCTCGCTTGACGCAGTGTTTGTTAGTTAGGAGCCAAAGCCACGAGATGCCATGCCAGTATACGAGGATAGGTGAACGCCTACTTGATTCCAAACTTACGAAGCACTGTCGTCTCTGCGCCATGGTTCATTTTGTTTGCCATGGCTCGTTGCCGGTGTGGCGAATCAAGAGGAGACGGGGCTGGCGGATACTTGATTTGCAGCCAAGAATTTTATTATGAGGATTGATGGGTGGAACCTTGGAACTCTTGGCAAGTCACATGATGTCAAATGTAGCATGTGTGCAAGAGTGAATCTCAAAAATATATAAATATATATTGAAATTTTCATTATTTAAAATTTTCTCAATAAACATTTAACTACTTAATAATTTGAAAAGTGATTGTAAATTATTTATTTTTTACATTTATCAAACGGAGCGAAGTGGAATTTAAGTGAAATCGTTTTTACATCGCGTGCAGTGGAGAGACCTTCAACGCTAGGGCGCAATTGGCTCACATAACCCCTATTCTTACCCCTGAATTCGCTGCCAACCTGCCTACCTGCTCGATATATACTCCTTTCCACACATCATCCCTTGCCATGTTGTATGCCATTGGATATAAAGTCTGTTCATGCAAGGAGGTACAGGCTGAATATGACAAGCACCACAATTATGGTAACAGTTACACAGATGATTGTCTTAGATGCATTGCTCGTACTCGCTGTGATGGCTGCTCGCCGTACATGGACTATCAACCTAACATGCTACGGAGGCATGGCTGATTACAAAACAGCCTTTGCTTCAAGACTTTAAAAGTCCTACGCCCACCATATGCGTTCTTCGCACAACTTCAGTCTATCCCGCGAGCACCATTGTATCGAACATCTCCACTCAAAGCCCGCAGCTTCAGTTGAAGAAGCAGAAGGCGCAGCCAATCTTACCAGGATAACCTATCAAAGGTTTGGTTAACTGAGAGTGCGATATAGGGTTACACCGAAGAGGCAGGTGCATGTATGGATTTATATTGCCACAGTCAAAACTGGGGTTTCCCTTCCCTTCCATCGTATCATATATTATATATGCAACACACCACACCTAAGGCCAAACAAGCTCCGTACAGAGACCACTACATATCAGATATGTCAACTACTGATTGTTCTCGCAACTGTAGCTTGATGCAGCCTTGTCTTGTCTTGAGCTGGTTGCTGACACCTCCCTACAGAATCAACCTCAAGCACAGTGGAGCAGCCTCTGGAGCAGATGTGTTTGTATTCTCAATAAATATTTCATTAGCCCACTCTAAAAGCTTGTTGGAATGTCCGTGGAAAATGCTGGACTCTACTTGCATACACCAATACTGAAATAAAAACTAAAGCTTTTATGACAGCTTGTTTGCTCTCAAGAATTGCTGTATATCAAAACCGTTATAAGCCTGGTTTTTGTTGTGAGAATCTGTTCTGCATTCATAAGCTACATTTATGGTATTAATGAAACCCTGGCTGAGATTCTTTGAAGCAGGGACAGGATTAGCATACATCACCCCGCCATGCCAGCCAACGCAGAAGCAGAAGACGAAGAAGCTCCCAAACAAATAACCCCCTTTCCACTGCAACAAAGAACAACAAACTCATATTCACCACAACCCACTTCCCACTATCACCGCCGCATCACATTGCTATCCCAGTCAATTTGCTCAGTGTTTGACCCCAGCACCTCCACAGCAGCCTCACTAATAGGGCTTACACCAGGCCCAGTTGTTGGTACCATCATAACTGCATGTTTGGCCATTGGGACAGGTGACCTGAACCTCCCATTTTAGTCCACTTCCGCGGTTGGCACAGACAAGTATATGTGGACTCCTGTTGATTCAAGGTTTTGCAATTAGCCATCTACCATACAGCAAGGGAGTATACAATTACAAACCACTCCCAATTATTGTTGCTGCAGGCAACACGTGAAGATCTATCACATGGCTTCCCAGGTTCAAACTCTATGACCAAGTCACTATCAGGAGTGACCACGGGAGAGGCAGCAGCCAAACCAGCAATGGCAAGGACTAGAGAGGCAAGAGTGATCTTCATTCTGTCGGTCAAAGATGAACTTGAGGAATACAAGATGATATATGGAAATTGTTGATGGTTATTTTGGCAAACTGAAGAAAGTGTCAATGAATTATGATTTTAAAAAAGCAGACTTTGAAGAGGGCGATGACCACCTTTTTATATTCAAAACAATTACCTCCATTATTTTAATTTTAAAATATTTAAGAGCTCTCATCAAAATTAGAATCATTAACCCAGTAAATTTGCATTACTACACCGATTTGGCACAAGAAACACTCTGGGACAAAGATGACAAGCAAGGTACTATATTCTCACACTCCCTTGATATAATTCTACAAAGTGGCCGAGCTATGTGATAAAGAACCTCAACTGTGAATGAAGTTATCATGAGAAGATGTCATTTCTTCTAGAGTTTATTTGCGTAAACTGTTAAACTAATTTGAATAACTATAGAATAAAGTGCTTGGTTTCAATTGCAGATAGAAACTCTTTGATGTTCCTCTCTCTAAAGAAAGTGTGGAAAGATGGCACAACAACAGATATTTTTCATATGGGAATTAGAAAATATCTAGACTCTCGGTTGCATTTGTTGATCTGACTGTGGAGCACTAAGTAAACAGCTAGCTAGCTAGATGGGTGAAGCCAAAAGTTACAAGGGTTGCCACATGGTCTGGTATAGCCTTTGTTGGAGGGATTGGATTGGGTGATTCGTCCCATCTACTACCAGCATGGTGCTGGTGGTGAGATAGCTCTTTGCGCTACGGAGACCCTGCCATGGTGGCATGGCTGCCGAATGTGCCGGTGGAGTTCCAGCATACCAGAATAAGACTGGGACCATGAAATCCCACAGTGCTGTTCAGACATATCGTTGAATGAGAGTTCAATGGCTAAGAGCAAAAACTCACATGCGCTTTCTTATCAGACGGGGCTAATTTGAATCAACATCATTTTCATTTACTTCTAAAATCACTGGCGGGGATAAAACACAGCTATTAAGATTCAGAGCTCATTTCTCTACTTCATTTTGAAACCAAAAGAAAGTTTGTGAACTAGGTGCTCATGATGCCAGATAGATAGATACCCTTTTCACAAAATCATTAAATAGTGCTAATACACATTGCTACAGACTGGTTGAACAAGGTTACTTCACTAGAATTTCAACTTAGAGAAGCTGTTCCTATTGAAAGTTCAGCTGAGATACAAATACAATATCTGGGCATTGCAGTAATATAGAGGTTACATTGCAAGGGAATCATTTCAAAAATCTCGCACCAAGAGAATAATAAAGTACTAAATTACTCTCGCACAGTAAAGACCACGCCCGGAGCACTGCAAATTACTAAACTGAGCAAAGCAGCTAGCCACCCGAAGCTAGGAATAGCGGATGGAATACGGAGTAGCTATGATGCACGTCAGTAGAGGTGAAGCAAATCTATGGGGCGTTGGGGTGTTAAAATTTAAGCTCGACTGGGGAAGCCAAGGCGCGTCGGCTACCGGCTTCGGGCCGGGTAGTATCACGGAACAATGGTGGAATCAATAATCGGTAACCCGAAATACGTCGGGTCTGACCAAATCACCGGCACGCTTAGCGGGAGAGCAGGCAGCACCGCCACAGGCAACACAACCTTATAGCTAACAGCAATAATATCGCCCCAACAAAAATCACACCGTGGCTCCTTCAATTTTGTCCCAACCTTATTCGCTGTATCATGATGGAACGTGCGAACTATCGGCGGATTCGGTAAGTCAGACATGCCTTGGCAGCTTTTGAGCACATTTGTTCTAACTTGAAGAGTCTAGAACCCGTATGCTATATCTTGCAGGGGAATACATTTTCCACACCCGAGCTGAAGTTCTGTCAACAGCCACCATGTTGGCAATCATTGTGTGCTCATATTCTGTCAAAACCTTAAACATCTTCTCCCAGACAGCAACCAGCTCTCCTTCATGGCAAAGAACCCTTTTTTAGGCCTCGTCAAGGCGCTTGATCAGCTGTATCGAAGTGCGGTAGATCTACCTCTGGCGTTCTAGCATTATTTTTCTCCAGAGGATAGAATGATATCCAGCATGGGTAAGTCATGATGTTCTGGCGAATCGGGGATATCCCGCTAAACACGGCATCCGGGGAAGGGACTTGTGGGTCGTGTAACCTGGTGTCGGATTGAGCACATATCTCACTACGCTAACAAATCTCGTTTATTCGTACCTTCTTGGCTCACACTGCTAACTTTGTATGTAATCACTAGAATAGTTAACTACCTCGTTATTAGAGACTGCATACAGTTCACATTCGGTAACGCTGTGGCAGGATTCGGATATCCTGTAGTTCAAGTTCCGATGAGTGGATACTCCATTGCGCCACCATTTCAACGAACGTGGTCATGTCCCTAAGAATGAACCTTACTCAGAACCCGTTCGCAAGCAGTTATTCCACCCCCTTCCAAAAGGCACTCCATATATATTTTATACACACGCGAGACTCTTTACCCGCTGATACCATCTTCCTTGAGAGTAAATCTTTGCATTCTCCCTCCATATATTCCCATGTCTGTTTCTACAAAAGACTGAATTGACTTTGATGAGCCTATCGAAAATTATACCACATGATATCACCCCATAATTAACTATTACACAACCAATCATTATTAAATACTGTTTAGATTGATGGAAATTGGTCATCTTTACTTCGTATATGGCGCTGTGGAAAACATCACACTTTCTTATTAGGATATTGTAGTACTTACTAGAAACAGCCTGCCTCTAACATGCCCCTTGAGGGATGGGCAAAGACACCTCTAAATCCTTAGAACAAATAAATCTTCAATTCCATATTGTTTAACTGAGGAGTATCCCCTCAAATCTCTGTTATGGAGACTACAGAGCCTAAGCGCAATACAAAATAAATGAAGTGAAGTGAAGTGAAATACTGAAGCTGTTGTAGGTGTTAGCTGGTGAGTGGTAGTTTAGTTGTTGTAAAAGCTGATTACTTAGTATATGTATATATTTCTATTTTTACCGTACATATATAATTCATTCCACTTCATACACAGACTCTAGGAAACATCACCACACCTCGAAGATGGAACCCTCGCAGCTGGCCCCTGGAAACAATAAATTCCGTCAACTAAAGAGAAAGGGTGAATCCGGCGTTTTCCGTTTTTCAAGGTAGTGGTTGTATCAAAAATATCAGAATTTAATGTTTCCAATAGAATAACTAGTCTTGCAGCAGCCTCCCTCCAACAGGGAAAGCATTCAATCGCGAGCACGTCTACCCGGCGGAACTCCAAGTTTCACAATGCCGACCTTCGTTGTAGTGTATCTCACTAACTTCAAAGAATCCTCTGCGGAGCTGCCGTGTCAGTATGGACAGCCCGACGGTTTGAGAAACCATGCTTACCTTGTTCGATGTTTAATCTACGAGTACCCTGCGAGCGCCCGTCAGTAAAACATTACCAAGCTCTGTATCAACACCGAACTTGGACAGCATATCCGCCAACAATCATTTTCCTGATATCTGCCAACCACGCAACAGCTGATGTCCACAAATTTCATAAGCTTTGATCCAGGCGCTCGACCTCTGCTGATAACACTCTCGTCCTGAAAATGGTGGCCAAGACGCGCTCACGAATGCGTGTGTGCGGTGCAATCTAAATTGCCAAGGGCCACATTCCAAGGTTCGGCAGCAAAGACATGCAAACAGATCTTAAGATGGGTTCCCCCACCTTAAGGGTTGATCCTGTTGGTGTATTTGTAAGGATTCCCATCAAAAAATGCATTTTATGCATTATTTGCCTCATTTGAACTTTCATTCTTGGCCATTGAGACCCTCATTTTGAAGTTTGGTGCAGATGCATTGTGTTGGCAATGCGTTTGAGGATTGCCATCTCCAGCTCTAACCTTAACCACTCACACAATAACAACTGCCGTCCTATAAAGTTAAATCCCCTGGAGAATGTCGGTGCATGCCGGCACTTTAGCATGACAATCCGACTCTTAGAAGCAGTATAGTAATTGAATGCTACTAGACAGAAAACATTATTATGATGACATTTCGAAGATTGAATGATATAATGATAATGAAGATGAGATAGAACTGCTTATCTTCAAATATAAGATTCTCTTCTTGCCTTTAAGAGCTAACATCAGAATGCGAGTTATTTTGTATGTAAATGCGTGTCTCGTGATGTAAATATCCCATCCCCGTGGTACATTGAGAAATTAGTGAGAGAATTAGAATCCGAGGGAATATAGGAAAAACCAAGAACGTTTCTAAAAGGATGCATTGAAGATGTAACGGCGTGATCCCCCTACCCCCCTCTCCCCAGCGGTTGAGATTGGCTGAAGGGGAGAATCGGTATACGAATATTCTTGAAGTTTTTGGTCCGTGGAAATCTGATTCATAGTTTGATAAGGCTGTATAAGGTTCTTCGCTCGGGTTCTTTTTTCTCGTTTATTGCTGGAAATGGTAAATCAAATTTCCTAGCCACTGCAATCAGGGTTCTAGATCAAGGTTTGAACTTGAAAGGCGTAGATAGAGTTTAGCCCCCGGCCTGGACCATTGCAACCCTATAACATTGTGATGACATTTTCCTCTTTTCCAAGAAATGTTTGTTCACATAGTTGATATTCCTATGACACGACAAGCGTTGCGATTGCTCGTCAGTATATTCCAACCTTATTGCCATAGGCCCCGCTGATGGGTGTTGAACATAAGTTTGAGTGTGGCTGACTAGTTAACGGCACTGTTGACTAGTTGCCTGGCCCGTGCTGGCCGTGTCTACCACGTTCAACGACAGAGAAGCTGCTTAGGCTACTCGTAAAATGAAAACCATCTACTCTGTAGCTTCCAAGTTGTGGGGACGACGTTTTGAAATGCGCCTCCGTCCGAGCTAGCTAGAAATTGGCCTGTGTCTCTACCTATATTTTGAAGATTAGCTTTAAGGTTTAAAGGTCAAAATTGAGTTGTTACACGGATTGAAGGTGCGAACGGGTAGTTTAAATGAAACTGCTTTCTCAACTATTGTAGTGTGGCCACCACCCCTGAGGCAAAAAACAGCAAGTTCAAATCCTGATGGAGGTGGAAAGTTAGTTCATTGTAACAATCTAGCGGGCGCAACACTGCTTAAATAGATGTGGTCACGTAGCATTCTAGCGAGCGATAGGGTGACAGCTCTCACTGCAGGGTGGATCAATGTTCAGCACCATGTATAATATCAATAAAATCTTTACTCAATGAATTTAAGTTCTAGCGGTCTTTTAATCAGACGGAACGAAGCGAAGCCTAAGAATCATATGAAGCTTTGGGGAGAGGAGGCTCTCAAAAGTTGCTTCATTTTGTGGCTCAATGTGTGTAAAAGTGTGGCTTGAAACTGAAATAATTTTATTGGTGTTTTCTGATTGGTTTAAATGCTGGATAAACCCCACTTTTATCTATGCTTGACTTTTACACTAGTCTACAATTGGCTCAGATAGCCCCTAATCTTACCCCTGAATTGTCTGTCTACTTACCTACCTGGCAGTAATTAGCGATGATACATATCGATGATATGTCGCTGAATATCTAAGAGCATGTCTTTTCTGAGCTTATTGCTCCGCCCTGCCCCAGCTACATGTGTCATGAAGCTCCTGCTATAAAGTGCTATGCCTAAGCTTTCCAATCCTTTGAATGAATCAATGATGCCCTCATCCCTGGGATTTAGAGGTTCATTTTGCCCACCCCCAGAAGGGGGTGATAGGGGCAGGTTGCTTCTATTGCATAACTTCATAAGCAATTGTGAGATAAAAAACCCCTTTAAAAATATGTTCAGGATAAAATAGGAAAATCTGTTAAAAATAACTCATTTGTAATAGATAAAGATATTTAAAAAGCGGCTGAATATTAAATAGATATAAAAACTCTTCTCATTTCTGACTATATAGAGCTCCAGAAAAAAATATGAAAAACAATAATATCAATAATTCAATCATGGTGACAATCTTATTGAAGTTAGCATATCCAGTCCTTTGGTCAGAAGAATATGTCAAAATTAACCAGAAACTTCTAAACAATTTTCAATAAATCAGTTAATCTCGTACATACATTTTTTATACAATTTAGAAAAGTAAGACTTGATCAAAAAGCTTGCAAATGAATTCATTTAGATATTCAAAAGAGCTTATTGATTGGCTTGTACAATAAATGTACATAGTTGATAACAGAATTTTTCCTCCGAGTCTTGAGAAGACTTGTTTATTTAGCTTCCAAAACCGAGCTATTTCCTGGAGGAGTGGGCAGAGGCGTGACGGGCGTGGTGGTCGGAGAAGGCTGCGGGGGTTGGACGTAAACCCAGCAAGAATGAGGCCACCAAAAAGTTCCACAGTAGATTAGACCTCTGTCGCCTTTTGCCAAAGCTAAGCAATCTGGTGCATCTATACAATCAAAATCATTGTTGCATGTTATGTCGACGCCACACCACTGCCAGTTATAATGTGGAGGGGGTTTGGGTCCCACTGCCCATGCAGAGGGCAGTGCAAGGGCAAAAATAAAAATAAATGCGCTAGTAAATGATATAAACCTCATTTTTGAATGAGCCGAGAGAGAAATAAAAAGAAAATAGTATGGTTATAGATATATTAGATATATTATATTGAGAAACGATAATATCAAGGTTATTGAGATGTGATATTCAATCTCATAAGGGCTTTCGCATTCTTTAAATAATCAATTATCTCACCACATCAACGACTGAATCAGTCAAAGATATGCTATATTGACTTTTAATTCCGTTTGCAACTTTGAATACTTTAATTTAAAACTAGTATTGTTTTTCATCATAGTGAGAAAGAGATACTTTCGGAGGTCTTTCTCCCATGGCTCTCTTTAGCCACTTCCATCTGTTTGTTTTGAGAACTTAAAATCATTGATATCACACCATGGATAATCTAACCAAGGCATCTCTACTTGGAGAAGGCTAGGGGGTAGACAAACGCGCCTCGGCATCTAAGGGGCAAATGAATTTTTATATTCAAGAAGCAAATACACCTTGCAATAGTCTGTAATATAGCTATGAGTGAACGGATCAAATTATTTATAGCACGAGCTTCGTAAGATCAGCTTGGGCAAAACGGAGCAAAAGTCCAGATAGCTAGCTATCTGGCAATCTCTATTAGTATCCATATAGTGTTCGAGCGGATATCGAATAGGTATGCGGGTAGCTAGAGATCCCTATTCTAAGAGAGATCAAGAGGGTAGAGAGGCATTCAAAGGTCATCTAAATATACACCAATCAGATCATCAGCATGCCTTGCCAGTCTCTTCTGTGTCAAATGTAGTATCCAACTATCCCAAACCTAAAATGATCAGACAGGGGCACCTAGTTGAACATGGTTCGGAAACCTGCTCCCATCATGGCAAGAATCACCCTACAAATTCAAACCATGTTCAATAAGACAGCTCACACTCAATATCTATAAGCCATCATCAAGATCTACCGACTCTATAGATATTCATCTAAATGACCGACAATGATTAGCATATATTTACATCAAATAAGAAAGATATAATTACAATGTCATAGAATTGTAAAATCTTGAAAGAAGATAGCCTCTTCCGTATATCTGGTTGGTGCCCCACATTTGCCATGGTTAGAAATTTCGATTCCCCATATCTACCGTAAAAACATTTTAGTTTGATTCTGCAGGACTTCACTTTGCTCCATGTAATTAGAAATATAATAAACTAACCCAGAAGTCGGAGTTTATTTTTCACCACATGTTGATATACTAACTGTGAAACAGATAGTCGTACAAATATATCTTGGGATGGGTTAGGTTAGTGGTAAAACTTGCCACAAATACACTAACTCATGTGATATAAAACTCTATTTAATCATCTAGCAGAGGGACGAACCCCACAATCCACGCCGCTGGACCCACTCTAGCTCCCATCAGGCCAGCTGGGGATCCTGGCTCTTCTTAAGCTCCACTACCCGAACCCAGGGTCTTCTAGGGTGCCTGACCACTAAGGTCCTCCATCTCGGTAAGAAACTTTGCATTAGTTATTCCGGCCTTGATCTGTTTGGTGGCATATTGGCACACTCACCAAATCTTACACTTTCACAGACTTCATGACCTCTAGGCCACTTGGGGCAAAAGAGTTCTCTCACCAGTACCATGCTGCTAGTAGATGTGGGACGAACCTCCCAATCCAATCACTCCAACATAATCATCTTACTCAATGGTTATAAGACAGCTTATCTCTATTAATCATATTCAATATCTAGTTGTCTAGCACTTATAAACGGCACTCATTAGCAACAAGATCTATTATAATAATTGAGTATGAGAAAGATATATACTTTACGGAGTAGGTCCGCTATGCTAGCACCCCGTGGCAAAGAGTAAGCCCTCCGGCTAGCGGTAGTGCCTTGTTCAAGTTTTGTCAAACGGCATACTAAGCTCGCCACCAATTGACTTTTTCACCGAATTCGCCGCTCTTTGTCTGCCTTGATTTCAGGTCTTTTGCCTCTTTATTGAATGGGGGTAAACGGAATTCTGTGGAATTTGTATTGGGGGAATGTGGACTAAATGGCGATCTCATGGCTATAGGCCGTAGGAATTCTCTAATTGTTGTTGGATGGCTGGCGGTCTACCCTCCGTTTGATAAGTTTAAACGAAAACAACAACGTGCTAGAAAGATGTATATTTTATCTTAAGCTTCAAGCTTTATACATTTGCAACTACAGTTGTGTGTATATTACTCTATTAGTATTCATTTGGTTCATATATTAGAGTGATACTATTATCTCTCTGCTGATGCGTGCTGTTTATAAGTAGTACAGATATAAAGTATAACTGATGATAAGTCTTAATCTTAACAATTAGCACTGCTTCTCAGTCAGTTCATTACATACTAGTATATAATATATCATAGTAAGAGATATTAAAGTGTGAAGACTCCATGATACTGACATCTTCATCTCTACTCTTACAGCAGAGCCAGGAATGTTTGTAGGCAATGAAAATGTACACACTATACTAGTATCTATACCAACTCTGGAATGTGTGACTAGCTGAGTACTGCTTATCATTAGTGATACCTTATTCAACATCTATGCATGTACAGAGTACTATTTACAAGCAGCACTTGTCAGTTGGTGTCTACTCTTATGATAATGAAGAAGCTGACTATTCAGAAAATGATAGATTTTGATTTTTATAAAGACGTAGTCAGCCGTATAGATAGTTATGTGGAAAATAAATCATTGCATATGCTAGAAGTTTACATGATAAACTTGTTGTCGTTATAGCCTTCTATTGACAAGTCTCCTAAACAGTTGATGTGGGTTTAAAGACTTGTGATCTGAAGCCTGAGTGTCAACTTAGACATCAAGGCAAAACGGTATTTATTTGAGCTCTGGGACTGAGATATCCATTTATATTTTTTTTATGTGCAAAGTCTTAATGCTCCCTCGTTCAATTTGCTTCACCACAATGAATAAGTCAAAAATAGTCGGTTATTTTCACCCTCATTTGATGCTGATGAGCTAAGGCTACTTGTAGTAACACACGTTAACTGATAAAGTCGCTCTCAATTACATTCAGGTTACTCACAATTGTTGTACTAGTTAATCAAATACTAGTACCAAGCTGTTTATCTCTGATCTTCAGGTGGTTGATGTGCATGTGTATTCTTCTCTCTATACCCTGTCCACTGGCCATGTCTCTTGATTCTGATAAATCGTTACACCTTTGTGATGCTTTTAGCATCAGCTGTGGCACAGTCACTTTGGATCCCACTCAGGCAAAGATGCTACTCATTCGCCAGAACAAAAACCAAGAGATTCTCCTCCCTAAAGGGCGCAAGAACATTGGAGAGGCACTGGAGAATGCCGCCTTACGAGAGACCTATGAAGAGACGGGCTTCCGAGTGGCCCTCTTCCCTTTGCCGATTCCCACACTTGCAACCCCCGAGGCCGCTGCCGATACATACGGTCAATTGAGCGCTGTGACAGAACCTTTTGCTGTTAGCCAGCGTCTCGTGCACAATAAACTCAAGCTCATTTTTTGGTTTGCCGCCAAGGGAGATTCTACCACAGAGCCTGATATGGGAACTCAGCAGGACGGAGAGGATTTTGAACCGATTTGGGCGGAGCTTGATAGCGGAGTGCAGTCTTTGACTTTCGATGACGATCGGCAAATTGCACGAGCAGTTATTGATGTAGTCTCCCGCGCTGGTTACTTTAGTACTGCGAAGCTTTCTGGGATGAATCCATAAAAGCGTTGCTTCAAGTGGGCCCAACCGCTGGCAATCCGTGGGTACGCAGTTGAATTCGGGGTCTTTCCTTTTAAGGTATTTAACCTTATCTCGAAGCTAGCCGAAAATCTTGAAATTACCTGTCGCCAGCTCATCCTCTCTATACTCCATGTTTTCCTAAGACGATGGTACTGTGGAGAAAGCCGTGGGCCACCCGGGTCACAGGCCAGCTTGTTCAATTAAATCTTGGTACGGTCAGGGTGCCGTTGGTTTCTCTGTTTAAGATAAGATTTTTACAATATGTGCATGATTATCTATGTATGTGTTGGCTTTTTGCCTTACATTATATTTCATCAACATTAAATTAACACAACACACACAAGTAGGGTTATTTCTGAGAGTAATATTATGTAGTCACACATGAGCTGCACGGAGACCCTTGCAAAAAGTTTTGACTCACTAAGAATTTAACATAAATCCCATCACGAGTGGAAACCATCTTTTGCTTGGGGCTATGGGCAAGGTTTAGCGACCTAGTGAGCAAGTCACAGGCATTGATTGCCCCTATGGCCCCCTAATATACAACACCTCTTTAATCAAGCGATGGAACGGCAATGCTTAATGTTATATAAGTATTTCGTGTGTCAAACCTTTCTACAGCGTTAACTATTTGTAATTTTGGAACATCCAAGCTAGGTAGGTTAAAATCTCCACCAACACCTATCGGATAAGCAAGAGTTTATCACACAAAAGCAAAAAAGTTAAATATCAAAAGTTAGATACCCATCTATCAGATATAAATTGGTAGTGAAATCCCCCTTCTAGACAGATGGATAATCAGAGCCCTAAGTTAGTAACTAATAATTTATCGCTATTCTATCCCGTAACTAGTAAAGATCGAACCTTATTCGTTTTATAGCAACACATCCGCACGATGTCTCAATGTTTTCAACACCTGAGGTGTGACCATAGATCGCCAACGAAAGATGCTTTGGTCAAAACAGTCAAAAAACTCCTATGAGTTCTGTATAATAGTCTTCTACCTCACAAACTCTCAATCATGAGCTGACGCCGTTCCATCTGTCAGTCTTCCTTGCTGTTTCCAGGCTTCCAGCAGTGTTATCACGACTCCAATCGCTCCCTTTTCCCGCACTTGCACTGGTCCCGTGTGCACGCTACCTGGTTTTAAGTCCAGCAATTAATGTCTGAAGCATCAGCAGCCAGGCTTTGCATGTCGGCATGCACACACTGCAACACCGGCAGAAGTGAACAATGGCGCGAAGGAAGGGAAAGCTTGCCAATTGTGCAGCATGGTTAACGTGTCCATATGCCCAAATGAGCCAGCATTTGTGATACTTGCCTAGTTGTTAATGGGCACATTGGGGACCAACACCGGACTTCCGCACAGTGGGTTACCATGTCGAAAGCCACTTGAGTGGAGCTGAGCCATGTTGAGAGTTGCACAACATCAGCCTCTCGGCTGAGATTTACCCAATATGGGATCATCATGCTATGATTGCGCGGCCTATTGAGACTTCGTTTGTGCTCTGTGTTCTGGTTCTTTAACAAGTATTTAGGAGCATCATACCCAAGGCAGTACTTATCTGACAGTTGAATGCGAGTTCCTGCTGATGCTTCGCCGTGCCAGCATCAAGACTTGTCTGTCGATGATGGTCAACACGGACAAATCCAAGAGTCAAGAAAAGCACATGACGAAACGAGGATTGAAAATGGATATGAAGGCCTGAAATCATCTCAAGTGTTATGGAAGGGCAAGGATCTTGAACTGGTAAGTAGGAAACATACTGATATCATTCCATATCTCCTCAAGTGGTTGTGAATGAGGCCTTTACCATTTCAGTCGTAACTCAACAGCAGACTGTGGAACCAAATAGTGAATTTAGATATCTTCATTCTAACTACAGCCCTCTCCAGATTACCCAGAAACCTCGTGGTTCTAAGTTTCTGCCCTTTTTCCAGCATGGCTACCATCGCGAGACCTTTTACTGAAGCTGCCTCATATCTTAACCCAAGTGTCGACCCCGCCGAGCTTGGATTTCTTGCTATAGGTTTAGGTGGCAGCCGTGCACATAGCTCGCATAACATCCTCTCCGACTGGGATGGAATTGGGATTTTGCGCAACAAAGAAGAAATCTGCCACCTCATTACCGCTCGTAGAGACGACCTTTGTGAGTTATTATGGATTGAGGTCGAGGAGTGCCTGTCCTGGAGCGTATGTAAACCCCTTCCGATACTGTTTACATGTATCGCTGAATTGAATTTAGGGAGTTAAGGCTGGCTTTGAGCAGAACAACTGGGACGTCCTTCGATTTTCTGGCCGAGCTAAAGACCGAACCAAGCGGTCTATCAGATTTTTGACAGTTGAATGTTTGCTCGCGGTCTGCTCCGACCCACATCTCTGCCGGTTAGGTGTCCTGTCGCGTCGGCCCGTTAGGAGCTTCCGCTGCTACTATCAGAATTTGGGCCCTGTCCTCTATGTCTACCAGCCGGAGCGCGTCTCTGAAGAGCTCTACATCCTTGAGGATGCAGACTTTCTGATTCCCGAGACTGCAACTCATGGATTACATCATCCTAACCCTGGGGTAGCTTGTGAGTTGTTGCTAACGTCAGTCCCTTTGTTTGACACCGCTGGGAGCATATTAGATATATTTAAGTCTTTGATCATTCGAAAATGGTTGAAGCTAGCCGGAACAAAAAAGGCAGAGGACATGATTGGCTTCTTTTATTCATCCAGCACATTTTCCTCAGAGTATCGACAAAAACTTGAGAAGGACATTGTACGATTGAGCGCCCTCAAAGCTGACCACGAAGTAAAGGGAATCTCGCGGAACTCTATCCGGCTAGGACCTCTGGCTAGAACCTCAATTAGTGACGATCTTGCAATCAAAATTGACCACGATGGGTATCGGATGACCTGTTTCCTCGGAACACCAAAGAGTAGAAGCGCCGAATATTATTCCGACCCATGCCAGACGAATCAACAGCCAATCACTACTTCCGAATTTATTCTGGACACCCAAACCAGGGAGTACGTTCAATCTCCTTTCTCATCGAATTCCACGAGCTTTTATGCCCGAGCCATGTTTAAAAAGACTAGGTCATGGGTGAACATCTTTGCCAAAAATGGGCCTGGTGTTACCGCAGAAATAGCTGCCCTTTCCTCACTGAGACACTACTTTCCAAGCGGCATGCTACAAAAGGTTCTGGCATTTGATCCCGTCAGCAACTACGTATTTTACGAGAAACACCAAGGACAGGTGCTAAGTGACATCAGGATCACTATCTCCAAGGGAATCGTGGAGGTTCCCTTCAAATGTGCCCAAGATGCATTCGACTGGCTGGTTAGCGTCGAACTAGTCAGAGCAGAACAGGTTGCGGCAGTCCAGCTCAATACCATCCGCTCGGAAGCGACTAAAAAGGAGCAGTTAATACATCGGTTCTATTACGACCGCTTACACTTGGACGGCCGGGCATTAGAGTTTTATGGCATCACTGTTCCGGAGTTTTTCCAGACGGAAATGAGGCGGTTAAGCTTTAAGGAATTCATGTCCCTGCCGTTGATCATCAACGGGCGGGAGCTTGACAGTTTGTATCATTATTGTCGGCAAGCTGAGGCTATCCTTAATCCTCGAGGGCTTCATCTCATAAACTCCAGCGTTGCGGTAGGCCTTGGAGACGGACATGGAGGTAATGTTATGGCTACGCTAGGAGGCCCTGCAATCCGCCTCGTCGACTACGAAGTTGCCGGATGGCACAACCCCGTGCTCGACCTAGCCAAACCATTGTACAACGATGCGTTTTTCGCCATCCTTTATAGTGATTTGATGGATCATTGCAATGCAATGACTGCATGTGGGGGCGATGAGCGCCAGTATGTGCGCTACCGCGTTACCGAAGAGGCCATCACTGTCGACTTCAACCTCCAGCTCAGCCTGCTAGATCGTACTTTGGCATACATAAAGCTCGAGTACATGGCACGACCACTCTGGGAACGCCTAGCGGACGAATTTCCAAACGATTTAGAATTTGCCGAAGACATATTGAGCGCAGCTCTATTCTCTTGCGCTCTGCTGACTCGTAACTTTTCATCGCAGCCGGACACCTTTTTCCTAAATGCTGCTGTCGGAGTGCTCTTGTTTTCTGACATGAAGGGGACCATTGACTTGTTCTTCGGATGGGCAAACTGGCCCATCAACGCTGGATCATCCGAAGGCGGCCGGCGGCGCTGGTCTGATGTCGTCAAGGGCGCTCAGGAAGAGACGAGAGACCACCGATTAATTGGCCCCGCGACAGAATGTCCATGAGTTGACATTGACTACTGTCATATCAAGTCTATTCCAGCACTCTACCGCTCAGCTGGATCCCACAGTGGCGTTATGGACTATCGACTTGCGCGTGGGGCTCCTGCTCGGGCCTAGCACCATTACACAGATATCCCAAATACAACATTCTTTACAGTTCAATTTGAATGCTTTTATCAAAAGGGAAAATCTTTTTGCTATTCAAAAGTCGAATTAACTTCTCTAGGCAATAATATTTTTATTGAGTAGATTGAGACTTAATTCGGTTTATCAGAGTTCTACAGCTGTATTATGATATTGAGTTACAAGTTCACAGATCAAATCAACTTCGTCAACAACTTATAAGAATACTAGTGTCTGCCGATATTAGTGAATAGTATAAGGTTTATAAACCGCACTGGCATCGGTTATTGATAATGCCGTTTCTTTCTCTTCCACAACTCTCAACTCCTCGTAACCCTCAACATATAAGTACTTTGTCACTTTGACACACCCTCTACAGTCTTCAAGACTGTTCAAATCAAATTCTTCATAACTCCCAGTATAATATCTACTCTCAGTAACTTAGTTTTTTTGAGAGATTTTAACCAATGAAGGTGATATAAAGAGTGAATTCTTGAATGAGTGAGTTAGGGAAAATACAGTTCAGAGCGTAAGAAGTAGATGAGTTGTGAGACCGTGATGAATGAAAGTGTATTAGTAATATTATACTTGGGTGTGTTTTAGATAACTTCAGCTTCAAAATGTCTTGGCAAAAATCCTTACTCCGAGATTTTGATCCCTCTTTGAAAGAAAACTCGTCTGAGGCTCCACCTGCAGACTGGATCATAAAAGTATCTAGATACTACTTGGCCATTCTAATGCCTTGTCGATTGAGCTTGCGGCTGCCAATGCAGCTGCCCTCACTATTCCAATTCACATCACCGCCGCCGTTCCTCCTCCCAGTTTTACAGCACCAGACCAGACACGCATCCGTCCTCGCGCAGTTGTCAGATAATGCGACAGCGTACAACAAACGGATAAGACGTGGTCGAGGTCCTTCGTCTGGAAAGGGTAAGACCTCCGGGCGTGGCCATAAAGGTCAAAAGCAGCATGGAAGTGTTCCCGCAGGTTTCAATGGCGGGCAGACCAAAGATGAGATTGTGCATGGTGAACATGGATTTAAAAACATGTAGGGCACTTCCGACACCCTAAGTGATGTCGTTCAAAAAAAAAAAAAAGTAAAAGATCTAATCCAAACCCTCATCCAGCTTCTCCCTCGACATCTCCAAAGTCAACCTCGACCGCATCCAACAATGGATCGACCAAGGCCGCCTCGACCCTTCCCGCCCCATCACAGTCCGCGAGCTTGCGAAGTCCCGCTGTATCCACGGCGTCAAGGACGGCGTCAAACTTCTTGCCCGTGGCGGCAAAGAAACACTCAAACAACCCGTCCAAATCGTCGTCTCCCGCGCCTCTACCACGGCGATTGAGGCTGTCGAAGCCGTCGGCGGCTCCATCACGACCCGCTACTACACACGCCACGCCATCAAGCGGATCCTGTCCGGCAAGACGGACCCATTCGTCTCGCTCGCGTGGCTCAATGCAGGCGAGAATCTGACGATTGGGATGGGGATTGATAAGCCCCGTGTCAAGGGTGATGGGTTCTCGTATCGGTTGCCGGACCCGACAAACCGCAAGGATATTGAGTATTATCGTGATCCGGCTCATAGGGGGTATTTGAGTTATCTTGTGCAGAAAGGGGAAACGCCGAGTTTGTTCTTCAGTGCACCCGGCAAGGCACAGAAGAAGGGTAAGGAGGGTATGCCTTCTAGTGACAATAGATTGTGGTAGAGAAGGAAGGTAGAATGGTGACACAGACTTGTTCCTCCTTTCCTACTCTATTATCTATATTGGTGCTTTTGAATGCTACCCGGAATCCCGAGGGAGAAATATTTGTTTCTTCTTCCCGCGTTTTATGTAGCTATATGAGTCTGTTTTATCTTGTTTGGATATTATTGTATATTAGAGAGACAAATTCCCTCGTGGTCTGTTTAAATTAACTATATTTTGATCAGGGGCTTACTTCAGCTGTAAGGTGTATATAGCTATTTTCTTCTATGCTCCGCTACCAGCTCAACCGCGAGCAGAAAACATTACCTTTCCCTATTGAGACGTGCTGAAAACCACCTTGACGATTTGCATAATTAATAAAATGCTTCGGTTAAGTTGATCCCTTCAAAAGCGTGCGATTCATCTCATAAGGTTTGGAGGTAACAAAACCAGTTGTATAATCGGACTTTTACCATTAGACTAAAAGAATAATTTTCCTAATAACAAGTTTTTAAATTCACAATTTCACTTCTTGGAATCTAACACTAATTAATTACTTAACATACAGGTTAACCCCTTGTCCCTTTCCCCTAAACGTTTTATTAACACGTCCGCTTGCATCGTATTATCAACATTATCGTGTTCATCAGTGAAGGGGTTCACCACTCTCATAAAACGCCCAACTAAGTACAAAAATGCCATTGATGGGATATAAAAACACAAGAAAAGAAAAGAAGAGAAAACTCAGAAGCATAGAGAGTGCAATCTAAAAGCTCGCGCAAGAAAAAAAAAAAAAAAAAACAAAACAAAAGAAAAAGGTGGAAAGAAGGATCTAGCAATATCTGCGGAAAGGCAGAGAATCAAATTCAAACGGGACGTAGGACGAGAACAGAGCCTGGTAGAAAAGCGAACCGGGCCACAAATCCCGCTAGAAACCACGAATAAAACGACAACGCAAAGAACAGGGAAACCCTAGAGAGAACAAGAAGCGGGATAGAACCTATGGAGGATGAGGTAGGTCACGTCGTGAGTGGAAAGTCTCCAGATACAAACACTGCCTGTCACCATCCTTAAAAGCCTTGAAACTGCATTTTGTATAGTCGACACATGATCTGTTTGTCCCGTTAGACCAAAAGCAAGAACGCCTTTTGGGTATGGGCAGGGAACAATGACAGAGTGCGGTGGGAATACTCTTGCGTTGGAGTTTTATCATTCCCTAGGAAAAGAAAGGGGATAAAGGGAAAGGTAAAATGATGATGAGAGAATTGGGGAGAAGTTGGGGTTGATTCGACAGTAATACACACAACAAAACTGAGATGTTTTAAGAGGCGGTGACAGCGCTAAGAACAAACTAATTAGGAGTAGGGTGATAAAATGAATTAAAAAAAAAACCATAACTCGAAACCGAAATGGAAAACGGAAACTTCTCAAAATTCCAGCCAGCCGCACGCGATTCAATTTCATCAATGCATAAGCAAAAGTGGACATGATCTGCTGAAGAGAAAAAATGAAGAGAAGGGAAAGGAAATTCGTGATGGCATAAGGAAGCATAACACTCGGATGCAATCGGATGCAATCGTAAATAGACTCCCTAAACCGTCAATGAACAAAAGGCCGGCCCCTTCCAGGTCAGAAAAAAAAAGAGTGCAGATAGGTATATAATAGGTAGATGCGACAACCATTTGGCAGATGACAGTCACGGGTATCAAATACGAACGCTAACACAACAAGGGATATAAAGTGCATGGATGAAAATCAGAATGAATGAAAAATCCGCCTTGGACACCGTATGATTGCATCAGACCTTGGTGGTTTCTTACATAACCGGCGTAAAATACCCCAAGTAAAACGGACGCAATCAAAGTGGATAGAACGCAGGGCCTAAAATCCCCATTGCGGAGTATCGCCAGCGTGGTCTGCGCTGTCAGAACACCCCTGAAACCAACGGCATTGTAACACTTCCCGAATGGTCCATCTCCTCGTCGGATCCATATCCAAACAGCCCTGGATTAACTCCAATGCGTTCCGTCGATCTTGAAGATCACCATGACCTTTCAGGACAGAACTTCTATCCCAACGACCACCCATAATATTGAGTTTGATTCGTGGTTTAAAGGAGTCTTGAAAAGGCCGAGAACCCACGACCAGAGCAAAGACAACAACTCCAAACGCCCATATATCCACAATTGGATCAATAAGTCCATCCACAGATGATAACAGCTCCGGAGAGGCATATTCCAGGCTTCCAGCAACACTGGTGCTTGTGTCAGAAGGGCCTATGGCTTTTGGAGGTGGTCGATCTGCTGCATTGTCGTACGGATCAGGTGAGCTTCCACCACCGTTTTCCGATGTCATCCATTCCGCCATTCCAAAGTCACATAGGATTAAGTGGGCTGCGTCATCATATTGGTTAGAAACCGGTGCATCCAGAAGACAGTTTTCAAGCTTAATATCTCGATGGACAACACGTGCATCCTCATGCAGGTATCTAATAGCGGACGCTAATTGATATGCATAGTTTCGGGCAGTGTTCATTTGAAGGCCTTGGCGATGTCTGCGGATCAGGTCGAACAAGGTTCCCCTTGTGGTTAATTTTGTGAAGCAAAATGTAGCATAGTCGGTTTCGTAAACTGCTTCGAGTGGCAAAATGTTAGGGTGGTTTAGGTATCGCCAAATGCGCACTTCGTGATCGAATTCGGCTTGGACTTGATCATTTTCACGTTCGCTCTGGCCGGCGAGGTGCTTCCTCACAATTTTAACAGCAAACCGTTCCGGTCCACCATCTCCATTAACCTTAAATGCTTCCTTCACTGTGCTAAATCCTCCAAAACCAATCTGCTTGCCGATCACATAGTCTGTCCCTACAACTTGACCTTCATCATCAGGTTTCGGGGGAACCTCATCGCGACTCCATAGGGACAGAAACGTGCTGGCTGGAGATTTACCACTTGAGTTGGTAGAGCGACCGGAGTCATGACATAGGTTGTGCCGCAAACTGCCATCCCTGCCTAGAGTATAGCCTTTTGACCGACTGCCAAACGGCTGAGGGACAAGGCCAGACCAACCGGTCGCATCATCCAAAGATGCAGGGCGGTAGACCCTTGGAGAAGCTGAAAATGGTGACAAAAATATGTCCCGGTTTGTTTCCGGAGGCGTACGCACTTCATCAGTGACAGGGGAAGCAGTGGATAGAGATGTGAGAGAGGTGGGGCGCTCCCCAGCAGGCTCAGTGTCACCCCCACAGCTCTCCACTGGTCTGGAGAAAAAGTCCCGGGGAGGTGAACCGATAGGAAACACATTTGCGGAGCTTCCGGAGTCGCGTTCCTGATGAGACAAGCTATCCACAGACGGGTCGACACCGTGCCTCAGATCGATTGCTGGGATTTCCAGTTGGTTCCGGCATCCAGGATCAAGCGAGTAATCAGCATTGTGGCTGAGTGAAGGTTGATCGTTTCGGGCAAACTGCTCGAGTGGCGATGGATGGATATAACGAGGGTGATGGTTATATTCCAGGTCATCGGCCGCACCCGTTCTGAAATGATGGTCTTCAGGACAAGGCACAGGGATGGGAGGCGTCGGGACATGGGCGTCCTTCAATGGACCATCACTTCCCTCTAGGGGTCTTGTATGTTGGTGGTTTGATTTAGCGGTATCAGAAGGAACTCGCCTAGCACTGCCATTCGCGTTTGGCACATCCCCACGCCCATGTCCATTTTCGGTCAACGCAGATGTATTCGCAAAATTCGGGTCTAACGTCAAATTCTCAAACTTCCGGATCTCCTCATGAGCCATGCCCTCACCTTGACGAGGTGATTGCAACGGCTACCGATGAACCTTCACTCTTGACAACTGAGAAGTTGAACGAGTCGAGCAAGCGCAGCACTGGCGGTGGCGGTGGCGGCAATGACACTAGTCGTGGGAGGAGCCAAATACTTTTAAATTGGGCCAGTTGCAAAAAATAAAGCGCGACCCAGACAGACTGGTGTGAATAGAACCCGTGCTCCGTTGGTGGCACGTCAAGACGTGGATGCAGCGTGGATCTTCCAAGACGGAGCGACCGAGCTACAGGGTAAATGTTAACTAGGTTGAACAGCAGGTTACTGGAGTTACCGGTGATTAGCTGCCCAGCAAGGTCAGAACAAAGATACGTCGATATGGACGGGCAAGAGAAACAAGGCTGTGAGCCGGCAGTCAGGCGTAGTGAAGATACGCACGGCGAGCGGGAGGGCGGATGTTGTGGTGAGCAAGGTAGCGGGAGAGGGAGTGAAAGGTCTTTTATTCCGCAGATGTCGGGCAAAGCAGGAAGAAGCAGCCCGAAGGGGTCACGATAAGGTCACGTGGGCGGCAAATGTTTTTGTGAGGATGTGCGCTTGTCGAGGTGGAAATGTGCGCGCTGTGGTTGGCTGGAGATAAGACGCTTGGCATGCGGAATCCGCCAGGGGCAACAAGCGAGCTAGCCGCCTGGTGTCGGCGCTTGTTTGGGAGCCGGCCAACGCCAAGCCACCATGGGAATTAAGGGACCTCCTGAAAGACGTTGGCCGGGATTCTGTCTGTTCTCTCGCGGTGTGTTGTCTCTCGCGGATGGTCATTTCTTTGGCTTTTTCCTCGCTCTCCTCCTGTTGTCCTTATCCCCTTCTTACCCCCTTCTCCGCTCTGTTGTCTGGTCTCTGCTGGGGTTGGTGAGGAGTTGCCACTTTCCCCGCTCCCCTTGCTTCCCTTTCGCTCAGCTTGGCCTCCTTCGCCCGACGTTTCAAGCGCATATACTGTTGCGTTGGCACCTATCCATATCCCCTTTGGAAGACCGTATAGGCAAATGCTCGTGCTACCTTTCCATCCTCTGCCTATTCTACGAAGTGTTGTTTGAACAGGCTATTTTGTTGACGTGCGCACGCACGAAACAATGACCAGACCGCAGATAATCCGGGCAGGTGAGCATTGAATGATGGATCCAAAAAAATAACATATCGGGGTTAGCTGCCTGTTTCTTGAGTTCATAAGCATTTATTAATACGATCAACTTTTCCCTCTTTCTTTCCTCAATCAGATACCATCGACTTGCAGGGCAACCGTTTCCAATCCAATCAAGACCAGACACACAACCAGAGCCACCCAGCCTCGTCGGAAGGAAATCGAACAGCACCCCACCAAACTCTTGCAATGCAAAATGCGGAGAAAGAGGCCAGGGATGAATTAGTTCAAAGCCCCAGGGTCTCTGGAGACCACAGGCACCCCGATGACTCTGGGGACGAAATGAATGTCCATGACGAGGGGGCGCATCATGACGGCGTTGATCACTATTCAAACGGCCATACGTCGGCAGATGAAGGAGATACTACAGACGGCGAAAGCGACGACCAGCTGGATGATGATATGATGGATAAGATATCTAGTTCTCCATCTATTGATGATGGTGGGTGCCCCTCTTTTTATCTTTGATCTGTGATCTCCTTTCAACGCGCTCCCACTCCGCAGCCATAAACCTGGCTTCTTAAAAGAAAGACCCCGTTTTATCATTCATGTATTTCTTCTATGCCCTGGCTTTGCCTATCTTGCATGCTGTTTCTTGTTTTGTATGTGTATGCCCTACCTGGCTTTCATTATTCATATCACGGTCTGGGGGCATAGCATGAAATGCACGAGTCCTAAAAGCCTCAGCGAGACGCCCTTGCGTCGGGAACGGCGCATAGTCACTCGGGACGGGGATTAGGGTTAGGTATAGTCATACTCTACGCTTCTCCCAAAGATCGACAACTGCTTCCATACTCAAACAAATGCGAATGATATCCACTTCACCATAAACTAGGGGTGTATTTCTTATGGCCCCTCTTTCAACACCGCTCCTAGTTAATGGCTATCCCACGTGTCAATCTCTTTCATCTGCATTCCCCTCCCTATTTTCTTTCAGTTTCCCTCTTTGCTGGTGGAGATCAAATGACTTACACGAATATAGAAGATATTGATTTCGAATTTGTCTACGCTCTACATACTTTCGTAGCCACTGTCGAAGGGCAGGCGAATGCCACGAAGGGTGATACAATGGTCCTTCTGGACGACAGTAATAGCTACTGGTGGCTTGTTAGGGTTGTGAAGGATGGTAGCATAGGTTGGCTCATCACATCCGTAGATTCCCTGATGTCGCTACTAACAGTTTCAGGTTATCTGCCCGCCGAACATATCGAGACCCCAACAGAACGCCTGGCGCGTTTGAACAAGCATAGAAATATTGATGTACGCATCTGGCGTCATCCCTATTGCCAATTGGTGCTAACTTCATATCTAGCTCTCTGCTACAATGTTGGGGGATAATGCAGAAAAATCAAAGAACCCATTGAAAAAGGCCATGCGAAGGAGGAACGCAAAAACTGTCACTTTCACCTCTTCTCCGGTTTACCGTGAACCATCAGATGTCGAGTATTCTACCGAAGAAGAGGACGAAGCAGACGACCCATTCTTTGACAACGACAATGATGAAGAAAATGTTAAATCAGACACCAATGATGGACAAGAAGAATCCCAAAATGAAAACATCGTTGTCGAGCCTCTTCGGCCCAAAGTGCAAACAGATAATGACGGTTCAAACGCACATGAAGCTGAGCCTGGCCGAGATAGTAGTCCTGAGAGGGTTCGGGCAAGCGAGGATTCATTTGACAAATTAGGTGAACACAACTTCTTTCCCCTAATGATTTTATCCCACTTAACTAAATCGAGAAACAGACGACAGCCCTGCTGGCAGGTCCCGCAACGGTGTGGTGCGGAACACAGATTCGTTCTTCAAGGATGATAGCCTCGAGACCAAAAAGATATCACTGACTCCAAACCTCCTGCGTGATGATTCGAATGATAGAACTGCGGCCACAAATGAGTCCAAAGAGGTATTGATCCAATCCCCTCTGGGCTTTTATATGTATATCACATTTTTCTGATCAGTTTGATTTCGGTTCTTTTAGGCGAAAGGACGTGGAAGCTTTGACGCCTTTGATAAAATCATCCCCTCGGGAGACAAAACCAAAGATGACAAAAAACGAAAGGAGAAAAAACCAGGCATGCTTAGCGGCTTATTCAAGAGGAAAGACAAGAAAAGTAAAACCATCGATGATGATATGGAAGAGCCAGAGAAGATCTCTGAAGAATCGACACGCTCGACAACACCTCCGAAGACAGTTGGTGAATCGCCGAAAGAAGAACGCCCGTCTTCAAAATCCCAGAACGCATTCCAACGACATCCAAGCAAACTGCAGAAAACGCCACCCGATGGTTCTCCCGTTAAAGTTGACAGCATGCAAACAATCGCCCAGCAAGGACTCAGCAATGACTCCACTTCCAGAGCATCTCCAGTGAAGGATATTTCCGGTACTTCAGTTCGGGTAGTTCCACCAGACGCACAATCTGATGTACCACAACCTCTTCGTGTCAGATCTCCAGAAGCAACTCGTATAAAACCGGCAGATTCTACTTCTCGAGACCAAATTGATCCGAATTCGGATCTCCGGTTGAAAACCATTTCTCTTAACACGTCGGTTTCTCCTGTTGACGTTTCAAAAACGCCATCACCCGGTATCCAAAGCACCCCGAGCAAGGAAACTGTTCGATCCGCGTCTATGCCTGAGGAAACGGATGAATCTGCGGATTCTCCGGTTAACATACCATCTCCAGAGGAGCGAAGCCGTAATAATCCTCCGGATTTGACAACAGATACTTCGTCAATTGATGAGCCACACAATCCATCACCCTCCCCAACACCGTCTTCTCCCGAGCTTGTTGAACAGCCAGACGACAAGCTAGAAAGCAACAGCGCTCCGACTCCGTCAACCAATACACCAACTTGGAGCGAGGCTAGCCTCCGTTCTTATCTTGATGATGACACCGATATCCGGGATCTCCTCATCATTGTCCATGACAAGTCTAATGTGGCAACGGCAGGCCCGGATCATCCGATAACTGGAGGTCTATTCAAGGAAGAGAGCAAGGGGCTTAATGAAATGTCAATTCGGCTCGATGAGCTGCTAACCGGTTGGGTGGCTCGGAAGTTGAGAGCGTCTATGGCGAAATAGGCGATTACCGCCACTTCGCTCTTTCTTCCTCCACAAAGCTCGCCAAACCCTATCCATGTGCATCCGAAGCATCCGCCCGCCTACGCCAAGCACGTTCCGTTCCAGAATTTGGTACCATCTTCACGCATAAAATGTCTCTTGACCACTCTACGCTATCTCGGAAGTTATATATACACATCATCCTTTCCACTATCTTGATTTGCTGAACGTCCATATGGAGTTGAAAAAGAACTTCTTGAACATCCCAATCAAAAAACAAGATACAAAACCAAAGTGAAAAGCTGGCGATTAACGAAAAGTACGATCAAATGAGGCAAAGGCACTTAGCTGAAATTTGCATGCAACAACTAACATTCGATATTTGAAGATCAACGATCCTTAAACACATCGGTGTTGACGACGGTGGTTCCGTTTTTTCAGCTCAGATATCTTCATTTTCGTCCGCTGCTTTTATAAAATTGACTGACCTCCATCCCTTTTTCAATCTATTTACTCTCATTCCTTCCTAAATTTCCTTCAGTCAGCTCAAAAAAAAGGGGGGGTTCGAAAAATACTTCAGAGTGATATTCTGGCAATGCTATCTATCGATCCGTATTTTTCCACTTCATTCCCTACCAATCACTCGCCATTTCACAACCAGCCCCTCATTACCTACTTCATCGCCAGCCGCTTCGATTCACTTTGTTATTTCACGCTACGCCCACAACATGACCGAGCATATCACTGCCACCGTTCCTTTGCTTTGTTCACTTCCTTTCTCTATTCTGTTGCATTCAAACACAAACCCCAAGTACCCACGGATATCATCCATCATCCATTTTCACCTATATCTTTCCTCTCCTTCTCTCTGCATGACATTTCCCTACCTTCCTTTTCCTTCTCGATTACAGTTTATTTCGACCTATTCGCAAGCCATTCTTGGGTCCCGTTTGTTCCCGTTCATTTACTGATGCCTTCTCCTTCGGAGATATTGCTTCTGTTCTTTTGCTCCACCCTGCTCTCCTTATTCCTCACCTCGCCTCAATCAAGTCACAGGCGCCCTCTCATTTTCAATCCAATTCCACCACTTGGCTTTCTTTGCCTCCCCTTTGCTTCCGACTTGTGCTTGGACCGACCTGACGGTTTATTATTATGCTTCCTTTTTTTGGTTAACTTTAAGGGGTTTAAGGGGGACGGGACTTGAAGATCACTTTTTCTTCTTCTAACTCAAGTACTCTTGCTATTTTATCCGACTGCTTCTCGCCGTCCTTCTATATCTCTTATCCCTAGTTTGCCAGAGCGTAAATGGATACTACGCCTTTGACAAAAATTCAACTCAAGCCTGATAAATGAGTAGGAGCATTCTCTTGCAGCTTCATACGGTATGGTGTTTGCACATGTGCAGAAAGATATCCGGCTCCTTATAAATGAGTCCCAATACAAATGGCTTTCTCGCTTTTAATTATTCCGGGGTTCCAAAAGTTCTTCCAATCTACAGGCCTCTTACAAAATTGAAAACAATTTCTCACCCATAGTCTCGTCTCCTCGCTTACCGGAGTCAGTTTGGTACCTGGGAGTTGTCCACGGGAAAGCCGTACTTCCAGGTACTAAAATCGTACCTATCGGTGTCAATATCCCCTCTATCAGTTAGATGTGGGGTTGGGAAATTCCCAAGCTCAAAGCGATATTTGATTGGCTGTTTGTCGTCTGGGAGTCGTTCGGGACGCGGGTCTTTTAAGTTTATTATACGAGTCAGCCAGTTTCCTGGTACCTTTTTGTACCTTTTGAGGATCGTAGAGGCTGTCTACTGGAGTAGAAAGGGATTGGTTGGAATTGGTGAACGTGGAGTATATCAATAATAAATATCTTACCGAAGACAGGCTCGATGCCACTATTATATTCCAAAACGTGTTTATCTTTAATCTTCTTCGCCAAATCATCGTTCACAAGGACGAGGGCTGCACTTTGCCTGCCACCAGCAGCGATGGAGACGGCGAAATAAGCACCGAGTGCATCATCCGAGTCTAGCGCCTTGATGTCAGGAAAATCGCCCCAGGCTTCACCCTGCCGCTCGATACATTTGCAATATTCTTCCAGTATCCCCCGCCTGTTGAGGGTTAACGCTTTTCCCCAGATGGATGATCTTTCTTCATTTCCCTGGCATTCTTGCTTCAGGTAACTTAACCACAATTTCTTCTCTGGTTCAAACCAGACGAATTGTGGGGACCTAGAGTTCTCAGCGAAGGGATATTTTACAAGGTCGCCGGACGGCTTGGAGGCCCTGTGTTTGAGACCTCGAAAGGGAACCCCGTACGGACTACTACCTAGTCCCAGAGATCCATATGGCTGTAGCTCTATCCCGTGGGCAGAAATTTTGCCATTGGCATGAAGAGCGTGAAAGTGGCAGTCACCGAACGCGATAGATATTACGTCACTGTGTTGTAGGCTGGGTGGTGCGGCTGGCTCTATCTCTAGCCCATGATTCTTGGAGTTAGACGATGTGGGAGAGATTCGTCGGATCTCGAGAATATTTCCCAGCAAAACCTCTCCACCTGCAGTAAAGATGGCAAAATTTTTATAACTACCCTGAATATCCACCAAGATTCTTCCAGGGGCAGAAAATTTCGGAAGCTCGGTAGTGTCCCCGGTCTTCAGTTGTGTTGCAAATGCCTTGTTAGCGTCTGTGATGAAAACAATGTACTTGTCCAAGACAACATAATTCCTGACTTCACCCATTGGATGTTCTGCTTCTGGAAGTGAATGAAGCCGACGAAATTCAGTTCGGGGAATAATAGAAGCCGAAATAGTCACCACACCATCATCATCAGGGGCCATGTTTGAGACACTTTCTCTTGCTTTCCAGTACAATATTCCTGTTCCAGTGATGTACGCTGAGCTATACGCCCAACCGGCAACAACTTTAGTGACAGTTCCTGATCTCGACCGATCTTGTGACCCCAAACTAATATCAACATTGGAGAATCGCATCTGACAGCAGGGAGCACTCTCAGCGTGCCAAGACCATATACGGCCATCATCCGAGAGGCCTAGTATATGGTTGCGCCCACAAGAAATTCGTGAGATGGCTGTGGCTGGCTCATACAGATGTTTTGAAGTCGGACGAAACCGCGATGGAAACCTGAGAGGTTTAAAATCACGCGTTTCAAAAAAGTCGTTGTACAAAAATCCTTCCAGATAGATAATACCATCAGATGTCAGGATGGCTATCGAAAATTGGCTGCGCAGTCGTGCAGAGTTAGCAAATGGTAATAGGTCGTCGGTTACAGCTAGAAGAAAATCCGCAAAGTCCACAAGAGGTAGCAGACGGGGTTTTTGAACAGCACCCACCTGCATTGTAAATCTGCAACATTCCCTATACCTCCAGGAACTCTTATTTCAGCCGGCCATGGCTCTTCTACGGGCTTTAACCAATCTACCCGACCCCAAGTAAATATTCTGCATTTTGTACTTAGGGTTTTATATAGCGAATACCAACGCGGACCATTAGGGTGAAAGAGACGGCGAATTGGGATTCGAAAAGTCTTCAATGTACGGACGCGCCAGTATTCCGACGCTTCCTTGAAATTGCTTTGCATATGCCTGTTGACGGCGCATAGGGAGAGAAATTCCCCTGGCTCCAGATATAGGAAAATGTGGAAGAGAATGTCATCGGGCAGATCCACCAATGTCGTTAAAGGGCTCATCATATCCTACTTGTCCGGATTCCAACTAGGGTATGCTAGATTGGCAGCCAGCTCAAAGGCTCTCTGCATTGTGGTTCCCTGTGTCCAGCGCTGGAGGAAATGCGTATCAATCTGATGGAGGTCAACATTGAATTCTTCCACCTTGCCTGATTCAGCCCTAGTGCCTTCAGCCGCGCCAAGGAACTTCCCCTGCTTCTGAGCAACCAATGACCAGCCGGGATCGATCACCAACTCCTGGACTGGTGATGCCTGATGTTGCTCCTGAAAAGTCCCTGTCGCGAGCAGTGTTGTGACTCTGGCGTCTGTCTGTCGAGCACACACTGCGCTCAAAAACAAATAGAACTTGGGACTCTGCACTTCGATTCCTTCTCGCTGGTACGATGGATCAGCTCACCCGTCATCTGCTTGACAAAGAAGTCAAGAGCTTCATCGACGCGATCGAGCCACCTTCGGTTTGCAAGCTAGCCTCGTCCTTGCACCCTGAGAAGAAACCGTGCCAGATCTTCTCAGACCCAAAGAAAGGGAGCTATAACATCTGCTTTCCAGTTGTGTTTACAGACTCAGCTGATGACCTTCCCGATGTCGAGTCTACCGAGAGTGCTGAGCGATGGATGATCCGAATCCCCCTGCTCCCACGTCTGGCGTTTCCAGAGGAGAAGATGCGAGGCGAGATTGCAACAATGAAGTAAGTAAGAAATTCGAAATGTCCCTGCTTTGTAGTCAAGCTATAACAATTCTGCCCGGCCTCGTAGGTACATCGCTGAGAAAACCACTATCCCTATCCCACGTCTTGTCGAATATTCCATCAACCGAGATAATATTCTTGGCCTTCCCTTCATGGCCGTCGAGTACATCAAAGGCAAGACTCTCTATGAAACTGATGTGCCACGCCTCCCGGAAGAGTTAAAGTCACATCTGTTTGGCCAGCTTGCCGATGTCTATATTCAACTCTATCGCCAGCAATTTGATCATGTTGGTGCTCTTACACTTGACAGCAACGATGAAAACTGGGTGTTTGAGCATAACCGCCCGCTCACTATTGAGTTGAATGACCAGGAACTCTGCGGGATGAAAAGCTCTGAGATTATCCCTGCTCATCGAACCTACAATTCCACCATTGATTACACCTACGCCATCTTGAAATTAGTTTTCAACGACTTTTACCACGGGAAAGATAGTGTTTTCGATGAGGAGGATGCACGTAATTATTTGTATGGCATATTTGCATCCCAGGGCATTGTGATGGACTGGGTGGACCAAAGGGATAACCATGGACCATTCATTCTCATGCACGGGGATTTTCGACCACCTAATATCTTTGTGGATGATGATCTGAACATCATATCAATCATTGATTGGGAGTGGAGTCACACAGTTCCACCACAAATGTTTGTTCCGCCCTCTTGGATCACAGGTCAGGAGCTTCCAGCTGCCACTAAAACACCCTTCAACCTTCCATTTTCATTTTATGTCTTTCAATTCCAGATAGCCTCAAGAGAGCGGGAAGATAAATGCCATAACCCAGATAAAAAGCTGAAATTCATTCTGCCTCTGGTCAGACTCTGGAGCCGATATCTCCGGTCAGATACTATGTTTGTTGCCTATGCACTTTTAAAACCTTGCTATTTTGGGAATGTGTACTGGAATTTGTTGGACAAAATGTACTACGGAGAAGACAGCGGCAAGAGAGTGAAAAGCTTCTTTGAACTTAGTCTAAGGAAAAAACAAGAAGAAAAATTACAGCAAGTGTTATCTAACCTTGAGGCTTTCAAGAAGGAATTAGCACTCGCAGGATTGGAACCGATCGAACCGCTCAAGCCCCCCACACTTAATCCAGCCAAAGGAAAAGACCACGATGCCATGTCCAAAGCCAGCAAGGGTGTCGCTATAATCCAAGTCTGGAACAGATTCAACCTCAAAGAAATTGTTGGTATATTCCGCCATTGGCTGCCCTGCTCGCTAGTAGGTGTCAGTGTCTGCGCATGCTGCATCATAGTTAAACGACGACGATTAAATGGGATGCTGCCTACTGGTTTGTTCGCTTCAGTCTTTCGACGACAATAGATAGATGGCTTGCGTCAAAACTTCCCTCTTTTCTCTGATCTTTTCCAATTCCTGCATGTTCTTCTCTATCTCCTCCTCAAGAGACATTGTCTCTCCACGGTCTCGCACTCCCCGCGATCTTCGGGCACTAGAGGAAAGCATCCTCAATTCAGCGGCCCGATGTTGGAGATTGTTTATAAACTCTTGAAGCTCAATAGCTTCACGTTCGAGCTGCTGCTGCTCAATGAGCTTCGCTTGAAGTTCGAGATTGATATCTTCTGATAAGGACGCCTTATTTTGGGAAGCCATCTTTTTATGTCTCTGTAGGATGGGCAAGTCAGCATTTATGTCAGGTGAACTTCACAAAATGGATACAAAATCCTTACGTAGAAAATGCGATCGTCGTTTTCAAGACACTTTATTCCTCGACTTTGGATCTGGAAGGGAAATATCTGGAGGGAGATTAGGGACATCATGACCTTTTTATGGCTGCGAGAACACACCCCCTCAATTTTTTACCTGCCTTGGGATGCCAGCGCATCCTACAAGGAGCCGGGACGGATCAGCCAATCTAGTAAGCAGATACATCCAAACAATGCATGATTGCCTAATCTGGGAGCCTTGCACCATCGAGGAGGTGCTGCACGGCTGCTCAGACTTACTTGGATCATTCTATTATCACCCTTGCAGATGCATGTGCCTCAGCTGTAAAAAGTTCTTTTGTAGTGAGCAGTTCTACGGCCTCTTCCGTATCAGGGCAGCCTTGCCCCCATCCGGCTAGGATAAGAAAAAGAGGAATTTAAACTGGATCGCGCCTATCCATGTATATGTGAGCTAGGCAAACAAGAAACGAACGCTCCAAACAGACAGGCAAATACGGTGGTGTAACTCTGCAAGGAGGTAGTTCTGCCTCGTGGATCTGACCATTCACCACCGCCGACAGCCTGGCCGGAAACCTTTCATCCACTAGCCACTGCTTGTATCAACATGAATGCGCAGGTCACCTTGTCGCCTTTGAGGCGAGGGGAAAACACGGTTTGTCAAACAGCAATGTCTAGCTAGGGCAGAACTCATAAAGATTATCAAGCCCCGCTCGTTTTACGACTGGGCGCCTTTTAGAGGGAAGCTGCCCCAGGCGCTCCAATAGAACTCAGCCTAGGCTAATCCAGTCGCACCTTGTTGTGTTTGCTTCTGCTGTGCCTTCAAAGGTATTTGAGCGGGGTGGCAGGGATGTCTTCATGTTTGCGTAGTCGACAGATAACAGAACCTAGCCCGATATCTTCTTGAAGGAGGGGGACACCCTTGTCGGTAGCCCTCTGCTTCCCATACCTGGTGATCCCAGTAAAAGACATGTTCGCATCAAGGGACAAGGGATGTCTTAGATTTTCGATCAATTAACCCCGCTCGGAAGCTCTGAGATTCATGTACCTCCCAAAGGTGTTTGAAGCAGCCAGCTTGAACACTTCCATTATTCTATTTTTCGTATCGGAGATGCCCTTTTCTTCGACTTTCGGTTTAACCGGTTGATTCTTGCAGTGCTTTGAACACGCGCTGCACCTAATAAACCTCCCAGCAAAAGGGCTGTAAGGGGAGAATCTCCCCCTAATAGCTCCCAGCTGTCGTTGGATCTGTCTAAGAATCTAGATGGATGTAACGATGATGTCATAAAATAAAAAAAGGTTTTGCTCAGCTTTCATCTTCGATCTTCGATAGTTACTCAGAACAACTCCATTACTATAATGGTCAGCTAATTCAGCAGCTCACAATAGTCGTAGTGATTGTTATTGCTTATTATCATTATGGTTATAGACGTTATCCAACTGTGGTGAGAAAGTTTTCCCGCCAACCAAAAAAGTGGAAAAATGATGTCACTAACTTACTCTCGACCTCGAAACTTCGCTGAATAACAAATTAACAATTACATTGCTCATTATCTCAGCAATGCATTTTTACTCTGCACAACATGTACACTGAATTATTTATGTCCATTATTCCTAATCTGGCAGTAAAAGTCCAAGCAGGAGGTCTTATCAATCTATCAAGCCAGCAAAAACAATGGAGCCTGAATTCCCGCTGTCATACAAAGTCGCCCAGTTCGATGCAGAGGGCGAAGAATTGTGCATCAGAACCATTCCGCTAGAATATCCGAAGCACGGAGAAATTCTAGTGAAAGTGCTTGCATGCGGCGTCTGTCACTCCGATGTTCTCGTGAGGGACGGAGTAGCTGGAAACTCATTGTTAGTGACCCAAGTATATAGATAAAAATGAAAATACAAGGATCCCAGGAATTTGATTTTTTTTTTTCTCTCTTCGCAATAGCTGATCTAACACACATAACGCAGTCCCATAGTACCCGGCCACGAAATAGTTGGCAACGTACAAGCCCTTGGACCAGGCGTGAAGAACTTCAAAATCGGAGAGCGGGTTGGAGGGCTGTGGCATGGGGGCCATGATGGTATATCTGTCTCTCTTCTCCCTTGAATCAAAGATCAAAACGAAATTGGAGGCTGGTTCGATGACAATGAATTTTGCCCTATTAGGTGTTTGCAGGGAATGCAATCGGGGTGATTTTCAGCTGTGCGATAATGAAGAGGTCAATGGCGTGACAAGACCTGGAGGATGTAAGCTCATCTCTATTTATTGAAATACCATACAGTTTGCTATGACTATGGTGAAGGCTGTTTTGACTTGAAAATATCCCAGATGCCGAGTACTGTGTCCTTCGAGTGGAAGCAGTGGCTCGACTACCCAACGACATTGATCCAGCAGAAATAGCCCCTCTCCTCTGCGCAGGCGTGGCCACGTTCAACGGGATCCGGAAAATGGAAATCACCGCGGGCGATCTAGTTGCGATACATGGCCTTGGTGGCCTGGGACATCTGGCAGTGCAGTTCGCAAGTAAGCTTGGATATAAAGTGGCAGCCCTATCCAGCAAACCTAAGAAAGAAAAGTTCGCCTAGGAGCTTGGTGCGCACCACTTCATCGACACCAGCAAAAGCGACTTCCCGACGGCCCTGCAGGAACTAAGCGGCGCTGCGCTGGCTATCTTGAGCGCTCCGATCCCAAGATACGTTCAGCCGCTGATGCGAGGGTTGGCGCCGCGTGGGAGGCTGCTTATTTTATCACCCGTTGGCGAGTTCAAGGCGGACTCAGCCTTGATGACCCGTCGAGCGCTGTCAATCTCAGGCTGGTCAACGGGGCATGCTCTTGATGCAGAAGAGGCTATAGATTTTGCGAGGACGCATGGTGTCAAGTGCCTGATTCAGAAATATAGGCTAGGTGATGTGAATAAGGCGATGGATGATTTGCTACACGCAAGAGTACGGTTTCGGCCGGTATTGGTTATGGACTGAAATACCCAAGAGAATTGATGAGAGCATATAGGCTATCTTCTTGTCGTGTAAAGTAATGGTAGTACGGACCCACAGCTTTGCAAGTCCCAACACGTCTTATACAAAAGCTCTTCCACCGATTCCTCAGGGGAGGCACGGATCTGCGTTGTAGAGACTGACAATATCTGGGGCTGTAGGTTTCCACTCAGGAGATGGCCTGCTCATCAACCATTGCTGCCACCTCAATTGGCCAACTTTGAAACTCCCCAAGATTGCACTAATTCACTGAACTAAAAGAATTTGAATCGTAAATTGAGTTTTAGTGAAGAGTTTAAATCTTGGGCCAGTCACATACTTCAATAATTAGCACTGTCATAGCTTTAGGTGGCCTCTTTTGGGCTATGGCAGTCTATTGTTTATGATGTGAAGTTCGTAGCTTGATATATATATCATCGAATCCTTGCACCTATAAGAGGAATCGTGCGGTAACCCAGACTATCGCCACACCAACTCCAGCGCTTAACTGCGGCCAAGGCCCAAGCGTGAATTTAGCGCTGGTTGATCGACCCAGGTTTGCTGCGTTTCAGAATTACCATCCCAAAAAAGAACTGTCGGAATATATGTGGTGGATTTCGGCCACTTTTGCTGGACGGACGGAAGAAGGACCTGGGCTCATACAAGGGCAAGTTTGTTCTTGGTTGGCGGGCGAGATATTTGCAGCAATGGACAGGCCTTTTGCATCGCCCAGCCTGTGTTACCTATTAGTCTCGGTCATGACATGACGAGAGCAATCCTGGAAGCCCTTATTTTGGGATATTCTATTGATGTGTTCTGATTCCGGCTGGATTCTTCCTATTGGCGCTGGCCTTGACAGCTCTTGTCCGCTGTGTGGAATTCAGAAACGTCAAATGTTTGAGGTTGTCTTTGGCCCCGAACCTCCCCACTATGCGATTGTCTGGTCATGTCAGTTTCAGTTTATCAAATAGTATGGTTGGGATCTTGGGCCAGACGAAGTCTGAGAATTATCGCTCTCCCTGCTTCTTTCTCGTTTGCTTTCTTCTTTTCGAGGGTTAAAAGCCCACACGAAGCTTCCCAGTTACGCTGGTGTGATAGTCATTGTTACATCAACAGGGCGCAATACTTTTCCATCTTCGAAATATATCTATTTGCCTTGGGGATTCAACAATTCCTTCATCCCCCTTGATACTCCATACCCTCCTTTGCGAGAGTCCTGTTATACCATTCACGCTCCTTTATGCTCACTACCAAAGACAAGACGACAGAGTCTCCTTCCATAGTCCAAGAATCGCGCCTTTTTTCTCTGTTATATCCACTCCCGCTTTGCACAGAGGAGCTGAAAGGAAACTCTCGGTTCGTACTGTGAGGATGCGCGAATAGCCATTTCAAAGGTTTCTACCCGCCGTAGCGACCTTTTTGCGATACCTGCGGGAAATTCAACAAAGCTCGAAACGAGAGAGGCGCGAAATACATTCGTTGCGCAAACGAAACTTTTTTGCCTTATTCTTCACCTAACGCTACGCAATGCGTAAACAATACTGGATACCATGCGCTCTCTTCGCCTTCCAAACACCAACAATTACAGCCATTTCTCTAGAAGACATTCAACCGATACAATCATTCCCTCCGCCATGTACAGAAGTCTACACTTCCGAGATTAGCAATTGCACAGTCGACGATTTCTCAACAGGCGCTTGCTCAGCAGCATGTGTTGAGAGTCTGGAATTTCTTACAGTTTCGCTGAATAAAAATTGCGTAGGCTCACAGGCACTATCAGCGACCCTCATCGGGCTATTTTTTCAGGGGCTGGGTGTACAGACTCTTTGCCCCGCTGCTGCAGAGGGGCAAGATCAGAACCTCACTTCAGCCCTTCCCTCAAATACTCCTCCTGAGACAGATACCAGGCGTCCGGGGACTACGCAAACACAGACGGAAGAGCCAGTCACAACACGAACGTTTACTGTGCATCTCACCACTACTAGCGAAACAACAACTACCCTCTCGTCTCCTACCCCAAGCGATTCGCAGACATTATCCCCACCACCCCCAACAACGGCATCCAATCCCGAGCCAACGCAAACGACTTTAAAGCCGTCTGCCACTAAAACCAAGGACCCGAATAAGGACCCCTTTGGCGGCTTCGGGAACGCAAATGATATCATTGCTCCCAACCGGGCGGCGTCGACAAGCCAATCCCTAAATACGGTGATGGGCATTGCTGGAGTAGCGATACTATTATCTATGCAACTTGCATGAAAAACGGTGTACCTACAGCATCCTTGTTTGGCGGGGAGGGATGTAAGTATAGATACCGAGATATATATTTACATGTCATGCACCACCAAAAATGGCCCATGAACTTAAGAGGGGGGATAAGTGAAATATACGGTTAATTATATTTTAATTCTTTATATATTGTTCGTCTATATAAGGATCGTTTTAATGGGCACATTATCATTTTTAATTTTGGAATTCAGGCGTGGCTGTGCCGGGGAACGAAGAGCTGCAGGCTATTTTGGGCATGATGGAATTAGAGAGGGTACAGGCTATCAGTACGGCGAAACAATGATCATATATATTCAATATTCATGTTTGTGTGATTTAGGATACCCTATTTCTTATTTGCATCTACATGCTGTGTTCTTCCTTTTCCTTCCTAGCTTCTTTTCTTGAAACCTTTGCACCACAGCCACTGGAGACCGTTTTCTAAGGGGCCCTTACAAATGGGCAAAGGATAGCTGAAATGCAATCGGCACATCAAGAAAACCTGTAGAAACACATCACAGTTCTCACAGCCGCTGAAATGTCAACTCTGATACTCTGTTTTACCCCACAGTCCATTAGAGTTTGAGGTTATCTGGCTGACCTGACTGAGCCTCCTCATAGGTCCACCCTATCCACCAATCACATCGCTCCGATCTAGCCTCACCACCCTCCCCCGTGACCTCGCAGCATCGTCTTTTGTTTCCTTTCTTCGTCTTCCTTCCCGAATTGCTCCTCTCCATCTTTTTCTCACCCATCTTGGGCTTCCATCCACTCTCTTAAGCTGACCGGAATCCCCTCTCGCTACTGTTTCTTCCTTCATTTTTTTTTGGTGCTGTTCCCTCCTTTCTCGTTGTGTTTACCAGGGGTTCGAGGCCCTCTCAACGTCGACACTCTGGCATCCCCAGCCAACCATTGGCACTTTCGAGCCACATTCCGACTTCTCCTCCAGGGCACAACCAGTTAGTCGTGATCCATCTCCATCAGCCTCGCTTGAAACTCGTCTTCTTCAGCTCTTTTACCCTACACGTTTGTCCGCGTGCCCAGCGCTTTCCTCGCGTGACTCTTTCGACCGCCTTTGTCAGCACCTACTCCACCGAGCCCCAACGCGGAACCCCAGTCAGCGACTCCGACCAGCTCTTGAGAAACCATCTGAGATTTAGATACGTCTCTATATCTATATCAGTCTTGGTTATTCCGGATGCTTCGTTACCACAGCAGGCTACTACACTAGAGGATCGATCTGTGCCAGATAATGACTTCATCATGGCTTTATAACCCTTTGGTTTCCTCTCTTCCGGACCACTGCGAACCCTCCTCCGCTTTCTTAACCTTCATCTCTTCTCGTCTCCACACATGCATTCCGACTCCGCTCGCCCTGGTCTCTTCGACCTTGGGAATCCTGAGTATCGTTTCATGGCTCTTTGCGCAGTTACCCCAGATCTACAAGAATTATAAAGTCCAGTCGACATGTGGTCTCTCAATCTGGTTTCTGATTGAATGGTGTCTGGGCGACGCAACCAACTTACTAGGAGCCATATTATTACGTCAGGCCGGGTGGCAGATTACTGTCGCGTCCTACTATGTCTTTGTTGATGTAGCTCTAGTAATCCAGTACTATTTTTATACCTATCTCAAGGATTGGCGATTACGAAGACGTGGTGGTTATATGCAAGTTAGCGATCCAGGGTTTAGCGACGGGGATATGTATAATGGCATCGTACCCACCGAAGAGAATACCATTTTAGGATTATCCCCCACCTCGATACTTCCATCCGAACCAAAAACTGTCACCTCGAAAAAGGACTTGGGAGTTGATACCCCATTAGGCAGCTCTCTATCTCGCCCCAATGAAAAACAACGCTCACCTCGAATCATCTATCGTGTTGGAGGCAGCAGCAGCATCACTCCCTCCAGTTCGCCACGAACTATCGTGTTTCTCTCCATGCTATGTGTCGTTCTGGCCAACGCAGCTGCCACTAGCCCCAGCGGGCAAAATGCCCCCATATTCACCCCGTCACAAACAGATGCTAGAAAAGTTGCTGGCAAAATTTCATCCTGGTCGTCGACCATTTTATATCTAGCATCCCGTATCCCACAGCTCTACAAGAACTACGGCCGCAAGAGCACCTCGGGCCTCTCGCCGCTTCTCTTCTTTGCAGCCTTCTGCGGCAATTTCTTCTACTCAAGTTCTCTCCTCACCAATCCCAACGCATGGTCGGATCTACCAGCGTACGGAGGTGGTGGATGGGTCGGTAAAGAAGGCAACAGCAGACTCGAATGGATTGGACGTGCGATACCGTTTTTCCTGGGGGCGTTTGGCGTCCTAGGCATGGATGGGGCGATGGGCATTCAGTTCATGATTTACACTAAGAAGAACGAAGATGTCGATGCCGCCACCGACCTGCAACCTGCGGGACCGGGCCAAGGTCGAGGTAGCTGGCGAAGGGTTAGTGGGTGGATGAAGGGGTGGGTTCCATCCGCTTCTCCGGAACTGAAATCCCCGTCTGTGGAGACGGAGGCGCTTATGGTAGACGGCCAATATAGATATGGTGCGGTTTGATATCACCCATGCTACTACCTCAGAATCTTATCTTCTTTTTTTTTTTTTTCTCTTTTTGGTTCAGTTTCTTTTGTATAGAATCCGGCTTACACTGTCGTGCTCCTGTTCGACCTTTTTGTTTTCTGCTATTTCTGCTAATTCTCTTCATATCTATCCTTTATCGGTTTTCACTGTGAACTTTTCTCATGATGACACGACAAAGAATCACATCCATCAGGCGTTCTTTGATACCCTTTATTTGCTTGATGCTTTGGCCGTTGGCATTGCTTCGTTTGTCCCTAAGCTTGTCTTTCGGGTTCCCTTGCCTTGCTACATCATATTATCATTCTTATCCTAGAAGATGAGTACTGGCTAGTACATGTGCGGCGTTTCGAGCAGGTGGCTACCTACGCCTGTCTGTTTTTATTTTCGGGGTTTGTTTTCTTTTTGGTCTACCTTCGTTTTTGATTTCCGCTCTCGATTTCCCTAACCATTTATCAATTCTCCTGTTCCACCAAGATCCTTTCTTCCGTACAGTTCATAGGTATATACACATCATCATGCATACATACCAGCCAGCCAGCAGCCTGGATATTAGATGGTTTTCTTATTTGATTATATACTTGGCTTTTATTCCCCCCCTTTCCTCTGACTGATAAATGCCCCGTCTAACTTAAGTTAGATCTTTCATAGATCTCTAGTGGGATTAAATTTTACATGGATCGAGGCTGCGATATACATATATACAATGAATACACTTTAGATTTCGCTACTGTTTCTCCTCGCGATTCTGCCCTCCTTTTTCTCTATAAATTTTTGTAAATATATATATATATATATGTATATATGTATGGAAAGGTTTGTTTTATTCTATGAGGCTGGGAAATATTGATTGATACATGACTTATTTTATTATTAATATTATTCACTTCTATGCAAAGAAAGGGAGGGAAAAAAAACACCCCAATATAATCGTGCCTTCGCTTATTCCCCACACCACCCGATGTGGGTGCGCCTCAACCACAGGGCTACTATCATGTGTATATAAATATATATATATATATATATAACATATGGACCAATGTATGCGAAAAAAGACAGGGAGCATCAACATTTCCCTCGACTGTCCAACCGTTGCATTGGTCGGCCGGCCCGGCTTTGTCGAACAAATTCACATCCCCGCGGATAGAGATGAGCGGGCGAGGTAGGGGGGATATTATATCTACAGCTTCAAAGGAACAATTCGAAGCTACAAACATTAAAAAAAAAAAAAATAAATAAATAAATAAATAAAAAAATAATCCGTATCTCACTCAAACCATAACTTTATACATTTTTCCATAACGAGGGCCCATCTATGTAACATTGGATACAACTAAACTATTCACAATCCAAATGATGGGACCAAAAAAAGCCCGTCCAGCACCCGGCAGTCTCCAATCTCATACAGAGGCGGGCGTTTCCATATACAACAGCTGTCAAAAAAAACATCAAGTAATAATATCATGAGCCAATGGGACAAACATGCGTGGATGTGAACAGAGTGCTGCACTGGGCGAGCAGACGTGTCCACGTGATTGATAGATGGGTTGGTCGGTATTGATATTGGTATTAGTATTTGTTCGGCGAAAACAGGCCTCGCGAAGCTAGCGCGGATCATAGTATGGTTTGGCGGGATGGATGAGGGAGAGGGGGAAGGGGGGAAGCATCCGGAAGAGATATATATAATGTATAAGCGTGGAGGGAACTGAGAATAAATAATCCTTAATCCAACATATCTACTAACAGGCGCCACCATACACAGTCCAGGGCGGGTAGAAAAGCAAACATTTCATATTCAGTAGAGCAAAGCCCACTAAAAAGGGGGGAAAGAAGAAAGAAACAACCTGGGAGCATAAAGTACTGTGGCAAAACCTGGTTGTTTCCCTCCCCTCCCCTATTTTTTCTCTCTTAATTTTAAAATTATGTATTAAAGCCGAAAGATAAAAGACTCAAAAAAATGGTTAAGACCAAAAGAGTAATAGAAACACCATCAACAAACCCCCTGGCCCACCCCAACACCCAAATAAATATACCCAAGAATCAAGGAGTTAAAGAATACGGGAGTTTAACTCCTACACAACGGTGACAAGCAGAGAATTTTCATTCCGTATAAGGTCGTCCGGTGTGCCTTTGGGGTAATAACGGCGTAATCACAATTGATGGCATGGCTAACAACCCGCGTCTCCAAACAGCGCTGCATATCCAAAATGCTTGTAACGCACGACGCGTTATTGGAGTGGAAATTTCACATCCTGCACGCCCCGCCTGACAACATCCTCATACCTCCATCGGGGAGGCGTAACAGAAGTGGACTTCCTTTTCACTACCGCTTGCTTCTGTTGTCCTCCATGCTGGCCATTCCGCTCATCCTCGGCCGTATAATCTATGTCAGACGGCAGCGCGCCGCCGGCAACCCCGCTTGAGAACTTGAGTTGCAGGACATTCCCAACTTCGTCACAGGCTAATAGCAAGCGGTCGAGGTCCTCTTTAGTATGAGCAGCGGAGACACAGAAGCGAGCTCGCGATGATACCAATGGGGTAGCCGGATATCCGACGATAACGACAGAGATTTTGCGTTTGAGCATCTCGTGGGAGAAGGCGGGCATTTTGGCTGGGTTGAAGAGGAGGAGAGGGATGATTGGGGAGTCGTCATGGCCATAGACGATAAAACCTAGGCGTTTCAGACCGAGGCGAAGATAGCGGGAATTGAATGCGAGTCTCTGTAGTCGTTCTTCGCCCTCGCCGGGAACGATCTCGCCGTTGATAATCCTAAGGGAGGTTGAAATCTGTGCAAGAATTGGCGGAGTCGGCGCTTCGCCGTAGAATACTGCGGGGTTGGATGTTCGTAGCTTGTCAATAATAGCTTTATCCGCGGCAATGTAGCCACCATTGGCGCCAAAGGATTTGGTCAGCGTTCCCATGAGGATATCGACATCTTTCGTATCTACGCCAAAGTAATCGCAAACGCCTCTTCCTCTAGGCCCGATGGCACCTATTGAGTGGGCTTCGTCGACGAAAATGTTGAACTTATATTTCTTCTTCAAGGCAAGTATGCCGGGAAGATTGCACATGGTCCCCTCCATAGAATACAACCCTTCAACAACGACCAGGATCTTCTTCCAGGGGCGGTGAGTTCGCGGCTGGCCTTGGGAAATCACCTCCCGTAATTTCTTCTCTAGGGCCTTGACATCGTTGTGTTTGAAGATCTCGATCGAAGCACCTGACAAACGGGCACCAAAACGGATTGACGCGTGATTCAATTCGTCGGAAATGATCAGACAGCCCTTTGAAACCAAAGCAGAAAACACGCTAGCATTGGTTCCGAAGCCCATGGAAAACACCATGGAAGCTTCCTTCCCGACAAAGTTGGCTACAAGGCCCTCCACTTCAAGATGGAGGTCCTGGGTACCTGCATCAGCCCTGGTGGAGACGGAGCTGATCCCGTATCGTTTAATAATGTCCTCGACGGCATCAGCGCAGGGGCCCTCCGACTGTGCAAAGCCAAGATAGTTATATGAGCTCATATTCAAGGTGTCGGTGTAAGTACCGGTCAGGCGAAAATGACGATTGTGGTCATCGCTCGTCCGATCGATTAAGGTAATGTATCGGCCGGGGACCCCGGTCACGGGCCTCTCAAAACAATCATTAATACGTAACTTGAGCCTGCGGACGTAGAAGTTGTCGAAATCACTGTTCAACGCGCCATATCCGTTCTTAGGTTTGAGATGCCTATAGTTTTCTTCTCTGAATCGTTTTCCAAAGAAATCGCGCACGTGCCCGAAAGCGATTAGGATCAGGTAACTGATGTAGGTCGTGAGCAGATAGTAGTATGGCGGCTCGTCCATGATAGGTTCGGGGAATTCACCCCCTTGGTGCTTCGAGGTATATCGATGACTAGGATGCCCGAGTGGCCCGAACTGAGCATGCTGTCTGGCCAGACGACGTGTTTCCCCCGGCGAAGCGGGTTGAAACAGAGTGGTTGGAGGCACATCCATGTTGGCGCTGTCCGCAGTCGCCGTGGAAAGCGAGATGGTCGGTAGGGACAGCGACGGCGAACTGATATGAGGAGTGCTTAGATGGCTGATAGAGCCCCCGCGTGCGGCGATCAGGGCGGCCTGAGCAGCGGTGTGGGTGTCTGATCTGGTCTTTGGCGAAGTAGAAAACAGTTGGCTCAATCGCTTAGGTTTCACGGAGGAAGAGCGGGCCTGATTACTAGGAATGCCGCCCTTTTCGTTCGCGGACGAAAAGGACGGCGGGTACGAAGAAGGGGAGCTGTTGGTGGTGAAAGGGTTGTTAGGTCGACGAGGCATCTCAAGACGGAACGACTGAACGAGCCGGGGGATGGAGCCCGGTGTTGATTTAGGATTTAGGACGTAGCAAAGAAGCGAGCGGCGCGGGTAGGGCAGCGCACATAGGCCACACTGCGGTGCACTCTGTTTTCGCAACCGGTCTGAAGCTGGGCGGAGGTGGAGCCGAAAGGGCGAGCGGGAAGCGGGAAACGGGAAGTGGGAAGTAGCACAGAAGGACGAGGCAGGAACAAAATCCGCCTATCTGCAGGTTACAGCCGCCAACGTCAACGGCTCACGCAGTCAGCAACCACACAGAACACCAGAGGCAATTGATGAACAGAGAGGATATATGAGTAAAGTAGGTCAAGAGAGATCAAACAACGGTGAATAAAGCGGCAGGGCAAGGCAACGGCACGAGGATAGGGCAATGATAATAGGGGGGAAGTAAGGAACGTGCAGTGCTCACTAGATCCGCCAGGAGCCGGAGAAACGAGCAAGGGGCACAGGAGAGAACTCTGTGGTCGCAATCAAGCCTAGACGCCACCAAAAAGCATCTCGATGAGACACTTGGCGAGAGGATAGCGGGCTATTGGGATGCAGTGTCTGTCTGTCAGAGGATGAGAAAAGAAGAAGAAGAAGAAGCCGCAGAAGGAGCCGCAAAGAGGAGAAAAAATGTTCTTGTCATGTCAGAACCCACGGGACGGCGGTATTGATACATACCGTGTGACCGGTGTATGTACAGGGCACACCACCATCCAGAACGGGACGCTAGGGTTATCTCAATACGGACAGGGGACCAGCACCGACATTACCCCGAACTCTAACGCGTACCGTACCGTACCGTACCGTGGTCTGCTGCCAGGCACCGGCTGCAGTGGGCCGCATATCAAGCAGTATCAAGCAGCTTCAGACAATTCTCTCCGCAGGGAGCACAAGAGATGGGGATGCCATTGGGGAGGGAAACCAGCAGGTACAGAGTAACCAACTTCAAACGATACCTGGCCAGCAGTGGACCTGCTCGTTGGAGTGGAGTTGGTTCAAGGGGCCTGTTTGCTTTCTCCAGCTTTGATTTGTTGGAGCCGGCCATATTCAGGGGCAGCTCGCTGATCGACAAAGCAGCTCACTGTCAGATGTGGCCTCGATCAGACGCTATTTATTCTACGCAGATTATCCTCCCATGGGGAATCACCAATGCGATTTCTCCTGTCGTTGGTTCGTTTATCCTGCCAGAGGAAATATCGCTACGAAAAGACAAGTCAATTTCTCAGTATTTTTCAATTGAATTGCTGTTTCCTTGACTGTAACGTAAAGGTCATGTGATATCCAATCCAACCTTCCATCCATCCATCGCAGGACAAATGGACGTCCTCGAGTCCGGCAATGCCAACACTATTGGTCTTTTTACTCTATCATGCCCTCCTCATTGCATGTCCGCTTTGACTCCCGTGACTGCTAGCTGCCCGATGATGCCAAGCGGAAGATCAGCCATTTGAGTGTCACTCATCCGATCTTCATCCTATATACCTCGACGGATTTTAGGAAGCGGGGTATATATATACCCATTGTGTAACCCCTCTTGGGTTAAAGCGAATCTGTAACGAAATACCTCCTGCCTCTGTCTCGAGGAAATACCCAGATGTGATTATATACCAAGCGGGAAGCGCTGATACCCGTTGCTGAATCGTGCACCAAAACAAAGAGCTAACCAATGCGCCTCAGGTCGCGAGCGTGAACCTAATCCAATTCTGCTCGGATAAAAGCATTTCAAGAACCGCGAAGAAAAACTTCGTCAAAGAGGTGGGGGGGTTACGACGTTGGTGAAACAATCTGCAGAGTTTTCGAAAGAAGCAAGAGAGCGCTCACACACACCCCCTCCTCACCTCTCCAAGACCCCTCCAACCAGAAATTCGCAAAAACAGGAGAAAAGACATAGCGAGAACACACACGCACACACACACACACACACAAGACAAACGAATACAGAAAAGGAAGAAGTGAAAAGAAAAGAAACAGCCATGAGCAAACCAGATCCTCCTTCCCCCCTCCCCTTCCCAAAACCCACCATAATCCCCCCGCGCGGCCCGCACACCCACACCCTGATCTTCCTGCACGGCCGCGGCGATAACTCCCTCGACTTCAGCACGGACATCATCACCGCCCCTCTCCAGATCCCCACGCCCTCCAACCCGGCCCGCACTTCGCTCCCCCAGCGCTTCCCCGGCATCAAATTTATCTTCCCGGACGCGAAAATCAGCCGCTCCACCGCGGGCGCGAACTCGATGATGCCGCAGTGGTTTGATGTCGCGACGCTGCGGCCCGTGCACGAGAGGGAGTGGGAGCTGTCGCGCGACGGGCTGCGGGCCTCGGTGCGCTATCTGCTGGAACTTGTCAGGGAGGAAGGGAAGGTTCTGGGCGGGGTTGGGAAGGTTATTGTGGGCGGGCTTAGTCAGGGGGCTGTGGTGGCCTTGGGCGCAGCGGTGGCCTTCGATGCGGAGGTTGATGGGGATGGGGAGGCGCTGGGGGGCTGTGTGGCTATGAGCGGCTGGTTGCCATTCCAGAGGGAGTTGGACGAGTTAGTTGGAGGGGGCATGGGGAAGGAAAAAGGCGGTGATGATGGCGGCGGTGAGGCAGGCACCGCCGTCGTAGATGAAGATGAAGCGGAAGATGAAGCGGAAGACGCGAAGGAACGGCATTTACGGTCCGGTTCGAACCTAGCTGCCAGAGCGACAAATTGGTTCCGCGAGAATATACTGGGTATTCCTCCACCCGCTGTTCCGGCCGCGCAGTCGCAGTCGCAGTCACCCTCGCGGTCACCCTCACACCCAAAGACCCCCATCTGGATCTCGCATGGGGCGCTGGACGAGCATGTGTTGCCCCAGTTCGGCGAAAACGCAGCAAAGACGCTGGAGAGGCTGGGTTGGAACGTCACGTTTATGTTATATGACGATCTATCGCATTGGTTTATGCCGGATGAATTGGCGGATATGGCGATTTATCTGAATGTGGTGGTTGGCGTTCCGGATGCGGAGTGAAAGTTTTATTTTTTCCTTCTTTCGTTCCGACTGCATAGGGGCAGTAGGGTAGGGGATTGAAAAATACAAAAAGAAACACGAAGAATGGGAAATTTTTGAATGCAAGGGAGTAAGAGCTGGGTGTGCGACTACCTATGAAAAGAAGTATATGAGGTGAACCTCTTTTTTTTTTGGTCCCTTGACAACTGGGATGGTGAGTTTTTTCCACATGGCGGCTGTCGTCCTTATTATGTGTTCTCTCCTCTGTCCTTTTCTTCTTGCATTTAATGGCGATCTAGATCTAGGTTTTAGATTCCTCCCCATATCTTCATCCAACCCCAGTCGTCTAGGAATACGTCTTAGGAATTTAACGACCCAAAAGTGGAATTTCATCTAAAACAGCAGCATTGTTGGCTGAAGTAAATTTAAGTAAATTTGCAACCGATTTGAAGCGTATGAATCAACGGAAAACTCCGAACTCCCAACGCCCCTTATTTCTGGTGAGATCATTTGTGCGTACATAACCAATCGATTAATTAACACTTTTTCTCCCTGTAGGAGGGGGATCTTGGGTAGGATAATAATACAATGGTACAGATGGAGGTGGGAGGTTGGGTTAATTGCTTCTGTGCGCAGGGTCTCCTTTTTATATAGGCGTGTGTGGTGGTGATATTAGCGGTGGGCATTAGGGGCTGCCAGCAGATAACAAAAAATAGGGGAAGGATTTGTTCTCAAAAGCAGTGCATGAGGCCATAGCAATCTTCTCTCTTTCAATTGATTATATCGATATAGATGAGACATGCAGGATAGATGGATATATATATATATATATATATATATATAATAATGATATATAAGTGTAAAATTACAGAAGGAAAAGGAAAAGGAAACAGTAGTGTAGCTGGTCAATCTACGTGAACAAAGACGGCGTAAAAGCAAAGGCAAAAAGTAGAGAGGGAAGAGAGAGAGGTATGGAACCCAGACGGGGCCACCTCCCCCCCCCCCCCAAAAATACAGAATCCATCGGTAGCCAAAATACAAATAGACATATTCAAGCATCAAAATGAATTAATAAAACAGGAAAAGGTGAAAGAATTGAAAAGAACCACCCCATCTATATGGCAAAAGTATAGCGTAGGCATCACCAAAGATAAAAAGAAAAAGAAAAAGAAAAAGAAAAACAAGGTTCAAGCCCTCCCCTCACCTCCTCCCCAACTGCCACATTGCAATCCGTTCCTGAATCTGCTCCTTCTGTACCGGCTGGAACGGAACTCCATCCACCATCCCCTCCTGCACCACAACCGTCGGCATCCCCGTCCCGTTCCCCTTATTACGCACATGGCCTCCAAGAACCTCCCGCGCCACCCGCCGCAGGTCGTCCGCCGTCAACGCATCGATCCGCGCACTCATCTCACGTACCCCAACCCGGCGCCCGTGCGCCTGCACCTGCCGTCCCAGGTCTTCCAGCTCCACCATGCGCGACTCGAGGTTCATCAGTATCGCGGAGCGCAGCTGGTTCTTCGCGCGGTTGACCTCCGTGGGCTGCAGGGTGGTGAAACGCGAGCCCGTCGTCAGCGCATGCAGCTCTCTGCAGATCACATCGACCGTCGCGGTGAGGCGGGACGGGACGCACGAGGCCGAGATCCCGAACAGCCCGCTGTCCGTGTAGCTGTGGTTGAAGGCCATGCAGCTTTCGACCCAGCCGTGCTGGTTCAGCACGTTGGTGTAGAGCCGCGAGTGCATGCCCTTGCCCGGCCCGCCGGCGGAGAAGGAGCCGCCGCCGCCCAGCAGCATTTGGAGGGTGGCGAGCGCGTAGATGTCCTGCGAGGAGATAGGGGGCCCTTCGAAGGCGACGTGGATGTGGCTGAGGCGGGGCTGTGTGGGGTTGGCCGGTGGGGGGATGGCCGGGAGAGAAAGGAAGCCGCCTGTGTAGTGTGAGGCGCGGTGGAGGTCGAGGGTGGATGGGTGGAGGAGGGAGGGGTCGAGGGGTGAGACGGAGGCACTACGGGAGGAGGAGGTTGAGAGGTGCTTGAGGAAGGGGATGTGGGAGAGGACGCTGTTGGTCTTGGAGCTGGAGGTGCTGGGCGATGGGAGGGGATGGGAAGCGGTTGATGACGGGCTTGCGGAGAGTGTAGAAGTTGTCGAAGAAGGCGAGAGGGAAGGTATCGAGCTCAATTCCTCCTCAGAAAGCGTCGATTCCGACCCCTGCCCAAAAAGCACCGGCTTGTCCCTCTTCATATCCCCAAACCACCTCTCCGCCAACTTCACCGCATCCTCATGCGCCACGCCCGCAAACGCCACAACCATCCGTTCCGGCTTGTAAAACGTCTCCCGATAACTCTGCACAACTCCTCTATTAATCTCCGACAGTCGCTCACGCGGACACAACAACGGATTCCCTAGGGTATTATTCCGGTACGCCGCAATATTCACCAGCTCTGGCAGGATGACCTCAGGCTTCGCCCAGAGATCAGTGATCTCATACTCCGCCACCTCCAGCTGCTGCTGCACCTCCTCGTCCGTGATCAGGGGGTCCCGGATCGTCTCCGCCAGCAGTGCCAGCGTGGTCGGCACAGCCGAGTTGAAGCTGGTGGACTGGTACATGATACACTCGCGTGCCGACGCGCATTGGATGTTCCCCCCGAGCCTCTCTAGAGACTCAACCATCTGATCGCCCGTCCGCTTCGATGTCGATTTGAAGGCTAGCCTGTCAATGATGTGGCTGACGCCGCGGAGGCTGTCGTTCTCGTACCGTGAGCCTGCATCGAGGTATACGCCCACGCCAGCGAAAGGGCCGGGGAGGGACTCCGTGGCTACCCGAAGGCCATTGGAGAGTTCTGTTACTTGGTCGAGTTCGGCGGGGTCCTGGAATAGTGGCATTTATTAGATGATTTTTCTTTTTTCTCGCCTTTCCTCAAGTGATTGCATGTTGCTGCTATTGTTGTGCGGAGGGAGTGGCCTTCCCAGAAGTCATGTAAATGGATAGAACAAACCTTAGCTTGTGTTTCTATGTGAGAGGAAAAGGTCCTTGAAAGCGAGTGTGCTGCTCGTTTGAGGTACCTGGCCGGCGTAGGGGCCCTGGTTACTAAACGACGCATGATATCCTCTTTTGTTGCTGGAAGTCAGGCTGTATCGCTTCGTATGCTGGTTTGTTCGGCTGAAATGAGTTGTGTAGAGAAAAACCTGGAGATAGTTGCCTGACCGCTTTGGGCAGAATTAGGATGAGTCAGCAGGCGGTTGCTTTGCTCGGGGAAAAGAGGGAGGAGTGATTCTTCTGATCTGGAGGAAGTTGAGAAATAATATACTCATGGGTAATCGTTGACTACAACAAGATCATAGATACACAGAGAGAGATATCGTGGTCAGCAGCTAATAGCCAATTACGCTAATATAATATGGGTTCTGACAAGAATATAGCTTTTTTCTATAAAGGGAAAATGTCCGCCCCCTTTTTCCAAAAACACATTTTCAACATCCAAAAAACTAGTATATATATATATATATTGTATATATAACGAAGATTGAAGAATAAAATAAAGAAAAAAGAATAGAAAAATACAAAAACAATAAAACCAAAAAATAAAAAATAAAAAAAATAAAAATAAAAAAAGTACACCCCACCTTCAATTTTCCGCCGCCCACCTCCGGTACCACTCTAAACACCCCGCATTAGCCACGCTTGCTCCAGTTTTAATATTTAACCCACAAAGAATTTGTTTCACCGCATTCTCAACCTTCTTGCCATTCGTCGTGACTGGAATCTCCGGACACGCGACTATGATCGTCGGGACATGGCGCGCGCTGAGTTCCTTGCGAATGGTAGCCTGTATGCGGCTGACAAGATCGGGCGGCATGAGCAACGCGTCATTGTCGTTGACGGTGGTAATCAGGTCCTTTACGCAGCCGTTGTTGGCTATTGACACCGTTGACGAGGACGCGGATGTGGACGCGGATATGGATGAGGAAACAGATGCAGAGGTAGACGCAGATGCAGATGAAGATGCAGACTTGTCCCTGGCGGCCAATTTCACAAAGAGCACGACCGTCTCGTCGTTCTCAATCCCATTCCGCCGCCGGCCAATACACAGCGAATCCTCAACCTCATTCGCAAAATGCTTCAGGATGACATTGTAAATCTCCGCGCTGCCGAACCGGACGCCGGCTGGCTTGAGCACCCCGTCGCTGCGGCCCAGCATCTCCATCCCGCCTGTCTTGCTGTTGAGTTTCACGAAGTCGCCGTGGTGCCATATCGACGGCCCGAAGTGCTCGAAGTAGCTCTTGCGATACTTCTCCTCGCCTATCGGCCCCGGTGGCCAGAACATGACGGGTTGGGCTGGGAAAGGCACCGTGCATACGAGGTCGCCCGCGTCATCGGTGGCGCTAATGTCTCGTCCGGCGTAATCGAAGATGGATACGGCCATGCCTAGGCCGCGACATTGGATTTCTCCGCGGTGGACAGGGAGGATGGGGCAGGATGCACCGAAGAGGGAGATGATGTCCGTGCCTCCTGTGATGGAACCGAGCATTATATCTGGGTGGATGGAGGAATACACGTAGTCGAATGTCGATGGGGCGAGTGGAGAGCCCGTGCTAAAGATTGCTTTCAGGGTTCGCAGTTGGACGGGTCTATGGGGATGTTTTGTTGGGTTTAGCGCGGACTGTTCTAGGATTGAGAGGTACTTTGCGGATGTACCGAAGTGGGTTATGTGTAATTCATCGATGAGACGAGGCATGGCCATATCGCCCTTTCCATCTTCTGGGTCCAAGGGCCGGAATGGAGAGCCGTCGTAAACCACGATGCTTGCGCCACTGGCCAGAGCGGAAACAAGCCAGTGCCACATCATCCAAGTTGTGGTCGTGAAGTAGAACAGCCGATCGCCAGGCCCGATGTCACCATGCAGCGCATGCTCTTTCTTGTGCTGTATGAGTGTGCCCAGGGCACCATGGACAATTGGCTTGGGGGCACCGGTTGTGCCTGACGAATAAAGGATATAAACCGGGTGGTCAGGTGGGAGGGGTTCGAATTGCAGCGTCGCGGACGAGCTGTTTGCCGACAAAGTAGCCAAGAAATCAGAGAAAGTCATGCATCTGCCATTTGGCAACTTGACCAATTCCACATCAAACCCATACCCTTGCACCGCATCGAAGACCACGACGTAACGCAACGAGTCAAGGCTTGCCGTTAACTCGACAACCTTGGCGTGTGTCGGATGAACCTTTCCATTATAGGGGGACGCATTGTCAACGAAGAGAACCACCGGCTCGATCTGACGCAGCCGTTCCAGCACGGCATTCACACCCGTATCGGTTGAAACAGAACTCCACAGGGCGCCTATGGAGGTGGCGGCCAGCATGGCAATGACGGTGTTTGCATGATTGCCCACAAAGCCAGCGACACGGTCCCCCTTGACTACGCCCGCTTCCCGTAGCGACAAAGCACAGCGGTGTACCCGCGCTCGAAGATCCTTCCACGATATGTGCTCTCGGGTGGATTCGGTAGCGGCAATGATGGCGACGGAGTTTTCACCAGGGTTGCTTGCGGGGAAGAGGAGGTTTTCGGCAAAATTAAGGAGGCTTCCTTCGAAAAATACTGGTTTAGGGAAGAGGGGAGTGCCCTTATCTAGAACCTGGAGAGATGGATGGCGGAGGTACGTTAGCGAATTGAAGAATGCGGAATTGTTTGGTTTGGTGGGGGGGGAA